ACTCCTTCCGTGATTCACTCACCCTGATATCACTTACGGATCATTAGAAGAGATCACTGCATTACTTCGCTACGCAAACGAAACAGAACACCTCTGTTAGGATTCCCCGTCGGAAGAATAACAGAACCGTTACATTTACTTACTTCGGCAAAGAGATACTCAAAGTATAACAGTTCTGTTATTCTTCCTACAAGGAATCCTAATAAAAGTGTTCTATTTCGTTTACGTAGCGAAGTAATATAGTAATCTCTTTTAATAATCTGTAAGTAATGTCAGAGTGAGTGAATCACGGAAGGAGTCAAGTGTCAATCAAAGTAAGCTGTTATAATTGATATTCAAGAATCAAGTTGAGCACGAAGTTCCTATCTAGTAAGGAAATTACATTGCTTATATAGAACCTTCCTGCTCCTGGATAAAGTAGATAGGTCAGAGCTATCCTCGTTATCTATACTATCTATGCTATCTATCACGTGACACTAGTCTCGTGATTCTTACTGTCACGTGACCTCGTCACATGCCTTCATGGTTCTCTGTGGTGATGCTGCACATTACCCGAGCCTCAGGCTATAAGGTTGGCGTTCGTAACACTTGGCTAGCCATTAAGTGATCCTAATACGGATTGCGTAGAAGGATAGCCAAGCCGAGCCTTGTTGGATAGTCGGACTGCGACAAGAGGAGACTGGCCGTTTATCCCATTGTCGTAGCCGGGAAGCGAAAGCAAAACAGAGTGAAAATGGAAGCCATTGGACTTTCTTTGGCTGTTGAATTTCACTGCTACGGCTGCGATGAAAGCAGTTCAAACCACCGGGTACAGACATGTTTGGCAAGCAAAAGACGAGTATAGGAAGGTCATGACATCAGCTGCTGCTGCCTGGATTAGGATGCCTAGGATGGGCGTTCTTTGTGCTTCTATAGCCAAAGAGTGTTTCAATATTGCTTTTCGTTGACAAAGACAACAGGTGTTTGCTAAAGGCAATGCAGGGGCGGTGAAAAGTGTGAGAGCGCGACAGTGTGGCTGCAAATCTATTTGGCATCGGGGGCCGGTGGACGCGTAGCGCGTTGAGTGCTTGCAGCTGGATATGCCGGGGAGTAGAACAATTGCGATTTAAGCCAACCAACTGCCCACGATTAGACTCAGCTCAGCATCGACTTATCCGCTATCGCACTGCAGACCACCAGATGCAAGGTACTTGGACTCGAGCCAGGATAGTGGAAGCGGCGGGTGTTGTGGTTGTGCAATAGGAAAAAGCCGGTGGCTGGAAGCGAGACTTGGTGACAAGGCAGGAAAAGCAAATACCGTCGCACATACGCTCTTCTTCTGGATATACGAAGTAAACTACGCAAAACGGACCTGGCTTTTACGCAGGCTGCCGTCTTTATGACTCACCCCCTGAAATCCTTGAGAGCCGTGGTGATGGCCATGTTGATAGGTCGTTGCCGCATAGCAACGCCGCCCCCCGTCCCCCTTTGCGACGCCGGGCAGAGGGCAACTCTTGGGAGGCTTTCCTTCTTTCCTCCTCCCTTCGAAGGTGCCGTAGGAGAAACAGGAGTAGCGGTCTACAATATGCAGATAGCCGGCGGGTGTCTGCAACACTGTGCCGATGAGGCTGCGTTACTTTTTTGGCGGTGGGCGCAAGGAGCTGTAAATTGATAGATAGCTAGCATCTGTTGCCTTTGACCTTGTACTATCTTACCTACGTAGACATACTACTTGAGATCTCGAGAACCCACTGTAAGGCAACAAGTTACAAGTGCAAACAAGAGCATTCTCTATCTGCTCCATGCGGCAACTCGAGTCAAATCATACCACTCGCTAGCACAGCAAACCAAGTCGCATCGACTAAGGCTACTGAGTTGGATTACTTCGCGTCCGTTGAACCTCATCAGCTTGACTTGGTTGAGAAGTTGAGACTCGTCACCCGACACTCCCCAAAACACAGTGCCAAACAACCCGCTACCCAAAGTTCCGTCCCTTCCTCCCTCCCTCCACTAACACGAACCATCCATACCACACATAAAAACACTTCTACCACCATCGCAAGACACCCACTAGTGAGCTTTATAGCCAACATAAAGCTAAGATGCCTTCTGCATGGGACCACAAATCCGACAAGGACCTCCTCCTGGCGATTATCGAGAATGGCGTCCTTAAGGGTATCGAATGGCCTAAGATTGCACAGAAGATGACTGCCAAGGGCTACACGTTTACTCATGAAGGCTGCCGGTACGTTTGAACTTCAAGATTACGTGTTTTAGTTTTCTTTCTTTCTAGATCGCATATTCTAGCTGTTTATCTTGAGGTTAAACTTGAGATGGCTGGGAATGTAGGATGCTGTTCACTGAATGGCAATTATGACTGTGAAGCTGAAGCTGAAGATCACATCTTGGGAAGATCTAAGTCAAGCGACCTTAGTCCAGCATTTGCCTGGATATAGGCATCTATACTATCATTTTAGGATCCTACCTATACTTCCTTAGTCCTTTGTCATCTTACCTTCAACCCTTACCTCATCAAGTTCTCCCTATCTACCCACATATACAGTAACTCTCTACTTACGCTCTACCTATACTCTCACTCCCTCATTTTCTAAACACACACTCACCTTACTTACATATTATTAATCATATCTCTCATCTAGCCAACACTTCCAAAAGATCCGCAAGGAAGCCCGCAGCGACCCCTCCCCCAACCCAAACAGCCCCGTCGCAACTCCTAAAAAGCGCCCAGCCAGCTCTTCCAAGAAAGTTGCCACCCCCTCCAAGGGAAAAACTTTCAGCGACTCATTTAATAGCACTCCGACTAGCAAGGGAAATAGCTTCTCCTTTGTGAAGGAATTCGACGAGAGCGAGGACGATGAAATTGATACCCCCCAACTTAATCGCGTCAAGAAGATGAAGCTGGAGAATGAGAATGGTCTCCAAAGCGCACCGCTGTTTAAGATGGAGAATTTGGATGCGAATGGTTACAATGGCGCGAGGGGAAGCGGTGTTGTGATTTTGGATCGCGATGAGTAAGTCGTGTCCTCCTTTAACTTCCTTTCAATTTTGCTACCCCCTTTAAGACAAGGCTTGTTTGAAAGTCTTGCTAACTCTAATACAGCCTCTACGATGATGAAGGTTGATCAAATCTATACATCCCCCTGTGCAGAGGTCTGCTTGTTTATCTTGTCGTTTCGCTTGCTGAACACGAGATCAGTGTGTGGTGATTGACGGGTCACAGGCGTTACATGATATTGATTTGATTGCTTTTATTGCGCACGTGGCTTCTCCACCCCTTATTACGGAAGAGGTTGGAGTGGCTGGTTTGTGGCGAGCCATTTGCCATGCATGCGAGTCTGCGACACTGTTTATGGCCTGGCTGGCTATTGTCTTTTATTTGGGGTTGAGAACTTGCAACACATACTCTGGGGTTAAAGAGCGTGTATAAATTCCCATGCAGCCAACTAAGGCCAATACACGAAATTGAAATTATAAAGAAACATGGTACAAGAATGTGATAACAAATCAGAACCACGTGGAATAATAATAATGGTTATTGTGTTTCAGGATCTGCTAGTGACATTCTCTTATGGTAGTAAGCATACATAGGAATAATAACCGAGTCCGTCATCGGCACAGGTACTTCGTAGGGGAGTAAGCTCTTCAAAGTTGTTACAGCGGAGTCTTATAGGTCACTAATGAATTATTGGCAATCAGGCAAAGACATGTAATTTAGCGGCCGATTAGGTGCAAATCAAATTTAAGACCATCGGATTGAGGCCGTAACGTCCAAGTCAAACTCWAGCAAGTCAGAAAAAGAAAGAGAAACTCCCCAAAAGCGCCAGGCGAGCAAACACTCAAATACGAAGACCTAAATGAGACCCTGCCAACAACATCAAGCAAGGCTCCGATGTTCTTAAGCCCTCACACCTCATAGTCCACCTCCCGCTTCACATCCAAAAATTCCCCATCACTATCTCTTGCCTCGAGCGAGCCATCTGGTTCGTCATTCTGGAGCGCAGCAATTGCATTTTCATAGGCAGATTTCTTCCGGGCTTTTCCTGACCTTCTGCCAATAGACTTCATCTTCTCCGGCATCTCGTCATCCTCGGAAGAAGCTGCTTTGCGCTTCCGCGGCGACACAGTGGGTGTTGACGGGGCCGAATTCTGGTTCTCATTGGCTGCGGCGGCTGTCGTAATCTTCTTCTTGATCTGCCCAAAGCGTGTTTGTGCTACCTTGGCGTTGTTGTAGCCTGCCCTTTCGGCAATGAGGACCCAATTTACCTGAAACTTATTGTCAGTGCTGGTGGATCATGGAAAGGTCGTAGGAATGAAGGGGATGCGGTATAGGGGTGCTGTTTTGAGAGATATCGGATGGTGAAATAAGGAGCTTACTTTAGGCATGTTTGTCATGTTCATAAGAATTAGTTGAAAAAATAGCGCATCTTTGGAAGTAAATTCTGCTGACATGGTGGCTGGACGTGCTGAAATGTGATGGAAAAAAGGTGGCTAGATGGAGGTTAGGGCAAAACTCGAGACTTTCAAATGGCCCTTGTTGTCAATGTTTTGTTCTTGGCCATAGAGATAAGAAACAATCAAGAATTTATAGAAGTTGGCTACTCCTATCTCACTCATTCTCGCCCCATGACGCCCTCTACGTGATATTACCCCTCCTTTCCTCAGAGGTGCAACGATGATCACTCCGATCAGCTGCGTGTGGCGTATAGTCAGTTGACTGTCTCTTCCCTATTCTCCTACTACTTTTTGCTTTTTTGAGAGAAGGCTTTCCCTTTAAGCAGCGAGGCGGGGACCTGAATATAATTCCTAGGGTATCTTAGCAGTAGTTTGCTCACCTTAGCCAATAAGAGCAAGTGTTGAAAGGAGGAAGCGAGGAAATGACCAGATCGCAAGGGATGAAGTTGTGATGAGCACATTATGTAGGTGCTAAGGGACATGGAGTGAAGTTCCCCGTCTAATGGAGGGTATATGTGTTCAAGCCTCCAAAAACACAAAGGAATCACAGAGAAGTACGCCTCTCTTACCCCCCACATCAACTGCAGCTACCCTTAATAATGGACATGATCAGTTTTGATTGCTTTACTCCGGCCACAAGGAATTGTCCATGCTACTAAAGGAAGATAAGAAAAATGGCTTTGTACAATTCAGTAATAGCCAAGCCGCGAGAATTCCTTGATGCTTTGATTGGAAGTTGTGGGGTTGTGATGTTTCGTGCCCAAGGAAACGGCCTAGCAATTGAAGAAATAGAAGCATCACATTAGTCAAGAAAACCAACACCTAATTTTAGATGTATTATCTGGTCGAATGCCATTCGATGCCCGCATTGAGTTATAAGTATATATTACAGTTTGTAATTAACAATATTGGGCAATAATTCCCATATACCTGGACGTTTACTACTATTCCGTTCCCCACTCTTGCTAGCCTACTTTGCTACATGGAGTACTCCAGCCTCGGGTGATTTGTACACCGGGTTGCCCACAACTATGATCTCGATGCCTTGCATATGATGAGAGTGGGTGGCTCGAATTCCCAATAATATGCAAGCAGAAAGTCTTGCTCCGAGATGTTTCTGCAGATGTTGGATATCCGGATATGCTTCCCCGGACTATCCAATAAAAGCGTATGGATTGTTTCGCTGATGTTGAATGTCACGTTCCGAAACTGGGAAATCTTGCCCACAAACATGGCTTATTGAGTCCCACTTGGTCCAATGGCCAATCGGAGGCAAGATATTCAGTTGTAGTTCCCAATGAAAGTTGGTAGATGCATAGTATTTGGAATCTCACTCGCACGGCCATGCATGAAGTAGACACGAGCTCTCAAGAACTTGCAGGTTGCAGATAAGCAGAAATGACTCTCAGGGTAGAGTTTGCAGATATTGGATCGGATCTTTGGATAACGTTCCAGGTGCAATCCAGGTGTATCTAGCAGCTAAGCTACATGACCAGCCTGATACTTGGGGTTTGGCGGCTTGATGCAGCACAGCGTGCTGAATATCTCGGAATCACAAAGTTTGGCAAGTACAATTGAGATCCCTTGCAGATATCAACTCCCGAATGTGCTTTCGAACCCACCAATAAAGCAAAGATAGCTAAACACGAATACGATTTATCGATTTGTCCGGGTTCAGATTGCAGTTGCCACTGGCAAGACGGAGGGCTTCATCCTTGATTACAAATTCCCCGTCACAAGCTTTGTCCAGACAAGGAAATATTTGATTCCTGTGGGTATTGGATAGACGTAAAGAGCTTGCCTTTACACATGGAAAGAGGGGCTGCTACCGATGTGTGTATGTCTCCTACTAGGAAGGATGGTTGTCTTGGTGACTCCACCAAGGCGCTTCGACGAATCGCCTTGGAGAAATGACTATCACCAACTCTGTCTGCATTTGTTGCTGCGCAAGACCGACAGCCCAAACCTTACTTTTTCGAACTCGCCCTATGCACTTCCATATATATTAGCACTTTTCTACGACTATAAACCGACGTCGAAACTGAGGGAGTGCTACCTATCCCATCTCGACACTCGGCGATCTGCGACATTTGAGCATCACAATGTAGAAAAGAGCACGTTTTCTGTTCCGCATCCGTCATGGAGCGTAGAAGAAGATACCTAATCAAGGTATCAGAAATGCGCTATCTGAAGTTTCAAGCGCGCCAGCACTTCATAAATTTAGTAATAGCACAAAATCCGGCGATTTAATAACACGACTCACCAACAGAAACAAACAAAATAGATTTACACATGGGAGTTATGTGATATTTGTCGCGCACCGATTCGCATCATAGGGCATGATCAGTGATCACCACACAGCCCTCTGCCTTTATCAAGCTTTGAGAAATTGAGACAGGCCGTTCCGCTCATAATACCAACATAATGCAAATACATGTTCTGCGGACTAGCTAATGCCATAATTGGATTCAAAGTACTTTGTTTCCTATGCAAAGTTCAGGTTACAGCTTGAAGATTGATGTCGGGAAAACTCAGATTGACAAAAGGAAGTTGTGGCCATTTCGATGCCTTATTATTGAGGATTGCATAAACCGCTGCATCATTTGCACGTGATTCACCCCCCTTTTCCGACCTGTCGAAGCGATGATAAAATAAATATATTGTCCAAATTGCAGCACATCTCCTTTAATTAACACACAAGGTCGAATAACAAGAATTAAACGTAACCCTTCTAGCTATACTAAATGATGTTAAGCTAGCAAGCCAAAGATATATTTAAGACCCAATTTGATTATGTCGTCATCCACAGTATTAGAAATACTGCTCAAAAAGACCTAACGCTAGAATCAGAATATCATGAACTTCACCAATCTCCACAATATTATCTCTATGCACACTTTTATTGTTCTACGGTTGGCCGTTTCTCGGCATTGCGTGCTAGTCGCTGGCATAAAAATGAGCCAAACTTCTGCGGTGGGAATCCTTTCCTTTCCTTTCCCACAACAACTTTCACAAACCGCCAACAACCTGTGTGCAACTTCAAACTTCAACTTCAACAAGCAACCTAGCTTCCACAATACCTCTACCGTAAACAAATCACTCGCTAAAGCATCCGACCATGTCTTCCGAGCAGGCACCACAGTCAGACAGCAAGGGTGCGACCCAGAAGGATGCCTTGTTCTTCTTTCACATTCTCAACAACATGAAAAATACTCCTGAGGTAAGCATTTATTTGATATCAGTCCTGCTAAAATTACCTTTATGATGAAAGTGATCTGACCCCTGTTCTTCCTTTCCCTCCTTGTTCCAACCACAATATCCTATGTCACTTCCATTATCCAAACCTGCTTATTTCCCTGTCACATCCCCCAGAATCTCGTTCCGATCTAACTACTAATTTCTATCCTCCCCATAATGCTACACGATCTGATCTCTTCTCTTTACTTTAGGTTGACTGGGAGGTTGTCGCTGATCTGGCCGGCTACAACAATGCTGGAACCGCCAGAACCCGCTTTGGACAAATCAAGAAGAAGCTCTCCGCTCTCAGCGGTACACCTTCCAACACCCCGAAGGCTCCTCGAAGCTCCACCAAGCAGAAAGGTGGCGAGCTCGGCTCCGGTAGCAACATCACCCCGACCAAGGTGACCAAGAAGCGTGGCAAGAAAACCAAGGTTGAAGTGAAGGAAGACAGTGACACGGATGATGCTCTGGCTACTATTATGGGTAATGAGACCGAGGACGAGAAGCTCGAAGCTTAGACTTTGTCTTGCATTTGGTAAGGTCCACCGTACCTGAATATATCCAAACTTTGTCTTGATCAGTCAGCTAAAATTTAAATGAGTAGATCTCTCTAGCGCTCGATATCTAATATCCGGGTGGAGTTATAGGGGTCATTTGCGGAGACACGGCAATTAGGATTTGAGCGTTCTTTATTTTATCCTTGAATTGCCCGGCGAATGGGGTGGGGTTACATGGGTTAGTTTGCGGAGAAATTACATGGTCATACATTGCTACTGAGTCGAATCCTTAACGGAAGGTCAAGGAAGAAGTAGCCGCCTATCGCCAATAAATGATAAATCTTTGATACAGGCCATTGATATTATATTGTGATCTTGATAAATTATTAAATAGAGGCCTACGGAGCCTTCCACTTCTAGTAGGGCGGTATTTGGGCAGTATCTGCAGTTATTGCTAGTAAATTTGCATCCCGCAATATTGCCTTGCTACTCCTGAGTTTTTGCAATATTATAAAAGACGATGGCCCTATTTATGATGACTAGTATAAATAGACATATTCTCCGTGTCTACGTGGGATTATCTATGCGGCTGATGTCTCTCAAGTTAGTTTGGGATTCAGTCATTTGACGCGCCCCTACTTTAAGCCTATGGCTTCAATTCACCATCACAACTATGAAGTATATACAACAAGCCGAATTCATTGGTGGCAAGACTTGGAGCTATGAAAACCGCAAGAAACACTTTGAGAGAATAGATATCTCTAAACCGCCTAGAAAACCCCAAAATCATGGCGCCCGCTGTTTGTAATATTGTTGGAAAGATAAAGCTGTTACTTGTATTGTGTTTCATGGCGCTCATTTAGAATTAAAGTTCTGTTCTATGTTAGTAAATAACTGGTCCTCTAAAACCATATTTGAATTGGATTAACATGAATTGATGCAACTTTAAAAATAGCCCAACACTTAAACCCAATTGTAGTTGCCTTGGCAGTGGATGACTGGTATGGATTTTCCTCGGTTAGAAGTGATAATCCCCTTACTTTCCTCTAACCAGTTTCAATATCACTTTATCGCTATGGTCTTAGGCATGAAGCATGGACGGAAAGTATGAGACAAAATGAATATTTTCCTGAACCCAAAGAGAGAAGAGACAGTGCGAGGAGATTCCTGCATTAATACATGGTCTGCTCAAAAGACCTAACAAGACCCTAACATTTTTGTGATATAAACCGGTAATCTGTGTCGCTCATTGGTCGCCCCAGCGACCACATCATGCTTGGTAGAGAGTGAATGTCACGGTTCACCTTTTGGCGAGGAGGGATAGCTGGTCTCTAGATTTTCTACCTATTTAAGACGTCAACTTGAACATCAACTTCACACGTGACCTCTCTTCAACATCAACACCCACTGTGACCTGCCCGCCATCAACACAAATATATCACAGCATCCATCATTCCTGAATGTCCAATAGCTGGGAACCTATAAGTATGATCTCTACCTTGAATCTTTTATATCCGAGGCCGATCTAACACATGAGAGTTGATAGACCTTAAGCACGAACTTCAGCCTACAGTCATCTTCATCCGAAAGCTACAGAGCTCAGACCAAATATCAACTCCATCAAGAATCATGGCTGAGCAAGACAAATCAGCTGGATCGGCTGGACCGGTGGGACCGGTCGAATCCAAGAGCGGAATGCCACAGGCTGATGTTGACTTCCTCATCGCCTGCCTGAAGAACACTACGGGCGGTTCGATTTCGGTAAGCAATACATATCATACACAACGTCGCCCATATTGAGCTCCATCTTGTATTTCCATACACCTCCATAACTGCAGCACCCCTATCTAGACGCGGTCCACATCTTGGCATTATTTTACTTGGACCTTGCGTCTCGTAACTTTATAGTTGCTTAAGATCAACAGCTAACAAATTTTGGCTAAAGATTGATACGAAGGCCGTCGCCGACGCTTTGAAATACCAAAACCACCGCTCAGTTGGCAACCGTATCTCGGCTTTGAAGAAGAAGTACGATCTTCCATTTGGCAGCAGCAGCAACGGCAAGGGCAAGGCAAGCGACGCAGCCGGTCCCAACGAGTCTGCAATCCCAGTTACCCCCAACAAGAATCGTGTCACCAAACCCAAGACCCCTGGCACTGGAAGCGCTCGCAAGAAGGCCGCTTCCAAGAAGGTGAAGAAAGAGGAGCCTAAGTCTGAGGACGAGGAAGCCGTTACGACCAGTGCTGCCAATTCCATCGCTGGGTTCGCCGTCAAGAACCCTGGCCTTGGCCTCGACGTTCCGCTTGACGAGGATGAAGCTTTATTTGGCACCGCTGACGAGGGCGAGGATGAGAAGCACTCCGATGGCGAGGCTTAGATATGCTCCCTCGCTTGCAGTTCCCGACCGGCCGAATTACACTTCCATTTCCTTCTCCGCTTGCGTTGCTAGGGATTAGACTTGTCAAGTCTCTAGTTTATGGTTGGGCTGCCTGGGGTCGTGCTGGTCTTTTGTCTAAAGGGGCAGGAGGATACATCGGTTGAGTCTTGAATCCCGGTCTTCATTTCACAGCACTTTGTTCTTACGCAGTGATTCTCAGAGCTGGTGGGAACTTGGGAGGATAATACTTAGACAATAAAGGACATCTATGAAAAGTACCTCTCCACACTGACATTCCCACGAGAGCATTAATATCATAAAATATGGCCATTTTATATCAAAGAAATGGGATACTCGGATGGAGTGTAGTAGCAGATAAACAGAAACCTATGCCGCTCCACCCCATTTGGCAGCTTAGAGATCGAAGATCGAATATGAATCAAATGTAACCAGAGTAATTTTGGAAACTAGCTCTTGCATGAAGGTGAGTATCCATTGCTCTTTTCGCGTTTCTCGCTTATCCGAGCTTTCACCGTTGGCATCAACACAATCCTTCGCTCCTCCTATCCCTCCCTAACAAAACATCAACAGTTTGACCCCCGATAGCATTCAGTACCTCATCCAACTTGAAGCACAATCAGAATAGAGACCCGTACTTGAAGTAAGTATGTTGGCTGAAAATACCTTTCTAGCGAAATATTCTGCAAGCTTTGGGAAGTGAAGCTGATGATAGACAGACTCTGGACGCCCAGTAAAAATGCCTCCCAAGGAAGAAACAATGATCGGCCTCACCCCAAAGGAGACTCAAATGCTCAGTGCTGTTGTATCATTGATGGGTGATGTCCCCAATGTAAGTGGCTCTTCCCTCGTTGTCAACGTGTAGTGGCACCCGTCACCATCACCTTCAGTTGTTTGAGTATCCCCACGAATATGATATCTCATTTTCCCACCCAACTTCTCTGAATCAACTAATAATACAAGAACTAATATGAATATCCAGGTCTCTTTCGATGAGGTTGCAAGACTCTGTGGCCACAAATACGCCAGAAATGCCCGCACTTCTTGCAAGAAGCTCTTCGAAAAGCTCAAGGCCAACGCTGGCAACAATAGCGCCTCCTGTGATACAGCTAAACCTGATGGCGCTGAAAACAGTGATGGTGAAGAGATCGGTGGAGCCAAAAAGAAGACCGCCCCAAAGGCAAAGAAGACTCCTGGCGCTCGCGCTGCTCCTAAGAAAGCTGCCGCCGGTATGAAGAAAGGCACGGCCCGCAAAGTTATTAAGAAAGAACCGGAGATCGAGAGCGAGGATGAGAAGTTTGATTTGAACATGAAGGAAGAAGACGAGGAAGATCATGACTACGATCACGGTCATGAAATGGAACGTACTGGCAAGTCTGAAGCTCTCGCTCCCGTCAATGAACCCTTTCCTGCTGGCTTCACCTCAACGATGTTCGGGGTCGAGGCTACCTTCCCTCCTGGCTACGAGTTTCCCCCCGATGCCACTGAGGAGGAGCTTTACAAGGCCCACACGCACGAAATCACAGTCGAGGAATGGCGTACCTGGAAAATCCAGAATGATTACGATGACAACATAGCTACTACCCCAATCACTACATCTTACTCCGATGAGGAAGATGCGTAGATCTCGGCCCGGCTCAAAAGATCTTGCTTCTCACGTTAGTTCTTTTATAGCGCTCATTTTATTAGAACCATTGTCTAAGGTAGTGGCTGACGAGAGAGACTCTTGTAGGTGCATAAGTTATTCACCCACATCATCGTTCTAGGTGTTATCATTGCGTAGTCTGGGACCTATTTCGATGTGGAACTTGGGTTTGTTACCGGTAGAGGAAGGAAAGGAGGCATATTCCACCTGTTCCTGAGCGTGGATGTTCAGATAATCAGGTTTCCAGCAAATCCAAAATTCTCTGAGGAGTTATGAGATAACAAGATTTATGATCCTGTGGAGTGATGCGAATTTGTTGAAAGTGTGAAGACTTGCAACATCAAAGACCGGCTGCCTGCTTGAGGTCTCTTGGTAAATTCTCTTTGACTGCAACATGCCGCCAGAGACTCATTGCCCGCTATTAACCCTTTTCAGCCCCCAGAATTCAAACCTCAATTCACAGAAACTCAAAGAGAACAATCAAACCATCCCACTGACCATAAATCAACCACCCGTCATTCTTGAAATTTAGCCCACCACAAGTAGATATTAAACTGGGACGTTGTTTGCCTCACCATCGTTTTCAGACCTGGCAGTCTCTTCCCAGTCTTCCATCGGAGCAGTGTCCTCATTACTTCCATCTTTAAAGGTCAGACTGTCAACTCCTGGTTGATCAAGACCTTCTCCCTCACCCAACTCTGCTCCTTGACGGCTTCAATAACCTTCTCACATCAAAAGCCTAGAAGTCAACACGTCCTCGGATATTCCAACAAGCATTATACACAGTCATGGCACCCGCATCCAACGAAGAACAATTCAAGTTTCTCATTTCCTGTATCAGGTACAGCAACAACGGCAAGGTGAGATCTCCTACTCTCCTCGACATAGCAGCATCCCCTTTCCTGCAGAGCAGCCCAGCTTACTTTGATACGTATTAGGTCGACTTTGGTGAAGTGGCAAAAGAATGTGGCATAGTTACTAAGGGAGCAGCGTATGTTCACCCTTTTTCACTCCTCTATCGTTTCGATCTTGCCAACTCGCGAATCTCAAAATATTTCATGTCTCGAAGCTGAGAAGCATTGCTCACAAGGAAACAGTGCCAAGCGATATGAGCGTATGATGCGGGCCCACGGCATCGCTTCAAATGCGGCAACGATCAAACCGGCCACGTACGCACCCCGCACGAAAACAGAGCGTCGCTCTTCCGCTGTCGTATCAGGCCTCGCCGCAAAAAAGAGAAAGATGATGGACGAGTTTGATGAAGATTCTAGCAAGAGCGGCAGCCATGACGAGGAAACATTTGACCTGAAGCGTCGGAGTATGAACAAGGAAAAAGTTGTCAACGCCGAACCTGAAGCTGAGCGGAACTTCAAGGTCGAAGATGGCACCGAAATCCAGCGACATTTGAACATGGAGCAAGCGGCCGACTTGATGCAGTACTATGATACATCTTCAGCATTTGACGACAACCCCGCTCTGGGTTCTGACCCTGATTACAACGATAGTGACCATAGCGGCAGCTCCACTGGCTATGTAGGACCATTGGAAGGGCATCATGGCATGTTGGGAATCCCCTCACGACCGCCGTACAGCATCAGAACTGCATACACCCATATTTCCAATGCAATGCCTGTATCCGGGGGTTCGACCATGCACTATATCCCGAGGCTTGAAGGCCAGAGCTTCCAATACCAGCCAACGATGCAACATCCTCCTAGTAACCAAGGCCGCGCTGAAAGCCTTGTTATTCTGGAGTAGGGGCAAGGTGTGACGGATTGAGGGGCGCTTTACTGGGTAATATTGGGATATAGAATGTACGAGATAATCAACGGTCGTGTGGTTTTAAGGCATATTTGGCGGCGTTCTTCTGTGGTTATGAGGCGAACTTAGCTTGATTCTTTCACTTCGACGTGGCGGCCAACCAGATACATGTGACTCGCATAAGATAACTTCGTTCTCATCTTTCATCAAACCTAAAATACGGTCTTTCAGCACAATCTTGCTCAGTTGCAGCCTTTGGAAATGTGCTTAACGTTAGTGTTGATGGGTAGGACTTTCCTTTGGCATTTTAAGCTGTTCTGTGGTGGGAGATCCAATTACTAACTCGCACGCATTATTCGACAAGGCGTCATTGGTAGGTAGATAGGGAATGAATCTCCAAATTACCTCTCAAATTTTGTAATTGCTTTGATACCATCCCCAAATAAGTAGGAACGAGTTGAATATATGCGAGAAACAGCTGTTCAGGGGCGCATATCCCGAAAAGGAGTGTCGCATGATCTGTCTACCTTTCATCTAACAGCAAAGCCTTTCTCAAAGTTGCAATCTCGAGAGAATTAATGTTGCAATAAGATCCGTTGACTAGCAAAGTTGAGTGGAACAGATGGTCAACAAGCGTGTTGAAGTTCTAGGAAGGCTGCTCTGACTAATATGTACTAGGAGATTGAACAGTAGATCAAACTCCAGACTTCGATAGCAAAGGGCAGAGGGATAGGGCATGCACAGAAGGGCAATGGGGCGAGAGAGAATTATTTTGGAGGAGTTTGTTGGGTTCTCAACGCTAAACAATCACTACCATAGCGGCTTTTTAAGGACTGAGTATCCTTTGGAATCAACCAGGGGCGTTTGTGTGTTGTGAGAGGTTTCTATATCCTATAATCAATTATTACTATATAAAAAGTATGGTAGAATAGTGCATAAACCCCGCATTCTGGCCTATGAGAGAACAGCCTTGGAGAATTTTAGATAGGAAGAATAAGTTACTATATCATTCTCGAACTTCTACGTCCCAAAGCAAGGTGAGTATTTGAAACGCCTCCACTGCAATAACTTGAATTAGGCAGCCGAGGCGGTGACCGATAAGAGTAAGGCTAAAGATATACCTCGTGATAGTCTTGTTGACCTTCGTCCTATTTAAGCGATATTCGTAAAATCTATAAGGTCTCGAAAGATCCTGAACACGCTTGATCGACGAAAGACATCTTGCACAGTTCCATTGACACTAACAGAACATATATGATGCCACAGACGACAGAGCCCGGCGATGCTCCCTTGAAAACCACTCTGGAACGCGTACCAGCACCCATCCGCGAAAGCAGCACCGGCAGCGAAGTGATTCATGGAGTCGTACCTCCATCTGGGGCTAAACCATCTGCCTTGCTGAGATTCCCTCCAGCAGAAGAGTCAGATGATTTGGACGAAGAGGACACCAGACGATCTGAATTGAAGCGTTGGGAAGGCTTCTTAGACAAGTCGTGAGTTACCTGCCGGTTCTCCCAGACCTTATCACGTCACCTTTGACTGACCATGAGCAAGCGGACATTCCATGCTAGAGGGTGTAACCAAAAGATTCACCAAGCACAAGCCATCGCACCCTAAGCACCAAGAAGAAGTTGTAACACTTAGCAAGACAAAATATGGAGTTCCAGATACCAAAGATCAGCTTGTGAGTTTCCCCTCCTTCACGGTTTCGGTACCGTTTTGTATCCCTTTCGTCGACACCTAGTCCCTAGATCTTGAACAAGAAAGTCGAAGGGCGAGCTACACAGTTACAACAATCTTGACGGCTCGACGTATTGCCTTCTTGACTTGCAACACACCCTTTGCTGACAGTCGTTACCTCTGCATAGGCGAATAATTCATCCCTCGATAATGGACTTGACCATGAGGGCCGCTCCGGGAAGCAGTCATGGAAGAAAACAGTGCCGACTAAAGAGCCCAGATTGGCAACTCTTGACAAAGTAGCGGGCTCTAATTTGGAGGCTTCTTCTCTCACATCCGCAGAGAAAGCGGGCCCCCGGAAAGGGCGACGTCAAAACTCTATCAAGATGGGCCTTCCTGTTAAGCGCACTCCAGGCGTCGATAAACTATCTGAGTATAAGAAGTGGCTCGAAACAGTCCCGAACAATATCAATCAGATGGAATATGGAGAGGGAGAGGAAGTTACGATCGAAACCGCTACAGCTATGACCATAACAAGATACCCAAGATCGGCATTGAAGATAATCGAGATTAAAAAGCGCCCTGTACCAAAATCTGCGGATATCCAACCAACACAGACTGAGCTCAAAAATGAACAAGGAGCAGCTCGTGGAAACATCTCAACCGAGTTCGATGCCTTGAAGCCAATTCCTGGCGGGATTCCGGGTTCTAAGCCTGAGCTACCAGAGAAAGATCAAAAGCATGAGGGCCTGCCCAAATCTACCGTTGTGCTGGATAATCCATACAAGGATGAGGATAAACTAGGTCCCCACTTGCGAGAGGAGAGCAAAGAGCCTGGCGACAGAAACATTGGCCAAGGACAGAGCGCAAAAGGCCTGAGCGGCAAACATCGCAACTTTACTGCTAGAAGTTTGCAACAGGGTGTAACACAGACTCTTGATCCAAGGTTCGTGGCTGGCGGTTTTGATGCAGATGATTTGGACGACTTCGGAGAGTTGAGTGATGCTACAAGTTCGGACCTGTGCGACACGGATGAGAACGCGGAATTGCTTTAAGCAACTCGTATAGTATCGGGCACGGTTATGATGCTGTCAAATTGGGATGGTCTACCACTATCTTATAACCACGGCCGGATTTTCGAGAGTGCTCCTACTGGCATTTATGTAATTTGATTTTCCTCGATACATCCATAGGATATCCTAGTGATGGTTCGATACCTTCTGCTGGGATATATACTTTTCTAAAAGCTCTGCGGTGGACATGAAATTAAGCCAATAGAAATGAATGATGTTTGCAAGCTAGTATAATTCGCTCGAATGGTATAAGTGAGACCCCTCAGTAAGATTGAGTAGAAATACCTGGGGTCTGAGATAGGCTTTTAGAATTGTCAAGGCCTCCAGAATAAAGCTGCTAGTTTACCCATATTCTCCAGACACATATCCCGGATCAGATAACATTTAGCTTAAAATAGCGATTTGCGTAAGCTGGAGTCTGCTGCTCCTGCCCACAAGCCGGTGTGCTATGGCTAGTAGGTACCTGAGGTATACCAATCCCGGGAGTTTGGAGTCCATCAAAATGTGGCCCAGGGGTATATTCCCATGTCCATATCGTCTTCTTGGTCACAAATACTTGGGATTGCGAGCCGTGCCGTGTGTAGACGTTCGAGAATCTGCAACTCCATAGCAAGTAGCTGGAGGATTGCTATCTTCCTTGGCATCAAATATTGATGTTGTACATAGAACAGCTTAGGCAGGGGCATCAGAAGTCGAAGTAAATCCAATTGGCAATAGGATATTGAGGTACAACATATGGTGAATTGGACTCTAAACAGGGAAACCAAGGGTTGAAACATTCTTGAAAAGACTACATCAGATTCAAGAAGGTTCCTTTGGCCAAAGGGTACCGAGACAATCCCCCAATCCACGGTTCCATCGCCATCGATTGCTCTCGATAGCGATGCCCACTCGCGTGTTTCGATAACACTATTCTTCGGTTGCTCTTGGCAACGGCCCCCCTTTCAAGCTCAGCATATTGTGTCTAGCAAGATCGGATCACAACCGCTCCAAAGCGCTTAGAGACCATCTGGCTCTGCCCTTCGGCTCCTACATAGGTACGTCCTCACCTTCCAGAGTGCGCGATACCCTATGTCCATGCGTCTTGTTACGGAATTCCTCCTACACATCTCAATCAACCTCATATCCCTTACACTATCCCAAGTCACTTAAGTCTCCTTGAAGGAAGAATCAGCTCTAGCGATGGAGTAATCGATCAAGCTCGAGTATCGTATCTTGACGGGCTAGTCACGGTCTATTTGGCCAGATCGATCTCCCCTCCCCATCAAAGCTACTCCTACTACTGGCGCGGGCTATTGGAGACACCATAGATAGTTCAGGCCTCGACCTGCAACAAAGCGAGAGAAGGGGACTCTGCATCGGTCAAAATTAGCTAACAACACCAGCCCGCTCACGCGCTTCTGCGGGCGCAAATAGCTTTCAAGTTCGCTGGACCACACGGCATATGGCTTTTGAGGTGTTGGGAAGCCAGCTCTGGTGAACCTCGTCGACGCATCGCGACCTCCACGTGCACAGTTTGGACAAAACGCAGTGCGTTTAGAATCAGGCAAAATCGCTTCAAAGCTTGCATCTATTCTCAATAATAAGTCAATTTTCTCCCATCCCCGTCCCATGGCAGATGGCATCCATTTGATGCACATATTTCTTGCACGTCTTTCTTGGGAAACAAAGTCAATAGTGCTAACGATGGTCGGTTTGAAGCAGAATCACCGATGAAATTTAGCACAAAGCAGCGCTGATAGCCATCACATTTCTTCTTTGTGGGTGCTTCGACCTATACACCACAATGGCCTGCATCGGGGGCAATTCCGCTGATAAGGTTATGACTCCACAAATGGCGTGCAAGTTGGACAAAAGAGGTTCTGCGAGTGAGCCCCCATCCCCAAATATCCGATACCCTGTCATAATCAAGCCCTAAACGGCCGTAGGCCACTTTAATAACAAAACTGCAGACACCATAGTAGAACCTTCCGAGCAATCAACTGCGGTCAAGACTATTCAGAACAGGAAAGCCGACTCTCCGGGTGCCGATACTTCTGATAGTGATGATAATGATAATGACATTGGTGATGACGCGGGTTACGATACCGATGAATTCGATCCTGGCACCAATAACAAGCAAATCCAGCGTTCTCAAATAGCAAGACCATCCCGAGCTAGGACTGGGCGTCCTCACCCAAATGGCCGCTTCGTAGGTCGCCAACTTGTGATGTGGCATCGTAGGTCATCCACTCCCTTATGCGTCGTCCTATTTAGTTTCTCAACTCTCACTCATAGAAGTTGCTCACAAGTGCAAGCTACACCGCGTCACGTACATATGGATATATAGTACAAGGCTTAACTGACTTCTTCGCTCCTAGGGCCTCGAATGATCGAAAAGTTGCTTCTGCATGTGCAATATGAATGTCAGCGTGCCGGGCTACCGATCCCCTGGGATAAGGTGGTGAAACGTCTGACTCCTGGCTCAAGTGGTACTGCGGCCGTCCAACATCTAAACAGATTGCGAGACGTTATAGTTAGTGAAGGCCACATGGTTCCGCCTCTACTGGGCAAGCTGGGTACTGCTCAGGATCCAAGAATTAGGGGGTACATTCGTGACATGGATGAGGAGTCTCCCATAGCAACTCGCATCGTTGACTGGAACGAAACTATCGAGGACCGTAAGGAAAATCTTGTGGTCCCAGGTGTCGTTCGCGGGTCAGGAAACTACCGCCGGAGAAGGCAGCAACAGACAGAGATAAAGACTGAACCGACTGGTGATGAACCGTTCAACTCCGAGTCAGCCAACATCAAGCAGTCTGGGGGTGGGCGCCGCAGCCGTCTCCCTAAGAAGCTTCAAGAAGACCGCAGCATTGCCAATGCACGTAAGGCTAACCGGCCGCCGTCGAAGGCGAAGCGTGCGACGAAAGGCAAGGCCGATGCTACCACTACCAATGTCCAAGAAGTTGGTGCCACTGAGCTTGATTCGGACGATGACTATGACCCTAAGGCGACCCAGAAACCTAAGGCCCCTCGTCGACGATCGACCAGAACACCTATCAAGGTGGAATATCAGTCGGAGTCGGAGCATGATCAGTCCAGCAGCGACGATGAACCCGGAAATGAAGCTAAAACCAGCAATGAAGCCCTCGGCGGCAACGAAAGAGATTCTCCTGCCACTCCAGCAAAGTCCTACTCCAGCGACGATGGCCTTATGACACCTCCAGCAAGCGCTCTTCCCATCGTTAAGCTCTGTCTCGACCCTAGCATACTTGCGCGCTTCCCAGCGGGAGTTTCAGGCGGAACTCCCGCGAAGTTGATCGAGACACCAGTGCAGCACGGAAGTCTCAAACACTCGTTCAGTAACGGGTCAGAAGATGAATTGCTCGACGTTAGCCCTTCCATACTGAGGAGCAAGAAGGTCGCAAAATTGAGGCATGGCAATGTTGGTCAATACTCAAACGGAAGGGCCGATGCACCAACCTCTGGTACAAGAGCTGAGCTGATGAGAAATGAGCAAATGTACACCCCCAAGCCTAACGCCAAGAACACGGCCGATAATAAACCCCGAAATCCTCCACCAAAGATGGAGCCCCTCATTAGGTATGACCAGGGACAAGTCAAGTATGGTAAATCCTTCCCGCTTATGTCGAGAAGTCTCCATGCTCGTACTGGCAGTTCGAATTCTGCAACAAAGCCTTACGATCTGGATCCAATGAACGCTCTCATCCAGCAGAATCCTCTGACAAGCTTGAACTTCGCCGCCCGTCAGGCTCCTATGAATGGAGGGTATGGAGTGCCTAACTTGAGTAATTTTCAGTCGGCCGCCACCAGCATGGCGTCCCATTGGAATGGCCGTCACAGTACCAGTGCATCGCAGTCGCATGGACTTCCTAATTATTCATACCAAATGCCGCTATACAGCGATGATAGCTTGGTCGACTTTCCAAACTCGATACATGGCAATTCTTGGCCTAGCAGTGCTTCATACCATCCCACACTATTGAATCAGGGTTGGGAAGACGCCGAAGGGAATGGTAATGATGCTCATGTCCACAGTACACCAACCAGTCATCGTACCAGCAGCAACGCAGTGGGCAGTACCATGACAAAATACAAAAATGCCCATCCCGACGACATGTCTTCGAGGACATGCTCCAGCCCTAGCTCTGTGCAGTGGACTCCTTCTGGGCAGACCTGCCTTTTCGACGTAGATGACATGCTGATGCAATCGCCACCGCACCGCAGCTTCCCCACTCGCACCCCTCCGACTACTGATGGTGGCAATGGTATTTCCTCGGGGAAACACCCGTCATACGGTTCCAGTTTCTTCTAATTACCGCGTGCAGTTGCGGAATCATCACAGACATTTCGCATAATAGTTCAGCTAGCACCTTGCTAGGGAACTCAATGAATTCGATTCTTGACTGTATTAACACCCATTTTTAGGCATTTAGCCCTCATGCTCTTGCTTCGCTCTTCTCCGTCGCTTATCTGTTGGAAATCGCATTTCGTGATAACCATTTGATGGCGTGGTTTGGATGTGTTGCCGGCCTGAGATTGGCAAAAACTTCACTTCGTTGGCTTCGGCCCCCATTTTACTGCCCATCACCAGCAAAAGCAATAACTAGCGTTTCTCCTGTCTTTCTTCCTGTTATGTCCTCGCGCTTCATCGTCTCAAGGTTTGAATGGCGAACTTCAAGAATTTGCCCATTTGACCGGTTTCTGCGGCGTCACCGGTCGCCTCCCAGAGACTAGGGTCCAAAGTTTCGTTCGACTTCCCGATGGTTTCTATCCAAAAGTTGGACGACTGAACGGGAATGTACCTAGAATCCCATAGAACCATAATGACTTTGTCAGCCAATACCGAGTGACATCCCAATCATGATAATGCCGTGCTTGAAACCTTTAACAGGGCGAAATCTGTAGGTCCAGATATATACGGGTAGGCATTAACTTCCAACCAAAAACGGATATTTCCATTGTTTGTGCTCAAATCAACAGGTTTATTCATTCCAGTTCCACCACAGAAGAAGTTAGGTTTAATGGCAAGCCGCAGGGCAGGAGTAGGTTTGCCTTAGATTGTAAAGAGGTGGAGCATAACAAATTTGATCAGCGTAATAATCGAGTCTCGCGTTGGCAAATACGGCCTTCCAAATTCCATGGCGGCCCTAAATATGACGGCTTGGTTTCGAGCTGGGTGAGGAAAAGGATGACTTGTGTTTTCATATTGATGTTCCTTACTGATATTTCAGCATTGGTTGACATGATAACTGATCCGACGGACCGGTGTATAGGACATAGGGGGCTCCTTCCAATTTTATTAAGGGGCAAGGTCGCCATCTTAACTCGTGTGGAGCGGGCAAATAAATGTTATGTGCGACGGCCTTTCCATAAAAACCATCTATTGGCAAAGTTTTGTCTCGACCGCGAAGTTAGTTGTAAGTTTAGGCGAATTATTCGAATTGAACTGATTGTGGGCGGATCCCTTGACATATTGATTTTGGATTATCGGCTTCCGGGGAGTTAAACTCTGGCCATAAATTTTGTGGCCAAAGTTGTCTAATCAGCGGCAGCTGATGGCACAGGCCGACAGCATGACAAGGCAGTGATCGATCGTCCGAACCCAACATGAGTTCGGGCCCCTAAAGGCTATATTTGAACAAGTTAGCCCTATTCTCAATTTGAGTCATAGTTCTTGGGGTTCTCACCAAGAGCAGTGACCCCAATAGCGAGAGGTTCAGTTTGTAATAATTTATAAAGGTTGCATAAATTAAGAGTCATTGGTACTCAAGCTATTCTCGGACCATATTATAAAAAATATAGACAAAGGGCCTAAGTAAATATCAGACGTACTTCTCCGCAAAAACTGGGGAAACGAGAATCAAACCAGATTAATATTGTCTCGCATGAACGCTGTGTCTTTATCAGAGAAGTAGGGGGTTTATGGGCATTATACACAATTGAAGCTTGCCAAGGATGAACCTCTAGAACAAAGTGCGAAGATGAACTTTTGCCTCAGCGGGAATGTCGGTTTTGAGGTGGCGGAATCTCTTAGAGCATGATGCCCAATTTATTTCATGAGTCCTGCATACTTAAGGTACCTACCTAGGTACCTAGGTAGTCTTTGAACATTGTGAATCTCGAATATCTCCAGTTATCCAAGAAATGGACGCTAAATACATTAAAGAAAGGAGTGATGGAATTACCAGTATGATTAAATGCCGTCTCTTTTTTCGAGACTGCACCTTGCCTTGTCTCAGAGAGTCCCGATTTATTTCGTCTTGTTTGAAGATACAATGGTTGGCTCTGAAGGAGCTGTTGAGTTCAACCTAAGCTCCAGCCGCCCAGGCCACGCCACGTGGCTCAGGCATTTTCTTACGCACCCACCCCGCGCTGTGCTGCTTGCTATGCCAATATGTCAGCGGCCGAGCAGACAGTAAAGGTTTCTGTAGATGACCTACAAACTAATCACCTCTTCGCTTTCAGTCTCACTCTAAGCAGCATCTTGTCCACGACGCTTGCAGAGCGTACCTTCGCACAGATTATCGATGGCCTACCCACGCGAGACGATGTCGGATACTTTCCAACATATAGCAAGGAAATCGGTGACAATACTTCTTCCTCCCCGGAAGCAATGGAAGCTGCAAGTGGACTTCGAGAACATTTTAACACATACATCACTCGGGTCCATGCTAAGGTCGGTTCAAATATCCCCATTTATAACAGCTGATTCTGACGGATTGAGTAGTTAGCCCAAGCTTACCAGGGCGCTCTACCGGGGTCTCGAGAATTTTATATGCGGTTGTTGGAGATGATAGCTGTTGCTTGCCACGATATCGCCGCACTTGTCTACATCAATACTCAGCCAGGTCTCCGCCGAGAAGGACAAGGTCTCGAGCAACGGCTTGCAGCGCTTGAAGGACGGTCGACAGATTTTATGCATGAAGATTACCATGATTTGCAACAATACCCCAAAGGTGTAGCGGATGTGGTGGGATATTGGGCTGAGTATCACCTATTCGGTGGCGTGGTGCTGTTCGATAGGGGAGAATCTGGCACAGATGTAAGAAACGCCTCCTTTACGCCCAGTGTGCTTTTGAGTCTTTTTGTCTTCTTCGACTTTCACCTCTTTCCATGCTGAATAAATAGCAGTGCAGGCGTGCTTTTCTACATCCCGTTGGAGGTTTCAGGATTTTCCAACTTTCCGAGTCCCAAGTCCAGCAATTCGTTGAATACGTACAGCAACTTGCTGAGACTGCCCAGGATATTCAACCACCATTTCCGCTCAGCGCAGAGAAGTATACATATCGCGTCGACCCCTTCGATGCCATGGCGCTCAACATTTATCGGGACAAATATGAGCGGATAATACCAAGAGATAGACCAGCAAGATGTGTACAGCGCCTCGCGGACTTTCCTGAATTACAGGACGCACTAGTACAGATCAATCGTGACGACACTAGCCAGTGATTAGCAAGCACTCCGGCGTTGAAACACCATGTTCTCCGCGCTGGTCTTAAAGTATGGTGCATCGCCCATTGGAACTTGCGATGGTCTTCGTGGAACAAATGACAACTACAGGTGGAAGTAACAAGATTAATGTCACTGATCTATGTGGTTATCCGCTGAACCATGGATCTCTCATTCGAGGAATGTCAAGATGACATTAGGTTGATGGGAACACTTGACGAAGTTGTGAGGGAGAGAACATTAATCTGCTTGGGTGGCGCCAGGCTTGGAGCGCCATGGGAAGGTTGAGACGGGCATTGTCTTTGTCAGAATGCGCCAGGAGAGAGCAAGCACTTGGGGGCCCATATCTGAAGCTATAACAGGAAGCTAAATCAGACGACTTCTTAGAACTAACTGGAAGGCTGTTGGTACAGCTACTTGCGGCAGAGAATGATCGCAGTCCATAAGATTAGGGCTCTTCAGCTGATTGAGTTGTGGAAGTATGGGATTGACAACGATAACGGCGATGCAAAAAATAGGTAAAGGAATTATAATACCAAGCCATAATATGACCATGCCCACCAACTAAGCCTATTGATATTGTCTTCGACTCGTTTGAAGAAGTCGAGAAGTCGCGAAAAGGTCGGTTGGCGAAATGGTCGGCCCGCAAAACACGCCATTCCCGCCTGAGTCTAGCGTAATTCTCCCAGCTTCCAGTGCTTCGATTCGATTCGACCCCGGAAATATTTTCTGAGATCATTGAAGCTTTCCAGAACTCATACTACATTTTCTTCTCTCTCTGCATTCCCCATCCTCCATCTTCCTCCGACATCTGCTATACTGAGCCTTCTGCTTTGTAATTGTACCTCTAACGCAGCGTCCATTATCACAATCTTTTAAATATGCAGCGTGCACTCTCGAGGAGCTCAGCGCTCCGGTCGTCTTCGAAGCTTCGACCCGTCACAGCTGGCTTCAATGCTCAGCAATTACGTTTCGCACACAAGGTATGTTAATGTCGACACCACTAGATACCAAGGCTTCCACTCCTCAGCCCTTTGTATGCAGTCTTGGGGAAAGGTGGATTATGTTGGTCTGACGATGTATGACTTGGTTAGGAACTTAAATTCGGCGTTGAAGCTCGAGCGTCGCTATTGAAGGGCGTTGAGACTTTGGCCAAAGCCGTGTCTACAACCTTGGGACCAAAGGGTCGGAATGTGCTCATCGAGTCAAGTTATGGATCTCCCAAAATCACGAAAGGTTGGTATTGATTGTTCTCCTATTGTTTTACTGAACGTGGCTTACAATTTTCAGATGGTGTGACTGTTGCAAGAGCGATCACCCTTAAGGACAAATTTGAAAATCTCGGTGCTCGCCTTATCCAAGATGTAGCTTCGAAGACCAACGAGACCGCCGGTGATGGAACTACAACCGCTACGGTCCTTGGACGCGCCATCTTCGCCGAGACCGTGAAGAATGTTGCCGCTGGATGCAATCCAATGGACCTGCGACGAGGCACCCAAGCTGCTGTCGAAGCTGTTGTCGAATACCTTCAGAAGAACAAGCGTGATATTACCACTAGCGAAGAGATTGCTCAGGTGGCAACCATCTCCGCCAACGGCGATACACATATTGGCAAGCTGATTGCAAATGCTATGGAGAAGGTCGGAAAGGAGGGTGTCATAACTGTCAAGGAGGGAAAGACCATGGAGGATGAGCTTGAGGTTACGGAGGGCATGCGGTTCGATCGCGGCTTCGTATCCCCATACTTCATTACGGATACCAAGACCCACAAGGTTGAGTTTGAGAAGCCATTGATCCTCTTATCCGAGAAGAAGATCTCCGCAGTGCAGGACATCATCCCAGCTCTTGAGGCTTCTACCCAGCTCCGCCGACCTTTGGTAATTATCGCCGAGGATATTGATGGCGAAGCTCTTGCTGTGTGTATCTTGAACAAGCTTCGTGGTCAGCTACAGGTTGCCGCTGTCAAAGCCCCCGGCTTCGGTGATAACCGCAAGTCTATCCTCGGAGATCTCGGCATCCTCACGAATGCTACCGTCTTTACTGATGAGTTGGACATCAAGCTTGAAAAGGCGACACCCGACATGTTCGGTTCTACCGGATCCATCACCATCACAAAGGAGGACACTATCATTCTGAACGGGGAGGGAAGCAAGGATGCTATCAGCCAGCGATGTGAACAGATCCGCGGAGTGATGAGTGATCCTACCACTTCCGATTACGAGAAGGAGAAGCTTCAGGAGCGTCTTGCGAAGCTTTCTGGAGGAGTGGCTGTCATCAAGGTCGGTGGATCATCAGAGGTCGAGGTTGGCGAGAAGAAGGACCGCTTTGTCGATGCCCTTAACGCTACACGTGCGGCCGTTGAGGAGGGTATTCTTCCCGGTGGTGGAACTGCTCTTCTTAAGGCTGCTAGTCAAGCCCTTGGTGGCGTCAAGCCAGCAAACTTTGACCAGCAACTTGGTGTCAGCATCGTCAAGAGTGCTATCACTAAGCCAGCCCGCATGATTGTCGAGAATGCTGGAATCGAAGGCTCAGTCGTTATTGGCAAGCTTATGGATGAATTCGGAGCAGACTTCAACAAAGGATTTGATAGCGCCAAGGGCGAGTATGTTGATATGATTGCAGCTGGTATTGTCGATCCATTCAAGGTTGTGCGAACCGGCTTGGTTGATGCCAGCGGTGTTGCATCATTACTTGGTACAACTGAAGTTGCGATTGTCGAGGCACCTGAGGAGAAGGGTCCACCAGCTGGTGGCATGGGAGGAGGCATGGGAGGTATGGGTGGTAAGTACACCTCTCCTTGTTAAATATCATGGTGCTAACAGTTCTCTAGGAATGGGTGGTATGGGCGGAATGATGTAAAGTATATCCTGAACGGTGTACGATATCTAATAAGCCTCAGTCTTGACCGCTGCCAAGGGGGCATCCGGGAGGGTCGATGGCTGCTGGTTCTATATCCTGTATAATACCACTCCACTCTTCGTCAATTGTCTTACCAAGGGGATACCGGAGCGATTTTAAACACTTCAGGGGCCAAGCGAGGAATCATGTAAAATAATAAACAAAAAACATGGCAAAATGTCCAAAACTACTGCATGTGGCTGCGCCGCTACTGATGTTTTTAATTCTGTATTAAATAAAATAGCCTACTACAGTAGTTTGAGGTAATAGGTTTGGATAGTTGGGTTCACAGAGAGACAATACCTAATGCAATATAAACCTAATCATTAAACGCTGGCGGTGTGCTATACATACCTAGGTAGTCGAGTTTATGTAGATGCTTGATTTTTCGGCAGACACTAATCCGCTTACTACTCTGTAAGTTAAATTAATTATTATTTATTTATAAAATTAGTTATTTCTATTTTGCTACTTTGTATATAGGCCTGGCATTAACAAATTTAAATAATTATAAAACTATACATTATAATAATAGACAGGTAATTATAAAGTAAACAGTCATATGCCTCTTATTATAGTACCTATATACCTAAGGTATGTATCTACGTGCCTACGTGCATAGATACTAAACTGCCTGCTTGCCAAGTTTGTCAACCTAACTGCCTATTTACTGGCCCGTGTACCTGCGTACGGAATCGACTTTAGTTACTATGTTTTATGAGGAGAGTGCTGATATCGGTTATATAATCGAAAGGGGACGTGTACTGTACTGTCAACCTGGCTGTCTGCCTATGTGACTATGTGCTGGATCAGCCTCTACTACTATTTTTTGTAAGAGGCTTGGGTCGGTCATGCAGTCGAAATGACGCGCCTACTATACTGTCTGCCTGCCCATCTGCTTGCTGGATTGGTCTCACCTTTACGAATTAAAATCCAACAGCTCCCCTCCCGAGTCAAATGCACCTGGGCATTTCTTGTAGCCCAACCACGTGATAGTTATATAAGAAATATGGGTACTCCGTGGCAGGAATCGGGTTCTTGGCACCACATTATCATGCACCTATATTATACAAAATAAGCAGTTTTCGTTTAAAATATTCTGGTGGTGTGGTGTAATGGCAGCACGTCAGATTGTGGAAAACAATCCTTATATTCTCTTGAGATCTGGGTTCGATTCCCAGCACCGCCAATTTTTTTTTCCCTATCTGAAAATATAGATAGTTAGGTACTCCTATATTAGACAAAATAAGCTATTTTCGTTTAAAGTGTTCAGGTGGTGTGGTGTAATGGCAGCACGTCAGATTGTGGAAAACGCAATCCTTATATTCTCTTGAGATCTGGGTTCGATTCCCAGCACCGCCAATATTTTTTTGGTTTTCCTATCTGAAAATATAGATAGATTGATCCTATGGTTTGTTAACATTTTTTTTGCTTCCTAATTTTTTTCTCGCATAGTTCAGGCACGTATCTACTAACCATGGCCGTACATTTTGTGAGATGCAAGCCTCTCGCTTGCTAAACTAGCTTATAGGAAATAACAAAATACTGTAGATTTATTACTTTTATACTATTGGAATGGTTCTACAGGGTTTGCCTCATATGCCCGGCCCGGGCTGTCAAGGGCAGATCTTAGCGCAGTCACGTGCCAAGACCACCCCACCAAATCTCGGAGCCTTGGCCTTGCTGTTGTTCGCAAAGCAACGACGAGGACAACTGAGCCATAAACACCCCACTGTTATCCTACTCCTCGAACGTCGAAACCGTCTGCAGACTTAGAAGTCATCATCTCGATCCTGTGAAGCTCTGTACGTTCCGCCTGTGCCCAGCCCCTTCTGATAGCGGGGTAATATTTCTGTTATCGCAAGATTGCTGACAGGAGCCCAAGGTTTGTTGCTCGAACCAGCTCGTAGCACACTCCCGTTTACACCATGGTAAGCTGCCTCGACGCCTTTGTGACCGTGTTGATATGTACTGATATTTGCCGCGAAAACAGTCTCAATCAGGGTTAGTCCTACCACCCCACTCTGCCCCTCTCTACCGCCCCTCGAATCTGCCTTCAGCAAGAAGTTGCTAGCATGCGGTCTTTAAAATGGCTAGGCTTGGCAGGGCATATCAAATTTGTAGCAAATAACTAACAGATCTAATACCGCAGAGTCGATGTTTCGCCTGAGTGCGTCTCGACATTCAACGAGTTGAAGCTCAACAAGAAGATCAAGTTCATTATATTCAAGTTAACCGACGACTACAAGGAGATTGTTGTCGAGGAGGCTAGCGAGAATGGTGACTGGGATTACTTCCGCGAGAAGCTACTGAATGCAGAATCGAAGAGCAAGAATGTATGTAATACTACTACATCGGCATTGGACATATGTTGGACGACTAATCCATCATACAGGGAAAGGTTGGCAAGGGCCCACGCTACGCTGTCTATGACTTCAACTACGACCTGGCGTCTGGTGAGGGAACAAGGTATGTTTCATCAAGCTATTTCTGGAGAACCGGGACTAAAATCGGATATAGAAGCAAGATTACCTTCATTGCATGGTCGCCTGATGATGCCGGCATCCAGGTTTGTTTTCAACCCCCTTCAGTTGACAGCTTTACTGACACACCGAAAGCCAAAGATGGTGTACGCCTCCTCCAAGGACGCTCTCAAGCGTTCCTTGAACGGTCTCGCCACCGAATTCCAAGCTAACGACACCGACGATATTGAATACCAATCTGTCCTGGCAAAAGTCAGCAAGGGATTGGCATGAATAACGCCGATCATCAATACAAGCTAGCGCGAGCGACAGGTAACGGGTGGGAATCAAATATCTGGAGGGAGCGGGAAGAGTGGAAGGATGCCGTGTTTCATTGGTGCTGCTCAATTGGCCTGCGATGATGTGCATAGTGGTGCGACGGTCTGGCCAACAGCCTCATCCTACTTGGGTGAGAGCACTGAGAGCTGAATAGTTATTTTTGCTTGTTGCGAGCCGGTATGAGATATGAACACGTCAAAAGCCTCCTTTTAACATACATGGCATTTTCCTCACTATCTCCGTCCTTACGCATGTGCATTGGGTATAGCCGCCGTACCTGCTTCTTCCCTAACGCCGTGCTCAAGTCCCAGCCCACCAATGCCTCATAATGCTATCCCACTTACCCGCAGTTACTTCTTAATAACCTCCCTGAAAACACCCCACACCCTCTCGCCCTCCTCGTCATCCTTCAATCTCTGCACCAAGAACCCTTTCAAATCGTTCCAAAACTCGTCCGTCTTCAAAACTTCCTTCCCCTTCCCCATCCCCGTCTCAATTGGCTCGCTCTCTCGTTCATCTTTCTTCACCGCCGCCGCACCACCAATAACCATAACGCTGAACTCGGCTTTTCCACCCTTCGCCCCTGCATCTCCTAGTATATCTTTCAAAATCTTACTATCCACAACAGGCTTTTTGTTGTAAAGTAAGCGCAGAGATTTGGTTGGAATGTTTGTTTGGGAGCTGAGGGCTTCTTTGAGGTCTAGAACGGAGGTGTTGAGATCTTGGGAGCGGAGAGTGACGTCGAACGGAGGGTTGCGCAACGATTTTAGGGATACTGTTATGCTGTGAGGGGAGGAGACATTGCCTTCGGTGGTCTTTTGGCGTTTGGGGAAGGGTGGGCCATGGGATTTGGGGAGAATGAACTGCACGTTTTAAACTCGATTAGTTTGGGCTCTATACTAATAGCCAAATTGCCTTTCAAGAGGTATAGACGGTACAAGGGATACACACGGCGCTGCGAGCAGGATACGACCTTGGATCCTCGATATGGTCTGGAGATACTTTGTTCGGCCGTGAGTCGAGGGTGGTGAGGAATGATTTTGCGAAGGATAATTCAGTCATCTTGGCTTAAGCTCGAATATTCTCCTCTTAGATTTTGAGAAGATATGCTTTGTGAGAAGTGAGGCAAACTCGACAAGGGACAGCTATTGATGGATGTTATTCCAGCCTTCGTGCTTCGTAGTGAAGCGGGACTCTGATAGCTTGGCATACGGCCGCTAGTGGGGCGGCACGGTGACCGACGTGAAATCTCTCGTCCTTATCAGCAAAAAAAAGTTTCGCGAATTTCAGCAACAAGCTCAGCACGAGCTCAACCCCTCGACACAGAATTTCTGCAACCAACCGCCAAAATGGGAGTCGGACGCCGTATGAAAAAGCAAGGCCCTCCAGAGCCTCTGGACGAGGCGCATTTTACAAATCTGAAGCGCAAGGCGGGCATGTCTGTAACGGAATCACGAGCAGAAGCCCAGCAATATGCGAAGAAACAACGAACATCTGCTAGCGGTGCAGAGAAGAGGATTAGGAAGAAGAAACCTGCTGCCGGAAAGGAGAAGGATAATACCAAAAAACCATTCACCAATGGCTTACCTGCGACGCAGCAGAAAGCCAAGAAAAAGCCAGAAGCGGTGCCATTGCCAATGTCTGACGACGAGGATATGGAAGAGGATTCCGACGCTGCGGACCTGATGAATGACGAATTCGATGATCTTTCGGGGTCAGATGGCACGCCTGGAGGGCTAGGGGACGACTTCTTAGATTCTGGGAGTGAAGTGTATGATTCCGGCGAGGATCATCCCAAAGCCATGTTCTCGGATGACGAAGATGAGTCGGATGCAGAAGAAAAGCTCACAGCTGCAAATATTGCGGGCTTATCGAGAAAATTGGATGAGCAAATGTTGCAGGAAGCAGAGGATGCCCAGGCTGAATTGGAAGATGCTGCCATGCAAACAAATATCGCTGGGGACAGGCCGCATATTTTGGAGGACGAGGATGACGAGGATGTAGGCGGGGTTAAGACCAATGCATTGTTAGCACCGGATCTACAGCTGTTGAGAACCAGAATCAATGATACAGTACGAGTCCTAGATGATTTCTCGAATTTGTCAGAAGAGGGCCGGTCGAGGGCGGAATACACGGCTCAGTTGCTGAAGGACATATGTGCGTACTACGGGTACTCGCAATACCTTGCTGAAAAGTTGTTTAATCTGTTCCCTCCTAAAGAAGCATTCGCTTTCTTCGAGGCAAACGAAACCGCCCGGCCGGTGGTCATCCGCACAAATACCCTTCGAACCCACCGAAGAGATCTAGCAACAGCACTCATCAACCGGGGCGTTACGCTTGAACCCGTGGGCAAATGGTCAAAAGTTGGTCTCCAGATTTTCGAAAGCGGGGTACCTCTAGGAGCAACTCCAGAGTATCTAGCTGGGCAATACATCCTTCAAGCCGCCTCCTCCTTTCTCCCCGTCATGGCGCTCGCTCCCCAAGAAAACGAGCGCGTCCTCGATATGGCATCCGCTCCCGGTGGAAAGACCACGCATATCGCTGCTCTAATGAAGAACACTGGCTGCATATTCGCCAACGATAGCAACAAATCCCGTGCCAAGGGTCTAATTGGTAATATCCATCGCATGGGAGTTAAAAACACCATTGTCTGCAACTACGATGCCCGCGAATTCCCTAAAGTAATGGGAGGTTTCGATCGAGTTTTGCTCGATGCCCCTTGTTCCGGCACAGGCGTCATCGCCAAAGATCCCAGCGTCAAAACGAATAAGACCGAGAAGGATTTCCTTATGCTTCCCCATTTGCAAAAGCAGCTCCTGCTCGCCGCAATCGACTCCGTGGATCATTCCAGCAAAACAGGCGGCTATATCGTCTACTCTACTTGCTCCGTCACGGTCGAGGAGAATGAACAGGTGGTGCAATATGCACTTACGAAACGTCCGAATGTAAAACTCGTTGAAACCGGGCTAGTTTTCGGCAAAGAAGGGTTCACCGCTTACATGGGAAAGAACTTTGACAAGAGCCTGAAGATGACAAGGAGGTATTACCCCCATGCATATAATGTCGATGGATTCTTCGTCTCGAAGTTCAAGAAGACTGGTCCTTCACCGGGCGCTGGTGGCAATGCTAGTGCTCCAGCAGTGAAGAAGGATGTGGATGAAGAGCTACTCGTCGACAGGAGACCTATTCCGCAGACAGATGAGGATGAAGACGAAGCCTTCGGTGGCTTCGACGAGGATGAGGATGAGGTATATATTGAGCGAGCGAAGAAGAATTTGATGAAACGGAAGGGCCTTGATCCTCGATCAAACAAGGGTGATGCCAAGAAGAAGGGAGAAGAAACGACTAAGACGCGAACGAAAAAGGCTGTGGAGGATAAGTAGTTTATATAGATACCAAGGCATTGGTGGATGGCGATATGCGTGTTTATTCCCTTAGAATGGAGCCAACTATCTTCTTTCTGAGAATACCTACCTAAATTATAACCCTTCACGTGACGCCCATTTACCCCTGACTAACCGAAGAATGGGAAGTGCAACTATCTACCTATATAGGTAGGTTGGTAGGCACTGTATGATGAATTTCACAATGTCCGGTCTCCTTTGTCTCCTTTTCTGACAGTATGCATTACATTGCGTGGAACGATTCGGAAGTGAAGAGGTGCAGCAAGACCAATGAACCTAGCCGTGGTTGGCTAATATATTGGTTAATAGGCTCCTAGAGCAGGAAGGCAAGAGGAGGGGCCTTATTTACTTCTATGGGGGGGGGGTTCAGCTTAGTTCAAGTTAGATTCACATCTCAGATTCTTGGATCTCAATCATTACTCTACATTTTTTTGGATTTTATTGGCGGACTGCTATCTATGAACTCTAATGCTTACCTGGTAAGCTTTGCTTGCGCTGCGCAGAAGTATACTCTAACATGCCTCATGGCAAGTACTTTGAACAACATCAACCACCATCTCACAGTCCCTCCTCACAAAGTTTCCACCAAACCCGCCTTCTCAACCGCCCCATCATGTTCCTTCTCGGCCAGCACCGTAGCAACTGAATTCACTGCTTCATCAACTAGATAGAATTCGACAGCAATGCCTTTGTTCTCCAATCTCTCTACCAATCGATTCATTGCCCAGAATGCCTTCTCCACTTGCTCGAGGAGTTGGATATTCGAGATGCCGGTAATGAGAGCGACCAGTTCTTTAGAAGACGAAATGATTACCGCCTGGTTGGTGCGGTGGCGTTTGTAGATGGGGTTCCGGTTGTCTCTGAGTTCGTTGTTGCGCAGGGGGATTCGCTGGCGACTTTCATGGCTCAAAACTTCCAACGCGTTGCTCGCACCAATGATTTCAGCGAATAGTATGATCTCATTGGAAGTCGGGACCTTCGGATCTCCTGTCATCTTGACGCTGCCGAAGGGAGGCGGGCCTCCATCCATGTCATTGCCAATGTTAGGTCCCCCGAACCACATAGCCCAGGTTCCCTTAGCATGATCATTTGTGCCACCACTAAATTTCCCACCAACACCAGCAACCCACACAACCATGGAGTGTTCGTTCATCTGGCACGATCGTCTCTGGCTGTTGAGTGCGTGGGTCACAAACATGGCGCCAGACTTCTCTGTGCTGTAGAGACGGCGCAGCCAATCCAGTTTCTCATCGCCTTGGTATGGCAAGTGTCGGGTCGGAGCGACATTGGGCTGTTGGTCTCTACCCTGTGGCAGGCCTGAACGTTGAATATTAGGCGCCAATCCGGGATATCCACCAAATGCTGATCCTGATTGTTGACCAGCGGGTTGCGACAGCAGCGATGAGATGGCATCCTCCAGAATTTCATTTGGTGAGCGGGAGGAAGACGGATTAGCAGCGGGCTTGGGGTGCGACGCGTTTTTCATGTTGATAAATTGCTTGCTAATGTCTCTATAGAATTCCGCTGAAGGGCGTTGGGCGCCGGGCTGCTGGTCTGAAGAATCACCGTCGTTGGCGATCTTGTTGTTGTCTTGACCTAAAGCTTTTGTGAGACTTGCGAAACTGACGAGAGAATTAGAATCCTAAAGGCTTACCCATGGTGAATGACTTAGCTAGCTAACGCTCTCACCGCCAATATTGGAGACGTAAGAAAGGTGAAGCGGCGAAGAACGCGGAAGCGGATGCTGGTTCAGTGTGGCAAGAACGTGGTAGAGACACAGTAAAGCGTCAATTGATATAGACTCGTTGGGGGTATGCTTGCTTGATGTAGCTTGGCTCTGGTCGAAGGTCAGAGAAGGGGATATCCGATCTCCAAAGTGCAAGGCCTACCCACGAGACAAGGTCCACGGCTGCGAGCTTGAGCTTCGAACGTATACGAAGACCGCAAGGGCGGGTATCCAGAAGGAACAGGGAGACAGGCAGCAAATGAGTTTGCAGCTCAAAGAGCAGCAACAAGGTGATAGGAACGTTAATGTTGTCAACGATTGAGGTTTGGAGGTCGTTACCATGGAGAGAGAGAGAGAGAGAGAAAAGCGTCAACAAAGTAAACGGAAGGCCATAGAAGTTTGAGTCAAGCGTCAGGGCGGGGGGTACTCTGGCGACCTAGACAAAACCGACCAGTTGTGCAAGAGACGTGACTGTATAGCACGTATGTATTACCAATACAGTCGAGTTACGCAGCATCGGCGACATAGGTAGTGTGACAACAAGAAAGATAGCTAAGTAGGCGGAAAGAAAAGTCCAACAGTCCAAGGTAGCTTCTCTGGCAAAGGGGTATTGTGGTGGGCTGATGGTGGTATAGGAATAGGGCTCCGAGCAAGTCTGTGTATATATATGCTGCGTGTAGTGATTATTTTGATGTAAATTTCGTAGTGATATTTAAATTGAATAGGTAGAAACAAGAGTCTAAACTTAATATAAGCTAGTACCTAGGCTGTCTAAAGGACAATAACAAGCTTTGAAACAACTTTGTAACTCGCTGTCCTGTCTGGACAGAGAGATGGTTCTCTGAGTAAGAAAGATCACTCCCTAAAATCACTCATCACTACCACAATATTATCCTTTTCTGTCATACATATAGCTTCTTGCACATATCGTGGTGGCACTTGCCACGGCTTCTGGAAAATGCACTACACACCAGCCATGTTTATACGTTATAGATTGGGGCACTGAATGGTCACTAAACTGTTCAATTGCCGCTGTAGGGCTTTCTCCTTGAAGCTTTGGGCCATCTCACCATGACACAGCAATTTTGGATATCCCGACAGTAGATGAATGTTAAGAACTACTATGGTTTTAATATGAAATAAGGAGTCACCTTGGACAACAGTAAGTCACGGGCCGGAATATCCTAGGCTCCGGGCACGTCTCGCTGCTTTTACAAGTTGTTAAGGAGATCACATCATGGGAATATTCAGGGGCGTGAATGCTACTCTGGTGCTGTGCATAGTATACTGCATAACAAAAGAGTTGAATCATCCTGAAGACGAACCACTTGGGCATTTAGGGGAAAGGAACGGGCAAACAGACAACCACGCAATAGCACACCAATTGTCCCCAAACTGTAGGAACTGGGCGCTTGCCATAATAAGCAAGTAAAGCATCTTGGCCTCAATAATAGCACGCAGGAACAGTAATGGGATTCCACACTGTCGTTTCAAATAGACGACCAACGACCAGACCTTGCCTTATAAAACCTGATGCTCATATAGCGCATCTATGATAACAACGTGTGCATTAAATTCCCAGCGCCCTAATGCCTACCCCTCAACGCCTAGATAATAATTCTATGAACGCCCTGAAACCACCCCCAATGCCCAACTCAACCATGATGATGCAAATCACTACCTAAATCTTCTTTCCATCAAGGCGTCGGCCGGTACTTCCGGCAGTCTCAGGCTTCTTATCTGACTCAGCAGGTTTCTCTACGTCTCCCTTCCGCTTCACGCCCCCCCTAAGGGTCTGTCCCTGTCCCATAAAATGAGGTTGTTTGGCATCGGCATTCTCCTTGTCCTTATCTGCTTGGGTCTTCACAGGCGTAACTTCATAACCAAAGAACAGTTTATTGGGGGGTAATCTCAACGGTTGGGGGCCGTTTGTTCTCCTGAGCGGCAAAGCAGCAGCATTGGTCGAAGTGCCGGCGACAGGTGTAGATGCTTTAGGCGTGGGTGTTTTAGCACCTTTCTTAGCATTGAGTTTATGCCCGCCTGATATGAAGTTGGAGGATACAGCTTTAGCACCTGCGGCGGCGGAGTTGGAAGATGGAGCAATGGCATCGTAGTTGATAGCTTGAGCCATGGTACCTTGGCTGTGTAACATTCCACCGGCTGGTAAACCTGCTACACTTCTTGGAGTGCTTGTGCCACTACCCTTGTTGGACGTCGGCTCTTTGTATCCTATTGGTGGAGCGAAGTCGACAGATACATCCGTCTCTAGCATACTAACACCCATCTTATCACTTGTAGGTTTAACTTCAATGACTGCAATATCGTACACTGTGTCGTTATAGCTGAAGCTGAATATGTCGCCTTTCGTAAGGGTTGCGAAATCGCGGAAGGCCTTCTCAAGAACAGCCTTGGGATCAGAGATGTCGAGGAAATTGGTATTTTGGGGTTGCAGTTTAACAAAAGCGGCCGACGGAAGATCTGTCGATTTGATCTGGACAATATCTCCGGTTTCTAGTTCTAGCGTCCTCATCATCTACTATATGTTAGTAGGATCCTTCTACATAGCTACGAAGGTTTGTTACCCAGTGTGGCAAATACACCTTCCCCTCCTCTGCGACAAACTCCAAGACACCCGCGTGAGATAGCTTCTTTTCCTCGCCGTTATAGAGCTCGAACAGCATAGGATATGTGATGTGTAGTCTGGTTAACTTCTCGAGGGCGGAGGGCGGCAAGATGATTTTCCCGCCATAGTTCAGATGCTCCCGCTCTGGGCCAGGAAGCATAATAGTCGGATAGCAGCGATAATATTCGTCGAAACGCTTCATGGCTCCTCGTCCGCCACGCTGGAGCATGCCATACATGCCCATAGGGTCATCATTGCCTTCGAAGTAACCGGGGTTGAACTGTCGAGCTGTCAGTTTCACCACAAGAAAAAATCAGGGTCGAGTAGGATCTGACCATCTTCGCAAAACTTTGTATAACACGGTAGCAGGATGACTCCTAGTAAGTTACCACGGATGTTACCTTGAGGCGATGTTTGTTGGCGACAACGGAAGTACAACGGAGTTCGAGGTCGAAGCTCAAAAGGCAGTCGACGAATGACGTCTCTCTTGTGCCTGTATCAACCATCAGCAAAGGTAGCACATTCCAATCTTAACTCCGACAACCACCGAATGTTTCAACCTCCTACCTACGGAGTAAATCTACATCTCAATTATCTGGACCAATTTACTATATTCTTCTGATTGTCGCCATCCAATCCTTATACTTGTGCAATAGCACATACAAAATGAGTTCCAGATTCTCAGCCGCGCGCCCTAAGCGTGCTGGCGAGACATACGCCCGCACTCACCACGCAGAATCAGAAGCTGGCCCATCCTCCAAAAAGCCAAGATTCGACATCCGCAATCCCTCCGCCCTCGCCCCCGATGCCCCAGAAGAAGATGCAGTCCTCGATGCGGATGTTATTGGAGGTGGCGGGGCAGGCACTAAGCGTGGCGCTGTGAACCTTGACGGCTATGACAGCGATTCCGAGAATGAAGGGTTTGATGCCCGAGCAGAGGAACGAGCAAAAGGAAAGAAAGGCAAGGGGGAGGTGAGCCTTGCGGAAGCGTTAGATGGATATACGAAAGATGGACAAAGTCGTGGTGCGGATAAGGGGAAGTCGCAGATGGAAGAAGATGCAGATATGTTTGCTGAACTGGACGAGGATTTCGCCGATGGAGATGAGGATGAAGTGATACCTGGGAAAGGGAAGAAGGACAAGACTGTCAAATTCCTGGAGGTGGATGAAATCGAGGGCCAGGTGGAAAATAGCAAGAGTGGCGGCCATGTGTCGGGGAATTTCGCTCTGGATCCAAAAGGCAAACTATCTACACATGCGATGGATGATCAGGAGAGCAGCGATGATGAGGAAGATATGATATTGGCCGCCCAAGAAGAAGATATCGACGAAGAAGTTGGTGCTGGCGGACGAAAAAGAAACGCCCCAAAGGTGGATGCGTTTAACATGAGGGCCGAGCAAGAAGAAGGGCGTTTTGATGAAGCCGGGAATTTCGTCAGGAAAGCAGGTGATCCAGATGCCAAGCATGATTCATGGCTTGAGGGTGTTAGTAAGAAAGATATGAAGAAGGCTGCAGAAGCCCATGAAAAGCGGGAAGCAGAACGGAGGCAAAAGAGACTTGACGATGATGCTCTCCTCCTGCCTGATATTCTCCGTACGCTTATACTCCAACTTGAAAAAGGAGAAACCGTCCTTGAAGCACTGGCGCGCCTAGGCAAAAGCCAACCGAAAACGAAGAAAATCCCTAAATGGAAATTGAAGAAGCAGAAGCAGCATGGTGATGATGCCATGGATGTTGATGCGGAGAAGCCTGCCGCAGATTCCGAGCAGGGTAAAATTAAAGATGCTATTAACTCGATTACCGCGGCTGCTGATCAGCTGTTTACGAGAGGGCAAACGGATATCTACGAACAGGAGCGAGAAATGCTCATTCGGCAGTACCGGAAGGAGGCTGGCGAGGACTGGGTTGAACCGCCTGCCGCTGATATTGTCGAGGACGCCATAGATGGCACGAGGCCTACTAAAATGTGGGAATACAGATGGACAGATGGGCGGGACGGCGACGCGAAGCAGGGTCCGTATGATGGGGCTACAATGATGGCATGGCAGAATGCGGGATATTTTGGGGAAGGAGTTGAATTTAAGAAAGTGGACGATGAGGGTGGGTGGAGTAGAGTTGTCGATTTTGTATGAATAAGTATACGAATGGAAAAGATACCCAAAGGGAAAAGGATATGTATGGTATTAAGGCGATTGGCGTTTAGATAGATGATGGATCTTCCAATTTTGCTACATTAAGACCTCCATTTGCCGGCCGTCTCTTGCGCCCAAACACTTTTTCTATTCGTACATACCTACCTGAGAATTGTCCGCCACCAACGCAAGAGAGAGCTTGCACCGAACGCCGAACTGAAACCCAAACTCTTAAAGTTCCATAGCATCCCCATGACCAGTTGTAACAGACAAATTAACGTCGCCAGCATCACCAATCAGTCTCTTCTCGAATTCAGAGACGAATTTTACGCTCCTGGCTGAATCATAGAACAGCTGGAAGCTCCTCTGAATGTCTTCTACAGAGACCTGCTTCGCTCTTCTCTTGGCGCTAATGAGTTGTGAGGTGGTGATCAGATTTCCTGCATAACGGAGACCAGTCTCTAGGCCGATCTTGGTCAATAATGCCAACGCATCTGGCGTGATGTCAACCTCTTCTTCTTGGGCACGGATGGAGAGGATTTGTTGGATTTCTTCCTTGGAATAGGCATGCGTGCTAACAATTAACACTCGATCAAGGAAGTCCAGTGGTAGGCCGTGGGGGCTTCGGTAGTTGGTCCCTCGGATTCTGGAGTTGCCCCTATTACTGGCCATGATGACAATTGGGGCTAATTCGTCCTCCAGGGCGCGGTTAATGTATGAGAAGCATTCGATATCCAACATGTGTATTTCATCAATGAAAAGCACACCAGGAACTATCTCGGCTTTGCCTTCCTCTTTCCATTCAGCGACTTTGGTGTTTATTTGATCTCGGACCTCGCTCCTAATCTCTCCCGTATCCCCGGAGAATAGAGCTAGGAAGCCTTGTGTCCTTGAGTTGATGACGTCAATTTCGTGAAGGCTAACGGTATGCACGACCTCCTTGCGCTTTTGCAAATCGCCATCTGGACATTGTAGGAATTTGGTGTCTACTCCCATGGCGTCGTAATCCCGCGATTTAGCATATGACCTTCCAAGCTTAGTGATCTTTCCCGATGATTTGTCGATTGAGATAATATCGCCCGCCATAACACGCTCCTTCGTCATCGCATCGATCATCTTGCTTCCCATATCGTATACTGATTCCATATCTGTTGTCTTAATCGTAAGCTTGCCTTGTTTCGTACCACCGGTGACGCTTCTGTCGGTTTGTATCTCGACCACCTCGCCCTCGATCATCTCACTCTCCTCCTTGATCCGTACGCCGATCGACTTCCGAAAGGCTTGTTCGAGAGCCTCCGTCTTTGACATTTCTAGCGAAAAGATTTCGGATGACGCCAGCATTGTAAACGGCACATCAGATCCTAGTGATTGCGCCATACCCATCGCAATCGCCGTCTTCCCAGTGCTAGATTTCCGTTAGGATCAGCTTGACTAGATAGCTTATGTGGACATACCTCGGAGGGCCAGCAATTAACACTGCCCGCCCAGCAATCTTCCCCTCTTTGACCATTTGTAATATGATTGCGGCAGCCTTGCGCGCCTTTTCCTGCCCAACCAAGCCCTGGGAAGCAGTCCGCGGTTCAAGGGAATCCGGATCAACCCCAATCCCTCGAATGTGTGAATGTGCCGCGATCAGGTTGAGCCCCCGGAGCTCCTTGCTCTCGGAGACGGTTTGAATTGCCTAGAGACGCGTTAGGAAGGGCGGTCTATAAGATGTATATTGAATTGAACTTACGGCCGCCATTTAGTGGAAATGGTCAGATACTGGGGCTCTTTTAGGTGATCGTAGTGAGACGCGAAGGTTGACGTTGGTGCTGGCGCAAACATCCGCTTGCTTGACAAAGAATATACGCGTGCGAATACCAGCACAGGGATGTGTCTTTAGTAAGTTGCCAATAGCGCAAAGATTTACGCGCTAGAGCCCGAATAGGACTAGTCTTTTATCACGTGATATTCCTTGAAGCTCCTATATAAACGCTTTTTTATATCCGCCACCTAGAATCCAATATTGACATCAATTTATCCGGTTCCGACTCAACCTGCAAAAACCCCCAAACCACAGTCCAAACCCAGTTGTCCCATTACGACCCAAGAGACAATTGCGGCAGATTTGAAGGCCCGAGGCTAGCTACTACTGTGCCACACCTTCCCTGTGTTCTGCAAAAGCTCATCGGTGTCGCCCGTAAGCTGCAGTTCACGAGACTTCGCGTTCTGAAACATCGCGCTCAGTGGAAAGCGCGTCGCTGTGGCTTTGCCGCCGCCAAACTCCCAATCTTCATCAAACACCCGCCTCTCTCTACCTGGCTTTTGAGCAGCAGTCATTCTTCCACTTGTGTTCACTTGTAGTTTCAATCCCCTGATGATGACCGCGCCACATTTAAGCGCGAGGTGAAGTGAAACATCTTGGCGGATAGGTAAGCAAACGTTTCATAAGTTATCGCGATGGGTTTTTTCCATCATAGCGCAATCAACGTGCAGGTCCGCCTGCTCACGTAGCGCCCCACCTAATACCTGGTCTACCCATGAAGTAGGCAAAGTCAGCAGTTGACCCTTTATTACCAAGTTATCTTGGCTCTTTGCTTCTACGTAATTATACATTGTTTTCGGCTCGTTCACTTTTGACGTGCTTACATAAATTCATCGTCAGGTCTCACCGTAGTCAAAGTTAAACTAACTTACATATTTCACCCGCAGAAGTGGTTCATTAATCCAACTACATCCTAGGCGTTAGCTGACGGACCTAATTCTACAAAGATGCCCGACACATATAGGCCCCGCTATGCGAGCGCGTCTAAGCATCGCACCACCCATTCTTCGTCAATGAGTCCTTCCACTCGTGATAGCGATGTCAGTGGAGAAGATTCAAGGTCGCGAGGAGCTGTCGGCCCAGTCAAAGGTAAATATTTAATACAATCTCCCTCCTCAATACCCAATTCTACTCTATTACTTTACATTCATCAGCTACCTCTAGCAACGTTCGATGCAAGCCTTTTGTTGCCAATGGATTTAACATATAATAATAGGGCGGGGCAACATGTCGAACCCACATTCCTCACCAATTCAACAAGATTCACGAAAGGAGTCAACGGACCCAACGTCACAGTTCAAGCCAGCAACCAGTCAAGAATCAATCTCCTCCGCTCCGAGCCAAGCAGCAATTAGTAGTATAGCGCTCGCGTTTGCTGAAGTTTTTCCGCCACTCTTCAATGTCGCCACTGATGCTCTCGTTCTAAAGTCCCAGAAAATTATAGCGCAGAAAGAGTTTAAGAAGAAGCGTGAAGATTATATTAAGAGCCAGCCTAACCATGGCAAGTTCCCGTCGACTGAGGAATCTCAACGAAGAGCAAGAGACCACGCAGAGAAAATTTGCAAGTTGTTAGATGAAGACATAAAAGCTAAAGATGAGTCTTTAAAAGAGACATCGACGTTAGCATTGTCTAAAGCCTTGCCGAAGATCATACCTAAACTCCTAGAAGCTGTGGCGACAATGGGAAATAGCAAAACGTCGGACAAACGCTACGAAGACCTCGAAAAACGGTCGCTAAAATTGGAGCAACAGCTAGACGAACAGCGTGACCGCTTTGCTGAGCTAAAGACTATTAATTACAAACTCCAAGCTCAATATTCCGAGTTGCAACGCAAGCAAAGGGAAGACGTGGCGGATCTACAGCGCAAGCAAAGGGAAAGCGATGCTGAGCTCTATACGTCGAAGAGCAACAGTGCAAAAATTAACGAAGACATCCGCCACATACAACTACGCAAGTCCAAAGATGAAAAAACAGCCCAAGAACTTAGGCGGGATATTGATTCTCTTGCTAAATCTCAATCCGAGGTGTCTCGCCTTCAGAGTGCCATACCAGTAGACCTACAGCAGAAGCTACTCAATATCGACAAGCTTTCTGCCCGGATTGACAGATTTGAGGATCTTCAGCATGGGCTTGAAAGTAAAGTCGAGAAGATTGACACAAGCCTTGTCACAATCAACATCTGCATCACTGGCATATTAGAGGACCAAAAGAAATTCTGTGATTTCTATGAGAAGTTTTCTGGCGCCGCGCATCAGACTCCCGACAACTCGGAGGTTATTAAAGCTATGCAGTCCCAAATAACCACTCTCGACCAGAAGATGGAGAATTCTACGACACTCGAAAGCAGGATAGCAGCTTACCAACAAGATGTAAACACGAAGTTGATGGCGATAAGCGCAACCGACACCTCGGGAGGCCTTCGAAACGACATAACAGAATTTAAGGACCAATTGGCCAAATTAGAAAACCAATTAGCTTTATCGGGAGGCCGAAACGCATCACCGCCTATAGCACGAGCCCAAGTGGGCGAATTTATACCCGATAGCCCTACACCTCAACTCAACGATCTAAAAGATCAACTTGAAGATCTCAAAGCCGGCCAAGAGGCCATGGGGGACACCTGGGCGGAAGCGGTAGATCAATTACGCGATTCCCTTGCCCTTCGAGTTGGCACGCTCGAGAATACCTTCGCAACGTTTTCCCGTGTGCAGGACGGAAAGTGCGTAGATTTAACAAACCACTGCAAGGCAAATTCCTTAGCTGTTACAAACCTAGAGAGTCGGTACAGCGCTATCAATACAATGGACATGTTCATGGCAATGGGCGATCAATTTGGGAAGGAGAAATTCCCGCACCTTGAACCGCTTCAAGCTACTGTCCACAGTATGGGCCCCCGGATTGCCGACCTGGAGAACGTAGTGAGGAATCGCTGGATTCTGCCACCTATCGTGGAGGAGAGGATCCGTGTTGTCGAAAGAGAGCATCAGCGTCTCGCTGAGCTAGTTCAGAACGTCGGGCCAAACGCAAACGACCCCCGGGAGGCCTCATTAGCCAACGACTTGGGCAGGATCCAGAAAGAAGTGTCTCAACTGAACCAAGTGTGCGCCAATAGGCTAGAAACTTGCACGGAGTCTTTTGGCGAGGCACTTGCGGACATACGCAAAGAAATTAAAACCTTGCAAGGTGGTGTCAACCAGGGTCCTAGAAAGCGGAAATTGCCAAATGGCCATGGTACCTCTGCCAGCCCTTCATTATCAGTGCCCAATAGCCCTGGAAGTGGCTCGGCGTTGGAAAATGACCGAAAGAAGCAGAGAACTTGAAAGGGAACCTGCTGCGCTGATGATTTTTCGGTTGCCATTTGCCACAACTTTAAACGTTCTGTCGACCTTTTACTAATACGACGAGCTGGATCACTGCCGCAGCTCTCTACCTTCTTGCCTCTGAATCACACCCATTACCAAACACCTCTCAGAATCACAAGGCTACATCGTACCGATTCAACTTCCACCAAGCATTGACAAGCCAACGTTCATTCACTACTAAAGGCGGCTAGTTCTGTACAACAAACTCGGGGCCGTCACCGAGATCAACCACCTAAGCACCCTCTTTGTTTCATACTCTATTTCAGCAAGCGTTCTCTATTTTCAGCTCACTTTTTGCTTTTATTGCTGATCCTTCGATACCCTGATACTTGGAAAATGCCCCTCCCTGAGCTCCAGTATCCTTGCATAATTTGGGCGTTGCTGGGTGGTGCTACTAAATGGATGGTTAGCCGGCTGGCGTATTCTTTTGCCAATAATACATTTAGTACTTCGACGTTAATATGGGGAGATCGTGCAAGCGCGTGTCTTATGTCGATATGACTGTTGTAATTGTTTATAGGAGTATTACAGTGTGTATTAGCTTTTATTGTATGTTGCGCTCGTGCTATGCATGCACTTTATATGATAGCGTGGCGTTACGGCGAGGGGCCGTTTTATGACACCTTAGGCATTGCCAATAGGTTGGCAGAAGGCCGATTGCAAGCAAAAGTACATAATTAGAACCAGGCGATTGCCGGCTATAAATGATACTCATTCGATGCATATTTGCCAGAACAGTTTTAGTATGTCCTGAACGGTTTTGATTGTTTACTTAGTCCACAAGCTCGTGGTTTATTTAGTTCAAAGAAACTACCTGAGAAGTACTCCCATGAAATCGAGCCATTTTAGTTACTGGCTGTGTACTACTGTGGTACAGGGTACTACGCTATCGGCATAGTACCATTTACGTTGCACGGGATGTAACAACAAGTTACACAAGGAGTCACAGGCCCTGACCGACGTGATAACTTAAAAGCTTAAACCAACCTCCTTGTCACACAAACGCCGAATTGGAGCACCTCACAACCCCTAATGGTTGTTATCAATTATTATTCCAGCATCGCACAGCCTCGCTGTTAGTGCAAGGTACCCATCCAGAGGTTGACTAGTGGCAAGCAAGGGTTAGGTGAGCATGCCAAGTGGTGTGATTCTTAAGAGCCTATGTGACAAACAGCTTTTGATAGACATCTTCCTATTTCAGATAGATAAGATCTATATAACTCTGAGTCGGCCTTAAAACTTGTATATGCATACATGCAGTAATGAGCTAAACTTTGTTGACTTTCCAGCTCGACTCGCTCTACAATATTTTAGATGCTCATATTATCATTTACAGGATTTGCGATTGTCTCTTCAAAGCCATGCTATTCTGCTTCTACCGTGAGACGCACCCCCTATTACTATCCTCAATAAAGATGCCTCCATAAATTTGGCCTTCAAAAATACCACTTTCTTGATACCCGTCGAATACTACACTTGTTGTCTCTGTGGGTTTCTTCAGGATACCGATCTGGAACTGTCCTCCACCACTATTGTCGTTGGGTACTGGTTTAGTGACTGGCCGCAGAGGATCGTAACCTTCGGAGTAATATATTTGTAAAGTGCTAGGGATGTTAGTGAGTGGTTTGTCCTCATCTGAGCCATCTCCTTGCTTATCCAAGACGAGCTTTAAACGTTTTGGTCCATTGGATACCCCAAGTGGGCCTAAATCAAGCGGGAAATAGGGGAGAGGTTCTTACTTTTTCTCATAATCCACTGTAACAGCAAAGTTCTGCCACTCATCCCAAACAATCTTTTGCGTCCAAATCACATTGTTCCTCCTATCCAGCACCTTCCACTGCCGCTTATCCAATCCTATCGTGCTCACATTCCCATCCTTCGGCTTATCCTGCTCTAGCATGATCCCTACATTGAGCGAAAATTGATTGCTAGCGTAGTCATTCGCTTCATGCCAAACATTCATATACTCGTGCGTGAGATTCATCCTCGCATGCCAATCCTGCCGCATACTCCAATGGAAAGTTTTAACGCCTTCATTGCTGGCGTCTGAACCATTGCCCATGAGGAGGCCTGCACGACGGAACCCGTGTTGCACGTCTGTGCCGCCCGAGACGAAGATAGAGAAGTCATTTATGGTTACTTCGAGGGCTTTATTGTGGGAGGACCCATCAAATTTCGAGGGGTCGACGTCGGGATATTTGAGGATTTGTGACCAGGTTAGGTTTTGGCCTTTGGTGTAGTTTGCATCGAAGGGTGAGGCTGCTGTATCAAATGTTGAGAGGGGTGTATTCCGAGGGATACGGCCATCAATTGTAATTGGGCATTTAATTGCGGAATGAGAGCTTGGGGTAGCAATTGAGAGACCGGTAAAAACTGCGAGGAGAGCAAGGCATTTTGTCCTGAATATCGCCATTGTTGCTAGTAACTTGCTACCGTCGAAGCAAACAAAAGCCCCTTTCCAATATAGTAACACGGGGTAAATATTAAGCTCGAACTTGAAGCAATCGCTCAGGAGCCCTGATCAGAGCGAAAAGCTTCATTATATACTCTCTTGACAAGCTTTTCTCCCGGGAATACATAGTTTATTTATTGGTGTTATTGCCATGGGATTGGATGATGTCCTGGCGGCTATATGGAAAATATATTGCGGCGCAGAAACGACCGGGTTTTCTAGCATTGGTGTCGGCCAGGTACCCCGCCATACGCACCCTAAGCTTTCATTTTCAGCGGAACTACGCCGGGCCGGTAAGGGCGGTGCCTGAATATAAATTGAAGGACGATGGCCGGGAAATTGGTCACAGATCCCAGCTTAGCCCATACGCAATAGTTTTAGTTCTACTGGGTGATTGGTGGCTGCATTGCTAAAGGATTGAGTAGCGAGACATATTTCGCCTAATATTGCCCAGATACAGCGGCGCATTTGCTGTTCTGAGCATCGTAAAGTATTCACTCGAGGACATCGATAGTCATGGTCCATGGTCAGCTCTGGAGCGAAGAGCAGTGAGAACAGGTCTAGATATTGGAATGATAGCTTTTGAAACTGCTAATTTTAGTAGGGTTAGAGGAAGTTTGTTTGTCAGTACAAGCCTTGATCTCTAATATCGCCCCGAGAGACATCTACCTTTTGCAGTTGAAGATAACAATAAGGGCCCATATGATTCTTGGTCATTCTTTTGTTGATATCATCACGGTTGCAGAGGAGTTATCGCCTCGGGTCTATTAATTATATATTCCTTACTTACAGGTTAAAGACAACCAAGTTACCAAATTTAATAGGAAGGGGTAAACCAGAACAAGTGGCAAAATCTAAGTACTAACCACTAGTCGTCTTATGCGGACTACTAGATAAAGAGCCTCGGCATGCATAGCCGCTCAAACCCGGCGTTTATGGTGTTTAATAGTTTCTGAGTGGCTTCTTGAAGGGCTACTAAATGAATTGTTACGGAATGGATGGGCCAGATATGAAAAGTTATGCGTGAGAAACTAGAAAGGCACAGCAATACCAGGATCATGTGGTGGTAGACGTGACACTCCTAGTATATGGGGTGTAATTCCTGTGTGAGTATAGAAAGCGAGTCAATTGCTGAGGGCAGGGGACTCATGCCCGTAAGTCCACGAACGATCTCATCAAGCTTCCTCTATCTACGCAATAAACGTTGAGCATCTCTGCCTCCATCATAATGACGGGACGCAGAACCTAGGAATGATACAGGAAGAAGGAAGCACAGGAAAAAGAACCTTTGCTCAGCCAAAGCACCGAGCATCGGCTCAAAACTGAAGATCATATGCTATTGCAATGGGTATAGTGCAGAAAGGTGAATAATAAAATACAAAGGGAACTTTTGAGCATCAAAGAATCTCGCAAGGAGGTACCATCGGTTTTTAAACTCTCAACTTGAGGTGCTCGATGGCTATGACAAGATGAAATAATTAAATCATTTCTTGGCAACTCCCAAATATGTCCAACCCTGCTCCCAGCCATCAACCATAATGTGTTCCCAGCCATCCCCGTTATCCTTCATACGCTTATACCACTCTGTGGTCGGTTCGAATTGAACCTTCTTCCATTCCACACCCGCTGTACCCTCGCAAGATTCTGCAGAATGCTGATCTATATTTTTAGTTGCGCTGACAGGAGCCGAATCTATTTCCATTCTATCTCCGTCAGGAGGTGTTGAAGCTGCGCTTGCGCCATTAATAGAAGTCGAGTCGGCAATCTCTCCTGGTTCAAGGTGCGGCTTCCCGTCAACAATCCGGCGGCCTCGAGACATCTGTATAGCTCCAGGTGCTACGTATCCTGGTTTGTCCAAAATTTCTTTTCTAACGGCCTCATTCGCAACATTTCCATTATGATTCTTGGCGATAGATTCACTTATTACTGGTTGAGGTGTTGAGTTAGGGCTGGCAGGATTAGAAGCATGAAACTTCGCGGCAACTGCTAGAGCTTTCTGCATGGCGGAGTTTAGTGCAGATTGCGAGTTCTGACGATGGGGACCAGAGTTTGTAGCCGGAATTATAGTGGAGGGCGAGGCTTGCTTAGAAGGTGACATTGCCAGGTCGGATTGGGGGCTGGAATTGGCTGTCATGGTTGGCAAAGCTTTGAGCCTAGTAGATTTATTGGCACTTCCAGGGCCGGTGCCAATAACAGTGAACTTTCGGAAAAGGTCCAGTCTTCCCATTGCCCACCCGGCAAACCATTTGATCTGTGCCTGTTCATCGTCTGCATCAATATACCGATCCGCATAGATGATTGGGCTCTCGAGCTCATCGGGAATGCCTGAATAATAATCGAAACAGTCTCTTGGCGGTGCCCTCTTTGAGATGTCTCTAGTATACAGCGCACCAACGAGAAAGGTATGAATCTTATATCTAAGTTGGCAACTTTCGAAGCCCAGTCCCCTTTGATTAGCTTCTGCGTCCTTGGAAGGTTTGTCATAATTTTCTTCGTAGAACCTTTGTCGCTCTAAAGCCTTAGCGTTTGCCAAGTTCAGCAGGTAGTCTGCCAAACTGTAACAGGAAGCCAGTTTCCAGGTCCCTGGCGTCACGCTGTCTAGCTTCTTGTGAAAAAACCACTTGAGCAGCTCATATGTCCGCTCAGGTTCCGCAATTAGGAAGCCCGGAGCTAGGAAGATGATTGCCCCATGTGGGAAAAGTCGCGTTGCAGTTACCTGCCCCGAGTTCGAGTGGTCCAACTCCAAGACGGATGGAAACGTAGGAAACGGGGGAACCGAATCTGAAACATACCAGAAGGTAAAAACCTTCTTGCTCTTCCGGAGTACTTCTTGCAGTAAGGGCAACCTGTAGATCTCAGCAGCTACAGATTCGTGGATGAGGACCGCACACGCCAGAATGGTGGAGGTATTGACAACAAAATCCCATGACCCCTCAGCCTCACTACTGTAAACTTTGCAACCATGACCGGAACTTCGCAGCCATTGTGTGATGAAGTGTGCAGTCTCATTGGCTGTCGGCGGGAACAATAAATAAAAGTTGTAGCAGCTATGACCTTTTTCGAGGAGGGGGATGAGTTTCTCTATGGAGAGTCCGTGAATCTTGTACATTAGAGCCTTTCTATAAGGCGGGCGAAGACCGACGATATCTTTTACCGGAATTGCAAAGCAAGAGTCGATATTTAGATTAGTTTGGAAAAGCAGATACCTCAACCTGACTTCCCTAGGATAGGGCGAACAATCTATGAATCCCCATTCCTCCGCTCGTGCAGGATAGCATAGTATGACAAATGGCGCTGTGAAGCATATTAAGCCAGATGCTCGAAGTCTTAAGTCTTTCACAATATCATCAATAATCTTTGATGCTTCCAAATCTCCAGTATCTACTGGACTAAGGCTTCCATCCCAAAGTACATGACGTTGAAGCACGCTGCGCTGTGATCCGAAATCTTGGGCTATGCAGACTTGGTCAAACTGTATGTGTGGGAGGCTTAAAAAAAGCTGATATAAGGGATGCTGGGCTTCTAGGCATGTGTCGCCAGTATCTAGGAGCAAAGGTTGCTGCTCATACATGCCGAACGTGACCAACTTAGTTCGAGATCCTTGTGCCTTAGCAGCCTGGTTTTGACGATAGTCTTCAATACTGATCTTGCTACGTTCCACCGCCGACGCCGTTACGGGCTTAGGCGTGGATGGGTTTCCTTCTGTCATGCCAAGCTGATTGAGATCAAGACCGGGATTCTGTCGCCTTGGGGAGGAGACAGGTGGAAATAACTCGGTTGAGTCGTGTTCTCTAAACCCAATATGATTGTCCATTTGGGTCGCCGGAACACACTGCGAAGACTCCTGCTGTAGTATTGCTAATCGGGAAGGATGAATTGACGGCCGATCGGCTTCGGGAACTTGGTACGGGGGCTCTGGTTCAGGCCGATCTGGAACATCATGAAAGTACCAACAGGTTGTACCATGGTGGCAGTCACCTCGTTTCCAAAAGGGGCAGACTTTAATGTTGCGGTCGGAAGTTGGCCGCCTGGAAGGTGGATGTGCATGCTCTGGAACAGGAGCTGGACGAGAAGGATCTGGAGCAAGGGGTATAGATTGGTCATCAGTATGACGAAATCTGCAAAGCTCTCCCTTGGAACAATCGCCTCTAGTATGCCAAAACCAGCAAACCTGGGCATTTTCTGAAGCTGTCACCCATGACCCTGCTGGAGCTATCGAGACCGGCCTATCATTCTGCAAGGTTGGCCGATGTTGCGACTCTTGTCCAGCATGAGTGGAGGATGCGTTTTCAGATACTGAGCCGTCACGCGAAGTAGAATTTGAAAGGCCAGTGTCGTCTACTGCAGTGTGCTGTCTGTCATGATCCCGCTTATCCGAAGGGTTAGGAGCAACAGGCACCCCTGGCTCGTTGCGGTGCATATATGTGCATAGATATCCTTTCGCACAACTCCCCTTTGAGTTCCAGTAATAGCATACCTCTGGCCCCAGGTATGGTTTTTGAACAGGTGTCTGAACAAGGGCTGGCTTCGAAGGTGCCGCCTCGATTTCCCGTGTACTTGACAGAGAATCTTTTTGGGATGTATGAGGCTCTTCGGTCGGCCCGTGTCGGGTTACACTAGTAGCTGAATTTCTGCGCAAATCTGCAACCTTTAGATGTCGGAAGGTTGAAGCCTCCCCTGGCCTAAAGAGCCCACCCGCAGCATTGATATCGGGGGCGGCATCTTCTAACGCTCTTGATGCCAATTCTGCCTTTCTGACTATGTGCATATTTTTGAAGTGTTTCATTTCTTTGGTGGGGTCTGCAGAAGTTTGAAGAAGCGTGGACCGCTTTCTCGGCAGATTTCGAATCGCAAAAACATTCTTTTGTATAATAGAACCCCCACGTGAAGCTCCCTTGCCCCTACCAGCAGGAACAGAAGGTCCATCAAGTCTGGAACTAGAATTATCCGGTTTTGACAAGTCCTTGGAATTCTCTTTAGCAGAAACGCTAAGTTTCTTTCGTGTCGGAGTCGCTTTTGAAGCTCGTTGAGGGAGAAGCTCGTTGGAACCAGAGTTTGCCGGCAGCTGGTGTGATCCTCGTCCGGATACAGGCTCACCTAAAGGTAAGCTAGAAGGGGGATGTTTTGGGTTTGTATCCTATCTCTCGTTAGGATGGGCGGGATAGCACTGTATAGTAGGGTTGTGAACTCACTGATAGTTGGCTCCCCTTGTCCCTAATTGACTGCATTTTAGGCGGCTTGTTGGGCTTTGGGGGCGGCTTGTGGGAATTCTTACGTCCTGGATCATCGTCTCGCTCATCTTCCGCTGCGATAGCTTCTTCCACAGAATCACTATCACTCGCCAGGTAGTAAGACTCGGAATCAGATTCAGAGACTGGAAGTCCAGAGCGTCTCCGTTTGAGCTTCCGCTGACGATGCCGCTCGGCCTTTTCTTCCGCTAGCTTTTCCACATCTGCCTCGAATTTCTTGATATTGAAAGGCTGAGCAACGCCTCTGGATTCGCGGCTTTTCGTCTCTTTCCAATGAACCAGAATATTATGGTCGTAGATATGGTCTTTGGGCTCCCATGTCGCCCTGTTAAGAGGGTAACCTTTCCATTCTAATAAATACAACTTCTTGCCGTTGTCGGTTTTCTCAGCCAGAACGCGTTCAACCTCAAACTCACGACTCTCCGAGTATTGACTGCTTTCGGTTGAATTAATTGAGATACTGTCATCATCATCATCGTCATCCACTGGCGCCGCCCGAATTGATGGTTTGCGGAACATGACGAACTAGACCTAGCCGTGCCAGGTTCTCATTGTAGTCCTTGAAAATGTTTACTTTGTTGGGGAAAAGTAAGATGATATCCGCAATATAGCGCCAGTTATGGCACCGGCCGGGGAGAGTAGCTGACCAGTAATTATCAGAATAGCCCTCCTCTAGCGGTAATGGCACCGTTTTCTTGGACGCCCAGTGGTGAGAGTGGTCACACCGGGGCCCAGAATTCGCGGCGTTTTAATCTTGATTGAGGAAGTGAGATGAATGCAATGTTCAGCTGGGTTTGATGTCGTTCTTCTTCTTCTCCAGTGTAGATCTAGCACTGATATTCTCTCATGACTGCGACCAACTCCACTTGGTCGGTCCAATCTGCGGTCGTGGTGGTTGGGGACGGAACGGGGGAAGTCACGTTAATATTAACCACCGTGACCGCGCTGATCTCGGTGAATATCTCGCCTTCTGTTGATACTCCGCCTGGTATTTCGAGAATGGGAAACCAAGTTGTGCTTTGTATTTTGTGTTTGTAAAGGTCAGAGGTTGTTGACCTTTGCCCGCTATTGCCACACCTTCACCGCCACAGTGTGATCCTAAGGCAGCAGTTATATGCCTGGCGAGTGGAGCGGAATAACCAATCTCCAGGCTCCAGCCACATCGGCGGTCTCGCCAAAGAACAAAGGAGGCGCCCGCCTTGCGACAATCATTGTATTATTGACCTTAAGCACCTGTCTTGTCTCGCAACCCACCATACCATAACATAACGATAGCGACGCATAACCATGGCGAATGACGAATACGATGTAGGTCATCCCGCTCCATCTCTTCCCCGGCCTTTGATGTCTATATGCTGATATCCCATTTGTACAGTTCCTTTTCAAGGGTAAGCTTCACCCCACAGCCCAAAGCGTTGGCTGCTCCCTTATCACGATCATGTCGAGGACTAAGACTGACCTATCCCCCCTTAGTCGTGCTGATTGGAGACTCTGGGGTTGGTAAATCTAATCTATTGAGTCGATTCACCCGCAATGAGTTCAATCTCGATTCCAAGTCAACTATCGGCGTCGAGTTCGCAACCCGATCCATCCAGGTAGACTCAAAGACAATCAAGGCGCAGATTTGGGACACCGCAGGGCAGGAGAGATATCGCGCTATCACATCAGCCTACTACAGAGGTGCCGTGGGGGCACTGCTCGTCTACGATATTAGCAAACACCAAACTTATGAGAATGTGACGAGATGGCTAAAGGAGCTGAGAGACCATGCCGATGCGAACATTGTCATCATGTTGGTAGGAAATAAGAGCGATTTGAGGCACCTGAGAGCTGTGCCTACAGAAGAGGCAAAGCAGTTTGCAAGTATGGGAAATAGCTATCTGGGAGGGGTTAACGTTTCATGGCTGACACTGTTTCAGGTGACAATAATCTCTCGTTCATTGAAACTTCAGCGCTTGATGCTAGCAACGTAGAGCTTGCGTTCCAGAATATTCTCACAGGTACTCCTATCCTATCTTCTCCTTTCTTTAAGTCCGAAACACAGTTGCTCTAACCTCGGTGCATAGAAATATACCGTATCGTCTCCAGCAAAGTGGTCGTCGACAACGATGGTGCACAAGCCAACCTTAGTGCCGGAACAAACATTTCACTCAGCAAACCTGCGGACGAAGGCTCAGCAAAGGGTGGTAAATGTTGCTAAAGGATATTTCTTTACACGCTGTTCTGTGCTGCGTGAGCATCATTCTAGTTGGTCGATGGTTGATACACGGCGGGGCGTCTGTAACATGTCATGGCAGGAGCATGCGGGTGGTCACGAAATTCAGGTTCAAGACTTTCATAGCTGTGTCCATAATAGGATCGGTCCACCAGTCTTTTAGGGATTTGATTCTGTCGACTGTTATTCTCCTCATTTCAAAGGTTGTCGTCTCGTTTTAATCCGTCGAATATTTCTGTTTGTGGTCATCGTCCTGCGTTGGGGACAGGGTTCTTGAGCAACAATGAATATTGCTATACACTGCCTATTCTAATGGACGTTGTTGTTCTCATGCCTCGAGAAGCGGCATTATGTGCTAAAAGCGTCTCTTTCCGTTCTCCGCCTCCGCCTTGTGATCTTTGCTCCACCTCTTATTACCTATGCTCGCTCGGATCCCTATACTTTCGATTCCGCTATTGTGTAGGTTGATTTTATGCAATCGCCTCTATTCACCTATACGTTGATTTTCAGGGATTGGATCCTACCCTAATAACAATGCCATTTCGGTCCAGACTCCATACGTTTCAACCCAATTATAATGTCCGTATCCGTCTCAACAGACTCAGGAATAGTTAATATCAAATTTTATAGTGGTTCGATTCACCTGTGGCCTTAAGGCTACGTCTATATGCGCTTAAATGTTGATTCGATACTGTACATGGCAAATTTCAAACTAAATGTATACGGAATCCCAATTCAGATATGTATAGCTCCGTCACGTAGGAGAGGAAAGCAATAGTTGCTCCGGACAATGGTGCTAAGGTATGAGCGCTGGGATGGCGGTGCGTTGCAAAATCGTCAGATATTTATTCGATTCAATAGCAGACCTGGTGTGTATAATAGATCATTTCAGACGAAAAAGAAGACAGACAACGAGTTCTATAACAAAATTGCAGATCGAGTCCATATGTAAACAGGCCTTTCTAAACGTCATAAGCATCGGTATAGGCGTCGCCCCCCCTCTAGTGCACTTCAATATGTATATTTATCGAGAATAGGAGATGGACATATTAATATATCAATAAGTGAAGACCGTTCTAGTTCCAAGGTAGTTAGGTGTTCTTAAAAGATTCGCATCCTCTTTCCATCACCGATCACAAGGCTGAGTCGTTTTATCGTGCGCTACGCCGATATTGGACTAGTCCAGCCCGCCAAAAACCTCCGCCCGCCGATAACAAAATCAAAAAATGTTTCGAGTCCCAAACACAATTTGCGACAACGATACGCACGCCTATACAACATAATGGCTTCAGTTTACAAAACTTTGTCCGGGACCAATGGCCGGAAAGAAGATGCCCCAACAGACGGAATCAAGAGAATCAAGCAAAGAGTCTTAATATTATCTTCGAGAGGCATCACGTCTAGGTACGCTCCGGCAGACGATCTGGAGGATAATAACTCCCTTGCCTCATCATCCTTTCCCTCCGCACCTTCTCTCACTCGCTCCACGAATTTTGAGGAAAGCTTCTAACAATCCATGGTTTAGACATCGACATCTTTTGAACGATCTTGCTTCCCTTCTACCCCATGGCCGGAAAGATGCGAAGTTCGACACCAAGTCCAAGCTCTACCAGCTCAACGAACTTGCCGAACTATACAACACAAACAGGTTAGTTTTACCCTACTGATGACCGTCACCGCAATGGTAATTCAGCTCAGTACGAGAGGAACCGCTGATTCAGAAATCCAGTATATTCTACTTTGAAGGACGCAAGGGCAAAGACTTGTACCTGTGGATGAGCAAGGCGCCTAATGGACCTACAGTCAAGATGCATATGCAAAACCGTCCGTCCCTCTTCGTTCCCTGCCAATTCATGAAACTAAAATTTTCTAGTCCACACAATGGAAGAACTCCATTTCACAGGCAATTGCCTCAAGGGCTCCCGGCCGATCCTATCTTTTGACGCCTCCTTCGACAAGGAACCATATTTGCGGGTCATAAAAGAGATTTTCCTACACATATTTGGCGTACCGAAAGGCGCGCGGAAGTCAAAGCCCTTTATTGACCACGTAATGGGCTTCACACTCGCAGATGGCAAGATCTGGATCCGAAATTACCAAATAAACGAATCAGAGCCCTCGAAAGTACCGTCTTCTACCGATGCAGACTCAGAGCCTAAGCCGAAGTCGAAAAGTTCAAGTTCACAGGGGAAGGAAACCGAAATCAGTTTGGTGGAGATAGGCCCGCGATTCGTGCTCACGCCGATTGTCATCCAGGAAGGAAGTTTCGGCGGCCCAATCATTTACGAGAATAAAGAGTTTGTGAGTCCAAACCAAGTTAGAAGTGATATTCGACAGAAAAAAGCGGGGAGATATGGCCAACGGGCTGAGCAAGGGATTGAGAGGTTGGCGAAGAAGGGAGAACTGGGACTTCGAACAAGTGGAGGGAGGACGATGCCGGTTGATGAGCTGGATACGGCGATGTTATTTGCCTAAGTTCTCAGTCTGTGATGAGAATCCATGGGGCGTTTGGTGTCCAGGGAGAATTGTGTGTTTATACCATAGAGAATGTTGTCTGGAATGGAATGCAAATTTGTCCACAGGCTCTTATATACTGTTTCGACCTGCTTAGGCTGTTATTTCATCGCTGTATTGCCGCTGGGCGTAGTAGTTGCTGAATATGCTGCCGTGAAACCTACCTGCTGTTGGAATAGTCTCTTGTCTCCGCGCTCAGATCTTATTAGCATCGTTTCTACTCGCCTTAGAATTTAAGGTTTATAAGAAAAGGTTAACTTTTTATATCCAACCCATAGAAAGAGGCAAAATAGTATAGTTTAAAAAAGGAAAACTCCTATATTGCCCCTTCTCTACAAAGATCATTTTATCATATCTGTAGGCTCGGGTATGCCAGTATCCTTTGACCACATAAGGTAGGTAGTGGTCTCTTAAGGGAAAGCAGCCTTTATCAATATAGATCAAGGAACAAATACTTTCATTCAATCTTACTGATAAACCAAAATAATTGCAAAAGATGATCTTCTTAACAAATCCCCCTACTTACTTAAAGCCAGATTGGGAAATGGCTCACGTGCCCAACACGTGTTTGGCCAATGACTCAGCAACAATCCAACGTAGAGTAAATGAATCGCGTCTCGAGCTGGAGCTCCTTTTCCCTTCTTCAACCAACAGCAATCATGACACGACCGCAACTCTCCAGTCCTGTGCGACTGGCGCACTCAAACTGCAGAACATCGGAAGGTGCTTTCTGTTTTTCCTATAGCCCCCATGGAGGGGTGTTCGGGAGTTAAGTCTCTTGCTCATCCTGCCATTGGTGGTTGTTTTTGCAGCTATCACCACGGCCCACGCTTCATTTGCGTCTTCGTTCGATTTTAATCGATATCCAGTTTGTTTGTTAGAATTTCATTCCACAGAGGAGGCTTGTGAGAAGCCTGAGAGGAGAGAAGAGAGTCAATTACGGTTGACAAACGCTGCTGTCGGGGTTAAAGCAGGAATCAATTTAGAAAAGAAGAAAATGTAAGCTGGGGTTGCCCTGATTTGAGAAATACAGACTTGTTGACTGTAATTTAGACATAAAATATATCAGCCAGAATGTCGATTACCGCCCTTTCTACAGAGATCATTCAGAAGATCTACGAGTATGCGATGATCCAAGACGCCCTCAACTTGGCACAAACCTCCAGGAAGAACTACAGCATATTTCTCGGTCGCCGAATGCCAATTCTAGAACAAACCATGAACAATTCATACGGCCCTCTTTCGGAGCTAGTCAAACTTGTCATAAGCAACGAACAAGATAAGAGTCGAAGGCCAATGGGGACGGAACTTCGCCGCAACAATATGGTCGACCGCATCCTTCAGACCCCAGAAACCCCAAAGCTTACCATCGAGCTAATCAAGAAGATGGTGGAGTACGGCAAGGTTGCAGAGAAATGGACAGAGGTATACCCGAGGTTACGATGGCGGTTTGGGTCGAGTAATCGCCGGTTGCTTCACGCTCACGAGAGGGAACGGCTTCGCCAAGCCATCTACATCCATTGGATTTATACCAATCTGTTCCATGATCAGACATACACCCAATTCGCTCCCGATCCACCCGTTGCATCGTCACAAGATGATCCACGTCTTCGCCTCCTTCGCACCTACTCGAGTATATCACTCTCTCACCTTAGCGAATTCCATTTCCACATCATGCAGTTGATAGAGCTCGATCTTTATCCTTCCAACCAAGTCGTTCTAGATCATTACTCGCACAGTCTTCCTTGGCGATCTCTCGAAAAGCTAGCCTGGGGAGAGCGAGGAAACGAATATTGGCGTCTAGTCCGGGGCGTGATGAAATTCAATCCCCAGGACCTCCTTCACCTAGTCGAAGATACAAGCATAAAAACTCAACGGGCTGAATTCCTCCGAATTCAAGGCACCCACTTCATAGAGACCCCCGAAACGTTAAATGACTCTCTCCGGGCCTTGGTCAGCGAAAGGACAACTGGAGCGCGTGGGCCGTCTGAGTCTCTTGCTGAGGAAATTGTTCCCTACTTTCCCTCGTTGTCAATGGAGCGCGATGGTCCACAAGAGGATATTGAGTACTGGGGTGGACATGAGACGGGGATCGTAGGTGTGACTGCATCGGAGATGAAGGAAGTGCTCGCACGTCGTTCCCGCCATGTTCATCGCTTGAGTAAGGCGTTGACTTTGAGGGGTAGGGAGTTTGAAGTTTTGTTTTCACCCTTTGTGAGTGGGTTAGAGGTGCAATCGTTGGAAGAGTAATTGTATGTTTGACAGATATATCTTCTTGTGGAACCTATTTAATTATCAACACTATTTTTTCTTTGAAGTCGTCCCAGGAATTAGACATACATAATACGAGTTATTGTCTCTTCAGTTTATATCCCATGGACCGTTCCTACTATAATACTATCACTACTGCTATAGATCCGGCTAGACGCAAGTGCAGGCATGGAGTAACCATCATGTATAACCATTACATCAAGGTGAACAAGTCGGCCTCCAGTGAATATGATTCTGCCTACTTGACTTTTATGGACCAACGCCCCTTTAGTCCTTTTATTGAGGGGACGTGCTTGTTCAGTAACAAACGGCGGCTTCCCCACATTGTTTCTGAGGGCCTTCTAACAAAGTAGTGTGCGCCTTGGCTGCTATGGAGGTAGGCCAAGTGTTTATCGCCCTACTTGCGCCCATTTCAACGTGGAAACGAAGATGAAAGTCATTCTTAAAACCGTCCGTCCCCTAGCTTTGCTTTTCCTTGCCCCTAGCTAGGATAAGGCTTCTACAACTTTTGGCGATTGATCAATGCAACCCGCCAGTGATGCACATCATAGAATGGAAAAATGATTTACGAAGTATGAATTATGAATTATAACTGCAGGCTCAATGGCCCTTGGGCACAAGTATCCTTTAGCAGTTCTGTCAGTCTTCTCAGTACAATAATGTTTATGAATGCCATTCACTACCCGAACCATCAAACTCCAACAGCAGGGTCCTTACGAAGTACAAACTTCTCTGTTCAATCTTCAATGACAATTCCATCTCCCCAAACTCCGATTGTTCCAATTCTATGAATGTTTCTAGCGATCACATCACCATCACAACAAATGCGGCAACAGCCAACAGGGCGCCAATTTCAGTACCGTTGCGGCGAGCGCTAGACTTCTTCTTTGTTGGGCTTGGAGTTGGGGTAGCTGCATGTTTTGTAGAGTGTGTTGTCAACTGAGGTCTGTGCTGTGGCCCAGTTGGCCCCGAGCTTTCTGCGGCACCACCAGTAGCCGTTGACATAGTCATGGTGGCATTTTGCATGTGCGCGCTAGATGCCATGATGCCGACGGGTTGAATGGTTGCTGCTGGTGCTCGTGTTGATCCTATTCCCAAAGGTACTCCTGCGGTTCTCAAGGGTGCTCTTGCGGTTCCTGATGATGCTTTTGCGGGAGGTTGCTGAGTTGATGCTGCCATTGCTGATACTTCCGAAGATGTCGCAGCGGATGGCTGCCCAGTTAATGCTGTCGCTGATGTAGCTGGGACAGTGGCAGGTGAGGAAGGGAACCCCTTGCAGACACCTTTAATGCAAGTGTCAAAAGCACATTGGGCGTTTGACGTGCAGGGCGCCTGGAAATTACCACACAAAGGAATGACCATCGAGTTGACGGCGAAGCACGTAGCTCCACCAATGCATTGATCGGGAAGGGACGGAGAGCAGGGTTGGCCAAGGGCAACAGTGCCAGTACCTGTGGGGGCTGGTGCAGTCGAGGTGGTTGAAGTCATGATGGAGGAGGCGGAGGGCAATCCATTGCAGAAGCCCTTAACACAAGTATTGAATGCACACTGAGAATCTGCTGTACATGCCGCTTGGAAGTTGCCACAGCTGGGAATCTGCATCGAGTTGACGGCATAGCAGGCGGCACCATTAGCACACTGGGCTGAGGAGGAGCAGGGCTGGCCGAGGCCGAGGGAGCTGACTGCTCGAGGTGCAATCTGGATGGACATTAGCATTATCTCGAGACGTGCCATGAGAATCAGGGCAGAAGACATACTATAGCAGTTGCTGAAACAACTGCTGTTGCAGACACAAGAAGGGACAGTGAAGCATGCATGATGGATAACGCGTATAGAGTATCGGGCGATGAGCAATCAGCAAAAGATGAATGGCACTGATGAACAGTAGGATTGAATGTCTGATCTGATGAGCGATGCAAAGATTAATGCGAGCGATGAGTGATGATGGAAGATGGAAGATGGATGATGATGATGAAGAGGAGAAGAAAGAGTTGGGGGGGCGAGGTTATGTGTTTACCAGGAGGCAAGTGGAGGAAGTCGCGTTTGAACCGGACGGTTAGAAGGGAAAGAACTCCCAACAGAGGAAGCAATACTCAGTACCTAGGTACCTAGGTAGGTACTTGATTTACCCAACATCGTTCATCGAAATAATGCACATAAATCGCTCAAACATGGCCAACTATGGAAGAAACATCGACCTGAACCATGGGCGGATGCGCACTTTCGGGTGGCAAATGTAGCTGAAGGGTTTGGTCTTTTGGGTCCAGGGTTAACACAGTAAGCAGGCAGCCAGACAGCTCTCCTCTATTCTCAAAATCAGAGGACTGGTCGAGGACCCAGGTTTGCAAGAGCAGATCAAGGAGAGTTTGGAGGAAGTATATACAGTCCAGTAATCCAAGAAACACACGATCCAAACAGTGCTAGGAAAACAATAGCATTCCAGTATTTTTTGTATCGTTTGAGCTGTCTTATTAAAAATAGCTTAGCCGGAATCGAGGCAGGAACTTGCTGCTATGATTCATAAACGGCCACAAAGCCCACATCTAACATATAACGGCAGATAAAAGCGAAGCTCACCTTTGGTTCAGACATTCTGACCCTCAGATCAATACAACTATTCTACTCTACTAACCCAGGGGGTATCCTCCGCTAAACATGCCAAGCCACCGGCCGAGCATCGTGCTGGCTTGAGATGTGACCATTCTTTTAGGAGTAGCCTTTTGTAGAATCATGGCTTTGATATTGAGGTTATCGTTGGTTCTTTTGGAGATCGGTGGAGGGAAGTAATGCCCAGGGGTATATTTGCAAGCCAGCTTTGGCAGCAAAAAGAGCAAAATCAGGATTCTCAGACGCAAGCAGCTTTTCAAGAGTTATTTCTCTGAACTGTCATTTGAAATATATAGATTCGCATTTGCCACCTTTTTAGCATGTACCTTAGAAGCAAGTAACTAAATCCCATGAAGACAGCCAAATCTCCCTCATGAGCGATAGCTTGGCTTCCCAAAAAATCAATTTCAAGCAAATTTGATCCAAACGACTCATCTAACGATACTTTGTCGTCCCAAAACAAAGATAATAGCCAAATATAATAAAGGGCTGCACAAATCCTGCATTCCTCCGCTTCCAATGATACTAACTATATGTAAATTTGTGACCCTCGCTACTAAAGCCAAATTTGTCGACCGACCGGGATTTAACTTGCCCCAGCAGCAATAGTAGGTTCTTCTTTCTCTCGCAGATAATTGCTAGAAATAGATGGAAATAGTGCTAAATTGGTCAAGCAAAGTAACATAGCGGTCTTGAGGACCCATCGGCGGGTTTCCATGATCGAGTACTACTCATCAGCTCAGGATTTGATGAAGGGGGCCATAGGAGGCATAGCGGTCAGCGCTGTTTAACGAGCTGCCCCGTCACATATTTTGAAAGTAGATGAGAAAGCAAGCCAACAAGTTTGAGGGAGGAGAATCAGACGTCAACGGGCCGTGGCTGGATGCAGTTCTCCATAAGCCTCTCGACGCTACTTAAAACCAAGCAAGGCCAATAAATACCCCGTCCTCCGCAACGTGTTCGCCTTTAACAAGCATGATTGTACCCCAATAAGTCTCTCGATTGCTTCGTACCCGTCTTAGACTGCCTCCGTAAACGCTGTGCACCGATCTGCGGCCGGATGCCTCTCTATGTTGTGTGGCAGATTATGTTCCGAGGAACAGTTGTTATCCTAATCAGCCCCCAATCCTTCACGCGGTGAGATAAGGCGATAATAACGAGCTTTGTTCTGGAATGTTGTTAGCAGGGGATTTCCCCCCTATCCATGGCACTAGGGGGCTTGTTTTGGTTAGCGTGTCCTGGCAACTTCCGGCGAGACCTGAGGGTACGGATTAATAACTTCACGTCTACCTCTCACCAGAGTGTCCTCGTATTGGAGCAGCAATGCTTCCATTCATCCATTCCCAACGGCAGACAAAAATTACCGTCAATGATGCTGTCACATAACCTGATATCCCATTGATATACACCGCAATGCCTCATTCGACGCGAGCATCGTCAGCCAGTCGATCCTCGACCCCCCTCGTCATCGAAGGAAATATGACCAAGGCCAACAATCTGCGAACATCGATGGAGAAGTTTCCCGACCATGTAGAGCCTGTTAACGGGCAATCGCCATATCTATATCCTTCTAGTCCCTCCGCGACACCAGGGAATTCGTACCCATACAACAATGGCCAGCTTTCAGCAGACAGTGATCGATGGCAACCGCAACGGGATAGCCCCATACGAGGGACAACTTGGAATACGCATTTGAGCGCAAGCGCTGGAACGGGAGGGCGGGGCCATGGAAGGCAGAAGAGTTTGAGTGATGCTTTTAGGACAATACGGACGCGAAAGGCGAGCGTCAGCGCAAACCTGCATGAGGTCTCAGATGCGTTAAAAGCGCCTGTCTCCCCCAGGTTAATTGTTCGTAATCCCTCCAAACAAGAAGATATATACATACCTATGTTCCTAGTGCTGATAGATCGTTGTTATAGATCCTCTGCATCACCTGGTATATGTCGAGTGCCCTGACAAATACCTCTTCTAAAACTATCCTCAACACCTTCCCCAAACCAGCAACCCTCACCCTCATACAATTCGCCTTCGTGTCCTCATTTTGCATCTTCTTCTCCTGGCTCGCATCAATATTCCCCAGCCTTAAGACCACCATACCTGCCTTGAAGCACGGCATACGACACCCTACTCGCGATGTAATAATCACAACTCTCCCCCTTGCCGCTTTCCAGATCGGAGGCCACCTTCTCTCGTCCACCGCTACATCTAAAATACCCGTCTCCCTCGTCCATACCATCAAAGGCTTGTCGCCCCTCTTCACAGTCTTTGCCTACCGCATCATATTCAACATCCGCTACCCAATCGCCACATATCTATCCTTAATTCCACTCACCCTGGGGGTAATGCTGGCTTGCTCTGCTGAATTCAGAGGCAACATAGTCGGAATATTCTGTGCTTTCCTCGCAGCCATGATTTTCGTAACACAGAACATATTCTCCAAACGCCTCTTCAACGACGCCGCCACAGCAGAAGCATCAAACCACTTGACGCAAAGCCGCAAACTCGACAAATTAAATCTATTATGCTATTCCTCAGGTCTAGCCTTTGTACTCACCTGCCCTATCTGGTTTTGGAGCGAAGGGATCCCGCTTATACGAGACTTTCTGCATGACGGCTCTCTCGACCTGTCGGAAAAGCCATTGTCATTTGATCACGGTCGTCTAGCGCTCGAATTTGTTTTCAACGGTACCTTCCACTTCGGACAAAATATCATGGCTTTCATCCTGCTTAGCATGGTGTCACCCGTTTCCTACTCAGTCGCATCTCTCATAAAGCGTGTTTTTGTCGTTGTCATATCAATAATATGGTTTCAGAATTCCACAACAAAGATTCAGGGATTTGGCATCGCACTCACATTTTTTGGGCTTTATCTGTATGATCGTACCAATGAGAGAAACAAGGTGGATAGGAAGGCGTCTATGATGGATGCTAAACAACCTTCCATTCTTCCTCTCTCGAATAGCAATGCCGCCAGGGAAACGATTTATGAGAACCCCGTGAATGTTAGGGGCTACACGAACGGGTATGCGCTTTCTCCCTCAACCATGGGCGATAAGAAAAGCGATGATAGAGGAGGGAGAGCGAGAGGGAGTAGTAATGCAGCTTGGCTACCGCCTGGTACGAGGCAGGAGGAGACCTGGAGGCCCAGGGAAGGTGTTTCTGTAAATTAATGATTATTTTTTTTTGGCATTGGGGAATGGGAGTAGGGCTAAATAAAAACTGTACATCACTGGAAATAGACGGGAATAAATGGATATTTAGAATTACTACAAACAATATGGCGCTTTTTTATATATAAGGGGCGGTTGGATTAATTGATGGTTTCTTTTTCCACTTTTAGGTCTGCATGCGTGCGATACTCAGCGGATAAACTATTTAGACGGGATGGACAGCGCTTGCTTCTTGAATTGAGTAGCAAATATATATGTATATTTAATTTCTGAATACGTAGAGATTCTAGACTCCCTCTCCCCCATACTGTTCGAAAACCGTTGTGATAGTCAATAAAATAATTTGCATTTTGAATTATATCCTTCGATGTGCAATATTTTATAATTTCTATACGATTGTGGTACAAGTAACACTGCAGTAGTACAGCAGTGTAATGCAAAGCAACGAAGGGTACGTAGTTTGTACAACCCAGAGTGCGCCATTCTCGATCTCAAAGATCACTGTAAGAGCTGCTATCAACCCCAGCCATCCCATATGTTGGTGTACACGCCAAACAAATGTACAAAAAGTACAATATGCCAGTGTTTCGCCCCTCTACCCGTATGATACACCTTCCGAACCTTCTATCATGAAACCGTATTTAGGTAAACACCATACTCCTTTCCAGCACCTTCCTTTAGCGGTTTCATCATCAGTCCAACGCCATAAATCACAAGCAAACCGAGTATTAACACAGAGCAAAATCACAAATAAATAACCTGCTCCACCCCTACCTTTCAGCCATCGGCATGGATTACCAAGCATATCCATCATCAGCCCTATCGTCATCACCGTTCCAATCTTCATCACCGGACACCTCGTCATCTAAGAAATCCGCCTCGGTAACCTGTATCTCTGTCGGTCGTAAATTGTCGATCCTCACCTCGACAACCTCACACATACCCTGGATGGTTTCTTTTGCCTTGCCTTTGCGGTCTTTCTTCAGCAGAAGGGGTTCATCATCGTCTGAAGAATCGGCTTTTGCAGGAGAGGATGGGGAGTCGGGTGGACTGTCAATGCCGGCTGTTTGCTTGAGAATCTCAAGCTCCCGGGTGAGGCCGGTTTTATGAGTCTTTTTGGTTGGAGTTGGTAGCAAAGGGGGATCGGGCTCTGAGTCAGAGGTGTCTGGGCTTTGAGCGTAGATTCCTGCTCTGGAATTTCGAGCACAGGTACGTAGGGTGCGACGAGGGGGTGTGGCTTGAGGGGTCGACAGCGAAACCTTTCGGCTGTATGTGTTGGAGGCGGGGGAGGCAACCGACTCTTGCTCACTCGCAGCAGCATCAGAGTCTTCGCGAGTTCGTACAGAATGATGTGGTTTAGGAGGATCGGACACGCGCTTGAAGACGCGGTTTAAAGACCCAATCCACTTCTCACGAAACGACGCACGGTCTCTCCAAGCGATATTCAAGATAGCTTGAATAGTCAATCTCCGCAGATCAGGTAGAGTCGCTGCACTGCTGAGGAGACTTTGGAAAAACATCTCTGCTGCTTCAGTCTGCCATTTGCGCAGTTGAATCAGCTCAATAGTTTGGAGGGTCGAGGGCCAAATCGGAATTTGATCTGGGAGCATGAGTTGGTCGTATTGAGGCTCAGAGTCGCGATAAGTGGCGTGCAAGTTGAAATATGTAAGGTTCATCTTGAACAGTTGAAGCTTCGGGCAACCGGTGCCAAGGACAGGTAAAAACGAGAGACTTAATGACTGGTTGTGATTCAATGTAAGGGAGCGAAGTTGACTTCCATGAGTGAGAAGAAATGCCGCAAAGTCATCAGCCACCACTTCCCAACAGTTGATCAGCTCTAGATGGCGCAAGGTGGTCGGTAGCAGAGATAGCAACTTCGCATTGACAAGTGTTGAGGATTCAAATATCAAGTGGTCAAGGTGCTTGAGCGGCTTCAAAGATTCGGCAAGAAGGTTCTCGTGTGTTGGTTCTCCTTCAACTTGTCCAGCAGCAGGAACCTGATAATTTACAAATGCAATCTTTCGTAAGTTTGCAAATGACGGCATCATATGAACCTCTCGTATCTTCTCCAAGGGCCATTTCTTGCCAGCGAGTCTCGACGACCAACGCCAGCTTCTCAACTTGCAAACGCCGGTCTTATCACCTTTGAGTGGGTCCGCAGCCGGATCAATGTATTCCAACGCATCAAACAGCTTCTCCGGATATGTCCATTTGATATTTTCATCGAGAGTTCGATATGGTGACATGTCCTTCTGGTGGTAAAGCTCTAGCTCGGCAAGCCTAGGCAAATATTTGATCAAGTCATATACGTCAAGATGTCCACTACCCGGGAGAGAATAGGCAACGACTTGGCCGACATCAATGCAGAGCGAAATGATTTTGTTCCTGTATCTGAATGCCTTCGTCGTAGGATCCTCCTTCAGCAAGTCGACTAATCTATGAGCCTGCACCATAGGAACCAATGGAGGCGAAGAATACAGAACCGTAAGCGCGGGTTCCGCGAACGCCCGGCAGAGGCGTGCCATCTGCAAAAGCCATTTGACAGATGGTGAAGGTTGAAAGGAGTGCTCATCAAAGAGTGGTTGTACAGCATATTCGAAGATGTCGGTGAGTACTTGATATGGGAGGCCCTGCCAAGGCGGAATAACCCCCGAGGAGGCTGTTTGGTGGGCAGCATTCGATTTGACTAATGTCGACTTGACTGATTTTGAAGATTTTGGGGATATGGGCTTCGATGGTCGGGTCTTCTTCGTAGCGGGTCTCGAGATCTCGTCCTCCGATGTATCGGTGTCGAACGTTTGCCTCGAAGGCCGCTGCCGCTTAGGCGGGTGGGTTTGTGGTAGTGGTTGGGTATGGGTGTGCTTGAGAGCCGATACTCTGCGACTCGAGCGTCTGCGAACCGATTGCTCAGCCGCAGAGTCATCGTCCAGGTCTAAATCAGAGTCGGATGAGGGGGGTTCGGCGTAGGAAATGGTTGGCTTGGTCCTGGTTGCCCTGCGGAAACGGGTAGCCATGACGATCAAGGGCTGACGGAGGCGCAAACACAAGTGAAGGGCGCAAATGTTTGCGCTACCGGACCATGCAACAATTTCTGAGGAGCATATGCCATGCGACAAAGCCGAGGGTGAATGTGGATGTGGGTGTGAAGGGCGAAAGTGAAGTTGTAGATGCGGGACTTCGACCTTTATCTAGCTCAAGAGGTCGAGAAATATGGTTCGGCTAATAATCAGTAGCCTTGCGACGGACGATGGAATCATCCTGCAGCAGCGATAAGACTTCTTATCTACAGTAAGCCCTGCATCAGGTGATCTTGGTCGACGCCTAACCCGGTATAGGCTAGCGCGCCTCGTGAGTACTTCGACTTCGCCCGTTGGAGCTTTTAAAAATACATCCTTCCAGGTCCTATAATATATAATTTACACCTATAGACTACCCTTTTCGGTGTGTGTGTATGAGCGGCGGGGGTAGGACTTGTAGGAATTGTCGGAATCACTAAAAACACTGCAACGATGGGTTGTTTTGGCTGGAGACTTAAAGCAACAGCATCATTTAACTCTACATTTCAACACCTTTTTATTCTTATCTATATCAAGATATCCGTTCCTTCTACCAAAGAGTAGCCAACCAACTTGAACACCCGACTAAACAAAGCTATTAAATAGCCTTACAACCTTATTAATGGCATCTTTAAAGTTATCAAGGTATTCTTCGGTCCTGAGATAACCAAAGACAACGGCTTAAAGCCCCTTCACCCGGCACTTGTTTGGGTTATAGCATGTTTTGACAAACATGGCGCGCCAGATTATGACTGGACGCCGGTCCTGGAGCGGCTGTAGCTCTACTCGGCGGAATATTTCTATCGCAAGTTCATCTCATCCGTACTAGGGACGGCGTTTTCTGAGTCTTTCTGCGTTGCACTTCCTATCCAAGTAACCCCGAGTGACCCTAGCTTCGTCCTCGCGGCGTGAATTGGCAATGCTCCGCCCAATAAAGGGCAGAGTAATGCAACATCCCAAAACTTTGATCGTCGAGTCCGCTGCTATAGCAAACGGGATGACGACGTAGCTGGACTATCGAGTGGTAGCAGCTTCGGCGAGCCACTTCTGGATTCTTAGAAGCGCCATGCGAGGCAGGTCTTTGTATCTCTCGTCATCATAGGTATCATTGATGGACCGAGCAAGGCGCCGGGCTTTTATAATTGAAAGTCTCTTTGCCCTAACCGCTATATCCCTCCCTACCAAAGCATTGGCCTCATTTTCCAGTTCTTGGCGCTTCTTCCGCAAAGCTGGGCCATCTGCCTTCTCCGCAATGCACAGCGTGCAAGTGCATGTGAAGCCCCATGTATTCATCAATGCTACAGTCCTTGCATCGTAGTCGCTAGATGCATCATAGCTGTGCGTAATCTCCTCGTTAGCGCTAATCGGCCGAGTGGCACGCAGCACCATGAGGTCGCCCATGGACTCCTTCTCCGAATTTGAGATACACGAATGATTGATATATGAAGCCAGGATCCAGAGGCCTGCGCTCGCGTTGTTAAATTCTCCTTCTCCATAATGGTGGCCGGAGTACACAGAACCTGGTCCAAAAGCGTTCCGCGAAACGATGTCATGGACTTGGAAGGCATCGATCACCAGGCCGGAGGCTTCCTTAATGAGCTGCTTGTCAATACCCTGATAGTCGCCATAGAGGTCCATGACTTTGCCAACCTGTGAGGGATTGTCTAGAAGCTTCTGCACAATCGCCTTACACAAGCCGGCAGGGGAAACTCTTATTCTGTCGTCGCGACTATCATAGGTCATCGCTGTCAATGCTTCCTCTTCGTGGCCCCATACTACACAGAAAGTCTTCTCGCATATGATGATCTCGCCGGAGTCTATATCGCGGTTCGCAAACAGGCCACGGCCGCGTCCAGGGCTCTCGCCGACCCTGACATTACGGGTGAAGCTTGCGGCGTCGACTCGTGGACGACCTACTGACAGGCCAGCCTTAATTTTCTTAAAGTCGTACACGCCTGTGTCTTGCTCCTGAATGCGTAATTCAGTCTGCCGTAGACGAGCTGCTGCATCTTTGCGATCAGGTGTAAGCCTCTGCTGCTCTTCAAAAAAACGCTTGGCTTCCTGGAATTCGCCGAGGTCGTATGCTGCACATCCGGCACGGAAGTAGGCCTTACTGTCAAGTTCTTTGTTCTTCTGGTCTTCTAGGCCAGTGAGAGATGCCAGTGCATCCGCCCTTGCCTCATCCAGGCGATTCAGGATGAGGTTAACATAGGCACGGTTCCGGAAGAGATCACAGACCAAGTCTTCTTTCGCCGCGCCGTCCCTTGTGACCAACTGCAGCCCTTGGGTATAGTTCTCATGGGCCAGCAGTAGATTTTGTTGTTTAAGTGCAGCATTGCCTTCCTCCTTCCACTCTCTAGCTGTATTCCCTGCAGGAGACGTATGAGCTGTGGCAGAAACTGCTCCTTCCAAATCGCCAAGTTCCTCGGTGGGAGAACGTGGACTGTCGGTGCGAAATACATCCTTGCAAACAACGAGGTCTGACGGATGGTCGATTCGAAGGGTGGGATCACCTTGGTCGCTAAGGGTGAAATAAGGTTCCTTAACCTCAAATATAGACCCCGACTCTAAGAGTTCTTGACCGTGCCTTGACTTATGCAACGATACCTCTAGCCGCTCCGTCTCACCAGAGGATTCTTCCTGTACGACGGTCCAAGAGAGCGCCACAAGCTTGACCACGGGAGCCACGCGCCGGAGAGTGAGCACGCGGCCACGATGATGCGTTTCTATGCGAAGATCAGACATTCTCATGAGCTGAAGGTCCTGGAGCAAGAGAGTACAGGGCGGGTACGGGCGACCGACGGCAAAAGCTACCACGGTGTCTGGCCGAGCTTTCTGTGATTTCAGCCCACGGTCGGGTGCGGCAGCAATGTCTGACAGCAGAGACGCCGCTGCCACTTGATTCAGACCTGATTTCGGATTGCTAGTCACTCGCGGCTGACCCGCAAGCAATTGACACTTTTGCAATCTGATCTTGAGCGTTTTTCGCATACGCTCGTCCTCCTCTGGAGTCAAGAAAATGGTGTTGGGTTGATTGGTCGAAGACATCATTGTTCGGCACGTGAAGCTGTAGATAGTGTTGGAGCATGGACTTGGCTGCGGAAGTCAGCTTTATACCTTACTATTAATTAATACAGCAATGACCATGTGCAAAGCATGACTTACTACTATTCCCTCCTGGTTTAAAGGCTATCTGAGACATTTTGTGAGTACGATTGCAGGGCGTATAGCCAATATATCTGCTAGAAATTGGAACGTACTCAACTGATCACAGAGGTAGTGCTCAACATGTCGCATCCGTCCTACTACCATTGAGTATGGATTGAAGCACACCGGTGACTCACCTGGGGTATTCAACAGGGGCAATGGCAATAGTTTCATTTAGTGCTGGAAGAGTACTTCTAGCTGGCCCTCTGACGAATCTTATTCCCGTAACGAACACCCACGGAAAATCGAGATTCAAACCGTCAACTTTCTAAGCTACTTCGCTCGAGGAACATCAAGATGGATGCAAACCTAATCGGTCCCAGGTCGATCGAGGTAACCGGGGTGTCTCAGGGCCACGCGTACATTCTTTGTGACTGTAAAACTATCAAGTGGGCGCTCTGGAGTAGACATAAGGTTGTGGATCCTACATTGTATGGTTTCTTATCTAGGGGTTTAGGCATAGTCATAGGAGATGTCCTCATAGGAGGGTGCATGATCTAGACTACATTGAACAATCACGCATGGTAAGGAATCCTAAATGGATGTGACATGCTATATGAATACACTCGACATATATGGGAGAGTACGGTCGCCGGGAAACTCAAAAACATGCATTGGCTTCATTGGGCTCCAGGACTAGGATCATAAATCTCACTTCTCCCAGGAGTTTCCTGTACGCAAGATAAAGCGAATGTTGAGGGTTGGTGGTGGCACATATACTCTTATATCTCACCGCCACATTAATTGAGGGAGTCAGACACCCCAGGTGTCTCTTCCGGCTCCCTGGATCCTTCTCACCAGGAATCGGCGCTATTATTGCGACTGGGATGGCCACATCTCATGTAAGACGGTGGTGGTGGAGATCGCGGTACGAGCTTATCAAGGTCGCTGAGGTGAGGTTGAACTGCGATACGAAGTTGAAGCGAGGGTGACCAAAGCGGCGAGCGGTCACGTGGGAGGTGGCTTGGCAGGGAGGTCAGGATTGGCGTCAAATCACAACAACACCAAATGTTGGTTCCTCCCGGCAACGACAGCAACTGCAGCAACTGCGCGTTCCGCTGCGCTTGTCTGACCTCATGAGGAAATGAAACATCCTGTAAATGCAGGTTTAGGTGTTCTCTTACTCTTATGTTCAAAAATACCCTGTTAAAATTACCTCTTCTTTTGCCCCGTCACTCCTTGCTTTTGCACTCCTTTTACCTCCCTACATCAGTATTCTCGAGATCTCCGACGCGTCCTTAGCTAAGCGCGACGCATCTGCATCTTTCGCTGCCTCACCACGTCTACGCCACTTTCCAGAGCTGCCATTCTTCTGCTCAGCTTTATTCCTACAAAAAAGTTCTACCGACCATTCCATTGCCCATCGACCTATCCTTCACGTTTGCATGGACGCACCTGACCTCCGGCTAGTCCGCTTTGACCATGAGCAATGTCCTCGCCGCCTAGCGGAGAAAGCGCAATTTTCCTCCACCATATATACCGCCCCAAATTTCGAAACCCACCATTTTTGCGCCGGAATGTGCGCAAAGTTCTTCGTTCATTGAGTAGTATGGGAGGAACTATCTCATCACTTAGGGATTCACTCGGCCTAGCCGAGCAGGATGACGATGAAGATGCGCGACCTCCAAAGCGGAGGAGAATCAACAAATATGACCCTCCACCAGACCCCTTTTCCGCTCAAAACCATTCGGGTCCTCAAAATAGGAAACCATCTAGTCATGTGACATATGAGAGCGCAAGTCGACCCTTAAAGGCTCTAGAGCCCTCCAGTTTCTATGGCGACTTCCACCAGGAAGCCTCTGTTGGGCGGGCAGAAACCCCCCTGGAGTCATCTATCAGTGGCAAGTACATTAGCAAAATCTTGCCCGTCACCCCGGTAGACTTTGAGAGGTCGTTGCATATCGACCTTGATGGCATATGTCCCTTGCCCACTGGGAAGGAATACCCAGAAACCATTCGCCGGCAGATGCAGTCGGTCAATATCAGATGCGATTGCACAGTTGCTATCTTCTATGCCAAGGACAAAGACGACCCGGAACAAGGCCAGTATTCCGAAACTTGCCGAAGTGTCAAGCGGTGCACATTGCGTGTAACCATCGGAGTTGACAGCGAGATGAAGAGCGAGTTTCAACATCTTGAACCGTTTGTTTTCAGCCAACAAGAATTCTATGTCAATAGAAAATCTAGGGCCTCGGGGAAAATACAGTATACTTCTGGTCTGGCCGACGATTACCATGTTCAGGTTTCGATACGCCCCGTTGGCTTTCAGAAAGCTTGGCCCCCTGTCCGCGTTCCTGTTTTAGCAGACTTAAAAGACGATAGCCTAGCTCTCCAATTAGGTGTCGTATCGAAATCGCTTGAGGAGGGACGGGCAGTCAACAACGACTTAAGTCTTTCTTGTGTAACAGATAATCTATTAAACCCCAAGCTGCAAAATCAAGCTACAAAGCTAGCTTTGTGCCACGGTGGCTTAGAGCAACCTCTGGATTATGTTCTCAACTTAAAGATCCAATGGGCACTTCCTAATCCTAGGATAGTTAGGTCTACCTATCCCTCGACGTCCAACACTGCCACAGATTCACTCCTTTCGGCTCCACGGAGACCAGACGAAACTCCAATCTCTAACAGCTCCCGCTCTCCTAGGCACCGGCCTAATGTCGCTACATATAACCTTAAGACCTTGAGTGCCCAAGCTCAGGGGCGCTCCCCAAGGGCCCCTAGGAGAAAGGACGTGGGTTCTCGATTTAGCAATATAGATGGAACCACCGTTACATATAGCTTCGGAAGAGCAGATGCAGCGGAAGCGGGTGTCAAACAACAGACCACGGTACCTGGGTTGAACTGCCCCTTCTGCAACTGTCGGCACAGATCCGTTAGCCATCTACGGCTGCATCTGCGCAATGAACATGAAGCGTTTAAGTTCTCAGTACGCCGGGTTGATCCCCCTAGAGTAGCCTTTTTCGTGGAGATACTGCCGGCAAAATCCCGTCCTGCTTTAACTCGGGAAGTACAGCGGACCTTTCAGTTAGGCAAGACTTTGACACTATTCGACCTTGAAAGCTACCTTAGCGGGGATAACTCTTGGATAAAAACCCGCCGGGGAATGCAGCACAACTTATTGCCGGGACATATCGCTCAAGAGGACGATAACTCCTCATCATCCTCATCGCTGCACGAGTCACGGTATAGCTCTCCGAACACGTCTCTTCATACAGATGAACCCGGGGAGCTTTGCAAGGCCAACAGTCCTGCAAAATTGCCAATAAGGCCACACAGAGTAGTATACGTTCCGGCGACGACTAAACCACTCTATCACACCGTCACCAAGCAGTTACTGAAACCTGGACACGAGCTTCCGAGCAGTGATGACGAAAAGGATGAGGATTGGCTTCATCAGAAGCATCGCGACGGCATAAACGATTTCACCGACCTTGCTGACCACGAAAAAGAATATATCAATCAGTGGAACCCATTCACCATGAAGGAGCAACACAACTGCCCCAGGTACCTTCCAGACGCCATGCTCCGGTTTGTGGAGGCGAACAAGACCTGGCTTGGGGAGAAAAGCTCGAGGCGGCGCGAGTTCATCCTGCAATGTTCAGTATTCATCATGCGCGGGGTTATAACTCAGGCAGATTTCTCGGCCTGTATAGAGATCCTAAGGCAAGCGCACAATACGCAAATGGATGTGGATCCAGCTACAAATGCAGGCGAGAAGGGAAATCCAGTCAGACCTGCGAAACTTCGAGGCCCCTTATCTTGTGCCTGTGGTGGGCTCACTGAGCTTGTCGACCGGGTTGCCTGTCGTGGAAACCTCAAAAATGTTGGTATATCGCTTTACGGAAATTGCAGAAGCTTGCTAGATCGTTTGCTGACATGAATATGACTTTAGAAATGCCCCGGTCGATTCTTTCATCGACGGTGCGCTGCCAACTCGGGGCGACCACTTGTGGGGAAATGGCTATGTGATCATTGCTTTTCTCTTGAATCTGCGGCTTAGTCTAAGCGTGTGGGAGTGACATTAGCATGGAGTTGGAGGTGTCGTCTTTCTTGAAAATAGCATATGTATAACTGCATGTATTTGTACTCGGTGGGGCAGATGGGATCGGCACGGTTACGGGGCAGACAATCGCGCAGGTGGGATTCGGGGAAATAAAGCTTCGCTGAGCTTAAAGAGGCAGCTCAATAGGCGCCTAAGCGTATAGAGGTGAGCTAAGATGTAAATGGTAGCACTTCACAATGTGCAAGACAACTCGATACCTAGGCAGAATTAATATAATAAAGCACTCCCCAAGGTTACGTCGACATGCAATAGCTGAGCTTCGCCTCATTTATTAGCAGAACTGTTAGAATATAAATATAAATGCAGATATGCAGATATGCAGGACAGCCACAGCAAGATGCGAGGGAGCTGCAGTCAATAAACATCTGCTTCGGGCGCATTGCGTCGGGTCCAGCCGCCGCTGCGCGCTGGGCTGCCTGCTGACATTACCCATTGCGCACTGGAGCCCTAGTCCAACGGCAGTTAGATATCTGATATTATCTGATATTGTGTATTCTTATTATCATGACTTCGGAGGACGTAGTAGTACTAGGTCACTTTGCGAGCCAATTACTTGGAAGGGTTGCCGACGTGCGAAAGCCTGAATCCAGTGCTGTAGGACAAAGCACAACGCAGTACGAGGACTGAAAGTGCATGTTATGTACTGTATGTGCTCGTAAAGAATCCCAGCCACAACACCACCACTCAAATCCCGTCATCCGAACATCAGCATCAGCTTCAGCATCACCATAACATCGACCACCGCCACAAGGACCATAACGAGGGACTCGCGCGCGCGGACAAAGCACCATCGCAAACTGGTGACGACCACGCCATTGATGCCACCAGGCCTCTCTGCCATTGGGGCTGCGCGCGCATGCTTCTGTGAGCCCGCGCTGGATGCTGCATGGGTTGGCTGGAGTTGAAGTTGAAGTTGAAGTTGAAGTTGAAGCGGCTTGCGACCATGAATAGCCCTTGATCAGAAGAGCGGAAAAGACAATATCAACGCGTCCGCATGCTCCCGAGCTATTCACCTTCCAACGACGCAAATACATTTCACCTTTGAATGTGGGATCGACTTCCACCGTCGCGCTGCCTCCCACCATCTCTGCTGCAGAACTCAGCAGCCGACCTCTGACGAATAACACGACAACCTCCAGCTCATATCCGGAATCCAGAATCCGGAAGACGTTTCTTCATCGTGATGGAAGCCAAGAGACCCAGCGCCTTCGTCTTTAAAGGCTCTGGGGACCTGGCCCAACTGAACAAAGACATCGCGGCTTTGAAGGCGGACAAGCTCCCCCACGTAAGCCCTGGTCCCGTCCGATTTCTTCCAAGCTCTTGTGCTCACAAAGAAACAAATAGATTCCCCACCTTCTCCTCGTAACTACCGATTATCCATACCTGCCGGTTTTCCCCCACGAGAATCAGAATACGCCCTTTGCATGGTGGGAGGTCAAGGACCTGCAATACATGACTTTGGTCTCGGATGGGGAGCGCGGTATTGCTCTAGCAAAGGGCGATTGGGAAGATGAATTTGCTGGCCCGCCGTCAAATTCAGACCGGCGCAGTAGTACTACAACACCAAACTCGTTTAATAAAGACAGCAAGAAGCCCTCGGTCAAGTATTCGATCAAGGACTACAAGAATATGAAGCAGACTGGGGTCAAGCCGTCTCCGAAGCCTATGGCTGCCGATGCTGAGCGCCGGCCAGGCCATACAAGGAATATCAGCGGAGTATCTATGGATTCGCCCATGTCCCGTATGCCGTCCCTGGAGGGTCCTGCTCCAGAGGTCAAGCAGAATGGCGCAAGCTTCTCAGTCAGCTCGGTTAAGGAGACGGGTTCTCAGGATGAGAGGTCAGTCTATGCGTTCGGTCGCTATGTGCTTTGCTTACGAGTTCCCTAGATCAAATGCCTATCAATCCAGTCAGCGAGGCCCACGAGTCAAGTCAGCTTCAAACGTCAATGGCCATGTTGATACTTCAGCCCGCGATACTCCAAGTAAAGTTTCCAGCAAGAAGCTTGAAAGGTCTGGCGAACAACGGACTGCGCAACCAATTAAACATGCGCTTCCTCCACGGCCTCAGTCACCGCGTCGGGAGAGGCAGGTATCCGATCCCAACCCCCACAAGCGGCCCCTCGAGTGTGGAGCTGCTCCTCCCGAGAAACGAACCAAAATCGAGCCAATGAGGACTCCATCGAACTCGCAACATTCCCTCCCCCCCAGGCCATCAGAGCTTCGGTCCGAAACGAAGAAATCACCTACAAAATCTCACAGCTCACAATCCCAATCCTCTCAACCTTCCCCTCAACCAAGAAAGGCTATATCAAAATCGGAAACGAAGCACGCTTCAAAATCTAGTTCGGAGAAACCCTTGGACCTTCCCCCACTCCTATCACCATTGCCTGCAGATCTGGATAATGGTTCTAGTCCACGGCCATCATCTGGATTTTCAAATATCAAAAAGGCTGCGGTTGTCAAGAAATCCTCCTCCGGCACGCCACCAGCAAAGCCAAAACCAAGCGAACCGGACACCATTATTGTCAAAGCACCTCCGGCCGATTCGTCTCCATTATCGACCCCGCCCAAATCTTCATCTTCGCCATTTGTCCTTCCTCCAATTCTGTCGCCTAGTCTACCAGATGCCGTTGAGCAAGAGTTGCTTAGGTTGCAGCAAAAGTCAGCTGCGCTTAATACTGTCGAAGCCAGACATGAGAAAGCGCGGCAGCCTGATGCACCTGGTGTGGCTCGCAAGACAGTAAAGTCAAAGGTCGGACACCCACCTAAGAAGAGTCAGGCTGAATCAAGCAAGAGTCAGGATGTTGCAATCAATTCCTCCAAACGGCAAAGTTTGATTGTCAAGCTTCCATATAAGAAGACACAAAGGAAGATCATTGAACAGTATCTTCGCCTTAAGCCAACACCATCCTCGGAATTTAAAAAACTCGAGGCAGAGCGCTTTGCATTCCAGCAACCACCTGTCGTCTCGCAGAAAGAGCCTTCCGATTCAGATGAGGATACCCCTCTAGCAACTCTCTCAAAGCCCGTCCCTCCACCGAGCAGAAAGCGCCCCGTTGAGTCTACTGAATCGCGAGCCGCAGAGCCAGCACCAAAGCGCAGCAAGCTACCGGAACCAGCAGAACCGCCTAAACCGAAGAATGCGCCTCTTAAACCTCCCTTCAACTCCCCAACTCCAAGTGGTCCTAATGAGAAAAGTCTGCTATCCACGCCGAGGAAAGGAGATGCCATGAAGACAGTTGCAATGCGCAAAGTTGATTCCCACGATGGCCTTGCACGCACCCCACAATCTGCCAATATCAGCACGCCCGCTAGCGTAGAGAAACCACGTGTCAATGGCACCGATATCCGCATGGCGAGTCCAGAATTAGACCGGCTGAAAGCAGAAGAAAAGCGTCTCTCACAACAAGCCAACAAGCTCAAACACAAGATGGATGACATTCTTAAGCTCAAGAGTGATCAACGAAATAATGTCTCGGAACCACAACGCAAACTCGGCTTGAGTGTTGGGATTGAATGTATCATTGTATACGTCAACGCATTTTCTGCAAAAGACCGAATCCTACAGCTTCAAAAGCTAGCGCCCATGCCGCAGAATTGGGAATCTCTCATCAAGCTATGGGAATTCACGGATTCTCACACTAGAGGATTCCCTATCCTACAAGCACTCAGCGCCCGTTTAGGCGTGCTCTGTCGAGAGGAACTCCACCGTATTTATCCCGATACTAAGGAGTTCCAAGGTAGGGATGCGAAGTGTCTTGATATGCTCAAACTTAATTCTAAGGAGAGGGATAAGCTCTGGGGCAGGAGTCATGCCTCGAGGGGGATTCTAACGGAGTTGGGAGTTGCGGAAGTTATAGGGCCATGGACGACGGTGCCGGAGGCTACGAATTTTACGATGGACGTTCTGGGCGCTTATTCGAAGAAGGAGAAAGTGGGCTGGAAGAGGGAGATGAACATCTAGACCCTCTCGCGACAACATACACATGCAACCACATATAAGACGGCGGAGTACGGCACATAATACAGTACAGGATAGGCTAGACAGCAGACGGGAAATCGGTCAATGTGGGTATCTCAGCCACCTACATTTCGGCGTTTGAAACAGGGTTTTGCTATTTTCCCGGAGGATTGTATCCGCACACACTTTGCTACAAACCAAATTGCGATGGCCTCAAAATGAGGGGGCTACATGAGCTGGATCGATTTAATTGTTTTTATTTCATTTGATGGTCTGGTAACTGGTCTGGATGGTTTCGCACTATACCCAATATTTGGCTTTGCTGTTTTAATGATTCCTTGAGATATTAAAAGAAATGGGGAGTGGGGAGAGAAACGGATGCACTATTTCCGGTGGCTAGGGTGCTATGTATGTATGAATAGCTTATTACGGGATAACAGGAGAGAGCGAGATACAAAGGGAGCAAAGCACATGAGAGATGAAGGGAAATCGATTTGAAGAACATATGGCATTGTACGAAACGGCATGAAATGAAATGAAAAAAGTCCATAGCTTAAAATAAAAGATAAAAAACGAAATAAATCCCTTGGAAGATAAGATTTTAAGACTAGGATAGACTCGTATAGCTAGTTCTTTTGGAGGACATTCTTCACCCTCTTATTTTGCTGGCGATACCATCCCAGTTCTCCCTCATTAAGCTAAAATAGGTACGCAGACTCTTTGTTGCATATCGGACCTACTACCACACGGTTCTCCTTTTTCACACGGTTCTATTACCCACGCGGTTCTATTTCCCACACGGTTCTATTCCTATTCCCGACACGGTTCCCACACTGTTAGAACCCCTCAGCTCGCATCAGCAGGGTATTCAAGTACATAGGGAAACGCCCTCGCCGCCCACCTACCCGTTGCCCTTCTTCCATCATCACTGAATACCTAGGTAGGTGATATACGCGCATCCCTCACTTCAAAGAAATCAAACCTAGTATATACTCTACATCACGTATCCTCCAAGAATAATACCCTTTACGTAGGAAAAACTTAAATATATTCTCTTTTATCCCGTCTAAAAGCTTCGAATACTTCCGGAACGGAAACAGCTTTCACGAGCGAGATACCGCTCACGTGATACATCCGCATTGGGAATTTCACGTGCTGTAGAGAACTTTTGTTGCACGTCGCACATAACTCGATGATCGCTCAAATATGAGTGTCTTTGAGTTGGTTAATCACGTGTTACGCTTGTTACGCTTAATTATTATATCGATCTTGACGCTGTACAATTACCTACATAGTTTAAGGTCGTATCTCCAACTATTATAGACCTTAATACTTGTATAAATAAGTAGGGTACTAATTAAGTGTGTTTAATCCAGCCTAGAAGAGGATGGAGGAGGTAAGGAACGCTCGAAGATACTCGTCGCCTGGTAGAGTAAGGTAGTAGGGGGTGTCCGGAGCCTAAGGCAACGATAGTAAGGTTTTGTCAGACGATCCTACAATTAGAAGGGTTTTAAGGCGCAAGGCGGAGCACGGGCTTAACGAACTCAATCGATTAACTTATTAAAAACACCAACCACGGAAGTGTTGGTGGTGGGAGGAGTGGTGGCTCGCCAATGGGTATGCCCGCTAGTGATGCGCTGGCAGATGGCTGGCGAGTGGGCGCCGAATAGTGCCTACTCCTCACCTATGAGCGATATATATACAGGATTAGAAAGTTTAAGAGAGGGTACGCGGGGACCGTAAGTTGATTTAAAAGCTGCGAGTTTCTGAATTATCTTCGGGAGAAGGGAGGATGAGAAGAGACTTAGAGATCAGTAGATCGGTACTAGTGGTTAGGATTGCGGAAATCTATGAAGAACTACCAGGACAGGCGACAAGCTTCAAGCTACTCCTCTATTATACGAATCGCACCCTCCTAGCCACGGTAGAGTACAATGTAAAAGTTCTTCAAATTCGCTATGTGCTATGTACTACAGCTACAAAGAGGCACGTATCCGTCCGCCCATCTCGCCATGTATCTAACTGTAAACGCTCGCTTTAATCCCGCAAATTTGAACAGCAGCCAACCTCCCCTGCTCAAGAAATGAACAGGATGATCTTCAGAGAAGGCCGGAAATATAAAAACACATGAGTTATAGAATCAAGGAATGCCACCCGCCCTGCCATCAACAAGCATGCGAGTACCCGTTGATGATTCCTCGGGAAGTCCCCTGGTACTACTACCCGCAGTTAACTCTTCCTCCTCGGTCTCATCCGGATCACCCCCGTAGATGCTCTCCCAGTCATTAACTTTCTCCAGCACCCAGCTCTCGGCCTCCTTCTCGTACTTCTTCAACATCCTCCCGAGGCCAGTAACTTCGCTCTTCTTCACGGCGCCAAACCGATTCTTGCGGACGCGTTTGGCATTATCTTCGTCGTTCCAACAAGAATGGTCGCTAGAGACGTAGATCAGGGAGTTTTGTTTGTACCATGATGAAAGGTTGGGGTCGGTTTCGGATTTGACGGGTCGGAGAGAGCCTGTTACGTAGGAGAGGACGCAGGGGATGCGAGCTTTGACATCTGTTTTGTAAAAGTTTAAGTCAGCTTTTAGGAGGACGTTGAAGGGGCGGGGGATGTACCTCGTGAGGTGAGGAGTTGTTTTATGCCCAGATAGGCGTCACCCACTCCTAGCAGAACGATTGGGGCAGATATGTTGAGTTGCAAGTGGTTATCCCACAGATAGCTCAGAAGATCCTTAGATAGTTGCTGGATATCAACCTCGGTGCTGTTAGGCAAGTAGGGCTGGTTATCAGTAGGCTTGATCTCTCGAGGGAAGTTGATGTCGATAACGCCGAAACCATTTGCGATAGCCCAGTCGACATATGGCAGCAAATCGTTCACCTACACACTTGTCAGTTAAGATGGGGATATGTGTGAAGTAAAAATACGAACCACCCAGGCATTATGCGGTAATACTGAATTATCGAGAGAATCTGCTTGCGCTACTATCTCAGGCCTATATTATCCATTCAGCGAAGCCCACCGGAGATCTAGAGGCCAAAAAACTTACGGATCATGTACAATGAGCATTATTTTCCGCGCTTGATGAATCATAGGCGTGACCAAGACCTGATTATCAAAGGATTTGCAGATTTTGTTCCGCAGAATAGGCATCGTGATCATGTTGTGCTTCTCGCTGAGGATTTTCTTTGCATAGGCTCGAACCACCTCGCTCAGTCTCGACGCATTGCGGTCTTCCATCTCCCTGATGGGGACGATACCGGGCCGCATGCAATCCCAATACGCGCTTTGATATGCTCTCACATGCTCAAGGTCGCGCGCCGCCTTTTTATTCAGGGGTGGAATCGACTCCATCCTCTCTGGGGGCTCGCCCATCAATGTCTTCGCGACGGCAAGGGCTGATCTCGATATAGCACGTAAATTGTATCCGCCCTCAAGACAGACAGCCAGCTTTCCGTTCGCCAGAGACATGAGCATGTGTGTCATGTGGGAGTAGCAAGCCGGAGACACATAACAACCTCCCAGCTCATCGCCTGCAGCAGCATCGAATCCTGCAGATATGATAACTAGGTCTGGGTCAAATTCCTGGGCAATTGGCATGACGATCTTTTGAAACGCTGCCATGTATTCGCCATCGCCCATGCCTTGCTCGTGCCAGCCTATGTTGACATTTCTGCCGACTCCGAGTCCAGCGCCACAGTTCTCAGGTCCTCCATCCGGAAGTCCTTCGTCCTCGGGTTGGCCTGGATAAAATTGCCCATTCTGATAGACATGGAGGGAAATATAAAGAACATTCGGGTCTTCATAGAATATATTCTGTATGCCGTTTCCGTGATGTACATCCCAGTCGAGAATGAGAACCTTGCGACAAACATCGGGGTAGTCTTGCATGCAAACTTTGGCAGCAATAGGGACATTATTGAAGATGCAGAAACCCATGGATTCATTATGCTCGGCGTGGTGGCCGGGCGGTCGGATGACTGCGATAGCGTTCTTGACTCGACCTTCGACGACGTTCTTGCAAGTTTCGATAGCACCACCGGCGGAGATCAGCGCAGCGTAGTGTGTTAGAGTGCCAACATACAGCGACTTCCGGCCCTCGTCAAATGTAATTGTCATGGCCCGAAGCTCGGCAGGAGATTTGTACGATAGGGAGCGAACCCATTCATAGTGTGATGCAGTATGAGCTGTGCAGATCTCATCTTCTCGAGCCTCCCGTGCTTGGATACGTGCCATGTACCGTGTTGGTGATATCTTCAAGATATTGTCAAGATCAGAGTCACTCCCTTCATATATCAGACCAGCATCTCTGAACTCCCTCATAATGGCCTCTATCCGGCGGGGGTCCTCGGGGTGATGAGGGTTGGCCGAGAAATCAGCATTGGCGTGATACTTCATCCTATCATCGTAGCAGCATCCGGTAGGCAGAAGTAATCTTCGGAGAGCGTTGGATGTTGTGGTGGTTTCTGTTGTTCGTTGTGACTGACTTGGTGAATGGTCTTCGGTTGACTCAGTGAGATCATTTGATTGGAATGGGTGCAGTTCTCGAGGGTCCATAAAACCGTTTTGTACGTTGGCATTTGCCGAATACCGAAGCTCATTTCCTTGCATGATGGTATCGGTATCAACCTCGCTGCTTTGCAGCATCGTGCCCGACAGTGCTAGGTCCATGGCGAGCGATGGACCCCGGACTCAAGACCGAAGCGCCCGCCTGAACCTGGATTAGAAATATGAAATGTAACTATTCCAGCATTCAAAATGCCTTGAAACTTGTGGTGCAAGAACCTGTGGAAAATATAGCAGGTACAGCTCTGTAGACAAAATTAGATTCCATTCATAGAGAATAATAAGATGAGATTGTGTGAATCTCATGGGGTGAAGAGAGGAGAGGTAGAAGCCAAGCATAGTGCACGAGTCAAAAAGTCATCATTCACCAAATATGGCTGAAGGATGAAGGGGAACCAAGGAAAGCTCGAGTATGGAGCAAATAGGGGGAAGGGGAGCTTCAGGAGGAGCCATGAGTAGAGGTGTGGTAATAAGGCCATGTGATCTGGTGAATAGAGGCAAACGGTCAATGCCGTGCATCATTCCCTCTCGAAATATCGATTCTGCTGGAGAATCCGACTCAGATCTGGCTTTCAGTTGCAGCCAATCGCCTCAATATAAAAACATAGGTAAGTACGGCCAACAGCAGCGGTGCGACGCGGAAGTGGAAGCCCAGGCAAGGTAAGTTAAGTGAAATGCGCAACTGAACTGACCTCTAACTTTTCTGTTCCCTTTCCCGATCTGCACACCGCGCGGTGTCCTTAATCGTCGGCTATATAATCTTTAGCTACTAGACTATGTCACCGCATATACATTGTGGATCGCGGTGAAAATGGTATAGTGTTGCGTGTTGAAGGTGAGGACGGTATATCGTGGTTTAATGCGGATTAAGATCGAAGGTCGATGGCTCTGAGAGACGCGATTCGTGAGCTGGTCTGTCAACGAGCGCCGCCTTAGCGCCACCGCTCACAAGGGACTTGGCGTAGGGCGGCAGCCAATACTTCTTCAACCAAGGTGGATGTCCGCCTTTACAACAATTATTCATAGACTGTGATAAGTGTACTAAGAAGACTAAGTAAAGTAATTTAATTGGAAATTCTGAATCGCATAAAGTGTGGGAGTTATAGGAGTGCGATTGATGTTACGCTAATAAAAATGCTTCGTCGGCGTATAGGAACCAGATATATTCTCATTTCTCTGGTTACCAACGACTTATAGTACGCCTATAAACACAGCTATCGTGAGACAAGGTGCCCCGAGGCAGCTAGAAGAAATCGAAATCACTCATTGACCTTGGACAACATATTTCGACACAGAGTTTTGGCTGTCGATGCAAAATTTATTATTTTCAATATCAGTCAATTTGCCAAACGAGCTGCTCTAATTCATAATATCCGTTACTGACATTCCGCCTACCCGGCCTAACATCACCTCTGTAATGAATAAAAACTTTTGTTTTTAAATCTGATCCTTCCATCCCGTCAAAGCCTGCCTTTCAAAACATCTCTGCGAACGAAAACAAGCAATCAGAATAGGTTATTTATCATCACAGTGTAGGAAGTAAACTCCTACTTGGATGCAGCATCAACCTTCGCAATGTAGCTGAGAAGGTCAAGAACACGGCGCGAGTAACCCCACTCATTGTCGTACCAGGCGACCAATTTGACGAAGTTGTTGTTCAGGGAGATACCGGCCTTGGCATCGAAGATGCAGGAGTTGTTGTCGCCGATCAAATCGGTGGAGACGAGCTCGTCTTCGGTGTAGGAAAGAATGCCTTTGGGAGGTTAGCAGGGAAAGACAGGTGTTGGGACTTTAAGACATACCCTTAAGAGGACCCTCGGCGGCCTTCTTCATGACAGCCTTGATCTCATCGTAAGTAGCTCCCTTCTCAAGACGGCAAGTCAAGTCGACGACGGAGACATTGGAAGTGGGGACGCGCATGGACATTCCAGTAAGCTTGCCGTTGAGGGCTGGGATAACCTTTCCGACGGCCTTTGCGGCACCGGTGCTGCTGGGGATGATGTTCTGGGCAGCGGTACGTCCTCCACGCCAATCCTTTGCGGATGGTCCATCAACTGTCTTTTGGGTGGCAGTGTAGGAGTGGATGGTGGTCATGAGACCCTCGATGATGGTGAAGTTGTCGTTGATAACCTTGGCAAGAGGAGCCAGGCAGTTGGTTGTGCAAGAAGCGTTGGAGATGACATCGGCGTCGCCCTTGTAGGTCTCCTCGTTGACGCCCATGACGTACATAGGGGCATCAGCAGAAGGAGCCGAGATGACAACCTTCTTAGCACCGCCCTTCAAATGGGCCTTGGCCTTCTCTGTGGTGGTGAAAACACCAGTGGACTCGACGATATAGTATGCGCCCGTCTCGCTCCATGGGATTGCTGCGGGGTCCCTCTCCGTGTAGAAGCGGACAAGCTTGCCATTAACCTCCAACCCGTTGTCGAGCGCCTTGACGGTGCCCTTGAATTTACCATGGGTAGAGTCATACTTCAACATATATGCCTGCGTCGCGTTGCGCGATCAGCTGGGTGCTCATTGCAAAGACTTCTCTATCGCGTCCGATAGCGGGGTAGTGAGACTTACGGCGTAGTGGGGTTCGATGAAAGGGTCGTTCACAGCGACGATGTCAATGTCATCGTGCTCGACGGCATTGCGAAAGACGATACGGCCAATGCGGCCGAAACCGTTGATGCCAACCTTGACTGGTGCCATGATTCTGTGGTTGTGGATAGTTAGAATGGATGCGTTTTTTTTTTCTGTTGGGGTTAGGTTGAGCTGTGGCTCGGGATCCGAGAAGCTTTTCGGGCCTACTCGTAATCCAGGGCACGAAACCCAACGGGTCTGGGCGGATAGTGAGGGATATAATGTACGTACCAATTGATCGTGGGGATGTAGTGTAATGGAAGATGTTGCGGTGTTTGGGAGTGAAGTGTGGAGGATGTACGAAGAAAAAGAATTATGGTTTGGGGGAGGGGGGGAGGGGGAAGATATATGTGGTGGGGTGTTTCTTCGCCAATAAATATGTCATTGACATGAAATCACATCTGACGGGACTACGGGTACGCTACTCCGCCCTACCCCCTAAGGCAGGCGGATGCCCTGCAAACAGATAGCAATGGTCATGGTCAGAATGGCCGAGTCTTCTATTCTAATCGCGGCCCTACTCTGGACATCCTCTAATTAGTAATTAAGCACTCGTACCTCGAGTGAGACCGTGCTGAGCGTGTCCATCCAATTCGCCCATCTGACTCCATGACTCTGCCAGCGCTGTTGTAGCTGTAATCTTCTTGAAGCTTCCTTCAATTCAGATGATCAACAAACATAATATAGGGACAGCATGACGGCTCACCCCAGGGCCTAGGCAAGCATCCATTTAGTCCCGTTCAGTCCCGTCGGCTGCCATGGCGACGAGAGCAACAGACGCCACACTCCGCACCCGGAATGTTTCGGTCCCGCAAACACAGCTCACGATAATATGGAGAGCCGAATTATCGTGAGCCGTTGGAACCCCGTCTTTCTCTCTTTGCACCGCTCTGGCTCTGGGTTGGAGCTTGGGCATGTCCGTTGCATAGCGTTAGTTGGGTGGTTCCTCCCTGCGTACACGTACAAGGTGCGAAGTGAAATGTTCCACGCCATCTTATGCCACCCACGGCTGTAGAGCGAACTCCTCGATTGGTCTCCCCGAGGTACGGCTGTACATACACGCGGGTGGCTCATCCTTTTGTTTTTCCGACTGCATTGCCGTGGCTTTAAACACCTCATACCTCATACGAGTGAGCTGCTCCCGTACGAGTATACTTGGTTTCCCAAGGACCAGTTTGGAACACCAGGAAGCTGCTCCTCTTCTGGCAAAATATATTGTGGTAGAGGCCTTACCTGCCTTTAAGAAAACGCACTATCTTGTCTGGCCCCAGCACCCCTTCAAAAGTGCCGGTGTTGTTTCATGGGTTTGCCTTGGAGGAGCTTGGAAGCAGATCGATGGATTGATTATTTCGCCACACTCTTCACGGTTATTAGAGAGGTTGCAAGGGCGCTGATCGTCTCACGTGATATTCCAGTTAGTCTTTTTGATACCGGACAAGGAAAGGGTAAGTGCGTCGGCATTAATTTAGATATAATTACCATTGTGCGCGATTTATCCCAGGGAATACCACCACTTTCCAGGTTCATATTCCTTGGACGAGTATCAATCCCAGTATCACGTGATTGGTATTCAGAATCTTCCATGTAAGGGGGTGTTTAGAATGTCGAAGCCCTCCCTCCATGGATGTGTAATTATTAGTAGATGTAATCTATTATTTATCCAAATAGCTAAGATGCAGGGTATTGTATTTTGATGCCTCCTTCAGAACGTACCTACCTCGGTACTTTCCATTACCTAGTTAGGTACATCTATTTAAGTGGTTACCTAACAAACATTTGATTTGTAAATATAGAATGCTTATAACTGAATCGGCAAAGCGATAGAATTAAAACTCAATAATGCCGATATACAGCTCCAAAAGAGCATTAATAAGACTTGGTATGAGTGTTGTGGTGTAAATACCAGTGGGGAGGTTGATCCCGTACCAGCAAAAGACCAAGCCAAGGATCCCAGCAATTTCAATATCGAAGGCTATACAATGATACTACAGCCATAAATACTGACATTTTAAGCTATTAATTCCCTAAAATTATCTTACCATAAGAACAAGAAGGAGAAAAGAGAAATCTCGAAACCATCGCCGCAAAATCATGTGACGCAATCGTGCTGTTGTACTCCGAGGAGACGCCAGTCCAGCAGATTGAACGACGACACAAGCCACTCAAAGCTCGCTTATTAGCAAAATACCTTACGATTCCCAAGTTCCTTTCCTGACATCCGAGCTCCTCAGACGCCTCCGACAACCTTCTCCCTGTACCTACAGACGTATCGAAACTCAGCATCGCCATCGCCGTTGTGTGCTCACATCAATTGGGCTCCTCTTGTTGTTTTATTGTCCATCAACACCTCCTGCTCAACATCCACGTCAATTACCTCGCGCCCGGCTAGCACAACATGTTCCGCACCTCCTTGATCCGAAGCTCGATTTCGGCGCGAGCGGCCATCGTACGACCGGCCAACGTTCAAGCGGCGCGGAGAGTGGGTGTCGAGCAGCTACAGAAGAGACAAGCACACGCTGTCTCGAGCCCAACGCTCGCGGATATCGAGAAGAGATGGGATGGAATGCCACCGCAGGAGCAGGCCGAGTTGTGGATGGAGCTGCGCGATCGCATGAAGACTGAGTGGACTCAGCTGACGCTACAGGAGAAGAAGGCTGGTTTGTCTCCCTCTCCCTTCACGATTCTCGCATGGCAATTGCAATTGCAATTGCCCTCTGCCTTCTCCACATCCTCGTTGACTTTACATCCCCACTCCTCAACGTCACATGCTGGGCCAACCTAAGTCCCTTCCCTACGAATTCTATGCTGACCCAGTATCATACATATAGCTTATTACATCGCCTTCGGTAACCACGGTCCCCGTGCCCTCCCCCCTCCAGATGAGGGCTGGAAAGTTGCTGGATACACGGCTGCCGCCTGTATTGTCAGCACGATTATCTTCGTGATAATCCGTGCCTTTGGTAGCCCAGAACCACACACTATGAGCAAGGAGTGGCAAGAGGCTTCCAACGAATACTTGCGGGTATGTCCCATATCTTTCTTATACACGTTGTTATCGCATTCCCAATTTCACCATCCCAATTGGGGGAAGGGGTGCTACATATGTTTTGGCGGGAGTGAAGGCAATGCAAGGGATAGAAAACATGGCATGACTAACACGAACTCTCACCCAACAGGCACAAAATTCCGAGCCCATCTCCGGTCTCTCGTCCGAAGGCTACACTGGCAAGGGAATGGTACAGAGTCCCCCAAATAAGAAGTAAACCGTCCATTCCGCTCAACATTCTCCGCTTCTCCTCGACTCGGCCTTCAGTCCCTTGCATACGCTCTATCTATCGAACAAGATCTCGTCGCCTGTTTCTTTTGTTGCTGCGCTACTGCAGCTAGTGATTAGTCGGTGGGTGGTGCAATGGGGATGTTGTGCATATGAAGGAGGCCGGTGCGAGGAAAGTGGGAATATGTGTAGGATGGTGATAAGGAGGGCATTTGGAATTAGAAAAGAAAAAACTTGTAAAAGGATACTGTGCATATGTTTTTTTTTGTTGTTGTTGTGATCTGGTTGGTAGCTGCTTTAGAAGAAAACCCAGTTTGTTGATCAGCTTGTTCGTCTCACCTCGCCATTGAATGATGCCCACTATAATACATCAACCGGACATAAAGCATATGCAACACTAGGCATTTGATAAGTCTAATACTGGATACAGATATATATAATAACATGACTAGATAGCTTGACGCTACCCATTCCCAAAAAAAAAACAAATACTATCCTTATTAACAATACTGTTCTAATTAACAGCCAACTTATTCTAATATATTTCCATTAAATTGGAGAATTATTTAACAGAGTATGACAGTAGATGATCTCTGCGCAAGGCACCAGCTTCATTTTGGGCATTTTAATAATGAAATGAATGGTTGTATGGATTCCGTGAGCTATATACCTTATGTATGCCAAACTAGCTTGTTTAAACCATGTTGCCATTTCCGCATATCTACAAGCAACAACCTGCACATCGCCCGCCTTTCCCAGTACGCCACCCTCCAATATCGACATAAATTCATGAACCCACCAACCTACATCCCCGAACTCCCTACCTCCCTGAACTGCTCAAACCCCCCATGGGTCACAGGACCACCGTTTACTCTAGCATCCCAGTCCAACTCCTCCTTCTCATACGCCTCCTCGAAAAGCTGGCTCTGGCCTCTAGACCAACAGCGTGGCATTTTGGCTTTATCCTTATCTCCCCCTTCCTCGTCAACGCCAGAATCATGGCCTCGAGAGGGGGAGGAGTAATGGGACTCTACGAAATGCTCGTCGATGAGGCAGAAACGGATGCTAGATCCGGGAGCCCAGAACATGGTTTCCTGCAGCACTGACTCGAGGATCGAGCGTAGGCCGCGGGCGCCGATTCCTCCTCCTGCTGCTGCAGTTTCCGAAGGGGATTTAGTGCCATCGTTGTTGTTGTTTGCGGCGACTCCGAGGGCTTTTGAGGCAATAGCATGTAAAGCCGCGGTCGTGAAGCGTAATTGCACGCCAAACGTATTGAAGAGTGCTGTGTATTGCTTCACGAGAGAGTTGCGCGGTTCCGTGAGGATGGATACTAATTGGGGGAGAGAGAGGGGCGCTAGGGAGACGGTTATCGGGATGCGGCCGAGAAGTTCGGGGATCAGGCCGTAGGCCTGGAGATCTGCCGTTGTTACGTGGGCAAGAGTGTTTGGTGGTGGAGGTTGGGGGAAGTGGTGTTTTTGGGTGCCGTGTGATGGTTTAGAGACGGGAGGTGGTTCTGTGCTACGTAGTTGAGCACCGAAGCCGATGGATGAGCCCGAGGATAGGCGTTTACTGATTATCTTCTCAAGACCGACGAAGGCACCGGCGAAGACGAATAGGATGTTAGAGGTGTCGATGGTGTATTGTTCGCTTTTCCCGGTTTGATTACCTGTCATTCCTTGCGCTCCTCCACGCTCTACCCTTTCTGATCCTCCTCGAAAGCCCGACGCATTTTCTGTCTTGGAATTGCGGTCTGGTTTGGCATTTACTGTCACGGTAGTGCCTTCTATCATCTTGAGAAGGCCCTGCTGAACGCCCTCTCCTGAGACATCACGGCCGTGGGTCATGACGGCTGGTTTAGCTAGCTTGTCAACCTCGTCGAAGAATATGATGCCCGCCTCACATTTTGAGATTGAGTGGGAAGACGCAAGGAGGAGCCGCTCGATCGATGACTCAATGTCCGTTCCAATATACCCCGCTTGCGTAAGAGACGAGCAGTCTACAGTAGCAAAGGGAACTTCGAGGACCCGAGCAAGCGTTTGGAGGATATATGTCTTTCCTACGCCTGAAGGGCCAAGAAGCAGGAGATTTGATTTCTCTATGATGGTAGTATTGAGGTCTTCCAACGGCCTGGTCCCAATCTCTGCCTCTGGTTTTTGGCTGGCATTGAGATTAACAGTCTCAGGATGGCCAGGATATTCATCTAGTAGGGAAGGTATAGAATGTTAGAAAACGAGGAACGTCATGTGACTCATTGTAGAGAGTGATATGGGCATACTTTCAACTGGATGGGAAATCGGTTCTCGCTCTCTCCATTCCTGTCTTGCTTTCTGAGCCCGCCGTTCCTGCTCCTCTAATTCTTGCCGCCGGATCTCGCGGATGCGTTGGTAATGGCTGTAGATTGCCACACTGGTGACTTTCTTCGCCTTGTCTTGCCCAACAACAAACTTATCAAGATGCTCTTTCAGGAGCAATGGAGTGAGCCGCAGTACCCCATAGCGTGATGACTGGGCCAGAGGTCCCTTTGTTGGTTGTCCGGGCTCATAGATGGTGGAGTACCCATTCCCTTGGAAGTCGGAGCGGTGAAAGTGGGAGTTGGAGTTGGAGTTCTGGGATAGGGAGAACGAGGCGGTGGTAGATAGCGAGCGGCAATTTATTTGCGGCCGAATAACAATGATAGGGAGGGATGATGTCGACGTGAGGATGACAGCCCGGCCGAGGATGGGCATGGCTGCTTATAATGCGGACGTCTTATTGTCAATGTTCCAGCATGACTGTATGGCGATGTTAGAGAGGAGACTGGGCTCTGCTCTCGTCTCCTCGTGTCCTTGCCGGCCAGGTCCAGGGACAGTCACGGGGTTCTCGTGGTATGTACGAAGTACTGAGACAAGATATAGGTATGATATATGTGTGGAGGTACATGTACTTACGAAAGTACCTTTAGCTAGGCACTTTACCTTTGTTTTGTAGTACGAGGTAAGGGATTCCGAGGTGCAGAAGCGCAACCGGATGCGGGGTGAGTCGCAAGTACGTAGTAACTCGAGTAACTCGCACTGTAACCTTATCAATAGCATTGCAGTGGAGCGCTTAGCGACGCTTACCTGTACTAGGCTGGTACATAGCGAGATTGTGCAATTGGGTTAGTCTAAAGGCAATTGTTGTGCAATCATTATTGTTGCTGAAAATAGAAACTGCTTAAAAGCACAAGCGGCGATACAGCTAATTAATTGCCTTGGATTTTGCAATGTGCTCGAGTAACGAATCCACTACAACAAGAATAGGCCCTTCTATGGTGGCGTCGTCGGAGGGATGTACAATGCGTCCTCGAGCCACTGGAGGCTGGAGCACGGTCTCTCCGTGTCGTCTCGTACAGTACAGTGCCTATTCGTAGGGGTCTTGGCTCTTGGGCGCTGCTCGTCCGGTGGAATTGGCGGGAGCACCTCCGATAATGCTGTAAGTAGACGTCATTTGGTGGGACGAGGGAGGGTGGTGAGGCGCTCAACCAAATGCAAGGGAAAAACTCGCTATCGACTTCTGCGCTACTCGAGGTAGCAACTATGTGTTGCTTTCCTTTTGACCTCCCTCAAGATACCAGCGCATAAAGTACTCGTGTCTCTGGATTTGTTTGCCCCGCAGCTCAGGAAAGAAAACATCACCAAGTCACTTACCCAGAGGGCCACTTCAGGATGGGTAACACCAACGAAACTTCCTCCAATTCCCTCGTGGATGGCGGAGCGGCAGGCGGGCTTCCAAATGATGGCACAGGTGAGTCGGGCTCGCAGAATCTTCCCCCCTTCTCGGCGACCCATTGGACTCGTTTGCACATAGCTAATACTTCCTTACTGCCAGGCGTTGTCAAGCTCGATCCATGGCTCGAACCCTTCAAAGAGCCCCTCCGGGAACGCTACAGTAAAGTACAGCAGTGGATTTCGACTATCAACGAAACCGAAGGAGGATTAGAGAAATTTAGTAGAGTTCGTCGGGCTCGTTCCATCCATTGAACAACCGAAGCTGACGCTGGAGTATCAGGGAACGGAGAAGTTTGGCTTCAATGTGGACAAGGACAATAATATCACCTATAGAGAATGGGCACCGAATGCGACGCAGGCGTTTCTGATTGGTGACTTTAGTAACTCTCTCTTCAGCGATGTACCTCCTTCGGGGGCCGACTAACACCCCGCAGATGAGTGGAATCGAGAATCACACCCTATGAAGAAGGACCCATTTGGGGTTTTCGAAGTCGTCATCCCAGCGAAGAATGGAAAGCCTGCCATAGAGCACAAATCCAAGATTAAAGTAAGCCTGTGGTTTCTAGCTCTGTGCCATTCCTCCTGCTAATGTCCCAGCTCTCTATGATCACACCCTCGGGAGAGCGAATTGAACGAATTCCTGCATGGATCAAATATGTCACACAAGACCTCGAAGTTTCTCCGGTTTACGATGCCCGATTCTGGAATCCTCCTCCCTCCGAAAGATATGTCTTCAAGCACCCACGGCCGACCAAACCCGAGAGCGCGAGAGTATACGAAGCACACGTTGGCATTTCTTCTCCTGAGTTGGGAGTGGCTTCATATAAGCAATTCACAAAGAGCATGCTGCCGAGGATAAAGCACCTGGGGTACAACGTCATCCAGCTCATGGCGATTATGGAGCATGCCTATTATGCAAGCTTCGGATACCAAATCAACAGCTTCTTCGCAGCGAGTAGTCGATATGGTACACCTGATGACCTGAAGGAGCTTATTGATACGGCACATGGTATGGGCATAGTAGTACTGTTGGACGTGGTTCACAGCCATGCCTCAAAGAACGTCCTAGATGGGCTGAACGAGTTTGACGGCTCCGACAGCTGCTATTTCCACGGTGGCCAGAAGGGTACGCATGAGCTGTGGGATAGTAGGCTATTTAATTATGGTAGCCACGAGGTCTTGAGGTTTCTTTTGAGTAATTTGCGATTCTGGATGGACGAATACCACTTTGACGGATTTCGATTTGACGGTGTTACGAGCATGCTTTATACCCATCATGGAATTGGAACGTAAGTTTGGTGCACCCTTGTGAGGTTACACTGCTAACTTGGATGTAGGGGATTTTCAGGAGGCTATCACGAGTACTTCGGTCCTGGAGTTGATGACGAAGCTGTTGTCTATCTCATGCTGGCGAATGAGATGTTGCACGAGCTGTACCCGGAAGTTATTACAATTGCAGAAGATGTCTCGGGCATGCCAGCTTTATGTCTCTCCCTGTCGTTAGGTGGTATCGGCTTCGATTATCGATTGGCGATGGCTATCCCCGACATGTGGATCAAGATCTTGAAGGAAAAGAAGGACGATGAATGGGATATGTCAAATATTACCTTCACATTGACAAACAGGCGCCATGGGGAGAAGACAATTGCGTATTGCGAAAGTCACGATCAAGCGTAAGTTACACTCGGCCTATCTTCGATTGCCCTACTAACTCCTTTAGCTTGGTCGGAGATAAATCCCTTATGATGCATCTCTGCGACGCTGAAATGTACACGAATATGTCCACCCTTACCGAGTTTACACCTATAATCGAACGCGGAATGGCCCTGCACAAGATGATCCGCCTCCTTACACATGCTCTCGGTGGAGAAGGATATCTCAACTTTGAAGGAAACGAGTTTGGACACCCTGAATGGCTCGACTTCCCTCGTGCCGGAAACGAGAACAGCTTCTGGTACGCACGCCGCCAATTCAACCTTCCAGATGACCATCTCCTCCGCTATAAGTTCCTAAACGAATTTGATGCCGGCATGAACCGTACGGAGGCGAAGTATGGCTGGTTACACTCACCACAAGCTTATATCAGCCTGAAGAACGAGTCAGACAAGGTTATCAGCTTCGAGCGTGCTGGGTTGATTTGGGTGTTTAATTTCAATCCCACCCAGAGCTTTACAGATTACAGAATTGGAGTTGAAGTGGCCGGGACTTATAGGGCTGTTCTTAATACCGACTCCAAGGACTACGGAGGGTTCGAGAGGATCGACTCTGGCACTAGGTTCTTCACGACCGACCTTCCGTGGAACGGCAGAAAGAACTTTACGCAAGTTTATATCCCTACCAGGACTGCTCTCGTAAGCCAGCTCCCTCGACTTTGCGAAATATTTATGCTGACAGTTTCTAGGTTCTTGCGCTTGAGTCGACTCTTTGAGGATTGGCACGGATCGGTTGGGCGGGACAGGGATCATAGAGGTGGTAATTTGTTATTGTAAAGTCAATTAATTGACTTCGTAGCTATATCAGCACTGGCTTTGCTAGAGAATAATGATGAATCGTAATTGAAAAGCAACTCACATATGTCGTACTATTAAATCTATAAGATATGCTTGTTTTGTGCATTGCAAACGGAGTGTAATCAACGAGGGATAAAATCCTGCTCGGGCGAATTCGGCTGTTGTTGACGTGGTCACGTGCACGCTACGCTAGACGAACATTGGGCACTGTCCTTCAAGCTTGCCGACGAAGACCTCATTTTCCCTAGACTCCACGACTGCCATCGACTTCCGTATCTCCACCCCCATCTCCAACGCTCTTCTTCATCTCTCAAGATGTTCAGGAGGTATGTATTGACCCCTTAAGCCAGTTTTTGATCTCCCAATTGGCTGCAACGGACCAATTGAGCTGACACGGGTTGTTTCGTTACAGCGCCCTTCAAAAATCCGCCGTCCGGGCCTCGAGGAGCGCCTTCAAACCAGCAATCTCTACTGGACTAAGAGTTGCAGGTGCTCGATTTGCGAGCGACGCTGCCCTCCATGGCAAGATCCATCAGGTCATTGGTGCCGTTGTGGATGGTGAGTGAAAAATTCTTCCCGACGACGACACGAAGCTCGGCCGCGCGTGGAAACATGAGCCGAGGAGCTTGGAACCTGATGGAATCAACATACTAATGGTCATCGCAGTAAAATTCGATACCGACAAGCTCCCTCCTATTCTCAACGCTCTCGAGACAGACAATGGTGGCCAAAGACTGGTTCTCGAGGTTGCAGTACGTCTTACCCGATCAACATAACCTTAATTGTTCAGGCACTAACGCATACAATAGCAACATCTTGGTGAGAATGTCGTCCGGACAATTGCTATGGATGGTAAGAATTTGAAACCCATTGAGATAACAACACAGGTATTGACAGGAGGCGCAAATAGGTACCGAAGGTCTCGTCCGTGGTCACCGGGCAACCGATACTGGAAACCCAATCATGGTGCCAGTCGGCCCAGGAACGCTTGGTCGTATTATGAACGTTACTGGTGATCCAATTGATGAGCGTGGCCCCATCAAGTATACCAAGAGACTACCGATTCACGCCGATGCTCCCCCCTTCACCGAGCAATCCACAGCTGCCGAGGTCTTGGTTACCGGTATCAAGGTCGTCGACTTGCTCGCCCCCTACGCTCGTGGTGGAAAGATTGGTCTCTTCGGAGGAGCTGGTGTCGGAAAGACTGTGTTCATTCAAGAGTTGATCAACAACATTGCGAAGGCTCACGGTGGTTACTCCGTCTTCACTGGTGTCGGAGAGCGTACTCGTGAGGGTAACGATCTGTACCATGAAATGCAGGAGACTTCAGTTATTCAACTGGATGGTGACTCCAAGGTCGCGTTGGTCTTCGGTCAGATGAACGAGCCCCCAGGAGCCCGTGCCCGTGTTGCTCTCACTGGCTTGACCGTTGCTGAGTACTTCCGTGACGAGGAAGGTCAAGATGGTAAGCTATGTTCCAGTCAAAATGTCTGGTGAATGCTAATTGCTGTAGTGTTGCTCTTCATCGACAACATTTTCCGTTTCACCCAAGCCGGTTCCGAAGTGTCTGCTCTTCTTGGTCGTATCCCATCTGCCGTCGGTTATCAACCAACTCTCGCCGTCGACATGGGTCTCATGCAAGAGCGTATTACAACCACCAACAAGGGCTCCATTACCTCCGTCCAGGCCGTCTATGTCCCCGCTGATGATTTGACTGATCCCGCCCCTGCCACCACCTTCGCCCATTTGGACGCCACAACTGTGCTTTCCCGTGGTATCTCTGAGTTGGGTATCTACCCTGCTGTCGACCCTCTGGATTCCAAGTCTCGTATGTTGGATCCCCGTATCATCGGACAAGAGCATTACGACACCGCCTCCAAGGTCCAGCAAATGTTACAAGTACGATCTCAACCCTATGATACTATATATTGTTGCTAACATAAGCCGCAGGAGTACAAGTCTCTCCAGGACATTATTGCCATTCTGGGTATGGATGAATTGTCAGAAGCTGATAAGTTAACCGTCGAGCGTGCCCGAAAGATCCAAAGATTCTTGTCTCAACCTTTCGCAGTTGCCGAAGTTTTCACTGGTAGTAAGTATCCTAATCTCTTCGAGTCAAAACCCTTTATGCTATATGATCTTCTCACTAACATTATTTACAGTTCCCGGTGTCCTTGTTGACCTGAAGGATACCATCCGGTCTTTCCAGGCTATTATGCAAGGAAATGGTGATGATCTACCTGAGTAAGTCTCCTCTGAAGCTACATAACTTATATTGTACTAATTCCCATTTTAGGGCTTCGTTTTACATGGTTGGAGATATAGATGCTGCTCGTGCCAAGGGAGAGAAGATTCTGGCTGATTTGGAGAAGAACGAGTAAGATTAGACGCTAGATGGACCGAAGTTGAGACTCAGGAGGAGTCACATGTATAGTTTTGCAGCACGTTGAATTAATGCGCACTAGTGGATAAAGCGAGCATTGATCTCAAGGGAAGCGCTGTGATTTTGTACAGATGGGATGTAAGTGGGTCGTGGTGCTTGGTGGTGGGGGTCGAAGAGAAAAGATTTGCGCTCGCCAACATCGTCGTCGCTTACCGCATCTCCTTTAGCTTGTAACACAACAACTCTTCTTTTCCTTTTGTGAATGCTTCATTCCACCTGAGATATTTGAAATGTGATGGTTGCCTTTTGCTTGTGGAAGTGTTGATATATTCCAACCGTCCCCCAAGCCTCTTTCTAATGAGGTTGTATCGGGCTCCTAATATTGGGGGGCTGCAGGCGGTCTTGCTTAGGCAATGCCTAGCTCTACGAAGGTCTCATAATCGTTGAATACTTCTATAGATATAGTCTTGTTGATTTTGTCACTGTTAGCAATTTCCTTTTCTTCCTTTTCCTCCTTTTCCTCCTTTTCCTCCTTTTCCTCCTTTTCCTTCTTGCCTCCGTGGATGAGGATGAACTGCTACCAACAATTCCGATGTCCTCTCCCACCGTCCCATTTTTCTACCTTCATTTTGAAAGGTTCCTCGACCGTGAGCCATTGCTCAAGCGAGATACCACTCTAGCCGTGCTAGGAGTAGTAGTATGATTAGACCTGTCTGAAGTCGTGGCAAGACGCGAGGTAGTGTAGTCAGCAGTTTCTCCTGAGTGGCAAGACACGGGGAGAGCTTGACGAGCGATAAGCAGGATGCCGTAAGCTTGATGGTGTATCTCCTATCACATCGAGCCCGAATAGATCGTTGAAATCGGTAGCCTCATCCAATTTCCCAAGTATTATTGCTACAGATCCCATTATATATATATATAGCGGTTATATTCCGTTCTGAGGAAGGTGCAGATTGTCAGCTAGGTCGAGAGCTTTTAAGTTGGTTAGAAGTCTCACATAGCTGGAAGTTTTAAATCAATGGAAGATTCACATAGACGGGAAGCTTCAATAGCTAGGCTTGGACTGTAGTAACTTACAGGAAACAGAAGTGCGAAATGATCACTAGATTCTTGGGTTTTGCCTTTCCTCAATTATTTTTGTCCGTATTATTATTAAATTCTTGAACTACTTGTTTACTGTCTATTACTCGACGGAGACCCAATCGGCGGTACTATAGGCGGCTCCAAGGCCCCGCTACCTGCCTTCCGTAAAGAAGCAGTCGGGGGCAGGAAGGAAGACCACATACCGTGACATTAGTTAAAGTCAAATAAGTTATTTCTACACTTTTATGGTATAATAATAGCTATGATGCCACGTACGGGGACACCCTCGCTCGGCCTCAAAACGACCGGCGGAAACTTCCGTTCCTAGTATACGACCGTAAGTACGGAAGGCGATACAAGATGGGGTACGTTGTTGGATTCTTTTATTCTCCCTGCATCTAGCCCTGTCTCCGGTCATATTCTCTTGTTCTTTGCATATGTGGAGAAGACCCGCGCTCGGGAGGCAGAAACGTAGGCTTCTTACTTGCTACTGATCTCACCGGTAGACCAGGTTATTGCATGGCCTTGCAGAGACCCACGAGGTGTTCGACAGCCTTACTCCATACCGAAGCCCTAACCCAGATCGAAGACGACCGGTAATTTAGTTGGATCCCGGAATAGTAAGGTGTAGCAAGATAAAGTGCTGTGCAATATGTAGGTTGGCAAACATCTGCAAGCCCTTCCCATGAAGAATAACTTACCCGACCAATCTTAGCATGTTTACAGACACTGACGATATGCCTCGATTCTGCAGGGTGGAGCGACCCCGCCGTTCGGGTGGTCTAATGTGTTGCAACCTCTTGGCGGTTGCTTCCCATAGATTAAAAGTTTGTGAGGAAGAGGGATAGTGAGCATATGTAGCAACGAACGGTCACGAGCAGGACATAGATAAATTCAGACCTTATATCAATACTATATTAACCCGCACCTAGTGTTTCCTACGTTACGGATGGGGCAGCAGCATAGAAATATTCTTACGAGTCGGTGGATATTTATAGAAAGCAGGAAGAAAGCGACGTAGTTAAAACCCCTCATTTAAGAGAGTCGGTAGTTGACTTGTGACTTGCGAGCGGTTACCCATTATCCGATATACTTGCTCTGATTACGAATTCCAATCGTCTGATCGCCCACATGGAACCAAGGTTAAATCACGCATAGGCAACACTAGATAGCAAATAGCAGAATCAGGAAGATGTAGTAGGAGTTCTCGGAGCGCTCTGATGGGACTCCGGGGGACGGCCTCCCCGCGTCAATAGAAACGGATAGTTTTCACTGCTTCAGGACTGAAATACTCGCCAATTAAAAGGTATGACATGATATTCAGATAGACGTGCAAAGTCAAACGAACTCAAACCCCAAGTTCTAACATAAATCTCCCAATCTGGAAGTTAGAAAACCGCTGAGGCTGCGGCATAGAAATTCGGAAATATGGGGTCAGTATGGCGACCACAATACTCTCAATGGAAAAGAATGAATCCATATTCTTGCTCAAAGACGTGAGTAGAAGGTGGACGTGTTCCATGCTTGCTAGTGCCATAGGGGTGGTGGTACATCATTAATAAGGTCGCATCCGATCCGATCCGAGGCCGTGGATGTATACATGGTAGCGTGCTCGGAACATCAAGAACAGTCATCCGAGATGCATGCTGCTCGTTGAAGCTTGGGGACTTACGAGTGGCCCCCACCTTGGCGATCGAGCTGCCTGCTGTCCGCTGCCCCGAGCACAAGGTAGAAACTACTGTGATGATGTTTTATCAGCTAGTAGTAGATACATCATATACGGTATGACCTGTTGCGTTGCCCTATTGGAGTTTGGAATTTGGAAAGCGTGATAGGTCTTCATATACGAGGCACATCTGATATACGCTATGCACGGAAACAGTAAACGAAGGATGAGGGTCAATCCCATTTTAGGTCTCGCAACTGCAACAATATCCTTGCAATAAATTGATAGGTTGTCGAATGCTCGTGATAGAGAGCTCGTACTCGACGTCCTCCCATTGACTATCGTTGATCCATTGCTGGGGACTACAACTTCTACAAGAAAGGTTTCGGGCCGTTATGTGAAATTGAAGTGCTTCGCACTGTGCAGCTGTGCCGCAATTCCACCGACTAAATAGGCTACATCGACACCCAAAAAATCCGATTGACCTAATTCTCGAGCGATTGATGATTTTGGCCGAGGTGCTGCCAGATGGGACAAAATTGTTCTAGACCCGTCCGGGTTACAGAGGATAACAATGTTAAGTCCCCGTAGGACTTGCTAGAGACAGAACTTAAACTATATTATACGTGGTTGTTAATGGGCACCATCAACACTATCAACACCGTAAACAATTCCAAGTACTCTTGGAAGTGCAGGGCTATTTCATTTGACAGAGCATTACATAGGCAAAGACACGGATGTAAATACAGCAAGAGGAAAGATCACGGCTAATAATAAATATTAAGACCTAATTAGCGTAGTATATGTTACCTTAGTGTTCTAATTATCACTTGAAAAGTGTTTGAATTCGTATGGAGCAATAAAACAACATGTTAAGGAGGGGTTTTACAAATTTTAGGCTATGCTTACAGTAATTCCTATAAAGGATTACCACACGGACGTTGCTAAATGTCAGTGCGGGTCTGAATATCCACATGACTGCCTTACTTCCCCAGGAATCTGACGCACTCGCGCCATAAGCTGCCCCCTGTAGCCTTAAAAAAATTGGCTTGCAGGAGATGCAAGAAGGTGTCGGGGTAAAATACCAGGATTCCTTTTGTTGGAAGTGGAGGAGGGGTTCCAAAATTGTTCAGACCCCAACCTGCCAAAGTTTAAAAAGAGGAGGATTAAAATGAAAGGTCCACTTTTTGATGCCCCCCAACATCAAACTGATCTCTCTTAATATTATCCCATTTATTAAAATAATCTTAAAAAAATGTCTTCTTCAAGAGCGCAACCTGGAGTTTGGAATGCAGCCAATGGCCCAAGGGTACTTACCGAAGCTCAACGGCAGAGGAAAAGAGAGCGCGATCGAAATAGCAAGAGAGAAGAAAAGCTCAAACAGCAACAACGGATGCAAGAACTTGAAGAGGCAAAAAACTCCGCGTCGAAACGAGTTCAAGAACTTGAAGCTCAACTTGAGAATTGCTGTTGCAAAAGGGGAGGTGCTACCAGACTTGATATGAGGAGATGCCAGAGTTCCGTCCATATTCCTACTGTGCATAACGCCTTACCGCCATCCAATTATTCAGATCCTACTACTTACCACCCAAGTAATCTCTCCCCTGACTATGCGTATCTGAGCAATGCTAACTTTGAAAAATCAGGCCCGGGGGCCATCCCTTGGGGAGATAAGGAGGCCAACTTATATCAAGAGAGTCTGACGTCTCCTGGATGTGCCACCGAGGGTAGCGCGGCCAGCTACTGTGGCTCATATTCCAATTACCAGGCCGACCCTCATCCAGACTCACGGCAGACCTCGTTCGAAGACCCAGAACCTCGAGTTGCACCTTATAATATAAACTATTCAGGAGTCTCCAGTCCTGACCAACCATGTTTTTCTCCAGCTTCTAATAATGTGGGTTGCTATCTCGGGTTTAGCATCCCCATAAACAGAGTTAGCTGACAGCCACAGTGGGGGTACACACGGGAATATTAATGAATCTTTCTCAATATATTACTCTAGACATCTGCATTTCGGGCGGTCTTCTCATATATATCAGTGACGACTTTTGGTTGAGATGGACGCTACAAGGAATACCACCTCCCTGTATCTCCATTGTGGGATGTAATTTAGTTAGATGATCCGTCGATTTGGAGGATTAATTTGTCTGGCACGAAACTTGCTTCTCCTTACCAACATAATCCATAATCGCTAGTAAGTTGAGCTGCACTAAGTATCAAAAGCTTCCTAACTGATACCTGTTTAAGATATAGACATAATTAATCCCCTGCGAGAGGCTAGTGCTCAAATAGCTACCACCAAGGTGATTTATCGGATCCTTAACAGGTACCATGGCTGACTCGTCATTCTCCAGGCTCATTAAAGCACATATTTACATGACGAAAATGCAATAAATGTATTCTCAGGGTCGTAATTTGGAATTCAGGAGACATATCGGGTCGCAGCAAAAAAGGAACGAGGTATGGCATAACATTCGGCAAAGATATCGTTTGTAATGGAAGGTAAAATAAATGACAAATGTGTGGGGGTTCGAAGTGCGACAAAAATTAAAATAATAACATATTCTAAGATTTAGAAAGACATGTGACGAGTTCAAGAAACGTGGCTGTAGAATCCCGATGGAGAGGTAAAGCTTGACGCATACTACTCCCCCCACGCGGCCGCCCCCAAAATGATGACTTTGCTTTTGCCATCATCTTCTTCACTTAGGGCTGTTATATTTTGAACTCCAGGTTAGGGTATCCTATAATTTTGCTCTGCCTTTCAGGGCTAATCGACCTTCTTGCACAGCTTTGTGTTTGAAAGAACTTCCCAGCTCTCGGTGCCCGGAGTAGCTTTCGCAGAGAAAATTCTATCCAGATCTAGTTTCGAGCGGAAGATCAGCAATCGGGGCAATTGCTTTCCCAGAAGGTACCTTGCCGATTTGGCCTGTTAATATCGGCCTGTAATCGAATAGAGAAGACCGAGGCAAACTTCCTCATGCCCACAAACTGAAAGGAAATAACAATGCAAACGAAGAAAACTATGGCGAGCATTGCTTCATTAACAGAAGCTGCCCCATTCGGACTCGCATCTCTAGGCGCTTTCGTAACTATATTAGTAAGCCTGTCACCCGTAGCGAATTGTGTATTTGTTAGATTGTTTGGCAATGCCGTCAATGATAATTGTGGAATCAGCAGCTTGCCTCCGAGTGGGATCAACAGCCATATCTGATACAAGAACAGCCACGCCAGGGTTGACCACATGACCACCAGTACCAGTGACGCCACCTCCACTAGGAGCAGTGATGGCGGTTTTGATATTAATCACAATCTTGTTGCCATTTAAAGTTATATTATGGCGTGTGAAGAGGCGACCACTGTTGAAGGCTAAGGTGCCTGCACTGTCGCCAGCGAAGAGGCCTTCATACGGCTAGTAACATGTAGGATAGGCGGTGGTTTTGGCTTGGTAAGGGACCTTGTCCGCTGTGAGTTTATTGAAGAGTGGCCCCATGACCTGGTGATTGCTAGAAAGGACCTAGTCATAATTATTGTTAAAGAGAGGGACATACATAGCTAGTCCCATAGATGACTGGACTGCGCCCGGCGAGTACCACATATATAGTCCGTTATCAGCGAAGTGATTAGCCAAGTTATAGAAACCACCGAGTCCTTTCCAGGAGAGATTAGCGTCGTAGGCATTGATGCATAGTGAAGTTCCTTCAGGGGTTAGCTTAGTTCTATGCAAGAATTAGATGGAGACTTACCGGCGCAGGGAAATTTCTGAAAATGCCTTTATAGTAACTTCAACCACAACGCCGAAACTCAAAGGTTCGGCTCCTTCAAGCGCCCAGAAAAAATCCGGATTCGTGTCCACGTTAGCAGTCATAAAGTCTCCAGCAGCGGTAACTATATCGAAAGAGGAGCTTGGTCAGCCCCTGCGTGAAGTACATCCTAGCTCAATCTCTGGAGTATGATGAGGAATCCCCGGCGTGCCATCCCAAATGCCATAACAAGAGACTATGCAATCCGCCTGCTAACCTCACAGTCTTGAGTTTCTGTTAGTAGAAGGTGCGGAAAAATTACTGTGTCACATACTTCACACTCTCCGACAACAATCGGTTTCTAAGCTCAACCTTACGAATATTAAATTCCGGAGCCGACTGTCACAGCTCCTCTTGTCCAATTCCCTCGACTAGTACACACGATTTTATCTAGGTTACGTAGTTGAAACTATGCGTATTGATAGCTGAGGAGCCGTAACTAGTCGACCTCAATCATGTCTAGTATTCCTGATAACTGGCCTGATATTGTGCGAGGCAGCAAATTTTACCCCTGCTTCAATGTGCTCTGCTCTCGCCATCATGGTATACTCGGGGAGCGATCCGAGGCGTCATGTAGCATCTTGGCCATTCGCGCGGTCCAGGTACTATTGTCTAATCTATCCCATGCAGACCAATTGGGGCTCACGGGCTGGTTGGAACTGCTCCGAGCCTCCCAGTAAGCCTTGATTTAAGGACACCTGAGATTTGTTGGTTTTTGCCATTGCGCTGACTGCTAGTTCTGCTATGCCGCACTGCATGAAGCTTCATCATAGGTAGACTGGCTTGCCCCCAAAACGTTGAATATCTTGAAGCAAGCAGCTCCGGGTTGGGCAACACGAAGCAAGGTCCCCTTAATTGTAGTGCTCAGGGTAGTCTAATTTGATGCTACAGGGTAGCATGAATATCCTTCGTAGCACTTGCACTGGTACGCTTAGCCGTTCAATACTGCTATTGAGCCCTCATGTGTCTGTTTTTCTACTACCCCTGCATCAACACCGACAATTGACCAGAAGATACCTAGGAAACAACGGAATTTCATTTCAAGAGCAGTTTTGAGCTTGAAATGTTTATACGGAGGGTGAAACGCTTGTATATATATGGATATCAGATGATAGTCCTTGGCAATAAACTCGGGTATTGGCATCGCGGCTGCGTTCCAGAGATTCTTGAATCGTTCAAGTTGGTGATTTGATTCATCCTGAATATGGCATTGCAATCGTCGATCGACGCATTTTGAGACCCGTTTGTGACACTTCAACATATGCTAATAAGTTAAGCCCGGCTGAGCAGAGTATACTTCAACAAGTACACTTCTACCGAAGATAAACACTTACTCGGCATTTATTTCATCGTTGTGGGGCAGAGACGTAGACCCCACACTACCAGGGAATTTCTTATCCTGGCTATTTACATGGCCAAAGCTGTTTAGCCATCGGAGGAAATATATTCGGCTTGTCTCAAAAAGAAAAGCGAGGTCCAATAGTGGATATGCTTGAACTGACATAGGCTTGTACACTCTAGACGTACGATACCAAATTCAACTGCATAAACAGAGAATGATCCTTATGTAACACCCTTCGACTAAAATAACATGGGAATAACACGGTTGTGCGAATGCCCGAACACATGTAACTGTAAACAAACCAGCAATGTCGACAGGCTCTTCGAGTGTGATATTTTCCCTAGTCGTGACTTGTTAGATGAACCTTCATGAGACCTTGACCACTAAGCCATATCCCGGTCATGAACGAAGCGTGGGGGGCAATGTTTTGGAGGTAGACACGATATCCATATAAGCGAAAACACGAGATATCTTCATCCTCGTCTGGGCTGGTGAAGACCCATATAATCGGCCCAGGGGCTTCTAGTCCCATCAAAAAGGGCCCCAGGAGCCAAGTTTGATCCGGGCCGGGCTAAGGGGATATGAGGGCGAAAGGAAGGTGCATCACTGGCATATTGGCATAGTAATGTGCGTCTTGTAATGCAAAGAGACAGACTCGGGAGATATAACCTAGACTCGGGAGATATGGCCTAGACTCGGGATGAGATCCAACATGAGCTGATGTTGGAGCGATCTTGATCTTCGAAGGTGATGTTACGGAGTATGTGGGGTGAGATTAAGCTTAATTGAAGTCCCACTTCGAACCCCTGAGACAGCGATATCTCGCTTCTCATTGTCCCGTCCTCCATTTCTGCTGAAGTAAAGGGGGTTGAGGTAATGGCAATTCGCAGTGCGAGGTATAGTGCTATCTATTCACTACAAATTTTGCATTCCAAGGGTTCAGTATTTATTTGCTCCCGCCGGTGTGTAGCCATATATCACAAGAAAGCCCGTGGACCACAGCTTTAAACCCCCCCTTCGCAGACGGAACCAGCTCATCCGAACCTCCGTACGGACCACGGTAGTTTTTTTGTTGAAGAATCTACTAGGATTGATCTCCGCCACATCCGCCTTAAATTCCTTGCTATCGATTGATCCTTCATTTTTACTTGGGCATTTGTTAGTTACACTAGATAAATCTATTTATCAGCACGGGTGTGATCTCTTGATATGGCTGTGATCATCTCTGATACAACTGTGGTATTATGAGTTTTACGATTGCACACGGGAGTAAAGAAAGGTTAATTGTATGTTATGTAATTTATATACAAAAAATGTCAGGTGGTTTGCATCTCAGTCTAGGCCCTGGGTGTTCTTTTGTCCCCTAAGCACCTAAGTCTCTCACTTATGTCTGGCCTTGATCAAATCTGCGGCCTGTATTTAAAAACTGGTTAGTCCAAAACTCTAACATGCCTATCTCGGCCACAGAAACGGAGCGCTTACCTTCTCAGCAAGGGCATATACGGTTGAACATGTGTGGGTAGCAGGAATCAACGGCATCATAGAAATATCACCAACACTCAATCCCGTCACACCATAAACAGTGAGATCGGACGCCACAACTCCACCGATATCTCTCGGCATCATCGCCGCCGTGCAGCAACCATGAGCAGTACTGGGGCCCATCCCCTGCTGGATAGCTTTAGCAAGAGCTTCATCTGTGGTGACGCTGGCGCCTGGTGATTGTTCTTGCGGGGTAAGTTCCGTTTGTGCCGCATACCATGTGCGAGCGAACTTGAAGACGGAAACCATGATATCAACATCGGCGGGATTGGCTAGCAAGTGGTAGTCTAGAGCAGGCTCGGCATATTTGTCACCTGGCTGCAAGGTAACGCTTCCACGGCTTAGGGGCTTCTCCAAGGACATTGCGGCGTTGCCCTGTCCCGAGAATGGGATCTCAATGACACCGCTCTTATTCCCAGCAAAATTCTTGGCTAGGATATCGCGCTGAGCTAGCCATCCCTTTTTGGTCACATCTGTGTAGATTTCAGGCAGATATTCCGCTGTTTGAGCTTTGATTTTAGCTACAATCGCTTGGTAGCCTGTCGGGTCGACATGGGGAAGTCCAACACATGCAAGTGTGTTCCCGACGCCGATAGAACGAGGGCCTTTCCTGTCCAGCCATTGCTCGTTGGACCATTGCTGGAAAGTTTGGTTCGTACGCACACCTCGAGGATTAGGGTTGACATCAGTCGTATCTATATATCCAAAATATTAGCTATTCATATCTTCTTTCGAGCTAAGTGGATGGAGTGGGCGCTTGAGAAAATTTAGCTATGCAATTGGCATAGATGTAGCTGCGTGAATTAAAGGTATCTTCCCCCCACCCTTTCTATAGCATCCGTTTGGGGCCTTGTGTTTACTCACATTGGTATGACATCTGAGCAACAGCATGGTCTTGGAAATTGGCTCCTACACCTGGCAAATCGACTAGTACCGGAACTTGAGCCGCGTCAAGGATAGCCTTTGGTCCGACACCACTGCGTTGCAGAACCTGTGGTGTGTGTAGCCACCCTGCGCAGAGGATGATTTCTTTATTGGCCTTGACGGTGGTGACACCCTCACCGTTGGCACCTCCTCTGACTTGCAAGGTCACACCAGTGGCGTGAAGATTAGAGTCGAATTCAACTTCATTTACTCGGTATCCGGTCAAAAGATTGAAATTGGTTCTTGAAGTAGCGGGGTCATAGTAGCCAGTTCTGGCATATGAACGCTGTCGCTTGTCTGCGGTCATAGCATCTGGGTTCCAGTATACACCGGAACCTTCGCCAGCAGCACCTTCATTCAAATATGGAATGCCGATATCTTTGAAGGCCTGTAGTTGGATCTCTGCAAAAGGTTAGAGGGTCAAAAGAGGATGTAGGATAGTGCATGAAGACATACTTGCGCCTGGCCAGTAAAAGCTGGGGTAACTTGCATGGATCGGGCCATCAGTTCCCCAAGCTGCGTCAATGTCCCAGGTGATATTGAAGTCTTTGGCCACTGCTTCATCAGGAGGCGTAAATGTTGTGGACTACGCAAAAGGGTAATCAGTGGGACTTGGAGCCTAGTTTGGAAATGGGCAGCTCAACTAACCTTCTTGAAATATGGAAGAATTCCGTCCCATCCCCATCCGGGGTTATTGAGAGCTTCCCAATTGTCATAATCTTCTGCAGCTCCGCGATTGAACATCATCCCATTGATGGTAGAACCGCCGCCAACTACAGCGGCAGCGTAGACTCCTTGATTCGCGATCGACGTGAGATTGTATAAGTCTCCTGAAGGATATTGGACCGCGCTTGACGGTTCAAGGACGCTGGGATTATTGTCAAGATATCCATACTCCACAACCAACACAGTACCTAATAAAATGAACATCAGTGGCGACTTCATGGACTAGAATGCACATCATTGGAGCTTACTGCTTGTATCCTCGCTCAATCGACTTCCAATCACAAGACCGCTCTGCCCCCCACCGACGACAATGTAATCATAAGACGGTGCTATGTCCCTGGCATTGATCAGTCGCTCATGAAGGCCGTTCAGAAGGCTGGGATAGCCAACACAGAGGCCAGATAAAACAAGTGCTTTGGTCAGGGCCGCCAACAGCATATTCCTAGGTGAAGCCATCGCGAGAAATGTAGGGATTGAAAAATAGAGTCCTATTCAACCGCAGCTGAGTGGCTTTCGCCTTAGTTATACTTGGATCTATCCTGGACATGGAATGACATCCGACCCACCCATCCTGGAAGGATTATAGCGGAAAGTATCTCCGTAGGGCTTGGCATGCTGGATCAGAATTATGAAATTGTTGGCTTTACTTGGCCAGATCTTATAGCCAAGAAGGTACGATCAGTGGACTGCGCTACCATTAAGGCGGACTTCCGCGTAGCCAAAATAAAAGGGGTTAAGGCAGCGATGGTTACCATGCTACAAGGTGGTACTGTTTCCGAGTCCCAGCAAACGCCGCCTTTGGTTGCAATATAAACAATGCGGGGAACAAACTGGGGTAATGGTGGCGAGAAACAACAAGCAGCATTACAACATAGAAGTCGTTGTTTTCCTCCCGGATAGGACGCTCATGATTTAGGCAAGATACCGCCGAAGTGGATGTGGGGTTTTGTTTCGGTAGAGAAAACAAACAGTACTAAGACGATTCTAGATGCTTGGGATTTTAATAATAAGTATTGAAAGGCGCGGTAATTGAGCCGCCTCCGTATGCTTCTCCTTGGAAGCAAGTCACTCACTCCCACTGCCTTCAGGCTGAACTACTTCGTCAACACGGAGAAACTGAGAACAACCGTGATTACGTGGCAGAAATCCAGCTACTGGATAGTCAGCAGACAGATACGAAGGTACATAGCGGCGCGGCAGGACTAAACACCCGGAAATGATAACCGATGTGATGTTTGTGGCTAGATATCTGATATGCTGAGATTGAGTTGTCGTGATTTATAGTCGCGGTTGGAGGTTGCAGAGTAATCGAGTTGGAGCCTGACAGGCGAGGCAACTAGACATATGTTATGTAGAGTCGGCCATGTAGTTATTCCGCGCCGTCAGAGCTAACCACTCTTGGAATAGTTCGTGCCCGTATGTGGCAAGTACGAGTACGAGGCCTCACTCGTATCCGTAGTCTCAAAATTCCATGCTTCATGTTCAAGCCTCGCGTGAATTGATCCAGACCACGACCACTTCATAACCATCCACATCCACTTCGCCATCCCAGCCAGGCTACCTCCGCAGACATTGCATTGGGCAGCTAGAGGCATAACGGGTCTCGTTATTAATAGAAAGGGTTGCGCTCGCGCGCATGCCTTCTGCCGTCAAGATGGCGCCGAAGATGACCAAAAACCAGATGAGGCGCGCGAAGAAGAAGGAGCAGAAAAAGACCCAGGTGAGAATTAAATCTTCCGTTCGGACATGTGCATGGATTCTAATGGCTCTATAGACTACACCCGCCCCTGAATCAGAGGCGCAGCCGGACATAAAGTCGGAACCAAATGAATCGGAACCGAAGGCTGAGCCAGAACCCAACTCTACTCCAGCTATAACAGAGTCAAAGCAGGAGACGGAGTCACTCCATGGAGACATCACGAGACTTGAAATCAGTGAAGATGATCCAAATTATGCGATGTACAAGGAGATCCTGGAGCGGTTTGGCACTAACGAAGAAGATGAGGCTGTAAATGATGCAAAGGCTGGGGACAAGGGCGAAGTTTTCTACGACGACGATGACGAGATACCAGACGAGGACGAAGAGGCAAATAAGGAGCCAAAGTTATCGAAAAAGAAGCGTAAAGAGCGGGACAAGCTATCCGTGGCAGAACTGAAGGCGCTTGTGAACAAGCCAGAACTTGTGGAATGGACCGACACCTCGGCATCGGACCCTCGATTACTTGTTCACATCAAGTCATACCGCAACGCTGTCCCAGTACCAACTCATTGGTCATTAAAGCGTGAATATCTATCCTCGAAGCGTGGTGTGGAAAAGCCCCCGTTTGCGCTCCCTAAGTTTATACAAGAAACTGGAATCGCAGAGATGCGGGATGCGGTGTTGGAAAAACAAGACCAAGCCAGTTTAAAGCAGAAGCAGAGGGAGAGAGTTCAACCGAAAATGGGCAAGTTAGATATCGATTATCAAAAGTTGTATGAAGCCTTCTTCCGGTTTCAAACCAAGCCCGAGTTGACGCGGTTTGGCGAGGTCTACTATGAGGGTAAGGAATACGAGACAAACTTGAAGCATCTGCGTCCCGGTGAACTCAGCGACGAGTTGAAAGAAGCCCTCAATATCCCACCTGGAGCTCCGCCACCATGGTTGATCAATCAACAGCGCTTTGGACCACCCCCGTCATATCCTTCCCTCAAGATTCCAGGCTTAAATGCCCCACCACCTCCAGGTGGCGCTTGGGGTTTCCACCCAGGTGGATATGGAAAGCCCCCTGTTGACGAGTTTAATCGGCCACTTTTTGGGGGAGACATTTTTGGCGTTTTACAACCTCAGGTCAACAACCAAGCAGGCGAGCCTGTCGAGAGAACTCTATGGGGCGAGCTACAGGCTCCAGAGGATGAGTCCGAGGAGGAAGAAAGTGACGAGGAGGAAGAGGAGGAAGATGAGGAGGATGTTGGGGCAGGTCTCCAGACACCCAGCGGCTTGGAGACTCCAGGTGGACTTGCGTCTGCAGTTCCATCGGAATATCCCGGCGACATGAGTGTTGGTGGGGACTTCGATCTGCGGAAGCAAAAGAGAGGTACCGAGACGGAAGAGTCAACTCACCCCAGATCCGCCTACACCGTCATTCCCGAGAGACAAATTCGTGCAGAAGGTTTCTTTGGTGGTGAGAGGGCTTACGATGTGGGAGCTACTCAGGAATCACGACTACCAGTTCTGGGGCAGGAAGACGATAGCAGGAAGAGAAAGAAGCCTGGAGATGTGGATGTTGCACTTGACCCCGACTCGCTACAGACTGAAGACGGTATTAGTAAGGAGGAACTCAAACGCAAATTCGACGCCCAGAAGAAGGAGGAGAAGGGGGCCTGGGCCTTTGAGGAGGATTTGAGTGATATGATAGCGCAAGAAAGCAGGAAGCGACAGAAGAGAGACGAGGAAAAGCGGGGCGAGAAAAGAGAGAGATCATATCGATTCTAGGTGCTTAAGTGGACTCTATAGTTCCTGTGCGGAGTTCTAGATGGACTTCAACGGAGGCATCTTGTATTATGGGCAGTGTAATATACAGCAATTAATTCTCAAGGCCCTATCCAGCTGCTTTGGAAATTACTCATGAACTACGGAAAGTCATTTGCATTGTACAAAGAAACTTGCTTTATGTAATACGTGTATGAATTATTTTTTCTCTTTGGCTGGCTTTGATTGCCTGGTATGAACAGCAGACCTAACCTCAAGGCTTCAGCAACACGACTTAAACTCAGGGGCGTGGCACGTGAACTGTGTGCCCAAACCTAACAAGCATACGGGAGCTAGCGGCCGCGTGCATTGGACGCCAAAAATCCCAACCGAACATTGACTTTACGTTACCAGGTCCGTACTTTATATCTACGTTCACGGTCTAAATACACACACCTTCGCACTTGCCTTCACCTTTGGTTAGTTGCCTTCAAGCTACCACGATTGAGTTCGCCAGGTGCAGCCAACTAGGATGCAAGGTATCGGCAACAGAGTTTAATCTCCAACGGAAGGAAGCAACAGCTGCGCAGCTCATTCAAAATGGATCGGGGTCGTGGCGTTGATCGAAGGTTCGTTCTTGTTTTTCACTTTCACTCTCCACTTTGTTCCCAGTGCCTGTTTTGTCTATACACCAATATTCTGCTGGTATCTCTATTGCAAAAGAGCCTATCGATTAGTGTTGGGTGCGAGAGAGGTATTGGCCTGTACGCCAGATCGACGAGACCCGCAAGGCTGGATCACGATGGCGAAGAACCGACGACGCGACGAGGAACACGCATACTCTCCTGATCCGCCTGACCCTCCTGCGCCCGGCCCTCCGGGACCATTAGGTCCGCCTCCAGGTCCTATTCCACCGTTCGAAAGCCAGGCACCGGACAGGGAATGTGACGGGCCGGCACAAGATGCTTCTAACGACGGAGCTTTATAGAGAGGGTATGTCGAGCATCCCAGGGAGTCATTATGCAGTGGGAGGCAGCCCATTATATATTTATTAAAGGCTGTTGTAACTGGCGTCGAGGGAATGGTGGTAGCTGGGGCACTACTTGGTGTTAGAGGGCAAGATCACAACCTGCGAAAGCCAAATCTTGCTACCCACAGCAATCCAAACTCTCCACTACCGATATCCGAGGCCAAGCGTAATGGCTCAGGATTCTACGGTCACAATAGCTTCGACAAGAAGGAGATGCCGACTCTACATTGGTCGACTATGATGGGTGCGGGACAGCAGATGAGGATTAGAATGGATATCGTGGACGATTCCTCTGGCCCGGAGCCCAAAAGGAGATGCTACGGTTTTCCTTCTGCTCGTTCAGGAGATTTAGCACATATCCCCCCTGCAATGATCTCCCAGCCTTTCTCCTCCGCAACGGAAGGTTTTCACAGGAGCCATAGCCACGCGGACGGAAACGATAGATTGTCTTCTCATACCACGTCAAAGCCAGGACCCTCGCCGATTGGTATCGGAAATTCTGTCGAGCTTTCTTCTGGGATCTATCCTGAGATTGAGAAACAATATACTCTAGGAGACCATCTCCTACAATAAGCTCCACATTAGCGAATTGCTACTTGGGACCATTCAAGCCTCCAGTACTAGCTGCCTGCAACCAAAAGAATCATCAGTTAGCAATCGTTGACCAGCTCCTTTACGGCTTTACGAATCATACCTAAAATCTACAACCCGGTCAATATTGTCCGCGCCTTACCACATAGACCAAGACCAAGAGTCTCCGGAACATGATGACTTGCCGGTCGACACGACCTTCCGGCAGGCTTCTGTGCAATGCCGGGAAAGCCATAACGGACGGGCTTCACACCGGGCTTCACACCGTAGACCACATTATCTTTACACTTAGTGAATTTCGAACCATCTGACCGCACGTCCTTTCCCTTGCCATACACCTCTTGTTCGTTACGCAGCCGCAGCCTCCGGGAGACGCCATACGAGCCCGGTGTATTTATTTCACGTCTACTTTGCACGCGGTGTTGAAATAATGCTAATTGATATTACACAGAGGAGACGGTGAAGTCACGAAAATGGGCGGCGGCGAATCATATAGGCCATTAGGCAGTCGACCACGATCCCCTCCTAGGGCTGACACTTATCGAACCGATCGAGACAGAGGAAGAACTCCACCTGCAAGCGATAGCTGGCATCCAAATAGAGATCGATCTCGATCTCAAAGGCGAAGGTCTAGAACTCCACCTCGTCGAGATCGTTCGCCGCCTCGAGAAAATTGGCGATCAAGAGGAAGATCCCCCCCTCGTGCAAGAAGCCCTCCCCGAAGATTCTCTCCCAGAAGGGATGATGATCGTAGACCAAGATCGCCACTGAGAGCTCGATCACCACCAAGACGAGACGAACGGTTGGTCTCCTGAAAACTGAATAGATCTGGTATTGTCAGCTAACGCTCAAACAAATAGAAGAAGATCTAGGTCACCATTCGACCGCGACCGTGCACCACCTCGCCATAGGTCACCGCTTCCTTCCCGAAGGTCGCCGCCTCCTGGTCCTCGAGGATATCGCCCCCGTTCTCGAAGCATGGACCGTCGAAATGATCGTGTCCCTACAGGCCCAAGCTCTTCAACCTGGAGACGTCGATCTCCTTCGCCTCCCCGTGAATCTGGACGATCATCTGGTAGGATTTCCACTAGTACTTCTGGACGCTCTTCACCTCATATTCATCCCGACCGATTGTCTCTTGCGCAAGCAGCGCCCCGTGATCCAAGAGCCCGCTCGCCTCCGCGAGCTCGATCTCCCCCAAGCCGGGCCCGATCTCCTCCGAGCCAACGTGCTCGATCTCCACCAATCCAACTCGCCTATAGGGAGCGCGACTCTGCAAGATCTACCCCTCGCGAACGCTCCCCAGTTCGAGCTGCTGCTCCAAGATCCCCACCACGCGGACCTGCAGGATTCAGGGCACCTACCGGGCCAAGTGGCGGACGAAACTTCACTGCTCCTGCTCGGTCACCAAGCGCATCTATTTCTATGTCCGCTCACAACAGGCCGGAGAATCCCTCTCCGGTTGTTCCTCCCTCTGGGCCTCGTGGGTTTGTCCCCTCTTCTCGGGGTGGTTTCATGAGAGGCGGCAGAGGTTCATTTGGAAGTGATCGTATAGGCCGTCCAGATCCTGGATCATGGGCCCCGACCCGCACTATCCCAGAAGCATCTCCGCGTGGCAGTACACCCTCAGGCCGTCCCACGCCAACATTGTCTCCACCAATACCCTCTGGACCATCCGCTTCAGCAATCCCTACTGGACCATCTGGAGGAATTCCTACTGGCCCGCGAGCTGGAGTCCCCACGCGACCACCCATCCAACACTCCTCCAGCGGCTATGGCTCTCGTACTGCACAGTCAAACGCCTCTTCTGGGCCACGTCCTCATCCTGCAATGGCTAATATTCCACAAATTATCTCCGGTGGTCGAATTGACCCTGCTGCATCTGGTATTTCAAATGACATTGCTGCACGACTTAAGAAGAAGGAAGAGGAAGCTGAGCAACTACGAGAAGAGTTGAATGCCAAGCAAGAGAAATTGAGGCAGAGTTTGAAGGGATGGGATAGGTTAAGCCGGGATAGTGCTTCGATGGGATTGAAGAGCGAATTGAGTGAGAGGCATGTGAGGATGTTAGCGGGGGAGGGTGTCGGTGGTGCTGCTTTTTAAGGTGTTGTCAGCGGTAATTTCGTCACGACCATCAATATGCTTACAGGCGTTGGCATAATTCATTGAATGATGACCTAGGCGTTTTCATGATAGAGCATTGGTGGCGTTGTTGGCCGCATTAATGAATTCCAATGCCCTGCATCTACTTTAGGATTGTGGGCAACTCAGCGTTAGATATAGCGACTAGACCCTACTGTAGGAATATGAACTGTACTATTTTCCATACATGATTCGCAAAGCGTTACCCGGTAGCGATCGGAAGCAGCAGGAGTGAGGTATTCTATGATTATGTTTTCATCGTATTATGGAATCATTAATTTACTGTTGGAAGTCACATTGTGTACTTCGTACAACCTCCTTGATTTGGGCGATTCGTCCCGATCAATCAGCAAGGTAATCTTCCACCTCAACACCAACACTCCGCCCTAAACTCCTTACAACATCCCAGCCTACGGCAACACGATACCTAGAACTTCCATCCAACGCATCCCCCGCATTCGCGGCACCTAGCTTCACAAGCAACCTGAGACTAGAAAGCGTCGCAATAGCCATGTACAAATCCGCACTCCCAATAACATCCTCCCTTCTCTCCATCCCGTCTCTTCTCCTCCCTTCCTGTTTCCGTGGCACTGACGCATCTTCTCTCAGATAGTGAAAAATAGCTAACATCCGCTCTACGACAAACGCTTGTGGGCCTAGTAGTTTCCGGGATATTTTCCGGTTTTTAGACACCCCCGGAGTTTTGGAGGTCAGAGCTGTCCCGCCGCCTTTCTTTTTTCGGCGAAGGGTAGCGGATTTCATGAAATGTATTATATCAGTGCGGGGTGGATTGAAGGAGGCTAGGTAGGCGGCCAGCAGGAGTAGGCGGGAGGTATGAGGAAGTTGGGCTGTGAGGCCCTGAGTTTGGGCTTGTGATTGTATTTGGGTTTGGATATTAGATTTCGTGCTAGGGGTGGGTAGGGATGAAATAATGCTCGGGACGAGAACGGCATCGTTCTGGAATAAAGATCGGTTTGCAACGAGGAGCCGGCTAAAGGGCGTTGGAGACAGCGACCCATCCAGGATGGGCTGGATAAAGCGAGGCCAGAGTCGTGAGCACACCCTTCGAAAAGATATAATGTCGCGGTCGGAGTGCTTGCTTAGGGATTCGTAGACCGCGGTGCTGAAGCGGGACCACACTTCTTTCGTGTCGTGCTTTCCCGTGGGCAGCTGTGGTGTTGGTTCTGTGAGAGATATGATTTGAAGAAGTTCTGGTTTTGTGTACGCTGGAAAGTGGATGTGTGGGACCCCGGGAAGGTGGAGGAAGTTTGGACGAGGTGAGGTGACGATATATATTACTGTGATATTGGGAATCTGAGTGTATGAGCATCGCATCACTGTGGCTATGATTTATTATGTATCAGTATCATAACTTACTATTTCGCCCAGTCTTGCGAGGGCCGGTAATAAGGTCGGCGGAGCCTCTCTCTGGCGATCAATGCCATCAAACACCAGAGCCAATCTCTTCCCCCCGGTATCGTGGTCATCTAAGGTTGTCCATCTATCGAGCATCTTCCCAAGTTCAACGACTAATTGGGCCAAGTTTTCACATCGCCCTATTTTCCCCTGCCATCCCACAATATTGGCTACTTCTGCCACAGTCTTCTCCAACAGGTGCCTCCCAGAGACACATTCTGTGCTGTTTATAATAGCATGTCGTAGCTGATCTTCGCTATCACTAGTGGTTTCGTCGGCCGGAGAGAGCTGGCCAAGAAGGGCTTTACTGATAGAACTTTTACCCGTTGCTTCGAGCCCGTAAAGAACGACATTTCGGCAGGGTGCTGCTCGGATCTGGAAGTGTACGTTAACGTTGATATTCAATAACATGCTATGATAAAGGTTGTGAAGGTTGCTTACAGAGAGAAGAGTGGCCAGGGACCGGATTTGTTGATCTCGACAAGGGAATCGAGAACAAAGAGAAGAAACTACCAACTCATTTGGCAGAGAGAACAGAAGGGCCATTGCGTTGTGAAGCAATTATATGCTCTGTTCTAGGAGCATGCTGAACAAGCCGCGTCTAGGTCCTGAGAGACGCGACGGGCAAATATTAATGGGCCGCATTTATGCCTCAGGCACCGAATTTCTTGACGATTATGCCACTTCAACAAACCACTCATATACATTAGAGAGTTCTATCTTAAACACTTACGTATATTATTTCAAATCTGGGCACTCGATCGGCTTCCTTATGTTTCTCACTTCTCCAGGAATTGAGTCTAGATACGTCAATGTGTTCTACGGTCACGTGTTGTAGGCAACAACAACGACAGTGACGACTCCACCGATATCTTTGCATCTTATTTTGGCCTATTAAATATCTAGGCAATACTTGCACCAATACAAGTTTGTATCTTCGTTTTACTCCATAGGAATTGGCTTCTGTAGTGTCTGGGATGCCGGACAGCGAGTTATTCGCCATGAAAAAAGAGTTCATCACGAAAAGACCCCATAAGAAGTCAAGGCGCGGCTGCCAGACTTGCAAAACAAAAAGGGTCAAGGCACGTTGGTTCTTATGGTATAAGGCAGCGGATCACTAATGACTTCTAGTGCGATGAAGCTCGCCCGAAGTGCACTTATTGCGGGAAAAAAAGTCTTGAGTGCCACTACGATGTCAAAACCGCACGATCAAGCTCTACATCTATGCCAAGTCCACTATCTTCCTCTTCAATTATAGAGGAGGTTCAAGCTTCTCGCAACAGCAGCGAAGAAGTCCAGAACCCCCCCGAATTATGGACTTTGACCAGAGCACCACGACCAACAATCATCGCATCTGCTGGAGATTTATCGCTAAGGGATCTACGTCTGATGCACCACTGGTCAACTTTCACTTGGAACACCCTTACCGTCGGTGATGAGGCCAATAGGATCCTCTTGGTTACCGTTCCTCAACTTGCCTTCGAGAGCGAGTATCTGTTATATTGCATACTCGGCATATCCTCGCATCACCTAGAACATGTTGATCCCACCTCCCGCGACAATCGAGCCTCGACCGCCATATATCGAGTCAAAGCACTAAAAGCTTTTCGTGAAGTATTAGCACGAGGTGATAATCCGACTCTAAACTGGGAAGCCGCCCTAATGATGTCGTCACTGTTACTAGCCCTGTGTTCGATGGGCACGCAGAAAGGAGAAGGGGATTTTACGATAATCAGTTGGCTTACATTATTCCGTGGTTTAAAAGCCACCATGATGATAAGAGGCCCCGAAGCACTCATGATGACAAGCGTATCTCCCGTTTTTCGACGAATTCTCACAGAGCTTCACATTGGTCCTATTATACCCAAAATCCTTCTCAGCCTACTTCAAGGAGTGCCTGAATTAGATCCCGACTTTCAATACCTTGAATCATATTACCAAGCGCTTAACGTACTGGGGAGTCTCTATGCAAGTTTAGCTCAAGATGGCCTAGCCCCGGCATTGGTCATGAGAGTTATCGCATGGCCAACCTATCTTACTGAAGATTTCGTAAATTGTGCGAAAGAAAAACGGCCCAGAGCACTGATTATCTTGGCGTATTTTTTGGTCTTTTTCAACCTTGCCGAGGGTTTGTGGTGGATGGATAGAATGGGGGATACAGATATCAAGGCCATTGCGGAGACAGTAGGGACAGAATGGCTACTATACTTGAGTGTGCCCCTTGAGGCTACGACCACAAGAAATGCGGAGGAAGTTGCAAGATTACTACTCAGGGAATTAACTTGACTCCGTTATCAACACTGATCAGGAGATACTGGATAGGGTCCTCGAGAGTCGGCCATAACTTATAGGCTAGGGCGCTATTGGTACATATTCCACTCGATCTTTGGCAAATGCAACTTTCAGATTGCTTTGAAGATATTCTTGACCAGAGGATTTCCTTGCCCAGATAGCAGAGGATCAACAAGGGGTCGGCGCCAATGCCGTGGCTAATTTATTCCTTGGCAGTCGATACGCCCCCACTTGTTATCTCCATGATTCCAAATGGCCCTTGGTGATATCACGCACAGTCTGCCCATATACGGCCCCCCGAACTTAGTCAGAGCAAACATGCCCCTTCTTTCGAACGGAAACCGAAGGTTTTGAGCTTTGGACAGCGGACAAGCCGAATGAAACCCAGATCCAATTCTACTGCGGGCAAAGTCAGAATATGCAACCACCGCCTTGATCGGAACTGTGAATGCATATCTATCTCTCCAAGGAGTCTACTCTTTGATAAGAACCGCCGCTCACGGCTTGGCAGTTCTTCGTCGGTCAATAGGAGTTCAATACCAGAAGATCCGTGGATATTCCTAAGATCTTAGTCTCATCGGTACTATATCGTACAAGGTTAGAAGAACATTGATTGTATGATACTCATTATCTTACCAGAAATTAAATTCATTGTTATTATATCTTTTAACACCGGTTGCTAGCTCGAGTACTTCATTCTCGACCGCACCATACACACCGCTAGCAAGGAATGCAACAAAGTCTATGGAGATCGATTCGGAGATCCTCTACTCGCCTGCCGGTGCTTGCAAATGGATTCGACTTTGCATGTTCATCAAATAACGGGCAAGGTTTTGTGACCCGCTCTGCGCTTTAATGGTACATTACAGGGATAAATATTTCGATGATTTTAGATACTATATCTCCCGCAAGTGGGGCTTGGTTTAATGCTATATTCAAGTGGTTTTTTATTTGCTGCGTCCACTTCCTTATTTTCGGCTGCTCTTGGTGTATTCTTGCGAACTCCAACTTTATTACTACAGGTGCTTCTGTCAGTCTCGCCATTGCGAGATTTGGCTGTATTCCCTGCTAGCTGTAGTATGCTTATGGCGCTCTCAGTCATCGGTAGCATCCGCCAAACTCAAGGATATCAATCAACGTGCGCTAGCAGTTGGGGCATTTTGAAGTTCATCGAGGAATGGTCATTTGTTACACACCATTTTGGTTTACTGAGGGGGGATTTTTGGTGCATATCGCTATTCTAATATATGTTTGCTGTATAGTTTAATGCTAAATTGAACCACGTACCACCTCCGAATACTTAACACCCTTCTCTATCGTCTGGTATCAATTGCTGTACTTCAATGGTTGTGCGACTACAGCAACATCCACAGGTTTAAAACAAGGATCCGCTACTTCAATGACCCTCTATTTTGCTGTTTCTGGACTCTTCCCATCTAAAGCTGGCATTATGTCACCGTATTAGAGTTCCTCTTCCTCACCTGGCACGACTTCCACAGTTGGTTGGAGATTTGGGTTACTCTTAACCACAACATGCGCTTTGGATACTACCCTTTGCGCATCCCCCGACCTGGTTCGTCTAACTAACATGCCCTTTATTGCAAACGCAATATCAAAAAGTGTTCCCTCTTCGAACAACTGTGATCCAGCTCCATCGATTCCATAAACGAAATGATTATCATCCACTATTGTCATGCCTTCCGTGGGCATCTCAATTACAAAATCGTCTCTGGAGAGCCTCAAAAGCAGCATAAGGCGGAAGCCAGATTGGCATAAGCCGAGTACTGCATTATGAAGGTCTTGATTTTGCGAATTTTGGGTGATTGGCGCCAACAATTGCTCAATCCCGACAGTGAGCTGCTCAGCTTTAGAGCTATATGCTGGCATGAGTCCCCATCCCGTATACGAATCCGACAGCCAATGCGCGCATTGGACTGTGCGTGCTCGCCATTCTGCGATATTTGCTCGATGAACTGCGACAAATGATTAGCAGGACGGTGTACATTAAGGGACGTGGGCTGATAGTTCTTACCCCCATGTGCATCTAGAACGGTCAAATGTGTTTCAAACTTTTCCAAGTTCCTCTCGATATCTAGTCCCTCTACGCCCCGATGGAAATCCTCTAGTCCAAAATATGGGGATCTAAATATGGTATCTTGTATGGCTATAAACAAGGCCGCTTGAATACGGTATTCAAGTCGTTCCTTAGAGAGCCCTCTACTCCATTCCCCTAGAAGCTCGCGCTGCAGCAAGGTTACTGGGGAACACGGCGTAGTACCATCATCTGGGGTGATAAGCCGTGCTGACGGATCAACGATGCAATAGCGCTGGACGATGCTGTGGATTTGGTCTGCGATTGTGGTGAAAGCTTGGTCGATATGGTCATCCGTAGGATGCAAATTGTGTTCATGCTCATCATGATCTTGTTGAGTCGCGCTATTGATGGCGTTTTTCATATCTGTTAGTTGCTGATTCTTCCACACCAGATCTACAATTGTATCTTCGAGCTGCCTGATCCGCGCTTCTAGTGCCGTTATTGATGCGGATGAATCTGTATTACCTGGGCTAGAAGGTAAATTTGCCTGGACTTGCCCCCGTAGGCGTTCTCTCTCTTCTTCTAGCTGTTGGATATACAATTGCTGTCTTCTCTCCAGTGTCGACGGGTATCTATGGCTATAGGGAAGGCTCACCCCTCTTGGTTCTATAGCTAGTTCTTGCCTCAAGTCCCGGAAACCATCCTCTATTGTGTTTTTAAGTTCATCGAGTCTAGGGCCGACTATCTCCCTTATAGGCCCAAAATCAGTCGCGGTAAGAGTGTGTGCTACTTCTAGTTCCCGGAAGCCATCCGCGATCTTGTGTTTAAGCTCGTCGATGCCAAAGCGAACTGTCCTCCTAATGGTCCCGAAATCCGCTGTGGTAGGAGTTTCGGCTAGAGTGAGATTTGGAGCCGTCATACCGGTTGAACGTACGCTCTGTTCAATTATGGATAATGTCAAAGAAGTTGTTTCTGCTGTAAAAATTTGACTAAATGAGTTTTGCCAACTTTCTAGGCTTTAGTAAGAATTTTGGCTATTGAGCAAGTTAGGGTGGAATTGGTCCCACAAAGGACTCCGAAACTGATTGCTCCTCAACGTAAGTTCTTTGGAATGTTGACCTACTTTGAAAGAAGCTCATTCCGCACCCAGTCTAGCGAGGCCTAGAAGTAGATCCTGCGCGTAATACTTGGGGAAAGAGGCGCCGTACCACCCGGCCTTATATAGCTAAACTCTATCGACATCTAAAGCAGATCTACTCGCAAATAAAGAAATTAATAAACTGAAGCATACGCAGCACCGGGTCTCACATTCGATCACGACCGAATTTGTAGAGAAGACAGCGGATATTTACGTCGGATGACTTGTCGGCGGCAAAGCTATTCCATAAAGCATAGACATGAGAAACCGCTTTATTTCAATGGCAGACTTAGATGGGATACCTTCCAATGGCGGTACTTAATTGAATAGCATAGAATATATGTAATAGAACTCGGAGCGTTGAATCCTAAGGTATTCATATTCATGCTACGCACCTGGACAGCCTGAATACCACCCAGGAACATTAACCTCACATCGTTTTCCCCTCCCTTGCACTCCCCCAATCCCTTTCGAAATGTTCCCATCCGCCAAACGGCGAATCCCACATGCTTAACCCCATCACAACAAAGTCATACGAACCATCAGCCGGCAGTTTACCAGCACAGACATTCCCACCCATAGCAACGTTTATAATCACTCTCCAATCACTCAACCTTCTCGTGCCCGCTGGTATATCCCCGCGCATCACAACTTTCCCATCAAGATACCAGATCATTTTACCCGGCGCGCCATCCCTATCCTCCTCTTGCATCCACGCAAATCCAATCTGTACTTCTCTCTCCGGCATAGAAGGGACATCGGTCTCGATTACTCGGTGTTTATTCCAATCTTCGCCGTTGAAATGCCCCCAGTGTAAACACGAATGATTAACACAATCCCCGTTCCAGCTTTCGAAAAGATCCACCTCGCCATCATTCGGCCATGTGAAAGGTTCCGCGGGGAGAAGCCAGAAGGCGGGCCAGATGCCAGTCGCACATGGGGCGCGCACAGTGGCAGTCAGAAATCCTCTCGTCCTGCTGAGCTTTTGGTGTGTATTCAATCTCGCGGACGTGTATTTGTCATTCGGAGTATTGGTGTTAACAATGGCACGGATGACCAGTTGGTTGTGGGGTGTGAAGAAGCTGTTTGCTGGGGATGTGGTGTAGTTTTGGGACTCATTGTTGCCCCAGCCGTGGGCGCCGGTTTCTTGGATAAAATGTGCGCTGACGGGAAGGGAGGGATCGAAATTGGGCTGCCAGTATGGCTGGGGTTGGGTTTGAGGTTGAGGGGCGGCATAGGAGGGATGTGTTTCGGTGGGAATGGGAGGAGTTGGGTGATACCATTGCGGCTGTTGTGGTGCTTGGGGAGGCTTGCTCCAGGAGGGGACGGGAGGCGGTGCGTTGCTGTGGGATGACGATGATTGCTGATCGGTATACTCTTTTAATTTTGCTTTGCTCTTATTGACAATGCCGTCAAAGGTCTGGCGGAAAGACATTATTGCAAGGCGATGTTTGAAGTTGCTAAAGCTCTAAGGTGACGAGGTGGCGGCCACGAACCGCGGGGTGGGGTTGTCCGTGTGGGGATTCTCTCTGCACCAACAATGCAAATACTGAAATTAATAGAAATTGTTAAAATTGGCATAGATTAAACTAAGTGCCGCCGAGGCCTTTACTAGGGAAAATAATTAATATCAACTAGTAGTATCTTGGGTTATGGTACCAAGGACTATCTCGAATGGGTTATTCAATCCAAGCCAATTAGCTTCCACTGATTCTCGTCTTTGGATAGTAGCGCTTTATTTGCTAAAGTCCTAAATTATTTACTTCAGATAAAGCATTTTCTAAGCTGTAAGTTATAATTGAGATGAATTGACTAGCGCGCATGAGCAACTAGCAGCTACGCGCCAATTATTATATCACTGGAGACCCTAGAGTTCTTCCCAGTCTATAATATTCTAAAGACTTGCTACTATCCAGGTGGTCTAGACAGCTCTTAGTATTAATGGCAACGCAAATCGAACAAATACTCCAACCTACCTAGGCATATAGGGGTCCATACGCTGGAGCGAAAGAGCGTCATTTATAATCCCTACTCAGTATTGATCAGTGTTGTTAGTAGTGCGCCGCCCAGCCAAAGAGCTTTTAACATGTAATGTAAACCTTTTGTGCGCTTCCCAAAAGATCAATACGATGCACTAGAATCTCTCAGAGACCATTATGTAAATCAAAACATATTCTTTGCTATTCCCTGTGTATTCCCACATTGTTCTCCATGTTGATAAGTAGCCCCCCTTCTACCCATAATTCGCATCCACGCTCCCAATCTCTGTGCCATGAAGTTCAAGAGAGAACTTTAGAGTGGCACCAGTCGTAACAACAAGGTTATAATGCACATCAACATAAGGAGCACCATCACGGCCAATTCTCTTTTTGAATTTAGAGCGGTCAGCACTCCTCAAGTCGGCCGTCAATACACAGTTCGTTTGCGTAGTGGTGCCAGGATGAGTAGGTGGGACTTTCTGTTCGCTTTGCACCAGGGCGTCTTTGAAGATAAGGTCGTCGGCGTCGAAATTTTCATCGAGGGTGCGGTAAAAGGGAAAATTGATCTTGTTTTCCCGCTTGAGGTCCTCGCCTTTGTATATATACCAGGTCATCTAGCAGCAGTTAGTTAACTAAAAGCTCCGGTATGGATTACCTACCCGCTTCGCTCTGTTCCTCCCATCGGAGGCATCGAAGACCATAGGTTGGTTCTTGTCAATTGCATCGTCGTATATTTCCATTGCTGAGACACCATAATGTCGAGGTGCCTGAGTTGACACAACGCTTGCCTGTTGAGGCAATCTGCTCAATACAGCACCTCTTTTCACGAGTTAGAAAAATCTATCCTATAAAATTAAAGAGTGACCTACTTGACAATAGCAGACCAGGCATCATGAGGCTGGATGATTTGAATGTCGGGATGGATTGTTTCAAGGCGACCTTTGAGATATTGACTTGAGCCAAAGCCCCCTAGTGAATGTAAGCATAGACACTATTTACCAGTGGCTATTAAGCATCCATCTTCCGTTTCCTGGGGCTAGTGGGGTCATGTACCAACAAGGAATATAGCCTATATCATGTTAGAAAATGGCCACTCAACCTTGATTTGAGGCGATATCTTTCTTACCTTAATTTCTTGAGCCTTAGGATGCTGATCGCCCATCCTTTTCACCTTGACCAGATTAACTTGGTCGTCGACAAGTCGCTCGATATCCAAGATTAGAGGGTCAAATATCTTTTTGACATCATCACTAAAATTCGTTAGCCAAGGCTTTCCCTTATCCGGACTTCAAATCACACTTACCCTTTCATATTCCAACAGTTTGAAACTAGATTGTTAGTAGGATCGTCTTCCAAATTTGCCATTGGGAAATTGATATAATAATCTTCGTCAGAATTACCACGGAAGGCGGTCTTGATCGTCTGATCGAATTGTATTGTAGCTTGTTCGAACCCCTTTGTTTTCCGGAGAGTGTAATACTGGTCTTCTCCGACGAGCTCCTTTACAGACTGTTCAAAACGTCTGTTGAGTCCTAGAGACCCAGCCATGCCGCCTTTTAAGGAGTTAATTAAAGCTAGTGTAACGGGGGAATTTCGTGGGAATACCTTTGGGGAGAACCAATTCTTTCAATTCTAGCCTTGGTGACATGCTCGTGATCTCGTAAGATATCAAATCCACGGTGCCGCCACCTGCATCACAGATGACAAAAGCGTCCCCTACCTATATTATATGTCAGAATGCAACGGTAAAGAGGAAGGGCGAAACCGACAGCCAACGACTTCTCTTGCAACGTATGAAGTGTATACATCGCAGCCGCCTCAGGTTCCTTAATAAGCGTTATCGGGTGGATTCCAGCTTGCTTCGCTGCCTACTGCAGTCGTCAGTATTGCTAAAATTTAAAGGGGGGTGAAGTACAATTAGAGTTGTATTCATAGCTTTATCTGACCAGACAGCAGGCACGGAAAGGACAAACTGTTTCTGGCACATGAGAAAATAATCCGAGGGAATGCTGGCTTCGATCTTAGCAAGCGCATGCTTGTAAACCGCACCAATGAAGTCAGCGGCAACATCGACAGGCGGCTTCCCAAGCTTTTTCAGGTCTGCTTTGGCCGTAGATTCTGGGAGATAGATAGGCCTTGGCTGATCTGGATCCAGAAGCAACTTGACCCCTTGAACCGCGTTGCTTTTGTGTTTCATGCCACCCCAAGTAAAAGAGGTCTTATCGTCCGGATCGTAGCATATCACGGTTGGCACTTTGGGCTGCTTGCGCCCTTCCAATCCTATGGGTTTCATTCGTGAGAATGCAATCCTCTTCCACGAAATATGAGGGTTAGCTTACCAGGCCAGTCCATAATGGAAACTAATTCCGGCTTGTTCTCGCTCGCAAATGCGTATGCGATCCCGCTGAATGTTGTTCCAAAATCAAGACCAATAACAAGTTGATCATCTGACTGATGGACTTTCAGGTTATGAAGGCCATTCTCTACGCCATCGAGGACTTCCCGTAGGTTTCCCGTATCATGATCCATCTTGCTGGTATGTTATATCGTCTAAACAGGAATGCGATTGCGATTATTAGACGTCGAAATTCTTGGAATTAAAAGACAATCGGGGGGTTGTGCTCATTGATACTTGGTGGAGAGAGAAGGCTGCGTCAGGTGTCACCGGAAAGGCGACCGCGACTAGACTACAAAAGCAGCAAGCTGCTCCATGAATAGTTTCCAGAATTGCTTTTAGCATTTCCTAATATAGCCCTCCTATGAGGTGTTATGGTGGTGGCGCCCGGCGCACCTCTTCACAGCTGGGGGTTAGCGTTGACGGCTCGTGCAGATTAAGCTTGTTAGAGGTAATCTATGAGCGCTTTAAGGCAGATGGAACTGGAACATGATTTCGGGGTCCAAAGCTGAATAATGGGGTGAGTCGCACGAAAAACGCCTCTATTGACTGCCACTTTGTGTCTGAGGCTATGCGGCTCTCTCATGACGCTCTAATTGGGTGTAGATAGCTGGCTAGATGAGGAGGGGATGGGTCTCAAGAGCGGCAAGGCTATCATGCGTTTCTTCCCGGTGTTGGGCTTTGGCCTTTGGGCGTTGGGCATTGCGTAACTGGGTGCCTCATTATTGCGCATCGGCTATCGAAAGCGCCACAAGATATGAGCTGAGACAACCCCTGGACGGAAATGTCCGTCCCCAGCTTGTAGGATTCCAGCAACTTGAACGAAGAAAGAGGCTCGTCGCTCTCACTCCCACCTTGCATCAGATTGTCTGCATATCTTCAGTATCTGCAACAATATCCCCCCTCTGTCCCTCCCCACACAATATTTTCAGACTACCCAAATACTTAAATTTCTACTTCTACTTCTAGACATTAGGGGAAAATGGCCGGGCGCAGTGCTGGTGGGCGCAGTTCGGAACGCAATATATCTGGACAGGAAATAATTGAAGCACACACCATCGAAATGCCCAACGTCAAAACTGTGGAGTATCATACTGCCACGCAGCATACCTCATATACCGCCGGGCCCCTCAAGCAAATGCTTGACCAGAATGTGCTCGAAATTAGGCAGGAGATTGAACGAGGAGTGAACGAACTCAAGGTCGACTTTCACAACCAGGTCCAAAGCATCCATATCAGCATTCCGAGTCAAGGAGCAAGTGGGAGTAGCGTAAGTGTAATGAGCTTAATTTTGATTCCTGCAGCCAGTTTGATGTCTTGTAGATCTCGAGTACAGTTGGAACCCTCTGGAAAAGCATGAGGCCGCAATCTGATCCCGCCGAGGAAGAAATCGAGCGCCTAGGTGTTAAATGCAGGAAGCTGAAAACCGAAATCGGAGACCTCAGGGAAGATAATGAGAAACTAAAGAGAGAGAGGGGTCGATGGGAACGTGAGCAGAAGTCTATCATCTACCAGGATTCGGAAGAGAATGCACGCCGCGAGCAAGCAATAAAGAGAAGTAAAGAGGCCGAAGCAAGGAGTGCTCATCTCGAGCAGCAAAATAAAAAGCTCGCTGAGCAGGCTGCAAAGTTTCGCTCCATTATCCTCAACCAAACCAGTAGCAGCGGAGAAGCAATCGACGACTCAAGAATCACAACGCCCTTCATCGACATCAGAGGGCAAATACAACGGATTGTCTTTAAACACTATTCGCCAGTCCAGAAACCACGGCCGTTATCAGCTAGTGCAACCCAGAAGCAGCGCGAATTCTTCGACTTCTGGGAACAAGGTCTGTCCCAAGCGCAACTCAAAAACAGAACTCGTGCGGTGATTTTTGAATTGCTCAATGAAAATCTTCTCTCCCACCCTTGTTTTGGGCTTGATGATTTCGAACCTGCTGGGCAACTAGAGTCGGCACTTGCTGGCTTTGAAGTGGCGTTGGGGAGTGTCAGTCAAGGTAACATGATTGGGAATATTTGCAACTGCGAATGGTATGCTAATCCACTCGCTAGGACATGAGTCTGAGATCATAGAATGGAGAACACGTACAATAAAATGCGCCCGCTTACTCAATGCGCCCGAAAGCACGAGGCCAGAGAAGGTTGCAGAATTGATATGGTCCTTTATGGCGCCGATTTTGCCCCCAAAGACTCCAGCTTACGCTGATGCATATGAAGATCTTAGAGAACTACTCTTGCGATTGTGTACTTGCACATTAAATCTCACCCTTCTTATGCGGGGCTGCAAAGATAACTTCAAATGCGAGACGCCCAAGGCAGGACAAGACTTTGCCGATGAAGATGCTGAGGCGCAAGTATCAGAGAGGGTCGGTTCTCAGGATGCTGAAGGTTCCAAAATAGCCTTCGCGCTAGCAGGGGCGATTGTCAAGTACCCTGAGAATAGGCCAGAAGATAGAGTTATCCTGGAGAAAGCGCATGTAGTTGTTAAAGATTGATACTTCGCAGGGGGAAGGACAAGCAATGATACTCTCGCTATCAACAGAAAAAGGGGCACTACCCTACTACAAAATACATTCTAGATCTAAGAGAACTGGAAGAATCATTAATTGCATTTGAGACACCTGGGGATAGTATCTATTGAATCTGGTCGTCTTGGAAGTAGATATTCTAGTAAACTGGGATATCGTTGTCGGGTACTTTGGTGTATCGCTTCATCGTCCATCGCGGTATACTATATAGTGCAGTGACGAGAACACTTCTGTCATTTAATAATATTTCATGTCGGCTGTTGAATTTTACTCTGCTGTCGCTGCGAATATTGATCCCACATTTTCCCACCATGCACTTCCTGGGCCCTGGTCGGCTGGTAACTGGGCGTGAAGAAACGTAGCTGACGATTCCCCGCCATGGGCATGGTGAAAGGCCGTCTCTGACTCGTAACAATTATCACAAATGATATAGTTCAAACACTCTTGACATGTCATATGACCATCACGATCAATATAACCCACTACATCCGTCAGTCCGGTTTTCCAGTGATATGAAGGGGAATCTAAACATACTTTGCGAGCACAAATCGCACACGTATTTCGCATTCTGATAGAAGTCATCAGGTGCCCGCCGTTCAACCCAGGTACAGACTGTAAGAACTTTATGGCGATGGGATATCTCGCCTGTTGTGAGGCATGCCTCACAGAAATGGGCAAAACATTGAGAACAGAAGCCGTTCTGTTTTCCGAAGGTTAATCCTTGGTATATTGTCAGTGACATATACATATATTATAAAATAAGAATATTACCGTGTTCGCAACGTTCACATTTCGAAGTTGATGTAGTTTCGTTTTCCTCAGGCTCGTCTGGCTGAACACCCCGCTTGAAGCACATCCGCCAGGCTCGATAGTTCAGATTCTCACTGAGTGCAGGGCCTAACGTGAGGATATATTGCCTGTGGGGATGCTCTTGTACTATCTTTCTGGTTATTTTAGGAAATTCTTGTGAAGGTCAGTCAGGTGACAATGCTCAGAGGCAACACATTATTACCTTCCTGGCACTCTCCGCATGTAATGGAGAGAAAGGTTTCGTCTTCCTGAGATTGCTGGTAGCGAAATGATATGAACTCATGGGTCCTGTCATGATGTTTTGCCATTGAGGAAAAGCACGACCTGCATAACGCTGGGCTTGCACCATAATCTACCCAGCATGTTTTACAGGTCATCAGTAAACCCCAACCCGTACCTTTGACATTATATTGTTTCAGTTACTGTCCGATACCAGCTCATTTTGATTATGGAAAGCTAACGTACCTTGGCGACACGAGTCACAGTGAGAAAGCGAGCTATTCGAGGGGCAGAGATCACATGTAGCGGCTCTCATAGGTTGGACCTCGAGTCCTGGTGGGCAAATAAAGGACATCTTTCGATGTTCATGCTGGTTGAACGAGTCGACCTTAGTCTCCACGCAGCTATCACACCAGTGCCTGTAGCAATCATCACAAGTCCAGACAACATGTTGGAATTTGAGGCAATCGTAGCACCTTTTCTTATGTACTGGGGTTGCGGTTGAGGATGGCTGAGCAACGACAACAATGCAGCCCGTTCGTAGATGCGAATCAGGGTGGCTCTCATGACAATCATCACAAAAGGTCATGGCACAAGCTTTACAAAACAGATACGGCTCGTCATAACAGATTCCTAGTACACGTCAACCGCCTAAGAAGATAAATTTTAACTCTAGTAGCTACTTGCCCTGGTTGCAGTGTCCACAGTCCGCGCAGAGCTTGGGTGGTTTAACAAGCGTGGATGTCATGTTTAACAGAGTTCAGCTGTGACTCGATCCAGGTAAATGACAGATGGTGCGAACTTGCGAAGAAAAATATGCGAACAAAAGATGTCCAAAGCAGCAAGAAACTGCCGCTCTCGTCTTCGCCTGTTCGATACGATTAGTATTTTGTTAGTCTCGCACTGCCATTCCCAATATCGAGCGGATTCGAGCCCGGTACCAGCTGCATGCCACAACTCAAGTCTGTGGTGGCGACTACATTAGCGTTGAATTTCTGCATGCAATTAATTGCTAGCACGGACGAAAGTAAAGAAAGAAAGTAAGGCTGATGGAGGGCCGGGGGACTCTGGCTGTTGTGGCCCTTGTGAGTGATTGGAGCTCAACCCATAAAGCGGCGATATATCAATATCCGCCTCCTCAGCCGAGGCTGAGATCTCCTAAGGATATTGAGGCTCTGCAGAGCCTAGGCCATTCTGGCCCCAAACGGGGCAACGACTATGCATCTTTAATAGTAGTAACTATTGGGTGGCAGAAAAAGCAACTGGCGCAGAGGAATCCTCATTAGAAACGGTAGTTGCGACGTGTCGAGATGCAACTCATGTGAGCCGGGGAGCGATGTGTCTTAACTTGCTCTGCCTCGTTACACGTACAGTCTGCAAACAACGGCCCTACGAACGGAGACTATCGAGGCTGTGCTTCAATGATGGAAGGCACAAGAGCAGAGTTGTGGATATAGATGTAGAGTAGTAGTACGACTGGATGCGGAGGAATGTAAATCCGGAGGATTGCAATACGAGTGCGTGCTCGTACTCGTATATCGGGTATTTGTGCCTGAGGACCAATAACACTTTACGCGACTTTCTTCAACAAGACGCGTCTCACGTCGTCTGTGATCCCACCTGCCCCTCTGTAGTAATTACATTATCATCTAATTATAACGGCAAGATGTCCGACTACGAGGATGAAATGGATGTTGATGCGCCCGCGGTGCAAGATTCCGTCATGTTCAGCTCGGACAATGTTAATTCAAAGGGCAAGAGAAGTGCTGCGAACCTACCAGTTGAAGCAGAAGATAATCTTCCTTGGTATGGATTTGCCCTTATTTGGCACCCGTGCTGTATATGCTGAATGTTTCCAAGGATTGAGAAGTACCGCCCAGATACTTTGGAGGATGTTTCTGGCCACCAAGATATTCTGGCGACAATTAACAAATTTGTGGACTCAAATGTAAGCAATATTCTAGCTTATAACGGAAGCCCTGACTAATAAGACCGCAGAGACTTCCTCACCTGCTGCTATATGGCCCTCCTGGGACCGGTAAAACATCTACTATCCTTGCTCTTGCTCGGCGGATATACGGAGCAAAAAATGTGCGCCAGATGGTCCTTGAACTCAACGCCTCAGACGACCGTGGTATCGACGTGGTCCGGGAACAGATCAAGACGTTCGCAAGCACAAAACAAATCTTTACCATGAACCCGACTTCTTCCACGACAACATCAATTGCGGCGTACAAACTCATTATACTCGATGAGGCAGATGCAATGACCTCGACGGCCCAAATGGCACTGAGACGAATCATGGAGAAATATACGGCAAATACCCGATTTTGCGTCATCGCAAATTATACACATAAACTGAGTCCAGCATTGCTGAGTCGCTGCACTAGGTTCAGATTTAGTCCGCTGAAGGAGGTCGATATCCGGGTACTAGTGGATAAGGTTATTACGGAGGAGAATGTTCAAATAACACCAGATGCGACGGATGCGCTTGTAAGACTGAGTAAAGGTGATATGAGAAGGGCATTGAATGTGTTACAAGCATGCCATGCCAGTAGTAAGTTGGATGCTCCCAACTCACAGGTTTTAAGTTGCTGACAGTTCCTGGCCAGGTACACCCCTTCACCTAAAGGGCACACCGAAGCCCCCCGAGAAGGATATAAAACGAGATACGATTACCGAAACGGCAATCTACGAATGTATCGCCTCTCCACACCCTGCAGACATTAACAAAATCCTCACTACGCTCCTCAAGACCACAGACGTCACGTCCTGCTTGCAACTTATCAATTCCCTCAAGGCTACCCAAGGACTAGCATTAGCAGACATCATTACTGCACTAGGCGAAGAGCTCATGAAGCTCGACGTCCCGGCGCCTGTCATGATAACATGGCTAGATGGACTAGCTGAAGTGGAATACAGGTTAAGTGGGGGCGGCAGCGAACTTGTGCAGACAGGAGCAGTTGTCGGAGTTGTGAGAAACGGCGCGGAACTTATGAGTGAGGTTAAATGATAGCTTTCTAAAGTGGCACTGCATGGCTGGGGCGTTTAGGGTTGGTTTGAGCTCGATGGATATTTGAAGTTCTTGTCAGGACATTTTCCGAGTTCTTGGGTGCTCTTTTTGACTTGAGCACACTTTTCCCCACCTCTAGGCATTAGGAAATGGCGAACCCCGGGATGGCAGATATTGTTGCAATCCTCTTAGATGAGCAACTCTGTTTAGATATCTGCTTCAATATAAAGCATAACATCCAAGCAGAAGTCTGCATTCTTTCTCAGCGTCATCAGGGCTTGAGTTATTCTCTACGGAACCTTCCGTGGATTTCAAAACATCTGCTTCTTGTTCTCCATACCCTACTAGCCATTTCAGTCTCTTTAAAGATTAGTTTGTGATTATGGGTCACGTGTGAAGCGCAAAGCTACAGTCTTCAACGCTAGTTTTCATCGCCCGTTGCGCTTTTAGCCCACACCTTCAATTTTCTGACTACTCGTCAGATGTATGCTCCATTTTCTTATACCCTCGACATAATGTTGCTCCTAGTATCGAATGACCAAGTCGGTAACTAAGCGAAGGGCAATGTCGTGAGGATGGTAAGCTCCAACAAGAGGTTTCTGAGCACCATAGTCGGCTTATAGTGGCGGCTTATCATGAGCATAAAATTAGAAACAAAGTGGGGCATTGAGAGTCCTCATGGCCTTGAGCACACTAAACTACCTTTATCACCTTCCGTTATTACTCGCACCCAATATATCCCCGGATGTCTAAGCCGAGTTCATCTAATATTTTATTTTGTTCCGTATTTTTTCATTGAAATAGTTTACCTCATGTTACCTCGTAGAGCCTTGCATAGGAACCTAGCACATACCTCAGCGCTCAGCTTCTGAACATGTTAACTCCCTTTACACAGTATATAAGTGTTTCTACTCAACTTTGAGTGCATTAAAGTAGCTTTACCTACACTTCCCAGTTTCTAGAGTTCCGGAACATCTCTTTTGCCCGGTGTTGAAGCGCATGAGAACCAAGGTATTTGCAAGAAAAAGTTACTCGTTTTGCAGCCTCCCTCCGATCAATCCAAAGTCCTAAGTGATGGTGGCAGCGTCATAACAACACATAAGATATATGCGGGGACATAATCTAATCTTTTTACCCCATGGTTCAGCATTGGAACGCCTGGCGGCGGCTAAAAGCTGAAAACCTGGAGAACCCGTCGGCTGAGCCACTTGGCAGAAAGCCTAAAACACAAAGCTGGGGTCGATCCTAGTAAACCACGCTTGGGTCCGGCAATGATACTCGAAGCGATCGCAAGTTTCCCGCGGATGGACAGGTACCGAAAGTAAGGTGCCCTCTAGAATCTTGAATGCCACTAGACGGTCTTCGGAGCCGAATAAATCAATGGCACAAAGTCATATCCACAAAAGGAACTAGGTCAGGAGGTATCCTAGGTTCATATTCAAGCTTTCTGATTCGATACTGATGCCTGCTGCCCCGCGTTGACGTCTGATATCACAAATACTCCCCAAGCAGGAAATAACCATTGTATGCACGGCATGAGTGAGCCAGTTTGTCTTGCGTAGGCGATAAATAATATCCGGAACTTAGCACTATAAATATGGAATGGTTTCCTATCTGGTGGTTTAGTGTTGCTTCTGGTTTTTATATTAGGGTGATCTCGACCTCTAAAACCAGTTAGACCAGACAAATTTAACTCCAAACTTCTTGTCTTCCAGCATCTGTAATTATGCTGCCAATTATCGCTGCACTGGGCCTCATCTCCACGGCTGCTGCCCATGGCACAGTCAACGCGATCGTTGTAGATGGGACTTAGTAAGTATTCTCTAGAGATACTTGTTAGTCTTCCAATTAACACCTCATCTACTAGTTACCAAGGCTATAACCCATCCTACCAGTACATCACGCCCGCCCCAGTCACAGTAGGATGGAAAATCCCCCAAGATCTAGGAAACACCTTCATCCCACCCGATAGCTACGGCTCCCCCGACATAATCTGCCACTTGGGCGCCACCAACGCCATGACTGCTGCAGCAACCAAAGGCGGGTCGAAAATCAACCTACAGTGGACGCCCTGGCCGGTTTCGCACAAAGGGCCAGTAATCGACTACCTCGCAAACTGCAACGGACCCTGCGAGACAGTTGATAAGGCATCCCTGAAATGGTTCAAGATTAGTGCAGTCGGACTCATTGATAACAGCATGTCAAACGGGTACTGGGCTACCGATCAGCTCATCAAAAATAACAACACCTGGACGGTGCAAATCCCAACCTCCATCGCAACGGGCAACTATGTCCTCCGCCATGAAATTATTGGGTTGCATGCTGCTGGTCAACCCAATGGAGCACAGAATTACCCACAGTGTGTCAATCTAGCGATCACCAGCTCCGGAACCGATAACCCAGCTGGTGTACCGGCTACAAGTTTCTATAAGGCCACCGATCCCGGTATCAAGTTTGATCTGTATAGCGCCTTTACTTCGTATACTATTCCAGGGCCAGCGAAATATAGCGGCGCCTTATCGGTTTCGCAGACCATGCCGGCCCCGCCAGCGGCTACGGCCACTGGTGTTTATTCTGTTTAATGAAGCATCACCACTGTTAGATAGGAGTAAGGGAGGTGGAATTGAATGGAGATGGCTATTGTACGAGAAATAAGAGCGGCTTTTGAAACCACAAGTAGCGGAAGGAGATAAATTTGGCTGTATATATTTTGCATCATCCTTTGAACATACTAAAAAACGCATTTTTGATAAATTCCAGCGTATTCTCGTTGTGCACTTGCCTATTGCTTTGGGATAGTTCTTCATAGCCATATCGATGGCCCCAAAACAGGTATAATGAGGGGTGAGCCCAAATGTAGCGGCCACGTGGAGAGATGGGTATTTGTGACTTCTCTCCCACTATCCCCCTATCCCAACCCGTAAATAGCCATCAGAGTTACACCATCCTAAATAATCTTAAAATCCAGTTCTCTTCAGCAACATAAACAATACGGATAAGGCCATATTATTGTAAATCCTTGAATCTGCTTACGCATTTCACGGGCGTTGAGTTGTACGTAAACCTTGCACTACGATGTTGCAGCCAGTGGCTTTCGCACCGCCATGGGTCACAAAAAGTGCTACGGCCATAAGGCTGTCCCCTTTTGCTCACTAAACAAAACGACCAATATCTACGGTAGATGTTGTTATCACTTAGTATACCATGTGAGGGTACCTACTAGGTAACATTTATCGTGCGGTGGAATACAACTACGAGAAGTTACGAAATCAGAGCGGCGGGGAGGTAGTCTTGTACGATTTGCATGAAAATAATGTTCCCATTTTTCCTACTGAAGAATGTCAGGAATCCTCTCAATGACCCGAGATAACTATTGCCACTCGGCTGCTCCAATTAAGACACCATTTAGCTAAATATATCTCCACTTGGAGACGTAGAGACTCGTTCCTCAATTAAAGCTTGTCTAGAAATATGAGAGCGTGAGCTCGTGATCGACGCGGGGCCTGCACGATTAAGATAGTGTGGGCCAATGGTAGGGTCCTTGATAATAAAACCAGGACAGTAGCTGCTAAAATGAGATATATTAAGTTGGGAAGATTTTGTAAAAAGGTGAAGAAGCATCTCTTATTTCCAGCCTGGTATTATATTATGCTATATTTGGTGCCTTAGGCATCAAACAGGTTCGCGACAACGTCGACGACGACGACAGCAACCCCACCAATTCGAGCAGCTCCCCGCATGTCTTACCTCCCATCTTCCTCCCCCAACCACAAATCCTATCCCAAATCCTCCTCAGATTCAGAATCCTCACAATGCCCGTAAGGTCCCCCGTCCCCCGCCATAGCCCTTCCTACCCTTTCGCCAATTCCCTTGTGCCTATCCATCCCAAGCTACAAACTAACATGATATCCCCCTCGCCAGGCCTACAACTCAATATTCAACAGCGAAGCTGCCCCTCAGTTAATAGGCAATTTCCCCCTTCTTTCCCTCCGTACACGAACCCGCGGACCAGCCTACACCCTTCCTCTCGACGCCAGTCTCCCCGCACATCTCTCCCCAGAACCAGACTCCGAATCCTACGATGCGCTGGACGAAGTGCTATCCCTGTTCCGCGCGAACACATTCTTTAGGAATTTTGAGATCCAGGGCCCGGCTGATCGGCTGTTGATTTATGGGATTTTGTGGGTTAGTGAGTGTCTAGGGAAGGTTCGGCCGAGTATGAGTGCGAGGTGAGTTAAGTTATTTCGTTTGTGTTGTAGATTTGGAGAGGGATGAGCATGGAGGTATAGGGTGCAGATTGGGGAGTGATGTGGAAGTGGCATGTGGGGATTGCCAAAGAATTGATTGAATAAATGGACGGAAACTAACACAGCTTGCACGCTCTAGAGAAGCTCAAAAAGAAGTCCAAAACATAGCACTCGACAATAACTTCTCCATCCCCGGCGACCCAGGGTTTCCCCTGAACCAGGTACGTTTCCCTTTCTTTCCCAGCCCCCTCCTCCTATTCCGTTTGGCCGTCGTTTTCCAATTTCTCCCCGCCCCAATTCCTTCCATCAACCCAGGCGGCTCACAGCTCGACTATCAAATAGATGTTCGCACCTCCTTCCAGCCGCCAAGAAGCCGAAGTCCTGCGCCAATATCTAAGCCAAGTTCGGCAGGAATTGGCGATCAGGTTGTTGGCTAGAATATACGAAGATGGGAGCGATAGACCAAGTAAATGGTGGTTGAGCTTTACGAAGAGGAAGTTTATGGGGAAGAGTCTCGCATAACTTCCAACTATGGAGAAGTTGTGAATAAGTACGACTTTCGGGGAAGGGATTTCGGAGTGGTGGATAAAGGAACAGGACAGAACAAAAGCTCGTTTTTACGGGAACTATGCACTCTCGAAGGGGCGTTTTGCTACCATGAGAGATGGGGGAGATAGATAGATATATAAGAATACCAAAACCAAATCATGATTCTAGCATCTGTACATCACTATCTAGAGTCTCCACAGTATCTTCTTTCAGAAGTATACTCCCTTGATTCTCCCCTTCTTCCACCCTCTTTTCCTCGTCTACTCTCTCCCTCTTAACAGAGGGCTCTACACCCTCCTCCACGTCTTTACTGGCACTTCCTTTATCTTTATCATTAGATTCATTGGGAACCTTCCTCTTCCTCGAAAACTTTCCCCTAGCCTCCACCCGTCCCACCGCGGGCACAACCCTAACTCCCGTCCACAAATACCCCTGAGCGCCGCCCCTTCCGGTCATAACAGGATGCGTCCGCCCTGGCAAAACCTGCCACTCCCTAACCTTCGCGCTCTGCACGGTAGCATTGAGGACAAGCAACGGATTGAGCGGGAAATCTTCATTCCCTTGCCATCTATCCCGCTCCTCGCTCGTGGCTAAAGCCTCGAAGTCTGGTGGAGGCGCCTGTAGGAATGCCGTCCGGCGGGATGTGGAGTAGTAGTCTGAGAGAGTAACGAGTGGTTCGATGTAGGGCGAGTAGATGGCGATATTTGCGCCTCCCCGTAGAAGGGGGATTGTATGTCGGAGGATTGATGAGGGATCCATCGCCGACGCGATGACGAGGCCATCGAAGTTCCCCTGCCGTGCTGTGTCTATCGTTTGTGTTGTACGTGTCCAGCGCCTTAGCTTCCGGTAGTAGGTTCCGCGCTTGGCGGGTTTGAGGTCGTTTAGGGACGTTGGTGAAAGTGGTGGGATGGCGGTTGAGTAGGTGACGTCTTTTGAGGGTTCGAGGAGTTGAAGCCAGGAGAGGCTATTAAGATGTGTGTGGAGCGGATGTGACGGGCATGGAGGGGTCGCAGTCGTTGGGTCGTAGAGGAAGGATTTTAGTAAGCTGAGATTGGGTTGTGCATTGTTGTGGATGAGTGTTATGGTGTTGGACGTAGCGGCTGGCGGATCCTCCTTGTGACGGGTGGTTTGGCCGTCGTCCTCGGGGTCTTTGCTGGGAGGATATAACAAGCCCATTCGTTCCGCCACAGCTGCTACCAAGAGCCCGCAAGTCTCGTCGATTACGAGCCATCGTCCGCTCTCCATCTCCGGCAGCTCCTCTACAAAATGTACATTGGCCCAACTGCCCACGAGACTTAGCATTTCACTGCGCATCTCGAGAACCTTCCCCGCATCCTTCTCCGTCATCACCCAATGGGTTAACATTGGGATGTCAAGCGGCAGGATGGTAAATCTCTTTAGATACTTCTTCGTCTTTGAGAGCTTGTACTTGGCCAAAGAGAATGCCGTCTTCTGATCAATCGCGGTATGGCTGAGCATGAGCTTGGCGATCAAGTCCTTTCCAGCACCAGTGCCCTCTCGCTTCAGAGTCTCGATTTCGTCCATAGTCAGGGTCTGTCGTGCGGAATCATCAATGGTTTCGCGATTGGAGCGCATGATGACCTCCCCATCCTCGCCCACCAGCTCATATTCCACGCCATCGCCTCCAATTATCACGGTGTCATCCGCGTCTTTGGCCTTCGAGGCAGCATTCTCCTCTGCGATTGTATCGGCGTGAAGCTCGGATGCAGGGACAATCCGTAGGTTCGAGTCTTTCTGTCCCGGCTCTCGATCGAGAAGTTCGTAGGTGAGGTTGTAGGGTCGCTCAATAATTAGATTGCTGGGAAACGAGCCATATTTTCCTAGTGATATAGTTCTACAGGGTGTTAGTGACGGGAGTACTGAGAGGCGATTGTGAAGAGAGAAGTGTGAAGCTGCTCACTCAACTTGAAGCGATTGACACTCACGTATTTGGGGTGATGGGAAGGACTTTGACGGAGCCAGATGGTAGCCTCAAGGCTGCCCAAGCATTGGGCTGGACTGATGAGTGGGGATGCATTATAGAATAGAGAGAAGATACTGTGTTATCGAAACATGGCTATTGCGTGATGCTATAGTTGTTGTTGTAGTTCTGGCTGCGTACAGGTTTGCATGCATTGGCATTACAAGTACTATATTGGTACTCGTAGCCTTGTGGAATAATTTTTCTCCCCCCCCCCGCGCCAACCTGGAACTTCGCAGTAGGAACGTGCCTTTATTAGGATTAGTGTCTCTCAGCCTTTCGTCAGCGGAGTAGCGCCGGGGGTTGGCGCTAAAGGGCTTACGCATATTAATATCGACACTCCCCGGGCTGGGGAAGAGAGGCAAACCAATCAAATGGCCTAGTTCCCTATGACGCGTAAGGTATTCGCAATTGGCAATCGGCCATGGTTGAGTTGAGTATAGGGCTCGAAGGGAAACAAGTTTTATTGCAGCTGAACCGTTAATTTACTTCGTATATACTTCGTACCTAGGTATATAAGCATTATACATTATCTCCTCTGCATGCCTGGCAGTACTAAGAACTCTGAAGAGCGTGGCTCGTCGTCCGCTATCGATAAGGCGAAGCCAAGTACTTGTACAGAGTAGGACTAACTCTTTGCCTTGCCCAATAGGAATAAGGTTACTTCATACGCACGGGGTTCCTGAGGTACAGATCTATTACCGTCTGCGGAGAGCGTGAGCGTGGTACAGTACAGCTTACAGCTCTGCTGTTTATATCCTTGTTACTGGTTGCCTGTCAGCCTACGACTACAAAGCTTACACACCTTACGTACTCCTCCCACGGCATCCTTCTGCACCATAAGCCAAACCTGGAACTCCCCGAACTACGACTCCAGCATCCAAATCTAATTCATTCAGCTACGCATTCAAACTCCCAGGCCTCGCCTCTTCCGCGACGCAAATCCGCTGTTTGCACTACAGATATGGGCGTGTCGATATGACCTCACCCTCAGCCTTCTATCGATAATACCAATACAACTAAATAACGAGGCGGGAACCTTTCGCTCCCGAGGAGAGAGGACGATACAGGGAAACAAGCTGCATCCAGCCAAATCTTGCGGTCAAGATGGTCACCCGGAAGCCAGTTCCCCAAGGTGAAGGTGCCGGCCCAAGTCTCGCTCGAAACTCGCCCCCCGCCGCCTCATCCCCCCCGCCATATCCCTTAACACCAATCTCGACTGATGTGCCTCCGACGCTGCGAATTCAGGATATGCGAAGCGATCTTCTGCCTTCCGCGGATTCAGAATATGAGGGCGAAAACGTATGGAGCCGAGAAGGAGCAGGGGCTGGGACAGAGCTCTCGGGAGAGAAGGTATATGAACTACGACCACCATACGAACTTCCCGGTTCGTTGCAGATTGGGACTCCGGGACTTTCCAATAGCGCCTCGAAGGAAATGCTGAGACCGAGTCCTACAAGTACCAATCCGTTTCTGCAGAGACAAGCCCAGCAACATGGAGCCGAGAAGCAAAATAGCGCACCCGCTTGGGGAGGTTTCTCTGAGAGACCCCCACAACCGCTCGAAGCTCCGCCCCGTCCTCTCATAACTCAAGGGGGAGGGCATGGTCAAGGTATACACTCTGGGCTGTTTTACTCAGTACTTGTACTTATGGGTGATTGACGAAATACAGCAGAACCCCCTTCCTACCAATTCTCCAGTTTATCGGTCTCGGAACCGAGCACAAATCCATGGCAGCCGGCACTGGACGAAAAGCCCCGTGTACAACCCCCTCCGCTACCTACGGTTCAACGAGAAGACTCCGGAAATGAAGCGTGGTCTAGTACTGTACCAGCTAGACAAGCCCCCTCCCCGCCGTCGGAAACGTCACAGCAGCCAGTCCTAGTCGATATAGATGACCCGGAATCTCCTGCTTGGGATGAGGATGGCGATGACGATGACGATGAGTCTTCTCCACCGGCAGCGCAAGCAGCACCTGCCAGCAATCCACAGGAGGCGCAGCAAATCGACGAGGATCGACACATTTGGGAAGAGAATCAAGGGCCTGAATTAAAACAGGATGCTACCGTTGCAAGTCAATTTCTTGCTCAGGAAGATCCGGCACAGCCTAGTGAAGGCTGGAACCTTATTGATCATGAACCAGTGGGAAGTGGTACTCAACAGAATGGAGTTGTATTAATAGATCCTGCTACGCAATCTCAGCCAAAAGCCGAATCGGATCCCGGTCTGCTTCATCGACCACAAGACCTCCCTCCTCAATCTGACAGGTCCAATATAACTTCTAGCAATCGAAGTGCTTCCCCGGCCCGCATACGTCAAATACCTGAATCTGTTATTCGAGCGCAGAAGCAAGAAACTTATGAGATCAAGAAGATTTCTTGGCACGACGTTACTGCTGCCAAAAACCCCCGAGTTTCTCCTATCTTGGTCCAGAACGCGAATGGTCCATGTCCCCTCCTTGCTCTTGTCAATGCCCTCACACTTTCAACACCCGCAGACGTTGAAACGGCATTGGTGGAAACCCTTCGATCACGTGAACAGGTCAGCTTAGGATTGCTCTTAGATGCTGTGTTTGACGAGCTTATGTCGGGTCGACGTGGCGATGCTGCGCAGGAACTACCAGATGTCAGCGACCTATACTCATTCCTTATCACACTTCACACCGGGATGAATGTCAATCCTCTATTTTTCGCACCTGCTCCGGCTAAAACAAGGCATGATCCTCGCAGTTCAATGTCCCATGTTCATCCCAGTGAACGGGAAGACGCAATACCAGGGACATTCGAAGATACCCGAGAAATGAACCTTTACAGTACATTTTCCGTGCCACTAATACACGGCTGGCTACCAGAGCCTGGTTCTGCAGAATACACCGCTCTTGCTCGCTCCGCAAAATCCTACGAAGATGCTCAAAATCTCATGTTTCACGAAGAAGAGCTCGAGGACAAATTAAGGAACGAAGGCCTGAGTTTCGAAGAACAAGCCACCCTAGAAGATATTGCTACCATCAAAGCTTTCTTTTCTAGCAATGCGACGCAACTTACCCGTTTTGGATTGCAAACGATTACATCATCATCAGCGCCAGGAGCAACTGCTATACTGTTCCGCAACGACCACTTTTCAACCTTGTATCGACATCCAGATACCCTACAACTTCTCCAACTCGTAACCGATATGGGCTATGCCGGCCACGAAGAAGTAGTGTGGGAATCCCTTATCGATGTTAATGGTGAGAATGCCGAATTCTTCTCCGGAGATTTTAGGCTCGTGGGGGGCGCGCCTGCTACTCCTTCGCACTCCAATACCCGTGAATCTGGCAGTGGTTGGCCCGCTGCCACCGAACGCCGACAATCACAAAATCAGAACCCGCCTAATCTATCTTTAAGCCCCCCTGATACCCAACCTGTATCGCCACGTAGCCCCAACATCGAACAGGAGGACCATGACCTAGCACTAGCGCTCCAACTACAAGAGGAGGAGGAAGAACGCCACCGAAATGAAGTTGCTCGCCAGCGGCATGAACGCGAGTCCCAGTTATCACAACAATATATCGACCAACAAGGTTCAGAAAACAGCAATGTTCCGGTAAATATGCGTGGTGGTCGAGGGGGAAGGGGGAGTCAGAACAGAGGCCGTGGTGTAAGAGTAGTTCGACCCACGGTAGCTCGACCGGAACCCATACCACGCCGGAATAATCAGCCTTCAGCTACTCCCGCGCGTGCAGCAGATCCAGAAGCTGGTATTGATGCCCCTCCTCCCAGTTATGAGCAAGCCGCAACTCAAGCAGCCTACATCCCACCAGCGGATCACCCAAGCCATCCCACCGCGAACCCAATTAGCCCCACCACCACTGGGCGGAGGACGAGTGCATATAGTTCTACCTCCTCAGGGATACAAGCGCAAACCTCTCCTGCTGTGGGGAGAGATAGAAGACAAACGACAGCTCTAGTTGACCAAATATCTCCCTCAAGGAGGAATATGGGGCCGGGAGTTGCGCAACTGCACGTAAAAGAGAGGGATTGTATCGTTATGTGATATCCCCATTCTCTTCTAAAGAAGTAATTATGTGAGGTGCCATACACGCTGATAGCAAGCGAGCTTACGAATTTGCGGCGTTTGGGATTCTGGATTGGGCATTAGGACATGGGCCAGTTGCGTGCAATATCCCCTTGTTTGTATACTTCTTAGCAGGATAGGCTTGATATTTTCTAGATAGATATGACATATATCAATGGAGATCCATATAACTCGTCAATCGAGCTTGATTGATATATTCATCGCCCTGCTCTTGCATTAAAAATGGTGTGAATCTCGATAGAGAACCTATTAACTCGGGACTTTGTAGAGCAACAACTGAGTCTTGGACGTTTGAAGACCCGAGCCTCGAACCTCGACGATCTAGACGCTAATTTCATATATTGCTGGGCCCCATACAGTGTCTAGAGATACTGGCTCTTTTGTATACATATAACCAGCCGAATATCTGAGGGACATAAGTATGGAATTGCGCACAGGCCCCAGCTAAACCAAACCGGCCCCTCGGTTGTCAAGTAACCACCCATACACTTAGGGGATATGCCTCAACCATAGTTCACTCGAATTCAATTTAATTCGGAACAGTATATATAGTAAGCTCCCAAATACATTACTAGCCGATAACGCCATTCCTTTTTAGCTTTTCTCAAATCAGCACCATCCCAAAACAAACGAACAGTCAACCCAACAACTCTTCTTGAAACCTTCAGTCAATCAACTTTTGAATACCCAATAATGAGTGTTTAAACCCGGAACATAGAAGCCAAAGGAGTACCAGAAGGCACCGCAGCATGGCAAACGCAAGGCTTTAGGGGTGCGTTATCCGTAATGTTGAGGACGATCGTATCCTTACTACAGAGAGGCAGGACTAAAGCACAAAGACGTCAGCAACAAGCACCCCTTAACGGAGAGAGGAGTCAAAGCATCTCACCATCAGTACTCGGGTATTCCCGCCCATTAAGTGTACAGTTCTCGACTTGTGTAGTGGACTTAGTATAATAGCCGTTGTAGTTCCAGAGCCATCGGCTAAGTAAATATGGTTAGCAAGGCCCTCATTCCTTCATAGCGAAATAACTTACTCAGTGGCGGTCGAGTTATCAGAGGCACATCCAAACTGAGCGAGGGACCCGGTCTTGTAAGTGCCCATCAAGTCGCAAGTTGAGTCCGCGCATGAATAGTAGCTAATATCCTCGAGAGCGGTGCAATTGAGCGAAGCACTTGCGAAGCCTGCGGCAAGGACAACTAATGCGATAGGAGGTTTCATTTTGGCTTTGATAATAACGACAAGTAAGAGAAAGATGTAGGTTGAACGTGGATTGCCTCCCGAAGGCCAGTTTCTATCTCCATATTACGGAAGGGACGGAGCGTAGATACCCCTTTTTATATCCCCTATCCCCCAAGGGATCAGCACCATCTCGACGTGCAAAATCATTCGATAGTAGCTTTATCTCCCACAGCCTATTTGAAGTACACAAATGGCCAAGCCAAGAAGTTGATTTTCCCCTCCTATTTGTGTGCCTCTCTTTATGTACTGATCGACAGTACAGACGGTAGACCTAATTGGGTTCTTTAGTAATATATATAAACCAGGGGGGTCCTTAGATTTAACTTTAATTCGTCATCCCACGTTGTTCATTTCTAGGTATCTTAGAAAGAAAAAAGGCCCAGACCGGTTTCTTTTCAACCATCTCTACTGTGACACTGTTACACTACCTTCTCATATAAATAATCATGAATAAGCCCTCATTACACTGCGGGACAAGAGGCGTCCACTAGAACTCGTCCAAGTGCCGAAGTGGGACTTTCTTGGTATTCATATAAAGAATAATCATGGGGCTTTTAGCCTACGAGAGATGGCATTGGCATAGATTTGCAGGTTTGTAAGACGGTAGAGAACCAATGAGCAGAAAGCGATACTTCGTTTGGTGACGTCCATTATGCGGGCAGAATAGTGTGAGTACTTCCCCGCGGGGAGGGAAAGCATGTTCTTGTCGGGGCTCCACATCGCAGCGTGGGCCGTCGATTATCGGATATTTTAGGAGTCTGTGGAGTGTTTGGGCGCTTTTAATACCCAGATTTACCGGCTGAACTTTGTAATCGTAGCCAAGGGTACCACGTGGATTGTTGGTTTAGTCCAATGGACTTCATCCAAACCGGATAAACCACTTGGAATTTATAGAAATCTTTAGCTCGAGGGAGTGTCGGCGACAAACCGCTTGGTTTGACTCCGTTTGTGGCATCAAATTCTGACAAGTTATTTTGAAGGCGAGGTAGCTACTGTTATTAGAGGTTTCGAAATCCAATATGTCGGTACAGCGCGAAGAATCACTGGTGAAGAATAAATATGTAACTACCTGTACCCAGTGGATTGACAGAGCCGCAGCGAAGGAGAAGGAGCCCCAGGAAGGAGTTAATAAGCCTTTAAATCATGAAACAGTAAATCGCACGGATCAAACAAGGGAAAATTTTGTTCATTTTATTGGATCATCAAGATTAAGTTAACGCCTCTCTGAATGCAGGGTATCATGACATTCATCCCGATATTCATCCCGATGACACATGAATCCTCCAACGCCATCTTTCTTCTCGCGGCTTACTTTAATATACGGCGCTGTCTAATCTTACATAGATATAAAAGTACACTCCCTGGTGTGCTATGTCATATTCTCACAAGAACGTAACAAGTGTCCATTATTACGAGATGACAATGATCTCGATATCGTGATTTGCAAAGTGGAATAGTTACCTAGTCCCCAATACATTCAAGTTAAGCCTACCATCAACGTCGAGATTCACGTCGGTGGTATGCTGCCATTGTTGCAGCTTCATCTTGTAGGATTCTCTCTCGCATTTCCCGAGCATAGTCCCTCTCAGATCGCTCTTGGCTGGGGTGAGGCGGCTGATATTGCATGGATGGGTGTGAGGTTTGATGCGCTGGTTGGCTATAAGCTGGATGGGATGGAGTTGGTCCGGATGAGCCTGGACCTGGAAACCGCCCATCAAGGCTGTTGTGTCGGGACCGATGTACTTGATGCTGGGTAGCGAAATGAGATGGAGGCGATGCCATGTGTGAAGGGCTTTGGCCGAAAGCTAGCTGGCGGTGACTTGCCTGCTGCTGTTGTGGCTGAGAGTGATAGGAGGGACCAAGTTGGGGAGATGAAGCCACAGGCTGCTGCTGCATGAGATACTGTGCTTGCGGTTGTCGAGTATAGAAATCCCGTTCCACAGGTGGAGCATGGTCAAGTGGAGACGCAACTTGCTGACGAACTGGTTGAGCAGAAGCTGGTGGGGTGGTTGATGAATATGGTGACTCCTTTAACCTCATAGTCGACTGAGAAGTCCCACCGCGTGCGTATCCGGTAGCAAGTCCGTGTACATCGCTGATGGATGGCTCACGGCGAATATTAGGTTGAGAGTGTGCAGATTGACGGGGAGGAGGTTGAGAGTACATTTGCTGCGGTTGCTGTGGCGGTTGCTGCGCGGCCGAGGTTGCCCCATAATTACGATGCTCAAACCCCGTGGGGGTATAACTTCGAGCATGACCGAGGGACGCGGTATGTTGGTGTACTGGGTGAGGGGAGGATTGAGCATAAGGGTTCTGAGTTTGGGATAAGTGTTGCTGGGGCGTTTGTTGCGCTGAAATCTGCTGTGGCATTTGTTGAGCAGGCTGAGAGGTAGGCTGAGAAGGGTGAGCAGCGAAGCGGTTTGCTTGCAGAGGGTGTTGTGGCGGCGGGGTCCGAGACGACTGTTGAGGGTTGGAAGCAACGCTGCTAACACGCTGAGGTGGTTCTGGTCGAGGGTCGTTAGGCTCGTCGTTCAGCAGCATGCTTATGTTTGAAGTCTTTCTGACGGCCTCTTGTTGACGGACTGAAGCAACTTGAGGTGGCTGAGGTGGTTGAGACGGAGGCGGCACCTGAGGCTGGACTGGGAGTTTGGGCTGAGGAGGAGCTGAGTATTGCTCCTTAGCAATGGGTGGGGCACTCAGGGGAGGTCTTGGAGCGGCTGGCGAAGGACTAGGTTTCATCTCGCGAATATCCCGCTGTACAGTGGGTTTCTCACTCAAAAGCGTTCGAGGAGCCTGATGCGTTCGAGGATGAAACTGTTGCAGCGGCGGTTGACGTCTACCTTCAAGAGGAGACGAAGGCTGAGATACTTCCGGCCTGGAATGCGACACAACAGTAGGATGCACAGGGGCGGTGGAGTAGGGCTCATATTGGTGCAGGTTAGACCCTTCAGGCTCTTGCTTCATCTTAAAGTGACGTTCACGTTGCAGAGCAGCTTGTTGTTGCATGGCGGCGGCTTGCTGGTGCTGCTCTCGTTGTTGCTGTTCCCGCTGTTGCTGTTCCCGTTGTTGCTGCTCCCTCTGCTGCAGCTCTCGCTGATGCAGTTCCCGCTGCTGCAATTCTCGTTGCAGCAGCTCCCGTTTCTCCCGCTCCCGCTGTTCTCGTTGCTGCTGCTGGTCTCGCTGCTCCCGTTGCTGCTGCTGTTCCCGCTGCTCCCGCTGCTCCTTTTCCAATCGTAAGGCGGACTGTCTCTCAAGCTGTGCCTCATGAGCGACTTGAAGAGAGCGCTGAGATATCACAGAATCGCTTTGTGTGGCTTGTAAAATCGGTCGTGGGGAAGATTCGATATTGAAATACCCCAGGGGGGGACCTCGAGCCCTGCTTTGTTGCTGGGATTGTTGCCCTTGGGAGGACGACTGTGGAGGAACCTGCTTATTGATAATCGAAGCCGCAACTGCTGGCTGGATGTGAGACACTGGTACAGTCCCAGCCCCAGCGTTAGTCAAGGGAGGAAAGCGCGTACCCATAGTTGGTTGCGATTGTGGCGAACCATGGGATGATCGTGCCAAGACTGCGCCCTGGCCTGGAGAGGAGATGTCTTCAATTCCGTCAATAGCAGAACCTGACCGCGACGGTAGTGAACTTGACGGAGCATCATAGCGTCGCTTTGGGATAACCGTAGGTACAGGTAGCGGTGCTGTAGGCTCTCCTCGTTCGCGCATTTCATCGGCGTCCCTAGCTATTTCTTCCCACTCTCTCATCCTGCCCGAGTCTACTTGGCGTTGATAGTAATTCTTGACCTGTGTTTGGATGTTAGCGGCACATCGGCTCCTGTTTTTATCAGATGGCATCACAAGCCATCGTTGAAAGAGATGTGTGTATACCATAATGTGGGTTTTCGAAGTCATCCACTTTGCTATCCCATGCCAATCGGTACCAAAATGCCTCAGCAACGCAGGGAAATCGTTTTGCTCGGGAACGCTCCAATAGCTCGAGGTCTGTTGGATATTTCGGTGGTTCTGCTGTGTCTCGAAGTTTAGGGGTGTGTTGGATTCGACTCGTTCCTGGCTAGGATAAGATTGAGGCTGGGGTTGAGATTGAGGTCTTGACTGGGGCTGTGAGTGTTGCGGAGGTTGAGGAATGATATCAAAAGTTCCCGTCATGGCTAGATTTGGCCTATCAAGAGGAGCAAATGGGGGTGCGAAGGTAGCCTGATGTGGCTGGCTCGGACCAGGACCGTCAAACTGAGGAGGAAATCGGCTAGGGGGAATAGGGGTTCGTTGGTTCTTCGTCGTCTCTATCGGCGCTGGAGTTGCTGGAGACTCGTCTCGACGCGCCGCGGCAGCGATTGGGGCGGCAGCAAGAAGTGGATTGTTCTTGGCCTGCTTCCCCTTTTCACGTGCAACTTTGACCTTTTTCTTTGCTGGCCCGGCATCGTTGCCAGCGTCGGCCTTTGGCGTGGCAGCTGCCTTGCGGCCAGGTGTTGGGGCTGGGCTAGCAACTTCGCTTTCACTGGGTGTCGCATCAATAGGGAAAACTGGCGCAGCTGCCCTCCGCGGGCGACGTTTGCTTTCGCCAGTTTCGTTCTCCTGAGCTTCCTCGTCGTCGCCGTTGCCAAGACTAGCAGTCAGGACCTTGGGTCGAGCTTTACCTGGACCCCTCCCTCGCTTCTTCTTGTTACGCTCCTTCACCCTCTCCTTCAATCTCGCAGGATGCTTCACCAAGTAATAATGTTGGATGCAGGCCTTGAAATTGCGCTTAGGCAAGGCTTCTGCAATCTTACTCCAATTCTTAGGATTCTCCAAGTATGCTTTTTCAAATGTTTCACCTTCTTCCTCAGTAAAGTTATCAATTGGTTCCCCATGTTCAAGTATTGCAAAGGATCTTTCGAACGGCACCAAATGGGACTTATCGGCGAAGGCATTTTCAGACCACCATTGGTCATCCATCATGGCTGGAATTGTGGCTTCCTTCGCACTCGCGGTCTTGGCTCGTGCAAGTCGCTCATCCTGCTCTTTCTTTTGTCTGGCTTCTTGTTCAGACTCACGCAGAACCCGCTCAATGTCATGATCGGTAGCCCATCGGCTAGCGGTTCGCCGCCCCTCTGGCTTGGCACTGGCAGAAGCCACCGAAGATAGAGCTGGAGTTGCGGCCTCGGCAGCTGCTCTTGCTCGAGAAGCGGCAAATTTTTCTCTGCTGCGAACTGCAGCCGGGTCCATGGAAAAGTCTGTGAATTTTCTATACTGGTAATAGCGATCTGCCCACGCAATGCCCTCTTGTTTCTGCTCCAACTGCCTGCGCGCCTTTGTTTTTTGTATGTGTTTCCGAACAGCGGTCTCCGACTTCAAACTTCTTACCTCAAGAGAGGCCTTGAATGTCGGGTCGTTCCAGAAAGATCCGCAGGTGGATTTGGGCAACTCGGATATTGGTGGAGTTTTCATCATCTTCCGAACTGCCTCAAGCTGGTCCTCTCTTTCCTGTTCATTCAGCTTATCATAGCTTTCTGTGAATTGTTCCATCATAGAAACAGATTTACCGATTTTCCCATTGGCCACTGGCTCAACAGGGATCATCATAGGTTCTGGGGCTGCGTTGACCGGCTCGGAAGCTTGTTCCGGCTGTGCCTTCAGAGTAATATCTCCATTGGTGGCGCCTGCATCGTCTGGTGCCGCCTTCGTCTCGTTATGAGTGCTAGTTTGCTGGATAGTTGGTGACCTACTAGATTTATCCTGAAAATCTATGCCCTGGCCAGTTGGTGGGTTGATAGAACCGATATGGATATCGTTGCTCTGGTTGCTCGCTAGTTCTTTGGCATGCCTATGAATATCGGCATCCCTATCATGTGGTGGCTGCACAGGTTGATCAGGCATGTTCGTGTCATGGTCTGTTGGCATAGGAAATGTGCTTGATACATCCTGTGGAGGATTGCTTCGACGGTCATCGGATTGATCTGGTATGGGTAGTGCAGCATCTGGAACAGGGGCGGTGATGTCTCCATTAATTTTCGACGACACAGGCGGCTCTGCAACGGGGGTTGGTGTTCGTGGTCGGCGTTGGACCTTGGTAGCAGGATCTAGAGCTTGGGTAGCAGCAGTTGCCTCAGTCGAGGGTTCCGCAAGGTGTTCTTTCTGTACAATAGGTACCTCGCAAACTTCAGTCGGGATACTGCTGATGATTGGCTCCGCGAAGGGTCTGAGGTCTCTAGCTAAGATGGGTTCAGGGGGTAAGAGTAGTGGATTGTTGTTTTTAACTTCAGCAATCTGTTCCTTGACCTTGGCAATCTCGTCGTCAAAGTAATTGTCGTCAAAATCATCTGCAGAATCTGAACTGACATCAGAGTCTTCTGACAGCGGCGATGTGACCTTCGGATAGTGCCTAACCAGTCGAGGACGTCGCTTCTTTGGATGACGCGCATGTTCAGTTGAATGGGCATCAGTCTGCAACTCAGTGACGCCCGCCCGGGAAGGGGATTTCAATGTATGCGAGATGTCTTCCTTGGGCGAGATACTTTCTTGAAGCGAGCCACCGTCGTGACTAGACAAGTTCTCCCGTGCTGTATTATGTGGCTGATTAGACTCGTCATCTCGGACCAAGTCCCCACGAGGATGAGAGTGGTCTGTCGGCCTCACCCATGTCAAAGAAACTGCCTTATTAGTTCCTCGGCCGATAATCTGTCGGGGCTTAGAGGTATGCGAACGAGGGGCCGTGGGAACGGAGGGAGGTAAAGAGGCAGTAGAAGTCGATGCATTAGCTGAGGCTGAGCCAAAAGCAGGCACCTGAGGAGGAGGTGTGGCCGACGGTTGAGTTCGACGGTTCCAGTTTCCTTCGGGCGATCGACTTCGAACTGGTGGTGGGCGGTGGTAATCTTCATAATAAGCGCCTCTTCCGCGTCCGCGACTGCCCCTTGCTCTACCATAGCCTCTTACAAAAGGCGTGAGCGATTCGGTAGTGGGCGAGCCTACAGATGAGGGGCCATCTCGCGAACCACGATGGGTGCGATCTAAGTCTAAGATTGGTCCGTCTCGGCTGTCGCGAGTCTCTCGAGCAGCGTAAGTTGGCGAGCGACCTCTGCCTTGGGGAGACGAGGGTCTGCGGCCTCGGAAGTTGTCTCGATCCCATCTGTCTCGATCCCGGTCACGGCTACGGTCATCACGGAAAGGAGCCGGGCCTCTCTCCTCTCTTCTATCTCTATCTCTGTAATCGCGGTCGGTATCACGGCCTCGGTCTCGACTATCATCCCGCCAACCTCGCCCTCGGCCGCGGCCGCGACCTCGAAAATCACCCCGAAAGCCTGAATCGCCTCGAAAATCTGATCCGTAATTAGAGGCACGAGGGCCCGTTGGAGCATCAATCAAACCCTTAGGGCCTCTTGGGGGTTCGCGTGAAGGGAATTCTCGAGATGAATCACGTCCAGTCGGCTCTCTGAAAAGTTCTCGATTCGACCCAAATGCATTGTGGTTCGTCCTCACATCAGGTATGGACCTCCGTCTTTCACTTCCACCGCGGAAAGCTCCTCCTCGATACTGATCGGCATCGCGTGAGTCGTTATAGCGTCCTGGCGATCGATCTCGTGGCGAACGACGGGAGTCGGTCGTCTCATACCCTTGATTTCGCGACGACCTGGAACATGTCAGCTGGCAACCAAAATCGCTGTTCTAGAAGCACATACATTCATATTGCAGGGCAATGGCCCCAAGCAATGACCAGAACGATGTGCAGATGCGATGGCAGACACTCTCTTCGAACGGTGTGCACTAGAACCCCGCGACCTAGTCTATGCAGGTGATGATGGACGCATGGGATGGACACGTAGAATAGCGAATCTGTACGATCGGAGCGTCTTGACCATAAGGAGGGGGTTGCGCGGGTCGAAGATATATGCGATGCAGTGAGGTCTTGGGCGCGATGTTCGAATGTGGAACAGGAGGCCGTATTGAAGCTGAGGCTGTTGACAATCCCATCTCGCATCTCAGCCAGCGCCACGATGTCGTCTAACGTAATTAGGCCTAGCGTAGATGCATAAGTTCGCCTATGCGCCTGAGGCGCCATTGCCGCCAGCCGGGGATATCCCGTCCGTTCGACGCGTTGGAGACTCCCTTCTTGGATTAGCGTGATTGCTAGTAGTTTACTAGGCCGTAAGGAGCCATCGCTCTCCGAGTTCGCCTCAAATTTTCAAATTTCACAAGCGCACTATTGCAACTACCGGACCTACGAGTAATAATAAGACTTTGTAAGTGCAAGGTCCTTGCTGGCTTTCTCAACGTCGATTCCTCTACGAAGTATTAAGGCAGAAGTAAATCCGGAATAGCTTGCATACGAGAGCCTTTTGACAGGTCTCGGAAGTTTTGCAGTTGCTGTCACGTGGGCCGTTTGCCACTAGTTAAGAAAAGCCACCCTCTGGGTTGAGACGGCTTCTGGGGGGAATTACTCGAGGCAATCATAAATCGATCTCTTCATCTTTGTTCGTTTATTGCAAAAGAATAAATCGTGTTGATTCAAATCTTCCCATTTTTGGCTTTGGTCCAGAGATAGGTGGCTCAAGTGGAGAGCAGCTTCCCTAAGCCTACGTCGCAAGGTTGAACAACTACAAAGCTCAAGCCTCAACCCTCGGAGAGTTCTCACTTGGATACCTTCATACATCATGACCTCAAACCCAGGCCAAAACCAAGGCGGGGAAGCACCTCCGTCCTCAGTGACCGATGCCGTACTCGTCAAATCAGGAGAAATGCCCGAAGGCTCCCAGAAAGTTGAAGAGCTAGATTTCAACAAGTTCGCTGGACGAGACATAACAGTTGATGACCTTCTTAGCGGCATGAACCATATGGGCTTCCAAGCTAGTTCGATCGGCGAAGCCGTACGAATAATCAACGAGATGGTCAGTCCATACCTCATGGCTACAATCACCAAATACTGACAATGAAACCAGCGAGCTTGGCGTGACCCGGAAACCGATGCTAAAACCACCATCTTCCTAGGCTATACTTCTAACCTGATCTCCTCTGGGCTTCGAGGAACCCTTCGCTACCTCGCACAGCACAATCACATCTCGGCCATCGTGACTACTGCCGGCGGTATTGAAGAAGACCTAATAAAATGTCTTGGTGATACGTACATGGGTTCCTTCAGCACATCTGGCGCCTCCTTGCGCGAAAAGGGGTTAAACCGCATCGGCAACTTAGTTGTACCAAATGACAACTACTGTCTCTTCGAAGACTGGGTGGTGCCCATCCTGGATACCATGCTTGCTGAACAAGAAGCTTCCAAATCCAACGATCCGTCTGGAGACGGGTCAGATGAAATCAACTGGACACCCAGCAAAGTGATCCGTCGGCTAGGGAAGGAAATCAACGATGAGCGTTCGGTTCTGTACTGGGCTTATAAGAATAACATTCCCATTTTCTGCCCCGCTCTTACGGACGGCAGCCTGGGCGACATGCTGTATTTTCATACGTTTAAGGCATCCCCAAAGCAACTGAAGATCGACATCGTAGAGGATATACGCAAGATCAACACAATTGCCGTAAGGGCGAAGAGGGCCGGCATGGTTATCCTAGGTGGTGGAGTAGTAAAGCATCATATTGCGAATGCGTGTTTGATGAGAAATGGAGCGGAGAGCGCCGTGTATATAAACACTGCGCAGGAATTTGATGGAAGTGATGCTGGAGCGCGGCCTGACGAGGCTGTTAGCTGGGGAAAGATCAAGGTCGGCGCCGATAGTGTGAAGGTTCGTCTCCCATTGTTCCTTTTGTTTACAATCCAGGCGTTGAAGCTTCTTTTGAACTTCGGGTCTATTGCTTACGGAGTAAATAACTAAAACTGATGAAATCTAGGTCTATGTTGAGGCAACTGCTTGCTTTCCCCTCATCGTCGCAGCAACCTTCGCGAAAGATGCATGTAAACCATAATGATTGGAAACCCAGGGCCCGATCCGCCGTATACCGCGCTCAGGATTGGAAAATAAAATACCAGTTGTCAATACCTATGCAATGCATACAGCACAGTTCTCAGAATTGGCTTTTGTCCGCAAACATGAACGATACCTCCACCAGCCTCAGAAACCTTCGGACTGGTTATGTGATCGTTGGCCTTTTAATTAGCCAAATATGAAGGAAGTTCAATGCAACTAAAGAGGAAGCTCTATGCCTTCGAAACTCCCAAAATTCCCCCTACGCCATATTGCTGCTTGCTTCTCGATGTGTGAGTGATGGAATGTCATCAGAGTATTAGTCGATTAATCCTCGGTCGGCTCCTGCTTGATCTTCGCCAAATCCTCGTTAGAATCGTGCTCGATCGAATCCATAATATTGTTGTTGAAGTCCATGTTCTGGGTCGCTTGTCTCGGAGAAGGTATCGCCAATAATCTGTTGAGTGGATCGAAGGTACCACTCTGATCAGGAAGCGGCTTGTTGAACCCAGCCTTTACAATTGGCCTTTGGTCCCCTCCACCCTTCGCAGCAGCCAAATTCAGTTGCTCGGCTTGCCAATTTTTCATAATCCGTGGATCAATGCTATCATATTCTTTCCTAATCAGCTCCCTCGTCGGACTCTCGTTTCTGCGGGGCCCTTCGGATTTGGCGACAGTAGCAGCAATAGCTGCAGCCTCGTCAAGTTTCTCCTCCGCTTCAATCATGTCCATGGCCATTCGATATGTCCTACAATCGATATTTCTAGAGTTGTATTGTCTCAGTATCAACTCCGTGTCAAGTCGGGTTGGCTGGCCACGAATCGAATTTTTGACTTTCACCTGCGATATACTTGGTCCGCCCCCAAACCCGCTGAAGCCATTATCCCGGCCATGTCTTATAGGCTCTTCTAGGGTGTTCTCAGACTGCCGTGGTATCCTTCTAGCCATGTCCTTGATCTCCCGCTTCTGCTTTTTGAAGTAACCCCTTCGCTCCTCGTCCTGCTCACCCTCACGGGCAGCCCACCTTTTGAGCTCTTCTTGGGCGTCCCTATTCCTCAGATGTTCCTGTTTTATCCTCAGATGTTCCTGTTCTGTCATTAGATGTTCCTGTTCTAGCCTTAGATGCTCTTGTTCCATCCTTAGGTCTGCTTGTCCTATGCTCAATTTCTTCTCTCTCGCCGTTAAACTTTCCTCCCAGAGCCTTAGATGTTCCTTTAGCTGCTTATTATCCACAGGAGGTTCCTGACTGAGGATGTTTCCCGGTTGTGCGCCTCCGTAACCGGTTTGTGCATGCCCAGTTTGCATTCTATTGATCCCTGAGGCCTGACAGTCCTCAAGCTGACCGTCATTGATGCTCCGTCGCCGCTTACAAACCGGCAGCATGGTTGAGGTTCAATGCTTCCAATCTGATTCAATGCTGAGCGAAGCCGTTATAGCCTAGGACGAGAAAGTGTTTCTGGAGGTATTATACGTAGACGCAAGCTTGTTTTTGGAATATTCGACAATTCGAAGGCTATTCATTCAGATTTCAAATTTGATTTCGTGAAACTCGAACCTCTTTTTTGATCACCAAAGTAGATCGGAGACGTCTAGCTTCGAGCACAGGTGTGCGTAGAGGCTCAACTATCGAGCAGGTCTGAAATGAAACCAGTCTGTGAGGTAAAGATTCGTGAATATTCGTGGATATTTGTCGCTCCAGTTGTCTCGTGTTGCTTTCTAAGAGTGGATGCAAGTGCTTGTTGGAGAGGAGTTTATTCTTGGCAATGTCTTTTTTTCAAGGCAATATAGGTATATAGTAGTGAATTCTTACCGCTTGCCTAAGGCGTCCGGGCGTATATTTGTGTTTGATGACTGGTAATAGCGGTGAGGCTGAAGGACTCCTGCAAGTGCAACAGGAAGCCCAAATACCTTTACATAATAGAGCCTACTCCATGTTCCCTCGCAGGTGGTCAGGACAGGCCCATACTTCACAGGATTTTCTTCCTGTGCCAGCTATTGTAATTAAAACACCTTATTTTCTTGCAGTTCAAGTTATCGAAGAGGTTATCCTTTTGAAAATACATAATCAAATTTTTGCGAAGTTTAGTTACAAGTGCGATGGTTTTTCAAAGCCAAACGAGACTGGCAATTTCATATTGCGCAGACGCGAAACTATGAAAAAATGCTACTAGAAAGGTGCTGCCAACAAACCCAGACAAGTGTGAAAATAATAACAAGCCTATGTGCCCTTTCGACTGTACTTGTTTATTAAATAGAAGCGCTATTTACCAAAGCTAGCGAGTCTATATAGACTGGGCTAGGAGGTTTGCTACCCCTGTTTGGCTGTCAGGGTGACAACCCGTGATGTGAGTGACCACCACTACTTTGGCACCATTTAAACTGCATGAACGCAACATATAATGTAGACTAGTATAAATCTGCAAGTTTGTTGGTGAATAGATAACTATGTCTGTGAAGTTTATTTAACTGGTGTGCATGTTTAATGTTCTGCAATTTGTTGCCCAGAGATTTATTCTTTGTGGTTTGGGGCCAAAAGATTTAGGGGACGCGCAGCAATCCCTCCACAGCCTACCTCAAGATATTAGCCACAAGTCAGATTACAAATACTTTAAACAACTTAGTATCATCCAGATTCCAGATGGCTTAAGAATAATAATACCCTTTACTTTAATAATTGCTATTTTGTTTTAATTGTTCTGCATCAAAGCATGTTTACCCAGTTGTAGGATATGTCCTATACGGAATCATTAGAAAATAACTGGAACACACTACCTCTCGCCCAGGAATTTTATATTTGAACGGGACAACACAAATGGGGTGGCTGAAAGAAACAATAAATCTTCGGAAATAGAGCTAGTACAAGTGTACCAAATTTCCAAAAGTTGCCCTTCGAGGTATTACCCTTAGCTCAAACTAACAAAATCCATTTTCAGTTCTAGTACTGAGTCGGATATTTTACATCAGGCTCCATTTGGAAAATATTATTGCAGCTAATCCACTCAAAATTAGTAATATCTAGCAGCGCGCTTGGGATTTCTTTTCTCAGCTCTAGGAGTAATTTAGACACAATTATACCACTCTCATTAAACCGCCGAGTCAATATACGCAACGGAACTGCGAGAGCATTCGCGGATCTCTTTCGTCAGGTACATACAAACCCGTATTGGATGGCATATGATTCTGTTTGCGGACAAGGGGGGCCAGAATTCCGAATCTGGATCTAAATGCACCGACGAAGTCGTACGTACAGTAATCAGCGAACTCGATAATTGCCCTCCACGAGCAAATTTTCCAATGCCAATCTTGAACAATTGGCCTTTGTTCTGGCGCCCGGAGAGGGATGGAGATCAGAAGGCGAGGACATAAAGTCATACAATATATACTATGAAGTTAGATCAAAGTTCAAAATACTGCTGTATCTCAGACGGATGGTGGATATGGAGCAGCAACAAACTAGACAGGTTGCATCTTCGACGAGCTCTTGGTGGTCTTGTAGGGTTGTTCCGACGTACCGAAACCAGGAGGGTTGACTGGCCACCAAGCGGCAGTTCCCCAAGTGCCCATACCGTGATATTAAGAGTATTACTGCATTTAACTCTAAAATCATTCTGAACTCAAATTTTCTGATAAGGTTCTGATAAGATCTGCATAACACGAGCTTGGATATTGGAAGGTGGGAAAACGGTGTTAAAGAGACGTCACCCAGTACTACTAGCCACTATGTACTTCTCCCATGAATACGAATTAAAACAATAATTAAAATTTGAAAAAGGCTTGGGTTCCTGCAAGAATATTGAAAATCTTAGATCACTTGTTGTCAAATGGCGGAAATTATTGCGTGGTTATGAGATTCTTGTGGGGTTCATTATGGCCTCTACATATTACATATTACATCTACCTCTATATCTCTGCTGAGTGCATAGAAATTACAGTTAAGTCGAATATTGAAAGGGGAGCGCAACTTCTGGAATATATTTTGAGACTCTAGATTATTTGATCTATTAACACCCTTGTGAGAGTCAAACCTACTGATATATAACTTCATCGTCTAACAGTTATACACGTTCCATGAGAGTTGAGCACTCGCTAAAGTAAAAATAGGGGGTTTCGTAGTACAAGACCACTCGTAAATATCGACAAGATATTCCAAATTTATCTTTAAATTAGCCTTCGTTATTTAAATCAAACCTCAAGGATATAGAAGGTTCTTTTCGACTTCTCTCCTCTCTTTACTTCTCCGTTTCGAGCGAGGTGCACGTGATCAGGCGATTCCGAGCGGATTTTGACGAATCAGCTACGGCTACAGCGCGCAACACTTTTCGATCGACATCAGCGCCAAACCTTTTCCAACTCTTGGATATTCTGCCCAAGGTCGCATTAATTTGCATACCTACAAGGCCAAACGCCAAATACTTCACTCACGTATCGCCCACGATGTCCTCCCTCTACAATCTCGAACCGCAACCCACCGCCTCCTGCATCCTCCACACAACTACCGGTAACATCTCCCTCGAGCTCTGGGCGCAGCAAATCCCGCTCACCTGCCGCAACTTCCTCCAGCTCTGCCTAGATGGATATTACGATAACACGATATTCCACCGGCTGGTCCCAGGGTTCATCATCCAAGGCGGGGACCCGACTGGCACTGGCAATGGTGGGGAAAGTATCTATGATGGAGGCGCATATTCGGAGCCGCGGGAGAAGGGCGGAATATGGCCTATGGAAGATCGCAAAGGGAAAAACGCAGGTATGAATGGTGTAGGGTTCAAAGACGAATGGCACAGCCGCATTAAATATAATCGACGAGGGCTGCTGGGCATGGCAAATGATGGGACAGAGAACTCGAATGGGAGCCAGTTCTTTATTACGCTCGGTAATACGCCAGAGCTGCAGAGCAAAAATACGTTGTTCGGGCGGGTGGAAGGCGAGACGATCTATAATGTTGCCAGGATGGGAGAATTGGAGGTTGGAGAAAACGAGAGGCCGCTGTACCCCCCCAGGATTACAAGCGTGGAAGTGTTGGTTAATCCATTTAAGGATATGGTGGGGAGGGAGAAGGCGGCCCCTGCGATTGCGGAAGTACGAAACGAGAAGGTTGTTGAGAAGAAAAAGAAGCGAAAGGTTGGGAAACAACTGTTGAGTTTTGGGGGCGAAGAGGGCGACGATATTGAGGTGCCAGTGGTGAAGAAGGCGAAAAAGTTTGATACGAGGATTGTGATGGATAATGGGGAAGCGCCCGAGCCGAATACAAAGGCGAAGGAGGCTCCAAAGGAGGTCAAAAGGAAGGCCATGAAGGCGGTATCAGTGGATTCATCTCCAGAACCAGCACTTTCTCCACCACCAAAAGCCCTACCCACTCGGGCCGCTAAGTTAGAAAGCCGGGATAGCTCTTCATCGCCAGAGCCAGTGGAGAAAGTCTCGTCGCTCCTTGATCGGACAAATGCTCAGATTGCGGAACTCAAGGCTTCCATGAAGCGCAATGTTCAAGCAGCGCCAGTTCTAGAGAAAAAAAAGTCTGCACTTGAGGAGATGATACCTAAAACCTCCATACGAGGGAGAAAACGACGCCCCGGGGCCAATGCCTCGTTAAAGGATGAACAACGAGCGGTAGACATTCTTAACGCATTTCGATCGAAGCTGGACCAAGCACCACCAGAGAAAGAAACGTCTAAAGTCGCGCCCACGCTGGAAGAAAGAGATAAAGACCGAGTTGCAGAGGATGACGAGGAAGCAACCCTTTGCGATCTCCATTTTATAGCCGATTGCCAGTCATGCAAGAAATGGGATGCCCGAGCTGAGGCCGACCAAGCTGCTGATGACGAGGGTATTGGATGGATGTCACATGCGCTGTCTTTCAAAGAGGACAAATTAGGCAAAGATTTAAGTTATCGGAAGAAGGCGGAGGAAGAGCTGGTGGTTATCGATCCAAGGGAGAAGGCCCGGACTTTGAAGGAGGAGAAGAAGGCACAGAGGGAAGCGAGAAGTGGTGGATCGGGGAGAGAATGGGATCAGGCTAGGAATGACAAGCTGGCCCGGGCTTCTGCGCTGGCGGGGCGAGCGGCCAAATAAAGCATAAGGCAGGAGGCTTTGTAGGTGAAAGTAATACAGCCCCTTTTTCACAGCAGTAATCTGTACCCCATAGGGCAGTTGGTGATCTATGCAGTCTCAGGTCTAAGAAAGGATCTGTCACTCCCATCTAGCGGACCTATCGATGCTTACTAGCAATAGAAAAAGTCTAATAAGCTTCTGGCCGTTACAGTAAGATAGATCATTGAGGAGAATTGCCTATAGATGCGACAAGGCTTCAGCCTTACGCTAGAAGCCTCGCAGCCTGTTGCTCCAGCACCTCAACCACCGCTGCTGATTGGGTCGCTAAAGACGTCACTTCGCCTAGAGTGATATTCCCCGTAGTCTCCCCGGCCCCTTAGCGGTAGCCGTACCTGCTCTGACGAAGTTACAAAATTATATCACATCACTACTCCATGAAATCACTCCAGCTTCGCCCTGCAATCGTTACACATCCAGTCGACACAATGAAAAGAACCCCGGCATTCTGAAACCATCTGTACCCATTGTCCGCAAACGAATTTAAGGCGCCCCGTGATTGCCACGACTCCCGCCCAAGACTGCAGCGTCCCGAACTCCCCGCATACGCCCTATTGCGATAGCGATCGACAAGACGACGACGACGGCTCTTTCGCGCCTAAGTCGCGGATTCAACTCGCTTTGTGGGACAATACAACTTCTTCTAGAAAGGAAAGGCTTTCCGGCCGCTCAGCATTTATTGTGCGAAACCTTCCTTTGGATACCTTGCTGGCCCGCTATTAGAGGCTTAAGCCGCCAGTTCCTCACCCTCCTTCTCCAAAACTGTCATCTTCCCCGGCCCACGCAAACCGAACCAGAACACCTACAGCCAACGACAGAAATAGAGCCAAACAGAATAGATCCGGCAATACACATAAACAGAAAACCGCGCGCGACTTCGAGTTGCTCGCATACGCAGGCGCCTGAAGCTCCAAGGAAGGCAGGCTGCAGCCAGCCTCGACCGGTCGCCATATCATACGTCGTTTTCTTGCGAGTGCAGGACCCACCACATTATCACCCCGATACTCGCTCTTATGCCCTCCTCAAATTCGAATCCCAAGAAACGGCCAGCGCCCGGAGCGTCACCCGCGGTGCAAATGGCACAGATGCCGTTGCCCCAGCCTTACGCGCAGGCCGCACATGCTCAGATGCTGAACCAGGATCTGGATTTGTTAGGGTACAACCAAAGCGCTGAAAATACCGTATTTCAGGACCCATTGATGTATAATCTGAGCAATTTCGAACCTGATCCAAATGCGGCTCCACAGCAGCAGCAGCCGCAACTCAACCAGCCAACCCCGGGGCTATCAACGCAATTAGCCCGCAGGCCCATCAATCGTCAACTCCCCCAAACGGGGCCGAATCCGTCGTATGATGCTACTGGCGACCCTTGGGCTCAGTTTGTAGACGATTCAATGCACAACCAACACCCGAACCCTGGGATGGAGACTGACAACATCGAACTCCTGGAGGAGAGAGCTGCTATGGCTAAGAGGGATGCACAAGCAAAGCGAAAACAGATCCCCCCATTTGTACAGAAATTAAGCAGGTAGGCATCGCCCCACATTCCGGACCCGTCTTGTTTATGGACTTATGCTAATATATTCTTGGCTAGCTTCCTCGATGAATCGAAGAATACGGAGTTGATACGATGGTCAGATCGAGGCGATTCGTTTGTTGTTCTGGACGAAGATGAGTTTGCTAAGAGATTGATACCCGAACTGTTTAAGCATAACAATTATGCGTCATTCGTCCGACAGCTTAACATGTACGGCTTCCATAAGAGGGTGGGACTTTCGGATAATTCAATGAAAGCAAGCGAAAGAAAGAACAAGAGCCCCAGCGAGTATTACAACCCATTCTTCAAACGTGGCCACCCGAATCTACTGTGGTTGATCAACAAGCCAAAGGGCGGATCGTCAAAGGCCAAAGGCACCAAGAGGCCGAAGAACGACGATGCAGAACTAGACAGCGACGAGGAGGGAAGAGATGGCATCGAAGAGATATATCGTGAACATATGCCAGGTGGCCAACGAGCTATTTCCCAAGTACCGGAGTCGGGGCCCCTTCAGAAAAGAGAACTTGCTGTCGTTCAACACCAACTTGCGGAAATCCAGAAGCAACAGGGCGCCATTACTCACGCCTTATCAGGACTTCGGAAAGATCATAACCAGCTCTTCCAACAGTCGCTGAATTTCCAGCAACTACACGATAGGCATGAAAACTCTATTAATGCTATTCTTACATTCCTCGCTACGGTCTATAACAGAAGCTTAGATGGCAATGGGCCCCAAAATTTCGCCAAGATGTTCGGCAGCGGGATTCCCCACGAGCAACACAGTCAAGGCAATGTTGTTGAGATCGGAGGGCCTTCAAACGGGACACAAAGTAGTCCAGGAAGACGACAACCGCGGCTCCTCATGGCCCCTCCTGCTGCCCAGGCCCGCGCGGCATCATCAGCGACATCTACGTCAGCCTCAACGACTCCAAATCGTCCTCAACATGCGCGTAAAAAGTCGCGTAAATCAGGGACCGTTGAAGAATTATTTGAGAGTTCTCCTACAGATTCCACCACTGTCAAGTCAGAAGCAGACCAACAGCAACCCGATATGATGCTAAACATAATCAACAACGCCAATGCACAAACTCCCCCGAACCCTAGTGGGATGGAATTTCCAGAGATGCTCTCTCACTATGAGAATGCCAACGGCCAATCTCCACTCACCTCGGAGGAACGAGACAGTATGCTCCAGCTTATGGCCAATAACTCCTCTGCTCCCGGAACCAACAACGCACTCGTCAGCCCAACACCTCCGGAGCCGCCTGCGTTGGAAAATCTGGAACTCACTTCAGCTGAAATTGACCGGCTGATGCAGGTGCATAGTACAACCGGGGCTCAGATAAACGATCTCAAAAATATCATTGAGCAGCCTCTCAACCCACCTGTGTATGGGTCTGGTCTAGATGATAATAACTACATGAACGTCATGGAATCTAGTGACGGGCATAACCCCAATGTTGAATTTGATCAATTCCTTGACCCTGGAGCACTATATGGCTATGACCATCTCCACAACCCAAATTCAAGCATGGGAGAAGGGCATTTTGATCTGGGAATGGATGGCACTACTGATGGCGGCATTGTAGAGACACCGTGTAGCAGTGGAGCCGCCACGCCGGAAAACAATGGCCTGAGCGATCTAACAGACGATCCCATGCGGAGTCCAAGCAGGAAGCGACGCAGAAGATAAATTCCATCGCGAAGTACGATGGTTTATACTGGGGACGGACTCAACTGTCGGTTTCAGCGGGTGCGACTTTATTAAGACTCGGGACGTCGGCGAAGGGGAATGTATTATGATATGATGGGTATGGTTCACGACCGCGACGGCCGAGTTATATATGGGCGCATACCGGCACGAATGTACGGACTTTTTGCCCACGCTAGATCGGTAGGCAAAGAGCAGGGCTTAACACATACCGATTGGTTTGACATATGTCCGAATGTGGAGCAACGCGTTGAAAGTGCATAGCTTCTAATAGATAAATATTCACTTGATCCAAACTTTCGTTTTCTCTGGGATTTCAGGCTTGACAGTGGCCCAACTCAAGCGAGATATCCGGGTTATTGTATTATCATTTTAGAGTTCGTGAGCAGTCTACCGAGGAAGTTTATTCCTTGTTTCTAAGTCATTTAAAATACGGAAACAACGATGTGTACAGGCAACCCCATTACCGTGGGTAGGTGCGTCGAAGCACATTCCGTCTCATGTTATTTGTCTCTTTTCCTGTCTCCTATCCATCTTCATACTCCTCCTGCCAACATCAATATCAACAGCATTCATTCATTTCCATTGATAGACTCGTAACGGCGCTATCAATTCGATCGTTACCATCGCCAGATCGCTCAACCATCAACAATTAATGTCTCCGACTTCTTTCTAAGCATACGGCCCTCTTTCATCCTCCTCAACCGAAAGAATAAATTCACAGGTGACCACACGTACCATCCATCCGCTAAGAACGTCTATCACTCCCACCACTTATGTCTTCCCACGGCGGAGGAATTTTTTGAACACCACACCCGCAAAATCGGACGACTTGAGATCACACTTATAACTACCACCCCATTCAACGAACCATGCTATCAACACCTAGCACGCTACTAAGTTCAGATCACCCGAGCGCAAAGGTTGATCAAAGCAGCAGTACCAGCAGCACCCCGTCTCCAGAACAGTCTCCATCGCCACCGCCTCAATTCCACCAGGAGAGCCTCGTGAATGTCAACGATGCCCTGTATAAAATTTCAGACGAGCAGGACAAGCTGTTCAACGAGGAAATTCGGCATACGTCGCTTACAGATAGACAGCGTGCCGAGGCCATCATGAAGATTCGCTCCGTTAGCATGAATGCATCGTTACCTATATATCTGTCCGTCAGCGAACCTAGGGCAAGTTTACACGCTGCTTCCCACGCTTCTTCAGGTGGTGAAATAAAGGCCGAGGGCGCTCATTCTCCAGAAACCTGTCATCCGGATAAAAAGCGCATTCTCAGGATTCTACTGAATAAGGACGACCTGGCGGGTAACGAATGGATGATTGACATGGCATTGGGCAAGAGGACCTTTATCTCGAAAAAGGAGACATCCTTAGGGATGTAGACCCCTCAGCCCCTCGCCGTCTGCCGCGTTCACCCTATATTCCAGTTTGCAACTCCCATAAAGTTATCTCCACCAAAGGGCCTTATAGACCTGGGCTACGTGGTGGCTTTCTGAAGTCCTCGCATGATGTAGATGGAAGGAAGGAAGAAACCTCCGAGAATGAAGAAAGCCCTGGTAGTAGTTCACATGAACAGGGCGTGGGCTACCACTATCCAACGGCTACTACAGTGCCCACTGAATCTGCCAATCGTGGGCAGGTCAATTCCTCAAGTCCACCGTCGCAACCGCAGAGATATTTAGCAGGCGACAAAGAGTTGCTATACCAGGGCAGTACCCTCGACAGAGAGCTCTCTCGGAGATCCATCAAGGATAACGATTCAGTCAACTCACCTATACGTCTTTCACGCTCAGTAGACAAAATCATCCGCTGCCGATGGTTTGAACCGAAAATTTCCGGATTTGGACCAGGGATATCTTACCTGATACGCTGGGCTCCAGCTTGGGTTTCGGAGGAAAAATATTGGTCGTGCCGGCAAACTGCCATTGGAGAGATCTACGGGAGAAGGGATGGGCCAGATGGGAGAGAGATCCTTGTGACATGGAATGATAGCTGGGTATCATTTGAAGGGCGGGATACTTGCAGCATGGATGAAGTATTGAGTATTGCATCTTCTGAGGAGGGGCAATATGGACCGTGTGATAGAGAGAGAATTAAAACATGGGTAGATGAGATATTCAATACCTTGCCGCGGGGGGCCACAGCTGCTGAAACTCTAGGTCTCGCAGAACTTGATGGTCTCTCGTTCAACACTGAGACGTCCGTGACCCTGAGAGGTAACGGTTTGGCTTCGAGCAGAAAGGGAAGACGGAATGCTACAGATGATTCTAGCGATGCAGATTCCGCCAACGCATGCTCCAATAATACAGGCGACGAGAAACCAGTTCAGAGCGAACCGTTATCGTCAAAAATAGCTGACCAGGCGGTGGTGACTCAAGAAGAACAATCGTCCACAATTCATATAGACAATTGGCCAGAGGAAGAGTTATCTCAGGTAACGAACTCGGTACGTGGCTAAATGACTATCCACCCTGTGCTAGTCAGCCAGCCACAATGCCCAGAAGGGAACTGGAAACTGTCGAGATTTAACGTTGGGTGAAGAGCACCACCACCGAGAACATAGGCGGCGATGATGCTGTATCTGTGCCTCTAGCACATAAACATGAACCCCCCCCCCGACTGTATTTCAAAGCGATGATAGGAATAGGAGAGAGCAGGCATATATGCGACTGTCGCCTACAGCTGTGTCTAGTGAAGAAGGTCAACCCGATTGGAAGGTTCCATCAGGGACAGTGACAGAGATGAAGTGTTGAATAAGAGGGAGTTGGCACAGAGACGATCATGTTAGATACACTCGAAGTTAGTACTGAGGTGTTTAGCTTTTGAACTTCCCACTGTACTCGTTTGTTTCTATCAGTATCTTGGTGGCTATTTGGGATTATTAGAGCGGGGCTAGATTTGATAGCGGGGTTTGCATCATTATTATTTTCCAAGGTCGAAGTTTTGATTTATTTTCATACCGACCCTAGCATAGCGATTCCGAATAATAGCTATAGTTCATGGCACAGTCTGGCACGTCGCCAAAACCTATGTAGTGTTTGCAGACATTCCGTAGTAACTAATTGTACTGTTAAGGAGCGAATAGCAAATCCTTGAAAATCCTTGACTTCTTTGCAAATCAATAGAGGGTTTGGCTTGAGCTATTTAGGAGACGAGTTACCATGACTCGACCGAGACTCGGGATTTGTCTTCTCTTTGTCTTGTATACTTTATACGTTGTTCTTATTAGCATACAGACCTCAAGACGTATTCTACTTATTGGTACAAAATTAGAACGACGATGCCTATGACATCACATCACTGAAAACATAAGAGAGTGAGCTTTTCGGTTGCTAACCGAACCGATATGAAGGTTGGCTAGCGGTTAAATAGAACGAAGCTGGGGCAAAACGCCACTTTTCTAGGAACAATGACAGTTATGCCATTACGCTAGCGAGTCAAAATAGAGCGGGGCTCTTTTAGGGTTTGTAGCATAGTCAATGATGGTTTGTAGCATAATGAATAATATACAGAAGAGGCTAGTCAGAGACCAAGAGGCAAAAGCACAGCACAGGGTGTCCTTTCTCCTCTGACCTCCATTCCACCAGGCAGGAGAAGTTATATATCTCCATTTAATCCAATAAGTCTACGGTATCCCTTTCCTATTCAACATCGTCCGACTTGAGTAGCATTCGCTAGTGGATCTCGCGCGGACTGAGAGGCGAACCCCGCCTAACAGGTGTGAGTCCGACTCGACGATGGGAGCAGGATTGATGATTCGAAGTAATAAAGGATGATCGCAATGCAGCGATCAATGAACACATATGCAGCACATAAACACCAATACCGTACAGTAGCAGGCGAACAAAGGACAAGCGAGCATAACAAATTTTCAATTCACAATTAATCCAATTCAGTCTTTCCAAGCAGTGTAACGTCCCGTTACTTTTTCTTCTCTTCGTATTCTCTCATCAAAAGGTCGGAAGGATCCAAAAGGAAAAGGAAACTCGATAATATATATATACGTATATATGCGCCAGCTAGAGAAGAAGAAGGGTGATGACTACACCCTGTGTATTAATCGGATCGAGTTTCCATTCTCAATCCGGATCCAGTTCCAGTTCCGCCTCCTTATACATGATATGCCGGTGAGTCCGGGTATCCTTAATCATCCAGTATCCATTGCATCCCAAACCAACCAAGTAGTGTAAGATGATGCAGTAATGTAAAGTTGGAGAGGGTCATAACAGCGTAAGAATCGTGATGGTTGCCCAATCGCTGTATTTGTTTCGCGTTTCACAAATGGTATCCTAATCCTTCGTTCGTACGCTCGTGCGGGTTTTTATAGTCGTTTCATCAAGATCGAGTTGCGGTAAGGTTATTAAACTCGATTCGCGTGGCTTTTTGAGAGATATTCAAGGTGATTCAAAGAAGCAAATTCGTCGTATTTCATCCGGATCCATCTGATTTGCTTGGAATGTGTAGCAAGTACCCATACCAAAAATATGTACTGGCGCCGTTCCATAGTAGAGAGTGTGATGTCCAACAGTAGACGATCGGTGTGGCGTGAGAGAACATGGTAAGTACAACAACCAGGAGAACGCGATAAAACAAAGCTCAACAGGCACCCATGGATAACAATAGCGCTCTAAACCCGGCGGTGGGGACAGGGCGGATCGCAACAAACCGGACAGGAGCCGAGCACTATACTGAAAGTTTAAATGGCCGATGTGCGAAGCAAGGCAGTCAATGCTCCTGCACACTATATATCTCGTGTAATCTTCGTCACTTCATAAAAGGTCGTCTTTCTCATCAAGAAAGTATATCACAGGAATCGACCGTTTGAAGGGCCGTTTCGATCGGAAGAATCTTAAGCTCTGTTATCATCCCATCCCCGTTCGATGCTTTTCAGATCAAGCTCACCACTTCCTTGGTTGCGGTGTCCATTCTGCCGGGGTCTTGAAAACCCCGATCCCCAATCACTGACGGGTCCACGGGGTTGACGCTCTGGCACTGCTGAGGCACCGTTCCGGGGGTTCTCGTCATAGTTATTCCCATTTACCGGGCGTTGGCTACCGATAGGGCCGGTGCTGGAAGTGTGAACTTCTCTCTCTTGCCCAATGCGTCCATTCGGCCGGTTCGCACTTGGGCGATCAAACCCAATGGTCATGTTGCTGAGGCCGTTCAGGAGGAAGGCTTCGTCTCGGTTATTCATTGGACCACCAGCAGACGTAGGGGTCAGATTCGGGGTTCCGGAGGCTGCAGACGAGTGACCGTAGTCAGCATATCTTGAAATATTTTGGGAAGGGTTGGCCGGATAACTAGCAACAGATTGTGCAGGTGAAGGTGTGTACGAACGCAAGTCAGCGAATGATTTGGCGGCACGAAGATTATGAGCCGCGCTAAGACCCAACCCAGGAGATCCTGGGATGTCAAGAAGACCAGAACCTTGACGACCGAGCGTGTGGTTGTAATAGCTGGAATCATTGGCCCGAGATTCGCTGAAGTCGATTGTCGCAGCACGATTCAACCCCCGGCGGGATTCATTGTAATAGCTCGAGGGCAGCTGGGGCACCGGGGGGCTGATGGCGCTCTGTCTGGTCTTGAAAATTTGGACACAACGACCGTCACCAACACCCTCAGATCGGTGCTCAAGACCCATGTTGTGGGCTAGGGTATGGATTGTGCGCCGGTCGGCTGGTGAGAGGGTACTCGGGAAGACGAAGATCTCGCGGTTTGAGTCGTTCTTGAACAGCATGAGGTCGCTGTAGTAACTGAGAGTCGTTGGGTCGTTCATGTCGACATCTGGAACAGGTATCAGCGGTGGCTCCAGTGCAAGGGACAGGTGGCACTCACCAATCTTGCCACGGAATTGGACTGGCGATGGTGATGCGGAAATGGTATTGGAGTGTAAAGAATTCACTGATGTTTGAGAATGAAGCGGAGGGGCGCCACTAGTAATCGGCCGATGTTGTTCTTCCAATTGCCCACGCCTCTCTCTCTTGTCCCGCTCAATCCTTTCTCGTTCAGCAGCTGGCAGCATCTTCTTGTATTCGACCCTCAGCTTCCTCCCCTGAAGGTCCATATGATTCATAGCTTCGATAACTGTTGAAGTCTCTTCGGCGGTGGTGAAGTTCGCAAATGCCAATCCCCTGAAGACGCCATTATCAAAGTGGTAGTTGAAAGCATAGGGGAGTGGGAGGTTCATCTCTGTCATGAGAGCCACTAGAGATTCTTTTTTTACAGCGAACGGGATGTTCTTGATGACTATTGCGGTCGGGATAAGCTCGTCATGGTCGTTTGGAGGGGGTGAGATTCGAGGATGGGATTGCATGTGTGACTGGTTGTATTGTCCATTCATCCCGTTCATTTGTTGGTGCATGCCAGCATTTTGCATCGAGCCCATCTGCGAGTCGAGCCAGTTCTGAAGCAGTATCAGCATCACAGTCCGCCACAGGTACCATCACGATATAACACAAGAGCACTTACAGAAGGCAGTCCCGTGCGACGAGTGGAGGGCTTGACGCGGCCCGTTCCACCCATGGTGTTGATACCGTTAATACCGTTCATACCACCGTTCATGTTGCCCCCGCCATAGTTCCAAGTCTGGTTGTCATAGGAGTAATTCGAATGGAGTGTCGCGGAAGGCATCCTGTCAAATCTGGGAGTGCTGTCGTAGCGCGTTGCTGCGTGGTCCTCTTGGCCGTAGAGGCCCTGGGGTAGTTGCGCCCCGTAGTTCTCGAACTGCCGCGAAGGCTGGCGATTCAGACCAAGGCCATTATATCGTCCACTGACAGGTGAGCGGTTAGACGCGAAGTCCTGGTACATATCTTGGTATTGCTGTGACATCGTGAGTTCATAGAAAGAGCCGGCGGCTCTGTCTTGCTGAGGGAGAAGGCCGCGCTGGTTGGGCTAATAATGTATGATGCAAGGAGCCGGGCAGTGGCACGCAGACGCAGATGCAGCTCAAAATGCCTGCTCTGGCCCAGAATTGACTTCTGGTTTTGAGCTCGTGCAGCGGGAACGGGAGGGCTGCAAGATCTGCGTCTAGACACCGCGCAGTACAGGCGGCGTAGCTTTGCACTTGGTGATGTGCAGAGGCGCTCTGCGGTCGACAAGGACTTGAGTGATCCCTATATTCGACTCTAGCTCCGAGTCCTGTCCTCGAGGTTGGGGTGCAGATGCAGATGCAGCTGGGTATTCGAGCTTTTGTAGGGGGCAGGTCTCTCTTTGCCTTTGCCTTTTCCTGTTCAGCCGAAGGGGGCACGGGGGGGAGGATCGTATCGAATCGTGACGAGTTTCTTGGACTGCACTCAGCGTGGCAACGTCGTCGCTTGCGCAGTTGTCTCTCGGCGTGGCCGTCGTCAATCAATCAAGAGAGAGGGAGAGGCACTCGAGGGGGTGGGTGAGGAGTGTGGGGGTATTGGATGTTGATGTTTGGAGTTGTTGATGTTCAGAGCAGAGAGGAAGAGAAATAAGGTCGAAGGTGCGAAGTGAGAGATGATTTTGAGAGGCTGCGTGAACCACCTGAGGGTCGCGCTAAGCCCGATTGGGCCCGCGACAGCGCCTGGTGTTCGTTTGGTTTGTACCAGGAGGAAACGGTCGTAAACAGTAGTGAACGGTAGTCAAGGCGGTAGTCAACGGTAGTAAATGATAGTAAATGATACTGTCAACACTACTGGGACTAGGGACCAACTCGCAAATCGCCTTGAAGCTCTAAGGGGGCCGAGATTTTAAAGTTCACGACTACAGCACTGCACTCTATGCTCTACTTCTCTACCTCTTTGGCTACTACACCACTCACCACTACAATCCTGCACTTCTTCACTCCCCGCCCCTCGATCGTCACTCTGCTCCACATTCTCATCCACATGTGCTGAACCAAGCTCCGGCATCATACCGGTCGTTGCGACAAGATGAGGCCCCAGAGCGACGACGTCCGGACCTCTGCGTTGTGCGCATCGTATCACTAGGCGTGGACGGGGTTCTGGTGTAAGAGTGGCGATGAGATGATGGCCGGGAAGACGCTCGCTACCACTGAAGGTCGCTGAACAGCTCTAGCAACCACTACTCGTCCCCAGCACTGGCAGCAAGGGCGCCGTCGCAATCATGGCGACGCGCTGATGTCAGTGAGACCCTGGCGAGACCATGGCATGCCCGGGTATTCTCGGTGAGAGGAGCGCGAACGTGAGCAGAAGCAGAAGCAGAAGCTGGAAGCAGGAGCACGAGCAGGAGCCATCAAGTACAAATTACAATAATGAAAAGTAGAGCAGAATGCACCCTGTTGGATGTCATCACGGCGGGAATCTTGGCCGCCCAGGTGTCGTGCGACCTGCTACCACCGAAACCATGAGGACCTGGACAACTGGACGGTCGCCCAAAGGGCACTGAACCGAGAGCCACCTGGAAGGCTGGAAAGGGGAGGCCGGGAGAGAGAAGAGGGAATGGCTAGATTCTTCCCAGGTTAAGGGGATCCGCGCACGGCCAGCGATGGGGGGCGTGAAATTTGACGTTCTGGTGGCCGCAGCAAAGGGGCCTTCAGCGATGTCGACGACGATCATAGGAGATTATTACGGAGCCAGGAGTGGAGTAATCATCCCAAACTGATATCTTCGGACGCTCCAGTGGCGTGGCGCGGGACTCACTCAGTTGCTAACCATACGGAGCAGTATGCAGGAACCATGAGACAGGAGTGCTTGCGCATGTACGGAGTAGGGAGCAGTCACCGCTACGACGCGCAATAATATTGTGTTCCCTACGAAGTACGTTCGTATGTATGGTCACAACAGGCGGAGGTCCAGCTGGCTGGTACTTCCATACCTAGGTATTTATATGCCGGCGAGATGAGCAACAGGCGCTATGCGTTCTAAGGCAGGGACCGGCGGATTCTCATTGCGTGTATTCGATACTCGGAGCAAGGAGACTAAAGCGAAGCCGTCTGGTCCAAAGAAAGGCTTCATGGCATGCATGCTACATTTATTGGTTTGAGCAAGGAGACCAGTGAACGAGTCGAAGCTGGTCCTGCACATTCGGTTGGATTCTCTAAGTCCCTTGGCGACTGGCAACACTTGCGCAGTTGCGCTCCCCACGACAATATTTAGATCGACAAGGGCCTCGAGTTTTAATATTGCTATTGAAAACCTTTACGAAGTACAGGACTCCGTATGTGGCATCGGACTTCTGCAGCAGCCTAGCTATTGGAGTCTCAAAGAAAAGGAGTCGCGGTTCGATGAAGGGTCGTCGGGTGGTTCAATAATAATCCTGCAGCTAAGAACATATACATCTGCGACTATTAATCTACTTTTCATCGGCCCCGCAGATGGATCCTGTACGCGGGGGACAAGTATCCTCGTCGCCGCATGTATAGTTGGCCTTACTTGTGATAAAATCGATCAGTTAAGGAGGGAAAACAATAATAACAAACGCCCCCAGAGTTAGCATATTATCCGATTTAGCGCGCCTTGTCTCTTTTCCGCTGGGTGTCGTTGCTAACGATTCCGCTGACAGCATGAGAATTGGCATAAACACTGCCGAGTCAGTGTTGATAGGGCAACGACAGAGCGAAGGAAGTCGGAAGTGCATGCCAGCGAGAATAAACTTTGACCTTCTCAACTAAACCCCGCCAAAAAGGAACCTTAGGGCCAGAAAAAGCATGTCAAGTGGCGCCTGGAATGATCTCCTCTAGTAAGCACGAAGTACAGGAGGGGCTAAACGATACTTGCTTTTGGGATGACGCCAGCGCCCAGTTCAGATATGATGAAGATAAGAATGAGGATGCACAGAAAAGGAGGAGATATATTATTGTGAATCAAGATTCATGAGCCGATGATCTCGTGAAAATGGGCTTTTTTTGCCGGATGTCTCATGCTCTGGCATTCGGTTCGCCCCGCCGGCCTGGCGATCATACCCACGCACGGGGAAAGGAGAAGAAGACGCCCGCCCGCTGGCCCCTGCGTCAAGCAGAGTCAGGAGCCAACAAGGCGAAAAGGGGCAGCAATTGGTATCCTAGCAAAGCCAGAGACCCCTAGGGATTGCCGAGTGCAGTATGTACAAATTACAAAAAGTAGGGGCCTACCTACATACTGGCTCTATGTTCCGCACAAAGTTATTTATACTTCCGGTCAATCCAGGCTCAGAGAGCAGTTTGCAATTCCCTGAGCAGGTCAGACGGGGGACCTCAAGGTCATTAGCTTGCCTACGATATTTACACTCGTCGATAACCTATCCATATCTACGTACACCCTGGCACATCTGAACCCTGAATTCTGAAGCTGGTCTTCGCCCGATAATGCCAATCTTCTCCCCGGAAACAAGCAAGGTCCATTTGAAACACGGCATTTGTGAACAGTTGGCCCAGGATTGAAATATCGGGCGGGGAAAGGACACCGACGTCATGCGTGTTTGTTTGAGGTTCTCGAGGCTCGAGTACCAATTTCTTTACGCCACGGCGTCTCCCTTCGAAGCCCTTGTGAGATAACCGGCCAAAGTTTGTTATTGCCAGCTTCGATGCTCTTACATAGCTCTATCAACCCTAATTCGACGGTGTTGCTACATTTTGAATCGCCTTGGCGGATACATTAGCAATGTCAGCCAGCTGAAAAAGGGAGAAGTAGCTCTAAATCGGATAATCTGAAAATTTTGGGTACGGAGAAGGTAGATATCGGTTAAATAATTAAAGTAAGTCGAAATCTGTCCACAGAAAAAAATCGTACGAAGTATCGAAGGCTTAATCAAAGAAACGACAGATTTATATTATAAAAGCAAATCTGATTCCGGTCTTGGTACGGAGTACGGACGGATATCTCCTAAGTCGTCGGGTGGCTTAATACCTAGGGACCTAGGTTATGATCCTGCAGCTAAGAGCATATATTTGAGCTTTATATGCATTGGAAGGAATATAGAAACACGAATCCGCTTCTCGCCGTCCTATACATCTGCGGCTATTAATATACTTTTCATCCGCCCATAGATGAATCGCATACGCGGGAAAAAGTATCGTCGTCGACCCCAATTCAAACAATTGCAACCGCTACCGCGCTCCGTAGGTACTGTGTGTCCGGAGTCCAGCCTCTATGAATACGGCTTCATGCTGACAGGAACTGGCGAATCCTAACGTTCGAATCGGTTTGTTGTCTAATGTACGGATTTCGTATGGGTTTCTGCGCCCGGCTCCCCGTTCGCTTGCGAACGGGCCTCTGGAATCTCTGGGCGCCATTCATCAACCTTCCTCAGCTTCCGTAAACCCTGGTCCGATCTTTCGAGACCGTCGAAGCTCGGGTCCGGGGTTAGTCATGTGATGTTATCGATGGTCAGTCTTCCAGGCTCCAGTCGTCTGTGTCAGCTGGTCAGATATACGAGGTTTCCTTTGGCCACTGGGAGGGCTGAGTCAGTCACTCGACCGAGTTGCCGCAATAGGACCGTCCATGTGGCCGAATGTGCCTCATGTGACGGAGTAACTGAGGACTCAAGGGGGGCACGAGTACAACACAACCGACAAAGCAATATAGCGATCCTATTGACTAATCTACGAAGAAACATCATGCCTAATTACGCTTATGGTAGCTATCTACTACGCATATATTTCTCCTTCTGGTCTGAGTTAATTGTTAACTATCATATATGGCTAATATTATTTCCGTTGTGCTATAATATAATATAGAAGTATAGAATGCCTGGGTCCTATATATATGGGTATGTTAAGAGGCATGCTGCAGGGGCTAGTACTCGCAATTATACTCCAACCAAGGACTTTGATATTTTCCGGGAATATCATAATGTCAGGTATCAGGGTAGCTGTGAGGCTCCTAGTAGAGTCAGTTGTACCTTTAATCTCATTTATAGTTGACTTTGTGGTCCATTGCTTATTGGCTTGGCTTATTATGTTGGCTTATTGAGCCCTCATCACAAGATTTCGGGGATATCACGTGCCATGGTTGCCTTCAGCCTCACCTCCTTCTATGAACCTCATTTTTTCTCTTATGTTCAATTAAAATGTATCAGATGTTGTTTTAATCGCAGCATTGTCTATGAGTGCAAAAATGTCTATCGATGGCTCTAACCCCTACAACTACGACTTGCTCCTGCAGCCTGACGCAATCCGAATTCTGCTCCTCGAGCCCGCTACCACCCAAGAGGCTGACCTCCACGCGACGATATCTATCGCATGTCTCGGAGAAAACCCTCTCTACGAGGCCATATCCTACACGTGGGGCGAGCCCGTCTTCCCGGAAGCGCTCCATTTAAGTGTAGAAAACCCAAACCTTGACCTCCACATACATTCTAAAATCCAGATCACCGAGAACCTTGCCTCAGCCCTCAGGCAATTTCGCCGAAAGAACGAAAACCGGGTTCTCTGGGCGGATGCCGTATGTATCAATCAATTGGATAATGAGGAGAAGGCCTCTCAAGTGACTTTGATGAAACGGATCTATAAGCAAGCTGCTCAAGTGCTCATCTGGCTCGGCGATAACACCCCTGAGATGGATTCTGCTTTTCAATTTACAGAGGGCCTAGCTGCTCGTGCAAAGGATGAGTTCGATGTGAAACCAAGGAGCTATGTCATACATCTTGTGCCGCATAAGCTAGAGTGTGACCGCGGACACATTGAGGAGCTGCTCGCGAGTACAAAATCGAGTCATATCCATCATATTTACGGAAGACCGTGGTTCTCCCGGCTATGGATCGTTCAAGAAGTTGCACTTGCCACTAAAGCAGTGTTATGTTCTGGAAAACTGGAGCTAGATTGGATGACTTTCGAGACCGCAATGACGCTACTCCGGGAATCTTTGGATACGGTTGCAGGAAGCAGCATATTAGAGGCAGTGGCGTTCAGCCAAGTGTGGAGTATCATCGAAGTCAAGGGCGACTATAGAGCCCTAAATTCTGGACATGTGACATATGGTTCTGTGTATGCCCAACTAGGGATCTTCATGCAGAGACTCAGACAGCAGGATTGCAAAGATGATCGAGATCGTGTTTATGCTCTACTGGGGTTGCAAACCCCACTCTTCCTCAGTTTACACTTCAAGCCTGATTATACGGTAACTTCTTTTGAGGTATATACCAAGTTTGCCTGGGCACACCTTGAAGCAGGGGATGTCGAGATACTACTTGATGCTGGAATTTGGTGGCGGGATATCTCAGAGGTGAACCTGGACCAGGCCCCTATTGTGGAGTATGATCCCAACTATCTCCCGTCCTGGGCACCTGATTTGAGGAAGCCCAAGACCCCAAGATGGCTTTGCTACCGTGGCGATAACGATAGATTCTACGCAAGCACCGAATTCCTGCCCAAGATCAAACTTTCTTCTCAAAACATACAAACGGTAGCTATCTGGAGCGCTGTTGTCGGCCAAATCCGTACTCAGGTGTACCTTGAAAAGAACTTCATGACCCAGCTAATCAATTTCCAATATATTCGAAATTCAATCAAAATGATCCAGGATCAAGTTGAGCAAGTCCTCGAAGCAAATAAAGGAGGCTATATAACAGAAACACTTGACGACGCATTAGCAAGAACCCTTATCGCAGACGGCGCAGCCACTACCCTTAAACCATCGGATGTCCCCAATCTCTGGCTCCTATATTCCAAGCACTGTCTCTCCTCTGATGGTGGAGTCTTACAAAAATATCTTCAGCAAGCAGCTTTTCCGCCCTCCGCCCAATTTTACAGCTCCCTAAATCCCGAAGAACAAGAGGCATGGGACTTCCACACCTATCTCACAAGGTCCCTCTTCGGAAACACATTCTTTATAACGGTCGATGGAAGAATAGGCCTCGCGCCTCCTGGCTCACAGCCAGGGGATGAAATCGTCCTGATTGATGGATGCCGTACCCCATTTCTGATGCGGAGGTTAGAGGGCACGCTATCAGTGCAGTTTCAGAGGCCATATTATTCTATTGTTGGGCCGTGTTATTTGCATGGTGTTATGTATGGGGAGATGTGTACCGACGAGCAGATCGAGGACAGGTGGGGGTTCACGCCTATTATTTAAGTGAAATATGGATATATATCCCAAAGAAAATCCTGGACCAGGGCTGCGAAAGCACTGGAACATCGCAATCTTCTTTACGAGCATAGTTTTGACTATATTATAAATCGGCCTATCAACTGTGTCGGAATTACTTTAGCAGCGTTGGATAATTAAGTCTCGGCATTAATTATTGCCACTTGAGATATCTATTAGAGCTAGAATTACCCCGGAGAGCTTGCACTATCAATTGCTGATTCACGTAAAGCACCGCAATATAGCAGAGACATCCTCACACCATATATCCAAAGTGGATAGACGCTACCTATATTTCCTGAGCACCATTGTTCAGTGAATAGGGGGGATCACGTGATGAAGGATATGGGTCCCAATCAAGGTAGCGTGTATTTTTAATATTTTGAAATCGAAAGGGAAACAAGACGCAAATGAAATGGAAAGCGTGATGAGAAGAGTTAGATGATTTATTGCTCTTTATGTTGACGCGCTGCTTCCTCGTGTTGAAGCTTATCTAATCCTTGACAATTTAGCGTTGAGAGATGGCTACCTAAAGGAAGTTCCTAGGTACTAAACTAACAATAGCTAACTCAAGTACTTAACAGTATCGAAGTCGTCTTAATTGAAAGGTAGCCAAGGTGCTACAACCCCTTTGACTCAGAGAACTTCGACTCTCCAATTCATCCGTGCTAGACTGGCCTGCGCCTCCGTGTTGTTGTCCTGGCTAGCACTTGGCGGCTTACCGGGAATAAATATGTAAAATCTAATTTCCCCCTTTTCACGACCTCCGCCTCCACGTCAATTTTACACGGGGTCGCTGTTAGACTGTTGTATTCGCATGCGAAATAAAAAAGCCGCTATTGTTGATCTTAAAGTTGGTTGCAATGTCTCGGCACACCAATAATAACGACCCTCAGAACATGGCGACATTAGCAGCGGAATTGGAGGCGCGAAACCAATTTCGCGGTGCAGGACCACAAGACACGGACGAACAAATTCGTATGTCTATACTTATTCCACATCACGTGCTTCCATATCCTCCTCTTTGATTAGAAAGGCGACTGATATCTTAATTATCTTATAGATGCACTGTCAACGTTTGAGATTCCCACCCTGCTGCAGTTTGTGAAGGCTGCACAGACGGGCCATTTCCCGGGAAATAGGGATGTTGACCTCCCTCTCTGGCCTAAAGAGGAAATGAGGAATTTCTCGAGGAAATATGCGGAATGGGCGCCTCCACCGTACTCCGAATTGCCTCAACCTGCGGGGCCCTTTGGACTTGGCCCCATACCAGGAGTTTCGCCTCCAGCAATAATCCGTGTCATGCACGTTATGAGCGGAATGGCAGACCTGTTTACGATGGCCGCCTCGAAAGACTTAGGGCGTAGCCAGAAACTCTTAAAGACTAAAGTTAGTTGCCTACTAATTATGGTGCTTCTCATGGTAATAATGAGCATAGATCTGGTTTGGATTGCCGCCCCTTAGTGAGGCCCATTGGGCTACTCGAAGACTTGATGACGAAAGCAACATTGAAGAAACCCTGGCCATTCTGCAGTCAGTGGTCGATGTCTTCGATCACCTCCGCCAACCCCAAATCCAAGGCGAGCTCCGCGACAAGCACAACAAGATCTTCGTCGAAATGGATACCTTCCAAGATGCCTGTAATGCTCTGCGCTCGTCACGAGGAGAGCCAGTCCCGAGTTGGAGTCTGGGCAAACTATGGCTACAATACGTGCGGTTCGTAGTGCCCTATTGCTCGAGAATAGACAGCTAATGCAAGGGCTAACGAGAATACCAAGATGCCACTTTGACTTCATAGAATCACAAGCACGGGCATGGATGTTCAAGCATCTCCCTGTTCTCCATGATTTCTGGAAAGCCCGGTTCATGGCAGCCTTCACCAACGGCCGCGTGATTAGCTCCACCCATGGCACTGTCCGAGTTGATCACTTTGCCCTTTTCATACTCAACAAAATTCAAGATCTGTATCTCAACATTGATATAATAATGCGCTGTCGCCCGGACGGCTTTATCATCCCCGGGGGCGTAGCCGGCAGTGATCCAAGGCTCTGCCAGATCGATGCCCCATCAAATGTGCTCAATGAGTTCTACCGGCAGACTGAAAGTAAAAGAATGAGAGATATGAAGTTCGCTTTCGCCGCCGCACTGGATGAATATGCGCAGGCGAGAGCGGCTCTATCCGCGAATGAGCCCCCTTATCCAGAATTTATGCAGCCGATTATAAGGACGATTAATCGAGAGTTCATGCACAAGGAACAGCAGCCGCATATTGAGAACCCGCCACCTTTTGGTATGGAGTCTTGGGTGAGAGATTTGGGGCAGAAGGATATTGAACAGTTTGGTTTCGTTATTTATAGGCTCTCATACAAGGAGACAGATGAGGAGTGGGAGGCGTTGCGGACGCAGCTTGAGAAGGCAATTGACGATGGCTGGGAAGGCGTCGTTGGGGCCGAGAAGATCAAACATAAGGCTGTTCTTCATTGGATTGACGGTCGTGACGAGAACGTTAAAATCCCAGAAGGGGACTTACAAGCAGCCCGGAGGTACGAACTCATGATTTGTTTTCCTCCCTTCCCCTACCTAGCTATTGTTCTTTTTATCGCACCTAGAAAAATATCTTTCCAAGGATCAATTTACTAACAAGACTAAAAACCGAAGAAATTTCAAAACCTTATCTGAATCACCAAGCCCTCCACCAACAGGCGTAGCAACCACCCTTTGCCTAGCCGTCACCTCCTTATCGCTCTCTTCCCTCAAGGAACCTCAAAAGCCAAACCCAAGTGCAACAACAAACACCGCATCCACTCTCGCCTCCCATCCTGGAAATTTTGGGCCATTCCTCCACGCCATTGATACCTCATTCTCTGAATCTACGTCAGCAGAATCCTCGTCCTCAACATCCGGAGACCCCGACCCCAGGACAACAGCCCGTCAAAATAGCCAAGAGCATCCCCCCGGGTACGATGGGACTCTCAAAATCGCTAGCCACCTCCTATACAATGATCTTTATGCCCTATACATTGGAATAGGGGGCGCAGTTACCATCGAGAACATGTGGTCCCTGTCTGTGAAACATCCGTGGGGTATTTATGTTGGACCTAGTACCGGGGTGCTGCGTAGGAACTGGAGGAATATGATTGGGTTGGGGGGCATAGCAGTGAGCAATGCTGGGAGGATTGGTGCGTTAGGGGTAATGTAAATATAAAAGGTGGTCTTGTGATATTACGCGCATTATTTTTATTTTATTTAGCCAACTGAGATAATTAGAACCACGGCTGACCCATATCCCAATCTGAGAAACCAAAGTCGAAATTCGTCATGGGGAAGTTGTTTTGCGGTATCTTCAATGAGACCCTTAGTAGGAGTCTTAAAGGTACCATAAGAGGGTGATCACTTACTTGATTAAAGTTATTAAACTGGGGGTTGGATGACTGAGGGGGACGATTCTGGTATTGAAGTGGCACCTGGGGTTGTTGAGGGTTCCAATTCTCGCCAGGACCAGGACCAGGACCGAGGTCTGATGTAGGTGTATGATGCTATGTGAGATATCAATGATCGGTTCGTATATAATGATGGGGGTTGTACATACCAACTGTACACCTTGAGCGGCGGGAGCATTATAGGTATGAGGATTGGATTGTACCTCGGGGAGAGCCTTGCGACATGCTAGTAACACCCGCTCAGTGCCCTTAGTCATCAATTCCCGTTTCCCCTCTGGAGTACCATCTGATCTGACCGATTGAAGTACAATGGATAATGGTAGGATAATCTTGAGATCGCTTCCAAATTCTCCGAGTCTTTGGAAGTAACTGTTCAGCGTGTTCTCGACGATGCGCGTCAAACTGTGCTTGGTCCACTGGACCGACTCATCATCTGTCTCCGCTGAAGTTTGATTTCTAGATGAACTGAATGCACGAATCTCGTAACATAGCAGCAATGCAGCTTGGATGATATCCATTTTGCATACGATATGAAAGAGATTCAAATAATCCCTCGATTTTATCGTATCTAAATCAGCAACAGTGGGATCTAGCGCATCACTATGCGAGAGGGTTGCTATAGAGCCTCTGAGAGCTCCCCTTCGAGCTTCCGGGAATCGCGTGGCGTGGTCGCTCAGAGCAACTATCCGATAAAGCGCTAACGGCAGTCTTCGCAAATGGATATCTAGCATGATGTCTGAAAATAGCGTGTGTCTCTTTTTAGACCGTGTAGGTAGTTTACTGTGTAGAAAATGGAGAGACCCCTCGAGACTCTTGGCTAACACGACAAGCTCTTCAGCATCCCTGCTAATAATGATGTTTTTCGAAAGCATATTTGCGGCGTGGAGGCGTTCTTTGAGCGACTGTCCCAAAATGATTTGGGGCAAGGCATCGGACCATTCGCTTGGCTGAAATGGTGCTGGGTACTCGGTCATGTCTTCCGTCAACTGGCCATCGTCAACATGAACCAAAGGCTTGGAATTAAAGCCCGATGGTTCAATTGCAGGGGGCAAACTAGTTGACAGCGAGAACCACAAATCTAGTTCGACTATCGTCCGCCAAATTTTTCGTCTTAGCTCCTTCTCGAATTTCGACATTTCTGCTACATCTTCTGGGTCCCTATGAAGCCCCATAATCATGGCTATGCGCACTAGGTTACCCGATTCTTTCCAGAGCTCGGCCATGGAAAAATTGTTTATAGTGTTGGCGATGAGAAGTAACGTCTGAGCTTGGAGTACAGGTAGAGTAATCCGCTGTTTTCCTTTTAGTGACTCTAGCCACCGCCGGATCAGATTCAGAAATGAGGTGATTTGACCTTGGTGGACTTGTTGTGCTACTAGGGCTGTGTCACGAGAGTCATTTAGCCGCGAGGCAATTACTAGGACACCTAGTAGCTGTACTAGGGCTGATTCAGGGAGGCTTGACGGAATAGCCATTTGAGATTTTCGAACGGCCCTGATCTCATCACATTGCTTGATGAAAGTGGGCAGATGCAACACTCTGAGGACATTCTCTAGATTAGAACCATATCTGGTCGTGAGAGTTTCAATGATAGAGTCTTCGGGTAGACAATTGAGCATCTCTGCCGCTATTGTAGGGCGATTTTCTGGAGACTGGGCAGCTGGTCTTGTTTTCGGGTGAAAGGTTTTTTGAAATGTCGCCATCTCGTTGATCATGGCAGAAAGCCCGGGCTCCGAAAGGCCTCGCATAATAAAATCCTTCTCACTTTCAAACTAGCTCTAGTCAGCATAAGTTCGTAGGGAAGTGTCAGTTAGTGAGTAGCAACTCACGTGATCTAATAATGTCATTCTGTCTCCAAGTCCGACATATCGGGAGCTGGCGCCCTCGACATAAATCCGTCCCAAGGATGATGATAAATCGCGGTGGTTCTCCCAGGTGTTGTTGGTATTTCGTACAGGGCCTTGCTCTACAATGAGCCTACTCCCTGCCTTATCATCACTTGCAATCGACCGGCCACCTTCGGGTGGAATGCCCGTTGTTTGCCCCCAAGAAGCCAGCTTGGACACATCAACTCTCGGCCTCTTGTTACTTCCCTGCTGGCCACTGTTCCCTCTAGCATCAGGCGTCCCCGACGGCCCATGGGCATAGACACACAATGCCTCTCTGCCTAACTTCGTACACTGGATGCATGGTTGAACTCGATCGCATCTGAGTTTCTTCCGGCGACATTCTAGGCACGATTTCGTTGGCCGGGCACGCTTGCGGCTGGCACTATCTGGTCTCGGAGATGCGGAAGAAGGATTAATCGGTGCCGGAGCATCAAGTGGCAGAGAGGGCATCCTGCGATTGCGATCTGGAGATAGTGCGGCGCCACGAGTAAGATGTCCGACGGAGCCGGATATACTCGAGCACCAGGGGGCTAATATTATCTCCGGGTAATGTCAAATGGAGTAAAAAGCACAGCGGAGATACCAAGCTCGACGGGCTATATATATAAAGGTAGATAGGTACTTGCTGGAATCAGTGCTTGTCCATGTTCTTATTCTTGGTCTTGTAGTTGCAACAATACGGAGAAGAGGGCGGATGTCGGGTTTCGGGACTGGAGGAGTCCTCTTGGGTCAAATTAGCCGGCGCCGGGGATTCGGCTTTGTCACACGTCACACGTGACCTGACCCCCTTTTTCTGACAAGTAATCACCATATGCAGTACAAGTAATCATAATATTTAGGTCACTTCCTTCAAGATTGGGCATCACCAAAGCACTCAGGGATGCAGAAAACAAAGTACTATATTTCTACGTTTAAACATCGTAGCACAAACTATTGAGAGTTGCCAGTATGTCTCTAACTCTGTATGAGAACGTATATATAACAACAGTACTAATCAAATTATAAAGGAATGCTAGGGCTAAAGTGGGGAGAGTTGAACGTGAAACATGAATAACAACTGTGCTATAATAAACCTGAGCCATGAGCTATCCTAAAGAAGAGTAGGTACCTAATAATACAAGGTACGCGCTTGGATAGGATGATTGAGTATATTCTGCCGGAGTTTAACCTACCGAGCTGTTGCCCTACTCCTGTTCTCGTCACCAATCACCTTAACATTCACATCACATCACCATCAACAGACTTTCCATTACCGTCTGGACGACCGATCTATACGATTTACACGATCTACATTGCCTACAGCCACAAGAGTGGGACAAAGCAGTGTCTGACCTGAAAGACAACAGATGGGAATATAAAGGACGGCACTGCATATAATACCCGCTGGGATCTACACGTGAAAACCGCTCAGCTACCCTCTGTCAATCTCTAAGGTATACGACTTTCTACTCTCACGCGTCGTCGCGTAGGTGCGATTTCAGGATAGGCCTACGAGAAGTTACTGGAACGGGGAATATTGATATTTGGTCATCTATTTCGACAGCTTCATTGCCTCTCAGCGTTTGCAGACCAGGCTTCGCTATTTTCGCCTCCCAGCCGATTCGATCATGCCTCGGCACAAATAGATACCACGAGACTGCATCTTCGCTCAGGATGCTTGGAAGAATCTGTCGTTCTTCTTTACCCCCGGGGCTCTTCGTCTAGGGGTTTCCTAAATAGCCTTCTACACCGCTGCGGCTGCCTCTTCGTCTAGCTACAATATCTCCTCTACTACCACACTTTGGCGGTATCCAGCCTAGTTCTACTTGAAACGGTTCGCAACACAATATTGAATATTATAACCAGCGATGCCAGGGCCACGTTGACTGGCATGACCGGGCTTTTACACCCCTGGTGTTGAACGAACATCTAAAACCTTTCATCAAGCCCCACGATTTCGATCCTATGTTGCGGATCCAACCGGAATCTCTCACTACACTTGATGCAAAATAGTCCCACGGCCCGTTTGGTTAGCAGAGAAGACAACTCCAATGGATCTTTTAAATCGACAATTTTCATCGTCTCCGTAATCGATTGCTACGGATCTGATGTGGATTGAACACTCTCCAGATCCAAACATCGTTCTCTCTTGTACTCTCTTGTTCAACCGGTGGATTGGTGGATTGATGATTGCATCTTCAACTTCCTCTCCTCGTAGAGCTGGCGCTCGTATTCGGTTGGATCTGAAATTGATGGATTGTAGGTTCATAGCGCTACTTTATAGCCCCCAGGGGACTTGGAGGTGTATTAGGTGGTGTGAATGGCGCTACAAGATGTTGTCGAGATATATAACGGCTTGCTTGGATATCCAAGGTGCATTCCATCACGAGCGTTCAGCTATACCGCTGCAGCATGGAATAATCGATAATAAATGAGCAGCGAGCTGGGCATACTCTCCTGGAAATGGAAGGAAAAGAAGCACCAAGACATTTTCAGCTCGGCCTTTAAGTTGTTCTTCCGGGTATACGGCCGCAGAAGTGGACAGGAAAATGAGGGAGTCTTTATCTGGAGCCGGCACAGACTCGCAGATCGTGAAGGCCCTGTTGCAAAGTATATACAGTTGGTTCTAAATTACTGCAGGTGTCGAGCCAGAGGTTTTCCCAAGCATCCGGAGTCCGAAATGCTGGTTGCCGTCAATGCTTTCTTCTCCAACCCCTAGGCCAAGAAGTCTCGTGTAGCTTGTCTTAAGGGTGCAAATGCGTGGTAAGGTTGGTGAGCGAGATTATCCTGATTTCAGCACGCAAGGCGACTGTCAATGGCGAATGGCGATGAGGCCATTTGCAAGCATGCAGTTGAGTGAACCTGAAATGAACATTGGATACGCTGTTGCCGGCGGTGAAAGCCAATCGCCCCTGGAGAGTTCGGATGCCATGTTGAGCTGCCTTAACTCATCTGGAGCCAGGGACTCGGATATTTTTGCCCACCCGATTAGCTACTGTTGGAGCTGCGTTGGAGCTGCCCGTTACGAAGCTAGTTCTGTGGGAGATAGCAATGTGGCTAACTGAGAAGATATTGATGGTTTGGACTTGTTGTTGCTCATTGTAGGGCGCGGGCTTGAGTCTGTGGCAAGTATGATGCCCCTAATTTCCTTTAGCTCTGTTCTTTGCTCTGTGATCTCAATAACCTAACATGATATAGTGCCACGGCCATGATTTTAGTGAGTTTGAAGGGCCACGCCAATCCCGGAGCCCATCATTCACTGGATTCAACTGGGTATCCACCCTCCTGGGCGCTCCATAAATTGCCTCAAGTCTTATAATAATAATGACACCAACCAACACAATTGGGAGTGCAAATGAACCTAGGACAGGCCTAACAGTCTACATGTCAGCCTCTTATGAGTGGATACACGCAGTATTGGTGACGGAGCTCGCTCTTCGTGGATGAAGTAGATGAATCAGGCCCGGCAGTGGCGCGGATGTATTCGCCAACAAGGGCGACGAGGATGAGGACGCAATACCCTAAATACAGAAAGTCAGCATCTCCTGCGCACCATCGGATTGATATGGCCTCTGAATGGAGACAGCGTACCTGTCTTAGCCCGTGTTTAAGTTGGCAGCGCCATAGTTGTGGGGAACGACTCTTCAACCTAAACTTGCTGGTGATCACAGATTTTCTTCCCTCTGCTCCCCAGGACACCTTCCCTGCTATCGAGATATTTCCACCCAAGGGACGGTCGAGCAACTCACTGGACATTCGGTACGAAGGCGACTAGATATCTGCAAGGCCTAATAACCCGAATTTTGTTGTTAGGTATAGCTTTACAGAGATGGCGATTGCAATTCAAGTCTCAGTGGCCAAGGAGTAAACTCCCATCTGGAAGCAGTTCTGGGTTATCTTGCCAGTTGGTCATGCAAGAGCTGTAGTCACTGGCCCTCCCAAGGTCGTATGTGGGAGAAGACAAGGAAGCTGCGTGCGCAAGTTGTTTGATATGTCTTTGATCTAGCTGGCAGTTGCTAGCTGGTTGATTTGACAATATAATTGAGTGAGGGCGCGCCTTCACTAATGAGATTCGAGTTGGCCAGAAAATACCCGAATTCGTAGCCGAGTCTACAAACCACCCTACAACAGAACTGGGGATGACAACAACCCTCTCCTCTTTCTATCCCATCTTCTCCCGGCTCTCCTTTATCGACCACGCAACACACGCGCCTGAACAGATATGTCCGTCACCATGCCATTCAACTTCAAGGGACTTCCTAAGGAGGTTCGAGCCATGGTATCTCAGCTCGAACTGGAGCTCCAGTTCGATAACGAGCTTCCAGCCCTTCTGGTGGCTTTGGCCCCCGACAAACAGCTTTTTAAAGAGGCGCTTCACCTCTTTAAGAAGATTAATGCCAATGTCACCGTACGTATCACGTATCACGTATCTCATATGCGGACCGCTCAGCTGACATCGAGGCGTTGTAGGAGGAGAATGAGGCAGAATTCAAGCGGAAGCGCATGTTTGAACTCTTGCATATCAAGTATCTCAAGCTTGACTCGGGTCCACAGTAAGTCAATTCCTTTCATTTAGTATCCATCAATATAAATATATGATGGAGAAGCTAATCAGTATAGCTCGCCCGGTGAATCTCCCAAACCCCACTTGAGTCTTAAGGCCCATAAGGTACAGCTGCGAAATAACTTCTCGACCATTCGTATCGATTGTTCGCTTGAGGAGACCCCACCCAGAGAGATGTTTTGTTTTCTGTCTGGATTGGTCCGCGCATCGTCATCAATCACCAAAATCATGGTTCGATACCGTACTACCAACCCGCCTGGCTACGACAACAATCGTCGCGACGCCGTCTATCGACTTGCTCGCGATCTCCATGTAACTGAAGTACTGCAGGTGGTGAATGGGTACAATATCTGGACCTTCGAGGCGGCGAATGGAAGCATGTTGGAATGGTTTGGTTCCCCACTCCTGCGGCTCACTACTGCTGCTACGGGCCAGACTTGACAACGGAACTTGGGATGGATTGCGCGTGGTCTGAGTGTGTTTGGGAAGGGTTTCTATGAGCAAGAATTTGCTAGATAGCTTTGATATGGTTGCTTAATGATAAGCCAACTTCCTCTTTGCTATCCAATAGCCTTTCCATTTGCCACCATGCCAATAACTGGCATTAAGAACATGTGCTTGCTCTCTCTGCAACAGCGCTACAGTATAATTGCTTTATTATACTAAATCGTACATCCAACTATGGGGGCTTGTTTACTACCTATGCGGGAGCTCTACCTTACTACCCCTTCTAGAACCATCCGCGAAGAGACTTGCACCTTGGGGTAGATGGCCTTCGAACGCATGGTGATTGGGCATGAAACTGTTTTTGGATCTTTCATCGACCTCGGGCTTGCACAGTGGTTGGGGCGGCTTTGTTGCCTGTGATTGTGTCTCGAAGTTGGATGCTGTGAGTGCTATCGTTATTACTGGCTTCGCGGATCTGGATATGCGTTGCTCGTGTGATATTTTGCTTCTCACGATGATGTTTGACGTTTTGCTACCTCTTAGAGAGGATGGAGTATGTGGTAGTTCACTGTTCCTGGGCTTGCAAAGCTGAGAAGGAGGTGGGATATACACTAATGAGTGGCAGGTAGGACACTTGTGGCAAGGGAGTGCATAGAGAGGGCTAAGCCCTGTCTGGCGGATCAACTAGGCCGGGCTAGAGCACATGAAAAACGTATTGTGAGCTCTGTATTCACGTCACCCCCAGAGACAGCTTTGTTAGGAACTATCACTGGCTTGTGGGATAGACATCTCCACTAAACCACTATTCCCATGCACTAACAAGTGCTTTTGTGGTTGAACCGCATCCGCGGATGGCTATATTATATGCGCTAAGTGGTAAAATTATTCATTTCCATATTTACAGCTCTTAATAGCTGTAAGTTTAAAGTTGTTGTGGTTATTATCGTAGCTAGAAGACGAAATAAACACGTAGATGAACACACTGAACTAAGAGCATCGAAGCGAGGTGAAAAGGGGGGCGGGGCACGTGATGAACAAATCAACACTCTAATTCTCCAATCCCCACCGCCTAATATCGCGTTATTAACAGAGCGGTAAATGCAATATTTCGAGTAAACCATCAATAGTGCGAAGTATGGTCCACGCCAAGGCCCAAACCAGGTATCCAGAGGTCGAGCTGCCACACTGATCTATTATATAGCGGTGCGAACCCCGCGGGCCGGAGTCTAGGTCTAGCGAGGGGCTACCCACGCTAAACCGCTTTGCTCAGGTATCATGTCCTAGGACATAATACCTCAGCAAAGAAGTCTAGCCTGCCGCTTAGCCGAGGAAGGGTATCTTCCGTCACCCACGGCTATCTAGGACTATCTATATAGTCTTACTCGCGATACAGCCTTCTCTAGAGGGCCTATTGAAGCTGGAAAAAGTTCTAGCTAGCTAAAAGGGGGCAAGCTAGAGTAAACGTGTGAGTATCGCCCTAGAACACTAGCACGTGGCGAGAACGAGTCTGAAATTCGTCGCAAGGCTTTCGAGCTCTTTTAGAGTATCTAGTCAAGAGTTCGTCTAACATAGAAGGAGAAAATAGTACCTCTGGAGATCCCTACACCGCCTCGGGATCGTCTGAGGCTCGACTTATAAGAGGAAGATACTATTATTATAGTTCCGACTATTATTCGTACCGAGCTTGAGAAGTAGCGGGCAAATCCTTCGTCCTTCTTTATTGTCACACTCGCAACTACTCCGTCGAAGACCCCTTTACTCAGCTAGCTCGCCCTCTTCACAATATCTCCGGAGGAGATTAAGTAATTAAAAGGATCCGTACTCGAATCGGCTAGATCGGCCTTCACGAGTTAAAGACGAGCCCTGGGCGCCGTCGCCTTCGGTCAGGCACCAATACCGAGGGTGAGTTCCTTCGGCGTATCTAGCCCGAATATGACGTAGATACGAAGGTCTTGAGAAAGTAGGTGTCTTTCGGGGACAAGTGCGCCTCGCTGTCGGATAACCTGGGGGGGTTGGGCTCTATAATATATTGGCCGGAGGATATTTCAATAGCTAGGTGAGTATCGCCACCCAGGGTTGAACAGGAGCTTACCAGTGTTACAGGCTTGAACGGATACCTCCGGGAGGTCTTCGTGAGGGCCCAATGCTTGATGATAAAAAGCGAGGTTCAAGAATTGGAAAGGTGCAGGTATATGTTCTGCACAGAGCTATTAGCTTTCGCATCAGAGCTATGGAAATCTATCGGGCTTGAGAATTTCCATAACTCCCGTTCTGAAAAAAGGCGTCCGTATATTCTACCCATTCTTTTTTGGGGAGCGCTAGTTTGAATGAAAACCGAATGTCCTATGGGGTGGACCTTTATGAGTCTGTTTTATCCAAGGCAAACATGAATGTGAATAATAGTAACCTTTCTTCTTTTGCCTACCCTTTGATGGTGATAAATTATAGAGCGAATACTTGAACACGCGATCACGAGATCACGAGATCACCAGTATCCTGGTGATATGAGGATGCTGGTGATTAATTATCTTTGTCAGTTGTATTTAAAAACGAAATTAACAATACAACTAGAAGGAGAACCGGTGGATATTAATATATTGACCTGATTTCGTGCCTTTGTACAATCGTACTCGAGATTCGTTAACGTCTGTCATTGCGCACCCTTACCGTTGAAGTTGCAGTAGGAGAATGTTATAACCTCGAGAGTTTAGGGGATTACACTGAGACTGGGGCATGCTTCTGAATAGTTTGGTAGGGCATCAAACGTAACTCATATATTTGCTGGTCACAGCTGGAAATCTGAGAGTTCAACATATTTACTTGTATTATGTGCCATTATAAACTAATTAGAAGCCACTAATGATGACCATCATGGTCTCCTTTTGCCAATCTAACCATCTCTGGGAAGATCTAGATTAAAAGAAATATTAGCAAGTCTCAGCAAATCATACTGGGGGCGGAAGACCTACCGGAGTGCCAAACCCAGTGACTGGATCCCATCCCTTGGCTACGGGGAAGCCTTTGGTGCCGCATCCGTAGCTATCTCCGATTGTTACGTCGGTAAAGGCTTTGTAGCCCTTCTTATAAAGCCAGGGGTTCAACCATCCCATAGTGGGTTTGCCTGATGAGATAAGAGCGTCATTCACAAGAGACACAACACTGGACATCAGAGGGCAAGAAGCGCTAGTTCCACTGATGGAGCTCTCTGTGAGGTTGAATACGAATGCGAAGTAGAGACCCTGGGCGGAAATATCAGGATAACCACGGCCACCTGACAATCATTAGTTACATGTACTACTGATAGATTGATGTGCCAAGATGATTGGGGAGATAGGATACGGACCTTTGTTGTACAGACCGTCATACTTTCCCTTCAAGCTCTTAACATAGGCAGGAACAACATCATCCTGCCAATCTGGCCGGTCGAAGTAGTAGCTGAACCCACTGCCAGAAGCATAAAATCCGTGCTTGAGGCCATCAGGTCCAAGACCGGGAGCGCGGTAGGCTGAAACCTCTGGTTCGAATTGTTGTGTGGCACCAACTGATGTGACATATGGACAGCTTGCTGGGAATGATGGCAAGAATGTGGTCTTATTTTTGCCATCGTTGGTGTAGCAGGAGGATCCGTCCTCGTCTCCAACTCCATCATCACCACTAGAGACTAGAAGTGAGACACCGCGAGCTCCAAGCCGCGCGAATTGTTGACAGACTCTTCGGGCGTATGCTTCAGGAACAGTTTGTTCATCGTCGCCATATGAAGTGCTGATAACCTGCGGAATATCATGTTGCGCCATGACGAAGTTGACCCATTCTAAGTATGGCTCGTTGGTATTAGTTGGCGCGTTAAGATCCGGGATAAAGGGCGGGCTGCCACCGGTCGAATAGGAATAAACTGGTTGCGGGTATGTCATCCCAAGAATGGTTTGAGCATCAAGATTTGCCTCCCTGACAAAATCGTCACCGGCAGCTTGCTCTAGAGTCAGTGGCTCGGATTGAGCTGCAGGTCCATTATCAATCTCGATTGACTTGAAGGTGTTGGCGCTGTCAGCAGCTTCAGGACGATAGTGCTTGAGGAAGGCCTCTATATCAGGGCGGATTGGAGTTTGGTTGAGGAAGTTATTGAACGCTATCTTTGCAATACCTGGAGCCTTTTGCTGATACCCTTTTGTGGCGTATAGAGTTTGAAAGCATTCAATCGTGACTATCAAGTAGACCAATTAGCAAGGGAGTATTATATCATTTGAGAAAGCATAACATGATTGGGAGGTTATGAGATACGGTATTGGGCAGAGGCGCCCAAAAAATGCCCCGGGAAGTAGGGTTTTGGAAATAATAAAACTCAAATTGCTTTTAAAGTACTCACCAGGGAAGAATTGGCACACTTTGGATATAGTTTCATTTGTTGGGGGTTTATAGTCCGGAGGGGTCCACGGCTGGCTAAATTGGATCCAATCCGACTTTTTGGGGACGGATCGCATGAATGATGTTGTCGGCTGGATGGTATCAATATGTTCATGTAAATGACTGGGCAATGACCATTTCGATGTCCGGACAAGAGCCGTACCGTCCTCGTGCCGGTAGACGGAGTATTCTGTATCCAACAAAGCCTCCGCTGAGCCCACATCGAGGAGGATATTAATCCAGTCCTTGGCAGGGCTGTAACTCATCTCGCTCACGCCATTGCTGAGTAGCCACTCGTGAGTTAGGTCAAGAGTCTCATCGGTTGGCTTTACGAAGTCGTTGACCTCATCCACGGATAGGTGTTGACCGTAACGACCATGGTCTGGGTTGGAGACTGCCCAAGCTGTGAGCACTTATTGCCGCGAATATTGGATGAGAATGGGAAAGGGTCAATACCTTCGTTCAGATGGCGGCTCAATTCTTCGAAATTGTTCTGCTTCAACCCGATCTTCAGATGAAGCTTGTGCTGAGAAGGCGCTCGTCCGAGTTTTGTCCATTTGCTAGGAGCCGTATGGGTTTCTTTTACATTATACGGTGTCCTGGAGCGAATTGGCGTACCGAGGACAACCTGAGCTCCAACGGCAACCGAGCAGAGGAGTGAGATGTCGAACTTCATAATTAAATTCAGACCGAGGAAACTGGCTACTGAAAACAAAAAAGCGGTTCGTAGCTCAACCAGCGCTCTGCGGGGGGGATGGGAAGCTTTATGGGGGCACGATCACTCAATCTATGGCTTTGGGTCGCGATATTACCCCTCGAGGGGCAGGGAGCATTCTACCAGCTAGGGATTATGTACCTGCCTCGGCGAGAACATGGACGGCCTGGATTAATCAAGTTGTGGAACTTGAACGGTCGCCCGCGTACCTACATTTCCGCTGCGTCCCAGGAGCAATCCGGCAGCATTGTATGCGATTCGCCCATGTTGCGGATTGAAGAGCAATCACCTTCCCGAATGGTGTAGCTGATCGACATGGAGGCCTGCATTCTAAATTTCGGGACGGGCGATCAGCGTTGGTTATCGAGGAGTTGAGCGTATGATGCGATAAATTAACAACTTTATAATCCGCCCATGTCCATATTCATACCCCGCCCCGCGCTGGGGAGCTTGCGGCTTTATCCAAGGATAAAATTCGAAATCCGGCGAACCTCGAGGATTGAACGCAGCAGTACTTACGTACTCTGTATCTATACAGAAGCTCTACATGATGATCATGCTCTGCAGTAAGGATATGGCAACGGTAGGCGCAAGGAGCGGCACAACAGCACGTAGTGTTCCGTATCCCTTCATGCGCTGTGTCTTAAACCGACGTTATCAGCACGTTGTGGAATATCATGTTGGGGTTATCAGCAGTGCGATGGAAGGGCAAATGTCTGTGTCTGTGTCTGTACCTAGTGGACTGGACCTTACTCTAAACCTTAAGGGCCCAGGGCCACAACGCCATAACCGAGCGCCTAAGCTCTGTAGGTGATTTTGGACCGAGAGAGCGGATAACAGTGCGAGTAGTGTCTTTGGGGTCCAACGGCTTACTTGCGCGCAGCGTCAAGCTTCAGATCAAAGCTCCACGACGACCTTCCTGCTCTGTACGAACCCGTCCGGAGTACGCCGCAATCAGACGCACATCGTATAGCAATATAGCATAGCAACTCTTAACAGAGCCCTTCCTCGGCGCCCTGCTTATCATCTTTCCGACTCTCCGAGGTCCCAGCATAAAAGACCTGCCCTATCCATCGAAGCATGTCCGCATGGTCGCAAGGGCAAGGAAGGGCAAACCCAGCTCCACGGCGCCCACCTCCCTCCCTTACCTTAGGTGCTTATCGGCCCCGGAAGTCCATGGCGGAGGTGAAGAAGGAGGAAGCGGCGCGGGCTGCCGAGGTGATGGTCTTTGGCTTGCGATACTTTGTACGAAGTACGTGCTTTGGATAGAAGTCGAACTCTGTGGCATGGTTGCTTGTCTGGTTTGCGATAGTATTGACTTCGTCCTTGGGGATGATCGCACGGTCTGAGGGCAGGTGTATGGCGTTACTCTAGACCCATTGAATGGCGCCAATGATCGATAAAGAAGCTTGTCTCGATCCTCAAAGCTTCGCGCCCCACCCGTCACAACCGATATATGGCGCATCCTTGGGCGAATTTGGTACCAAATTCCTTTCGCTAGTATTATGAGGCCCAACGACCATTACCTAGATATAAATCCGATATCGCGCTCTTATACTCTTTTCTATACAATCTAGATAGTCGGCGCATAGCCCCCACCCGTAGGTAGCAGGACGAGAGTTCCACGGCCAAAGTGCGCTACTAACAAATGGGTCGACCGGATTTCCTGCAAAATGTTCTTGAGCTGCGATATCTTCGTTTCAAGCTCCTCGGACAGATATTCGTGGGCCGCAGTCGCAACGCCACGGCCAGCAGTCAGAACTTTGCCAGTTGATTCTAAAAGCCGCTGAAGAGTGCTCCGACCCCTCTTGTTCACCTGGACCATCATCTACAATAGATCCTGATAGGAGGAGTATAAGTTGACTCCATCCATAGACTTCCTGATCTCCGAATAAACAGGCGAAGAGTGATGGGTTGACCTGGAGTATGTTGCCAGAATGGCAAAGATACGCCAAAGCTGGTCTGGTTATCTTATCCTTAGGCCATGTCTCTAGGCCTTCATGCCCTGTAGCCCAGGCCTCTATATCTGACCGAAACTGAGGCATTCAAGTTCCGCGAATATCTCAATTTTAATCAGATATTCAAACGACTTGAATACCTAATTTATTTTGGTCTTCTAACATATAATTTGCTTCTTGGTCCGCTAATGGAGTAGCTCGGTGCGCCACGCCTTTTTACATCCCCTCCCACTCCCCCCAAAATAGGTACCTTTATGGCTCACTCTCTCTCCAACCTCCACCTTTATGGCTAACTCTCCATTTATATCGCTCCCCACCACCACGCAAAACCTCCACCTTGACTCGTACATCACAATATATACACCCCTCGCTAAACATGAATCCCCAAACGCCTCCCGAAATAGCGGCCCCAGAAGCTTTGCCACTACGGTTGGAAATTGCATCTCTTCAGGGTCATGAAGCTTTCAGATTCTTTCATGTCCGCGAATCCCACATAAACCCCTTTGAAGAGATACCGTGTTCCCCGATACCTCAGTATCTTAAGGATAATATTGCTAGGATCTACCATGTAACGAACGCTGAAACCTATTTGGAAACTGCGGCAATCTCCCGCACTATACTTGATCAACTCCTTATCTGGTGTTTATACGAAGAGGGCCAGATACCAGCTCAGGAACACGAACAACCCGAAAATACCAACGGCTCGGCCTCCCCCCACCTCCCTACGGAAGAAGACCCAGCCAAGCTCGAGCTTCTACACGATATGCCGTTATCAAAGGTTGTTAGGCATGAAGGAGAGACTAAATTGTTATCAGAATTTGCTGATTACAGTGTGTGGTACGACCGAGCAGCAAAAAAGACACTAGCAACAAATCTTGTAATTTTAGGCTCCAAACGTTACCCTTGCACAGATGCCGCCTTGCCGCAACTTAGGTGCTATATGGGAATTATCCACTCTACACGCAAGGAGGAGTCGAAGGAGAATTGTGTAGTATATGGTGCTGTATCTGATGGGAAGACCTTCCGCTTCTGCCGGATCGATAACGACGGCTTCTACGGTCAGAGTTGTCTTCTAGAGTGGAGATCTCAAAAGCATCAAGATCAAATATATTCTATTGTACGGTTCTTTCTCCGAGAAGCAGCCCTTTCATCGCCAAGTACGACTCCAATAAAGGATCCTATGAGGAGAAGAATAGTTCTCTCGTCATTCGGCAAACCAAAACCTCCTGAAACGTTTGACAGCATCCCGTGGACGGTTTATTACGAAGATGAGTTGGACTCCGACTGTGAAATCGTCGACCTCAATTGGCAACAATGAACAATTGATCTCTCGTGGGAATTAGGAGGCATGAAGGAGAGAGTTCTTCGGGGTAATAATAAGTAGGCGATTAGTCACGGGCTGCGTCGGGAGTTAAGGGGGGGATAGGAGTGGGAATGTATTTGTTTTAGTATTAACGGGCTTTTGCGAGCTTAAGTATATGTTGAATTAGTTCTGTAGTTGATGCTCTAAGAGGAGGTTAACTAGTCCAAATTCAATGTCAATATTATTTCAACGCAATTCGGATCGTGAACTTGGATATTAATAGAGGGTATTATTAGGCGAATTTAGTTTAAACTTCCTTTCCCTAAAACAGCGAAAGTAAAGTGTGTTTTTGAGTAAATGCGGACTGCGTAGGAAAAAAGTCCCAAACCACGTCTAAAACAGAGTCATCTATTCGTGCGGTATATATAAAACGAGTGTATAGATTCAGTCTGGAAAGATTAAGACCTCGATTACAATAGCCATTTGGCGAGGATATTTCAACTTGGGTGAAGCGAGATTGTTTCTACTGAAACAATAAAGTTGAAAGTGGAAAACGGAGATCGACTATAGCTGACATTCGGAAATATCTATTCGTGTTGCCTGCGGAGCTTAACCGGACACAAGATAGTCGGAGGCATTCATGCGGTTGCCAGACAGACCGCCACACGGTGGCGGAAGTTCGGGATGCGGGTGGTGGGGATACACACACAAGTACTCCGTATCCCCCTTAAAATGTCGGTTAGCATGAATCGGCCAAGACAAGGGTCACTCACCAGTAAGAAAATGAGCATGCTCGCTAATAAACCCCCGTGTCCCGGGACCCGTGCTAACCATCGGTAAAGGGGGAAATAGGGGTTCACAGGCTAAATACACATTAGAACTATCGGCATAATTTTCTCTCCACCGGCACGACAAGGCGCAATATCTAAAACATATCCCCCATAGACGAGTAACACGTTCAGGGGCAGTGGGATACGGTAGCTGCTAGTACGTCTGGCATCGCACTTCGTCCACCAAGTCCAGCTTCACCTCAGGCACCATACATCACAACCTCACAACCTCACCACCTTATTGCAACAGCCACGATCATGGCGGCAAAAATAGCTGTAGATACCAGTACTAGTTCTCTGCCTCTCAGTACCTTGGCACTTCACAAATCCCGGCCGACTATACCGTGCGACGCACAGGCGCCGACGCCACTTCGTCCTTAGAGACACAATCCGCCCGCCTCTTTCCAACCACAACTTCAACAAGCGACGACTACCGGGACAGAGTCTATCCATATCCCGCTCCTCATCCACGAGCCGCAGGTGCTGGGCCGGTATCGTGGTGGCCATCAAACTGGCGGCGAATTCCCGAGTTTAGCCCGGTCAATTATGAGCTAGATTTATCAGAGAGGCCTATTGGGGAGAATGCAATGTTTAGTACTTTATTATTCATCACGCTTGGAGGCTGTGGACTTATTTCAACGTACGCAAGCATTTGGAGGCATACTTTGGGCAGATTCAATGAAAGGATATTTAGATATGAGATTGGAGGGCAGTTCTAGGATGGCTTCAAAGATGTCGCACTGGATAGAGAAGGATCGTTAATGAGATATTAACTAAATTAAGACCACATTTTCGGTGTTATTCGTCTCATTTGGATGAATTTTTAGTCTTGAGGGATACAAACAGATTCTCTGAATAAATCTTAAATTAAAACTAGATCCTTTATCACCATTCGCCCAACTGAAACTGGGTATTGCACATGTTAACCAGCTCCCAGCACTCGCCTGTCATTTCATTTTTTGTGCCACTATCCTCAACTGCACCCGCCGCACCCGCAGCAAAAATCGCCGGCATGAAGTGATCATCGGTGCCATGTGCGTCCCTATACCTTGGATGATTCATGAGCCTTGTAAGAGCCCTCCTCAAAGCGGGCCCGCTGTTTCTGGTAAATGCATCCTCCACCGCCTGGCGGAACTCGAGCGCTCATGGTGCTGGCGGCACTGGCTGGGCAAAATTATCCCGATGGATGACCATCTGTGCCCAGTGATTGCGGTAGAGGTTGTGAACTGCTCCTCCAGAGCCTATGATGAGGATATTTTCGTAGCGGAGAGGTCGTAGGACAGAGCCCACTTTGGCGTGATAGTGCGGGTCAAAACGGGCGTTGGCTGAGATGACAGTTACGGGGATGCAGGTCTGCATGTGTGGAAACATGCGAATAAGTATCAGGAACGTGTCGTGGATGAAATCAAGGACTGGGTTAGCTTTCGCTTCGAAGCCCGCCGACTGGAGCATGGAAAGGACTTTGGAGCCGAGGACGAGGTCGGGGCTGAGGACGAAGTTCTTGTACCGTTTTGGAGCCACATACGCAACCTGTGCTTTTAGTTATCACCTATTTGGGGCCTTTAAGTGGTGAATATCCGCCTACCGGTGTTTGCTGAGGGTTCGGGTTCATAGCCACTTGAATTTCATCACCGAGGGCTTCCCAGTGAGCGCCTACAGATCTTTTAGCGTTGTCGAATTAAGTTGACAGAATCGCACCTACCCATCATGACAATACTTTTCACACCTCGACGCGTGGCTTCGTCCCCCATTTCTTTCCAGATAGCTGCTGGCTCTGATTCCTCGCCCAGCATCATGGTGCTTCCATGACTGACGAAGAACACTGGAGTGGGATCTATAGATGCAAGCGGGGATCAGCTGCACAAAACCCCACGGAATACTTAGACAACAACTTACGCTTCTGGCTTACTGCCATACTGTCAGGCTAAAGAGTGGCAGATATCGTGGACTATTTGAGTATTGTGCAAAATCGAGGAGTCAACCGATACGAGATATACCCTAGTTGGGTATAAAGTAGCTACCGTCAGCTATTAAGTATGGTGCAAGAGTAAGGGGTCAACTAACAGGAGATGTATTTATACTCCAATTGCTAGTAAGGCGCCCTTATTTTTGGTGCTACGGAAGAACCATGCCTGGGGCTATGGCATGGAGCACGTGGCTCGTGGGCCCGAATTACCTAAGGTACCTACCTACCTATTATAGAAGGGACAAAGTCACAGGGGAAAGTGTAAATTAGAAAGTTAAGTTACCAAGACAAAACAGTACATAAACCTGAGATTCGAATTTGCCACAAAGTACTTCTATTTACGACTCGTACGTCTGGTGTGATTTCCTTGTCAACATACACACCCTAATTCTATTTAGTCTTCTGTTTTACCACTCTACATCTTGGCATCTAGTGCCCTAAAATGATCCACCACTTCCTGCTTGACATCGTAACTATACAACACTTTTAGCTTCTGAACATCATTGAGCTGGTTGGGAGTCTCCCCCGTCAATCCATCCGCTCGCAGTGCTTCATCTCGAATTACTTGTTGTGGTCCTAAAGTCCAGTCAGTTGCGGAGTGGTCATGGGAAGGGGACGGCCTCACCATCAGGAAGATGGAAGTATTCTTTATTTGCCCTCGCTGCATCCCTCATATGGGCCGTCCGGGGCACCCGCAAACTCTCGTAAACCTTCAATACACTGCGCAAATCCCTCTTTCCTTCCACCACAAACTCCAAACATGTCGCCAATGCCATTGCATCCTCGGCTGCACTCGCCGCTCCTTGCGCGATATATGGCAGCATCGGATGCGCCGAATCTCCTACAAGGACTAGATTGCCCTCATCATGCACCCATTTGCTCAGGCTGGGTCGATCTCTTAATTTCCAAACATAAGACTCGTCGATCATTCCAAGCAACTTTTTGATTCGTGGATCCCAGTTCATAAACTGCTTTCGCAGTGCCGGCATGTCTCCAAGCTTCTTCCACGATTCCTCGCCGGGTTCATCCGGCACGATGATCACGATGTTATAAAACGCTCCGTCGCAGACATAGTAAGAGACGATGTGTCGTCCTGGCCCCAACCATGTCGTCGCATACTTCCGCAGCTCCAGTGACGCAAATTCCGGAGCGTCCATCACCGCTGCTGGGAGAAGCGCACGGTAAGCGCTGTCGCCCGTAGCCATGCTTTGGACTTTATGTCCCGTAACCAGGTCGGCCATCAGTGACCTCGCTCCATCAGCTCCCACTACTAGATCAGCCTCATAGATAGTTCCATCATCGCAGTGCACTATTTCTCGCCCATCAGAGCCATGCTCCCAGCTTGTAGCCTTCACACCGGGCTTCACGACCACTCCTCTCTGCAACACCTTCTCGTACAGCAACCTATGCAAATCCTTGCGGTGCACATGCCAGTACTTGTACCCGAATAAGCCTTCCATACGGTCGTCTGCGTTGACATTGAAGTGGGTCAATGTTTTGCCATCCTCCCAGCGCACTTGACGCATGTATTGGGGCTGGACGCCAACTGCGGCGAGAGAGTTACCCAACCCGAGTTGGGTCAGAATTCGTGTGAAGTTAGGGGTAACTTGAATGCCAGCGCCGAGCTCAGTGATAACTGAGGAGGACTCGAGGACGGTGATAAAGTGAGCCGTCGAAGAGCATGCGAGGGCAAGGGCGAGCGTAGCTCCTGTGGGTTGAGGGGAGAATCAGCTTTGATTCTGGGGATGAAGTGATTGCAATCGGAGTCGCCTGAGTGTACAAAACGCCAAAATGGTGATATTTTCCGTACCTCCAATGCCTGCCCCGACAATAATGATATCAAACTTCTTGGACATGTTTTCTAGGGAGCTGTCAATTCAGTATGACAGGGCAACGTTTCTGAAACTATTTACAAAGTGCGAATCTTCCAGTTCTTAGTACCGTTATAATATCGACCAACACAATGTGTTGATAATTGGGACCCAAATTGGTACACGTAATACAGGTAATTGATTAGTCAGAATAGGTCATGGAATGGGATAATTGTATTGATTAAAGAGCCTAATACTATAGGGTGAAAGCTTCACATATATAGGCAAATGAATGTATAGGGTCAGGTGATCAATTAGGTAACTCAAGGAAATAACACCGATAGTATCCGAATAGCTTCCCAGGGCCTCTATTATCATGTGCTATACTAATTAGTATGGGATGCGATGATATCTGAGTATTCGGCTTATCACGGATATACATATCTCATTTCTCCCTTGTGGTGGAGAAGTGCCAAGTGGGGTGCCTAAGTGGCTTGATCAGCTGGCCAGGGGAACTCCCATAACTCCCATATTCTAACACAATGACTTTAAGATACATTTAGGTCGGGTGGAGGTCAATTCCGGGCAAGGTCCCCTCCTGATAGGGGTGGCTTCAGCAATCGTTCTCAGCAATGTCCATGATTAATTTTGAGAGCGGATCCAACCACGCACGCACTGAGACTATCGGAACTGTGGGGAAGGCTCAGGCGTTACACTTTTTAGATCAGATTTCTTGCAGCTTCCGCCAGGAACTGTCTAGCAAATATGATTTAAGATATGGTTAAGATTGTAGATTTATATGAAGGAATAATGCAGGTGCCAATTGAACCTGTAATTGGCATGGTATAGGGCATAAACTTAAGAATATTATATTAATTGATTTTTCTAATCTATTAAGTGGAAATCCTGATTTAAAAAAATATGAAAATCCTATGCTGCTCGAAACTGTATTATCACAGCTGAACATCTGAATTCCCTACTCGCCAGGTAATAAATTCAATCGTTTAGGGTACGGACTCATCTAAGGTGGGCATGTGGTCGAAATGCTGGAGCTTGGTCTAGGAGCAAGTCTGTGATGTAATGCTAAGCCTCAATAGATACGCGACGAGTTTGGACGGGAGACAACTTGGAAGACGAGAGCGATGGCTACTATTTAGAGTGACTACTTTGTAGGATCACTGTTCAGGGTATTAATTGCCACTTTACAACTTTCAGTGACTTGGAACAAGGTACGAGGGGTTTCAATTAAAAATTTCTCTCTTACTGCATAGCCTGTATATGCTTTACTACTGTTCCTCATTCATCGAAGGAAGCAATCAATTTAATACCTTCAATTCCATCATCCATTCCCTTCAATTTCACCAATAGAACGACTAAACTAAAAGATTAAAATCACCCTTCTCGTTTCTCTTCTCAATTTTGCCAACTATCTAACTGATAATCCACGTCTTCAAAGCGCTCCATTTTACATTGAATGCGAGGTCTTCCTTGTTAGCATCCCAGCGCGTCTCCTAAGCCTCTTCCCAAATTTCCACACAAATGGCATTGGTACGCATAGCAATGCGATGCAGCCAGCGTAGATGCCGAAGCAGCCCATGTAACCGCGTGCTTGCACCCAGTCCGTAACGCCGTAGGTGAATGCGAAGCCAATGACGTTTCGAAATCCTGCAACATTGACAAGAACGGGGCTGGTAAAAGTTGTTAGCGGAGATTTAACCTTGAGTTGAGATGCGGCAATGACAGAATCTGCGAGTTGAAGTAAGACATACCCAGCCCATTTTGGATAGCTCTCAATGCAGTAGACAGAGCCGATAATGTTGACTGTCAAAAATGCGAAGTTAAGGAACGCGGTACCGGAGAGAATTGCTATCCAGTGTACTTTGTAGACGTAGGTCCCGCCAACACCAAACAAGATGCATCCAAAAATGCCACAAAACAGCGGGAAGATCAGACTCCAAAGATGGACCTCCGGTTCACGTATGCCACCCTTATGTTTTGTAATCATACTCGCGACCTTATCAGCGCAATAACTTCCCATGGCGTACACGAAGATAGTAGCAACAACGACCAAAACAACAGAGTATCCAGCGTATTTAAAATCCCAGTTGTAGGGAGGAGCGAAGAGCACTGTAGTCATAGTCTGCAAACTTGCGAGAGAGGCACCAATGAAGACTGCGTTAAGGAGGACAATCCACATGAACCCGGGGAAGATGAGGGATTCAACGATTTCAACAAACGACAAAGCGGCATCTTTAGCTCGGAGGCTGGTGAAGAAAGTGAGGTCTGTTTTCAAGGTGCGCGCGCCGTATCGAGCTGCATCAATTGGTGGTCTTCGCTCACCTGGCCGCAGGGTTTCACTTGCGCCTCCTGTTTACAATCATGTTAGCATAAATCCCAAGTCGGTATTTAGAAGATCAAAGACATACGCATCTCGGAAGTGCTTCGCTGCCATCGAGTCTCTGGCACAAATGCCAGAAGCATGACCCAAGATACTGCAGTTAAAATTGCAAGAATATAATATAGCCAACGCCAGCTCAGATTGGCGATGATGTATGACGAGCCGATACCAAGCGGTAGTGTAATAAGCCCCTAGTTTTTGATTAGGTTGAATTCAATTAACACACCTCTGAAAAGCGAATTCTCACCTAGGATACCCAAATAATTCCGATAGCTCTATTTCGCTAATAGATGAATGAGATGTCATGCGCAATCAATGGGATCAAGCTCTCCACTGCACCAGCGCCCAAAGCTTGAAGACAACGAACTGCCAAATGTGAATTTAGAGATTGACTCAACCCTGCCCAAAGAGTGCACGTCCACGCCAGCAGACCGCAAAGGCATATCACAGGTCGTCGACCAATGGCAATCGATAGAGGAACAAGAACGTAATTGCTAAGGCCAACTATGAGGACCGGGAGAGAAGCAAGCCGGTTGACTTCGGCAAGAGAAGGGGCATTTGGGTTCATGGCCAGCAGCCCAGCTAGGCTGTCAAGTAGGTTGCTGCTTGTCCCACTAGGAGGACTTCCTGATGGGACTGCGCCAGCTGGGATACCAGAAGGTTTGGCTCCACTTGGGAATCCACTGAGGACGGAGGCTCCAGGGATAAGACTTGTCGGGAGACCACTGGGAATTTCACTGAAATCTTGTCTAGCCTTGGTTACTCCAGACGGGAGAACGCCGGCTAGGACGGGCGTTGGAAAGGTAGCTCTAGCTAGCAAGCTGGTTGGGAGGCCACTGGGGATCAAAATACCTGCAGGAAGGTTCGTCGGGAAGCCGCTGGGGATCGAAGCGCCTGACGCGGGAAAAGTGGTTGGAAATCCAGACGGGAGCGAAGCACCTGTTGAGAAAGGCGGAAACACACTAGAGATACCACTGGGAATTCCGACGGGTGGACCAAAGGCGGCACCTCCACCACCGTTGGTGAGAATACTCGGGTCCAAACCGGCGTAAACCAGCACAAATACTGGCAGGAGGGAACCCACAATCTGCTGTGCGACCAGAGACACTGCGCCGACTGTGTTCGCTGCGTCAGTGTTGAATTCTAGGACTGCTTGGGGAGGAGAGTCTTACAGAAGCAGAGTGAAACGAGGATGAGAATTTTCCTCCATTGTGGTAAGTTAAGGGGATCTGTTCATCTGATGAGTAGTAGTCAATTAAACTCCATCGACCAGCACATACCCTTTGGGTCACCGGAAGGCATGGGAATAAAATCCAGCTTTCCATCTTCGTACAGCTGCGTTGAGCCTTCGATAATTGTTGTTACTTTCCGAAAATCCGAATGGTGTTCTACATCATGCGCCGTAGCAGTTGATTTTTCGTCTTGTATGGACGGCATATTTCCAAGATTGAAATGGCTGATACTTGTCGATGTTGCTTCCATGCTCGAATGCCAAAAGATTGGGGCTGTTCCTAGACTAGGAGCAGTCATTAGATGGTGGGTTCCAAGTAAAAAGCTTGGTATTGCATCCTAGGAATCAATTTTGAGGTGACTTCGAGGGAATACTTCCGGATATAGTCCGTATATAAATGATTACGGTATCTATCATACGGCTACATGTAGCTATGCGAAAGCCAAATAAATGCCTTTTTGTGGTTGGAGAGGAGATTTAACGGTTAGAACCGTAGTGTGGGGAAGGATCTGAGCTCTGAGCTAGGGTGCTAACTACGCCGCAGGTTGCACCAGTCCGCCGGATGTGTGGGGAAATCCCCAAGTCGACCATGGTGGCAGGAGAGCCGGCTGAGCAGCATTGCCTTATTAGAAATAGGCCAGATTAATGTTGCATCTAGTAAAACCAGACCTTCGTGCCTAAATGAAGGATCTTCGTGTGCTGAAAAGGTCGAGCCGATCGGCGAGGGGCGCCCACCTGTCGCGACCTAACTGTCCACCCTCTCGCGCCTTGGAACCAGGCCGGCCTTATCTCATGAATTATACGCCAAGTAGAGAAGCTTACCAAGGTGCTAGGAGCGCTACGCGCGTACTCAAAGTATTGGCTCAGGAGTTACGTCAAGTGTTAGAGGGCTTGAAAACAGGTAGAAAGAGTTGATCGATTGTAGGAATAGAGGTGGAGGAGAAGTCCTTGTTATATACAGGTAAAAGAGGGACATATTTGCCACATGCGACGTATACATAAAAAGTCCTGGTTTCAGCCTCGCCAAACTTCAACAAGTTTGCACGAGTTTATAGATGTTCCGAAACAGGAATAACTTGAATATATACCCCTATAGTCACAAACTTCTCTAGCTAGTTTCTAAGAACAACGGCCTAAAGGTGCCCAAATTGTACAATTTTTAAGGGCAGGTCTTTTCTAATCTCTTGTAACTCAATAAATAATAGGTTAATCGATTTAGGGACAGATAATTCGGAACTGTATAGTAATTTTTATATTCGTCGTAGCCCCGGGAGATCTTCGTCCGCAAGTGGACAGGTGTTAGATCATGAGACCACCAGCTGCTTCCTCAGCAGTGCGGCGTCACGTACGATGTAAATCTCTTCTCCGTAATAGGCTTTTCCTAGTCAGACTTAATACCATCACATACTTGATCCTACAATAGGTCAGCCATGTTGCAGCCCTGTAGGTCATATAGATTCCGGACAGCAAAGACACCGCACCCTCCTATTTGCTAGCTAGCTATGCTCGGTAGCCCGCCGTCAGCAGTCCGACCGTCCGACCATCCGCGGACGTAAAACGGCTCGTTAGCGACCTAAAGAAATTGAACGCAAAGTTTGGAAATGTTATTAATTTATTACTATTATAGACACGGTCTACTCGGCGTAGCGCCCCCCGTAAACTGGAGTATGAAAGCCAACTAGCGTTTTAGACCAATCAGGTATACCTCCTGGGACTGACCAATTTTGTTTTGCTTACTTCGTACAGTAAGGAGGGAGTTACACTCCCGACTTATTGCCTTCTTAGTTCCAGGTCTTGGAAGACTGTCGGAAATAGGAGCAATGAATTCACTGCCAACTGCCACTACTACTACCATCTTCATTTTCCTCTGTACTTAATATGCTATTTCCACCTCGAGTTCTTAATATCTTATACTCTAATTTTGTTTTGCTCTGAAATCGTTCTTTCAAAAGCTTAGATTTCTATCACACAATAGCATATTTTACATCTACATTTATTTGGTCTTTCCGCCGTTATATTCAACTCTACTCAAGCAATGTCGAAAGAAAACACCTCCTCAGAGGTTGTGGATAACAACGTCGCGCTCGAATCTGGCCTGCCTAATGACAGCAAACTTACGGACCCCAACGTCGTTGACTGGGACGGGCCGAACAATCCCATCAATCCGCTCAACTGGTCGAGCCACAAGAGGTGGGCGCATGTACTCATGGTTGCGTTGCTTGCCCTGGTAACGTAAGTAATGCATCCATTGCCGATCGCTTCAGGATGTTATATTGTTGCATATATGGACTAACACAAAGTGCTTACTATAGAAATATGGGCCCAACCATGTGCGCACCTAGCATCAAGGGTCTCGTCGCCGACTTTAATATCAGCTCCCAAACAGTCAGCACCCTCGCGATAACCCTCTATCTCCTTGGCTTAGCGACTGGGCCTATGTTCCTGTACCCGCTCAGCGAAATGTACGGCCGCGTGCCATTATATCACGGTGCCAGCCTGGCTTTCGTAGCCTTTGTGATCGGCAATGCGCTGAGCAAGAACATCGGCCAGTTCATTGTCTTCCGGTTTCTCTCGGGCTGTGCGGGCGGCACGCCTATGGCTCTGGGCGGCGGGACTACTGCGGATGTCGCTCGCTTAGAAAATAGGGGGTTTGCAATGGCATTGTTTAGTTTGGGCCCGCTGACGGGACCGGTAGGTCATAATCCTCAATCCTAGCCTCATCCTCATTCCACATGCCCTAACCCAAGGCTAACCTATCCATGTGGTTCAGGTTCTCGGCCCCGTTATCGGGGGTTTTATCGCAGCTGACAAGGGCTGGCGTTGGACCTTCTGGATGCTCGCGATCCTAGGAGGCGCTGTTGGAACTGCTGCCCTAGTTATAATGCGTGAAACACATCCTAAAGTTCTCCTTGAACGCAAAGCGGCCCGTCTCCGCGTCTCCACCGGAAATCCGCAGTTACAATCAAGGCTCGCTCGTTACCTCACGCCCCGCCAGGTCGTCGTCCAGGCGCTCATCCGCCCTGCTATGCTCCTTCTCCGCTCGGCCGTCTTATTAGTTATGTCTCTTTACGTGGCCCTAGTCTTTGGGCTTATGTACCTCTTGTTTGCCACGTTTACTGACGTATTTGAGGGTCAGTACGGTTTTGGCACGTCTATATCTGGGCTTGTGCACCTAGGACTAGGTGTAGCTCTAATCGTGGCCATGCTTCTTTTTGGCGCCCTTGGTGATCGTGTCCAGCGGGCGGCTATGAAAGCAGATGGCGTGCAACTGCCTCGGCCCGAGTATCGTTTGGTGCTAATGATTTGGTTTAGCCCCTGTGTGGGTGTGGGATTGTTTATATATGGCTGGACGGCGTACTACAAAGTGCATTGGACTTTGCCTATCATTGGCACTGCTATTATTGGCCTGGGTGCCTTTTTCGTCCTTGTAAGTTCTACCCTCTATTCTGGCTGAGATGCCCCTTAGATAAGCGCTCAACATCTGCAGATGCCTACACAACTCTACCTCGTCGACCTGTTTGGCTCCGACGCTGCTGCTTCTGCCCTGGGTGCCAACAACCTCCTGCGGTACCTGTCAAGCACTTTTCTGCCACTAGCTGGGCCGAGCATGTACAGGGCGCTGAATTACGGCTGGGGCAACACATTGCTAGGCTTCCTCGCGCTGGGTTTTGTCCCGGCTCCTATTCTGTTTTACAAGTACGGAGAACGGCTTCGTGCTAGGGATTCTCTCAAATCTGTGTAATCAGCCTAGATCTAGAGTTCTAACAACCACTGTGCCTTGGCATTTCGAGAATTGTGTGAATGGTAGAAAGGGAATATTAACCCGTAAGAAGAAGTATAGACAGAATATATCTGTCGTCACGCCTCAAAACTGATCAAAATAGTGATTGGGCATCGATTGACTATAGTAACAGAGGAGGTAGGTAGGTGCCTCTATAAATACAGGGGTATGCCAAAGAATCGGCAGCATTTCAGTTGAAGCTTCACACCATTTCATTTCAAACTATATTCTCTTTTTTATTATTGTAGATTCTACTAGTAGCGGGTATGTTTTATCTAGAAACAGACTGCAGTAGCTGACTCGTATTTCTTTGTTATATATTAATACCAAATTCTTAATTTAACTCAGTTGCCTTCGATTGAATATCTCAGCAAGGGGAAGACAGAAAGAACCCTGGCCAAGCCATTTTCCGGTTCATTCGTAGCGTGCCTGTCAGTTTCAGTGCTGCATACGGAATATGCAGCACGCCTATTAGTAGTAGTGCATTCCTATACAGTAGCCTGTAAGTTCTAGTCCTACATATACAACCAAAGTACCGTTGTTCTCTAGTCCTATACGGGCCAGGCAAAGCATCCGTGTCTACAAAGTATAAATAGCTTCTAACGGATCTTAGCGTATTCTAATTAATTAGCATATTAATTAATTCCCTTACTTAGCTATGTATATAGGCATTCTACTTATTAAATTAGAGAAATTAATAAACCTAATTACCTCTAAACACCCCCCAGTGCCCCCACATTCTAAGTCCTATAACCTAAACAATAGTTGCTAGTTCTACTTGTAAATAAACCGCGGGTAGAAAGCAGTCGTTTAGAGCATGATTAAGGTTTTCGACTACTACCTAGAAGATATTTTATCCTTAGGCGGTTCTTTTAAGGTTAGGAGGCAGTCCAATTTTAAATAAGCCTTGAGAGTAGTGTGATAACTAGCCTCGACCGTAACAGCCCAATGATCGACGACAGACCTGCATCACCGTGTATTTTTAGTGGCTGGGCCAATGTCCCACATCACATCATCTTAAGCAATGAATACGAAACCGCGAAAATCAGTTTTCGACAGTCGGAAGGTGGCATGAGGCAGGTAGTAGGTCTCATTGCAATCTGACAACTCAATCGTGCTAGAAACTCTTTGCATCGCATGTAGCGTAAAACAAAAATGTTTTAGCAGCGCTGCGAAGACAATGCAGAAGCTAGTTCTGCTTGCTCCCCACTCGCGCGAAGAATCCACAGTGATGGAAATAATGTTTATACTTCACTTTCGGTCTCTTTTAAGCAACATTCACGCAGATATGGCTTTTCCCCCGCTGTCAACGCACGAAGTCATAGGCTAAGGTTGCTTTTGGATGATTATTCTCGGGACTTTATAGCAATTCTGGATACGAGGAAATAGCTCATGTGTTTGAATACTAATAATAAAAAGACAACTAAGACAGAGCCCAAGACCGTGGAGATGGGTCTACTCTTCTAAGAGAATCACAAAACGTGTCCCAGTTATTGTGCCACTCGAGATCCAACTCAGGCCTGAATATTCCTACCACCTCCCCATCCATTCTTACCTTCAACATTACTTCAAACATGGTCTGCGAACCAGTGAGTTTAACATCCATACCTAAGTATTCCTGCCACGCAACTGGTATTGCTACATGTCTCACTTCATACCGCCAAAATCCGCTGGGGGACCCTTGGTGACGCCAGCCCATTAGACGCAAATCTTCGATTGACACAGGCTGGGTGTTGACGAGCTTGTTTCCTTTGAGTAGCGATAGAGATACAGTACTCTTATTGCTAGTGTCATCGGGATCGTCCACAAATTCCTGCCTGCAATTTGTGAATATTTGGAAACTTTTGATCGTTTGATCTCGTAACAAGTTTTTGCATCGTTCAGCAAGCTCTGTCTGATCTAGAACTGAGATCGCCCAGCTCATATATTCTAGGGTCAATTCGTTCTCCTTGCGTCTCGAATTCTTGAGTTCTTGCATTAATGTCAAAGTCGGAATATCCAATCCACGCCTTCGAGCGACGACTCCTTCCAAAAGACCCTCGGAAAATATGCGAAAATACTGTTCAGCCAGCAAGTCGACGATCATACCTTCTCTAGGGCAGTGTCGTGACACAAATCGAGGAACCGATATGCTCTCATCTAGCCCTTCATCATAACCATACTTGCTGACCTCTTCCCATAATTTCTTTTGTATACACATCATCATAAGCGACATCCGGGTTACTTTGGAGTCTTCTCTTGCCGTAGATGGCCCAGCAAAAGTTGAACATCGCCGAATGAACGCATCTTCAACAGACAACAGTACGTCCTCCAGATGATCACCCCATGAATTCACCCTCATTTTATCCGTTTCATCGCCCTGAACCACCTGGTCTCTTATATGACCGAATAGGGCGTCTTTCTTGTACTCCTCGGTATATTTCTCGAACGTCAATTGGTTGAGTTGCGCATCTTCTGGTGGCCGAAGACAAGCGTAGGGCAAACCAGTCTTTGCGATGAGCACCGGACTCCTCACCTCAGATCTCCGCTTGCACTCTTGATTGTGCAATTCAAACGCTGCCCACCGTCGATCCATAGCTGTTATCGCGCGACGAAGCTGTATCGCCTGCTTTTCTTCTGCAGAAAGACCACCATATGTTCTATCACTTGGACCAGCGCCGCCGATATCAACAATAGTCAAGGGCTTCTTCACTGCACCTCCACCATCTTTGTCCTCTCTTTTCTTGGACTTTTTCTCGTCCTCGTCAGAGTCGCTGTCACCATCGTTTCCTAAACCTCTGTTCTGCCTTCCCTTTCCCTTAGAAGCTGGTTGCCTGGCGCAGGATTTTGTTTCGGATCTTGAAGGTGGAGGTGCTTCAGCGTTTGTTACTTTATCCGTTCGACGTCGAACATGGCCAGCGGCGGTGCGGGCTTCTGGGCTTTCTGATCGGAGAGGACGATCAATGGGTTGTGCAGTGGTTACAGCCTCGCTGTAGGAATTTTGCAGAATGATCCGAGCTCGCTCTTTAGCAGCAAGTGCCGCTGGATCTGTGGTGAGTTCAGTTGACGACATTATTGGCGATTTTTGAATCAAACAACGAACCGTATATGATGCTTCTGCATCAATACTCGAGGAACTTGAGATTGAAAGTTGAGTAGAGCGGTCATAAAATGCTCAGCCTCGGAGTGGGAATCGATGATTGCCATTCAGTGAGGCTGTCTACCGACTGGTCACCACAGTTTGCCTCACAGATTGCCTCGCAATTCGCCTCGCTGGACGGGCTACGTATATCTCACATACGCCAGAAAAGTAAATGGCCGAATCAAGGTTAGGTATGGCAGATTATTTTGCTCGTCAACTTCTGTGAATCATTCACAACTTCAACCAACTGTTATCGTCGAATAATAGTCTAATTAGGGCAACACCTCAATCATCGTTATCTATCATATTGTGGACAAAAACACACTCAGATATGGCGGCATGGAATTTCCTGCCAAGAAAACTCAAAATATGTCTATTGAAACACCAACGGCGAGCGTGGAACTGCCATCTGTTGTATCTACAGCACCAAGTTCACCACCACCAACAAGAAGGACTTCTACTTCAATAAGAAGCGTGACCACAACCGAAGGACCACGCCTCACAGAAGAAGAAATTGAAAAGAAACCATGGAAATACATTGGCTACAAAGGCTACTCCGAATTTATTGCTTCCGACAATGACTTTTATATTGTTCGAAAATTTGCGTCGCTAAATACACGAATTGCATTAGCCCTTCAAGACCAGATTGCCGTTCTGGAGGCTGATCTTAATGAGCTTGATGCACAATATAGTCAGATGGATGCGGAGGATCTACATAATGGGTCATTCAGAGACGATCGAGAGGATCGAACAGAATTGGTCGAGAAAATAGCAACAAAAGTGGCGAAGTACAGTGAGTTCATCCAAACCCCCTAAATTTTCCGCAAGTCCTGAAAACCACCAGATGAATTTATACTCCAACAAATCGAATTTAAGAAGTACCCCCAACCCTTCAGACAAGACCTCAAAAGCCTCCGAAACTGGCACCACAACCACGACAACGTCGCAATCGCCACCGACGAACAAGCCTACCTAACCCACACCCAAGACCTCATCTCCGTCATCCCTAAAGAAAAAACTCCCCTCCGCCGCCTCCTCGAGCGTTCTCGCAAATTCCGCATCCTCCCTTTATGGATGCAAAAGACCGGACCAGAGCTACCAATATACGACAAAGACGTTATAACATACACCTCAGACAAACGAATCGATCGATTTATCACAGTCGTTGTTGTGGGAATAGGGAGTGTTATGCTAATTGCGCCGATGTGGATTTTACAGGCGATGCCGAATAGCCGCTATAAATTGGCGGTTATTACGACTTTTATTGTTGCATTTTTGGGAATGGTAAGTTATACGACGATTGCAAAGCCATTTGAGACGCTGGCGGCTACTGCTGCGTAAGTTTGCTCTACTCGTAACGGTGGTGACAATTGCAGGTGGAATATTGTGCTAACTTAGGTTGATGTTAGGTACTCTGCTGTGCTTATGGTATTTTTGCAACTTGGTAGCTCGCCTAGTTGACCTACTAGGAGTGTCAATGACTAAGTTATCAAACATAAGCATTGTGGCTAGTAACACGAGGATTCAAATCCTTGAAGATAGAAAGGATGACGGTGTTTCCTCAAAATCTTCGTAATTGGTATCAAAAGGGTTAAGTTGGCATATCTCGTGAGACAGCAGTAGGACGAGCTTGGCGCTACTACACGCATCCCTTCATTAGCAGATGTCATGTTCATGGACAGAGGGCCCAAGTCGACCACTGTGCGGCCGCCTTCGCCCTAACCACTGCCCCATCCCGACTTCCCTATAGGTAGGCAAGACAAGCCGTTATCTATCTACCTTTGCCTGCCCGAGCGAGACAATACCCTGCCGGTGTCATTCTTAAAGCGGCCTTTACTTTTCAATAGTCCCGAAATAGAAGAACCATATATAGCATGTGTCAACAAAAGCGTTACAGCACTGCTATATACGCACTACAATAAATCGTTTATCCTATGAAGTACCTAGGTACACATCGTAACATGTTATAGCCAAATTCAAGCTATTCCTAATTCCCCATAATATGGCCAAATTACAAATATTCCGGCTCGCGTACTAGAATATAGATATGTCAATAATAGAAATCTCAAATTTAACTATTACGCCCAACGGCTGTCTTCCCTCTAAAACTAATAAGGTATCGCTACAACTAAAGACTTGCTTATAAAGTAGCGTGGCGCTAGCACTCCGCGAGAGCTTGGGCAAGGGGACCATCTTTAAATATCTCTAGCGAATAGAAGTGTCCTGGATCACACTTTTTTTCATAGTACAACTAGATATAATTCGGTCGGGCCGGCCAGTTTAATTCTAAATATCTTTGAGTACACGATCAAGGTATCATACGTCGACAGTATCGAATAAGGAATTGGTAGAGGAGGCATTAAGTGTAATAAGCATAGGGGAATGGCTTTAATTTGCAGGTGCAAGGGAGGAACGAGTTACTATGGCGCCCATACAGCGGCGCTGTAATACTTTTGTTGACCTATGCTACAGACTTTTCTTCTTTTTCCGGACCACGGAAAAGAAAAGACCTACATTTTCCCCCCACCTATTATCGAAGGAAACTGACCAGGTACATGCTCAGGTTCATCTCCGATCTCCCTCATCTTATCGTCCAATTGAATAATCATCCTCCGAACAACCTCGGCATACTGAGGCTCACTAAAGACGTTAAACAGTTCTAAAGGATCCTTTTCACAATCAAAAAGCTCCCACTCCCTTGGCTGTCCTCCAGCCGACGTGCCCGGTAATTCAAACCCTTCGTTGTACCAGTAGATCAGCTTGTACTGCTGATCTCGGATGCCGTAATGCGCATACGCATTATGCTCTGCATCTCGATGCATCCAATAACGGTGATAGGCCACCTGCTGCCAATTGGTAGGCGTGGCACCGTTCAAGATCTTGCGGAACGAGTGGCCCTGCATGTAAGACGGCTGTTGCAACTCTGCTAGATCTAGGAACGTGGCTGCAAAGTCGACATTGCAGACGATGTCGTCGCATATACTGCCGGCGGCAATCTCTCGTGGATATCGAACCATGAACGGCATTTGGAAAGACTCTTCGTACATAAATCGTTTGTCGAACCAGCCGTGATCACCGAGGAAGAACCCTTGGTCGGAGGTATAAACAACGACGGTGTCACGCGCCAGGTCTTCATCATCGAGATACTTGAGCATCCTCCCAACGTTATCGTCGATCGAGGCAATGGTGCGAAGGTAGCGCTTGATATAGCGTTGATATTTGAAATGCCGTAGCTCAGCATTTGTCTTGAACGTGAACACCTCACCACGCTCTTTATCAATGAGCCGCAGTTTTGTCACATCCTGGGGATTTGGGATCTTTCTCAAGGTAGATGTCTGGTTGACAAGCTCGCCAACCTCTGATCCCCCATCTGGCTGAGCCAGCCCCAAGGTCAAAATATGTTAGATCCGCGTCTACCCTGATCTTGGCTTCGGCTGCTGCTTGGGCGCGGTTTTTGTAGTCATCATCGAAAGTCTCCGGGACTTTGACGTCTTCCGTATAGAGGTCCTTGTGCTTTGGATCGCACTCCCACGACCGATGTGGTGCTTTGTGATGGCACATCAGGAAGAAAGGCTTTGTTTTATCACGCTTCTCCAGCCAGTTTAGGGACTTGTCCGTAATGATATCGGTAGCATAGCCTTTCTCATTTCGTGTCTGGCCCATTTCAATCATCTCTGGATCGTGATACGAGCCCTGCCCTGACACAACAGACCAGAAATCAAACCCAGTAGGCTCGTGGTCACTTCCCTCTCCCAAGTACCATTTCCCGATCATCGCGGTCTGATATCCGCCAGTACGCATGTGCTTGGCCACGTTAGGTATGTGCTTGTTGATTTTGCTTGCCAGGGTGACAACACCATTAACATGATTATAGGTCCCCGTGAGAATCGAAGCTCTGCTCGGCGTGCAAATAGAGTTCGTGACATAGCAGTGGTTAAACCTCATCCCTTCTTCTGCAATCCGATCCATGTTCGGAGTTTTGTTGATGTTCGCGCCATAGCATCCTATTGCCTTAGATGCATGGTCATCGGCCATGATAAAAAGTATGTTGGGGCGGGCCGCCATCTTGGGTATTGGTCGGCTGGAGTATGGAGGAGAGGCTGCAAACGGACTGTACAAGATTCGCAAGGACGAACGGAAGCGTGGAGAGCAATTCACGATGTCTTATGAGATATATTACAATCTCCAACGAATTTCGCCAGTGCGGGGCCCACAATCCAGTCGCTGGTGATAATAAAAACCTTTTGGTATCAAGACTGGGTTTATCCCAGCGTCACGTTGCTTTGAAGTTGTGACTACTAGCACATGGGCTTCAAGAAACACGATTATCTGGCTGCGGTTCTTATGATACCCCGCATATCGAGGCCATAATCTATCCTAGTTCCGACATTTGAACCAATCTTCGAGCAAGCTGGGCTGCTCAGGGACATTATCTTTTAGTTTTATGCCGTAACTGGTGTTTGTCAACGTCGGCGACATGTACCCGTGCGGCTCACCCAAGTCCCTGGTCCTCGGTACGAACGAGTATTGCGGGACAGCAGTATCAGTAGAGTGGAACGTTGCAGGAGAGTAGTACGATCGTGATCGGCGGCCTCAAGAAGGCAATACCCGGTATAACTGCCAAAAGTGGTGATATTTTGTCTGGCGCTGGCGCTGGTCCCACTACTTCGAAATAAGTGGTACATGTTGGTGAGGTTCTCGCAACATGAGTATTCGATTCGCTAATCGGGACGGGCATGAGGGGGCTTATGCGAGACCCTAGCGGTATCAACTCGAGGCGTATAACGAGCCTAGTGGCACACCAGCCAACCAGAACCTTAGTCACTCCATAGTCAGCCCTAACTAGCGATACCTCTTATATTGGATAAGGTACTTCTAGTCTTCCACTAAGCTTCCTACCGCTGCTAAAAGCTGCTTTACAGCGCGAAATTGGACACTAGCAGGCGTAGATAGACTCTATATCTAGTTACAACACAGCGACCGTCCTGCGCTTCCGCCATTCTCTGGTTAAGTTGCATCATTAACTGTGGATGTTTAGGCGGGGCGTTTGGTTGTCTACTCTGGCCTCCCCTCACACTAATAAGAGCCTCAAGTCGCCCTCCAGCTGGCATCTCCAGATAGGCCCCCCTTAGTCTAGCTACTGATTGGGTCATGTGCCACCGATTCGGCATGTGAGAATGCTTTTGCTGCTTAGCTCGGCTACGCTTGGATTATACTAGACATTAGTCTTATCAGTTTCAGGCCTGGATGTAACGTTTAGTTTACTTACTGTGTACTATCTGCATCTTCTTAGCAGTGGGTTATACCCTGAATCAGAATTAACTTGCATACCCGCAGCCTCATCCTCGGGACTAGCTGCACAGTGTACCCAACCATGTGCAGGGGTTCATAACCCATCACCCGCAGGGTACGAAGTAAAGAATGTGGAAGCATGGGTAATCATGGGGATGTTGAAGCGAATTCTAGCTGGCCTCCTGGAAGGATAATTACCACGAGGTCCCCGACCTTTCAAGGGAATAAAGCATCTTGAATCACATCCCTGGCCCTCCTCAAGCAACGGCAGATATGGACATCGTCAGCGAAAAGCCAGACCACGGCCAGGCGGCCTTCAAGGCCGGCCCAGCAGTTCTCGAGACCTCGGGCAAGATCTTGACGGAAAACACCCGCCTAGCCACCGAGACGGAACACAATCTCACTTTCTGGCAGGCCGTCAAGATCTACAGGAAGGCCGTGGCCTGGTCCATCATCGTCTCTATGGCCACCATCATGGAGAGCTACGACATCCAGATCATCGGCTCGTTCTACGCATACCCAACCTTCCAGAAGAAGTACGGCGAGCGGCTACCCAACGGGAAATATTCCATCCCCGCAAAGTGGCAGGTGGCCCTTACCCTGAGCGCCAGTGTCGGGATCATCATCGGCATCTTTGCAAATGGGATCTTGGTCGATAGGTTCGGGCACAAGAAGCTGTTGCTCATCTCGTACGTCCTGATGACGGCCTTCATCTTTATCACATTCTTTGCGCCGAGCATCGAGGTCCTGCTCGCCGGCGAATTCTTATGCGGACTCCCCTGGGGCGTCTTTGGTATCCTGGCACCGTCGTACGCGGCGGAAGTCTGTCCCACTGCTCTTCGCGGCTACCTCACCACATATGTCAACCTTTGCTGGGTTATCGGTCACATCATCGCCGCCGGGGTCCTTGACGGCCTGATATCAAACAAAACAGAATAGTCATACCGGATCCCTTTCGCCGTGCAATGGATCTGGCCAGTCCCCCTTTTCTTCATCCTCTGCTTCGCCCCCGACTCCCCCTGGTGGCTGGTACGCCAGAACCGCCACGAAGACGCCGAGCACGCTTTATTACGCCTGTCCGAGTTCAAAGACGAAGGTAATACCAGCGTCAAGCAGAACCTCGACATGATGATCTACACCAACCAGCACGAATTGGACACGAACGTAGGCGGCAGCTACCTCGATTGCTTCAAGGGTCCCGACCTCCGCCGCACTGAGATCGCCTGTCTGGCCTGGACCACGCAGGTCTTCTCCGGCTTCGCGATCCAGGCATACATCACGTACTTCTTCACGCTTGCCGGTCTCTCGCCCGGCGACTCGTATAAGCTCGCGTTGGGCACCTACAGCATTGCCTTTGTCGGGACGGCCAGCTCCTGGGTCCTGCAAGCGTATGTCGGGCGACGAAAGATCTTCCTTTTCGGCCTAGCGGCGATGACCCCGATTATGTGGATCGTGGGATTCCTCGCTCTCGCGCCCCCAACGGGGGCCATTGCATGGGCGCAGTCTGTTCTGCTGCTCGTCTGGTTTGGCGCCTACGGCCTCACTATCGGGCCAATCCCATTCGTCATCGCTAGTGAGATAGGAGCGACGCGTTTGCGCAGCAAGACTCTCAGTTTGGCGCGGAACAGCTGTTATCTTATGGTCATTGTAAACGTGGTTGTGGCGCCGTACATGCTCAATCTGGCGCAAGGGAATCTCAAAGGCATAGCGGCATTTCCTGCTGCGGGACTGAGCATGCTTTGCCTTTTGTGGGCATATTTCAGGCTTCCAGAGACGAAAGGAAGAACATACACGGAGTTGGATATTCTGTTCGAGCTCGGGCTTCCTGCGAGGAAGTTTAAGGGTTATGTTATTGACGCCTTGGATGTAGTTGAGAAAGTTGACTGATCACTGAAGCCGCGAGGATAGTACGGGTATTGCTACAGTCAAGTAGTTTTAAAAAGTGCCTAATTTAAAGGCTTTCGTTGATGAGACTTGGAGGCAGATGTTAGCGGGGATGAAATATTTAATTCGATAGCGCTTTTCGTACTTAATAAAGACTCCGAGGTCAACCTCAAGGGGTTGGTCACATAATATATCACATGACCTCAATTATAGCCACCTTCTCAGCACTGGAATAACCACGCTCTATAATAGAGTGGTTACTTACGAAGTAGTTTCAGGTGTTCCAGAGGAAAGTAATCCAGGATATAAAAGTGGCTTTGGCCAAGCGAGCCGACCCGGGCCGAAGGCACCTAATCAACGGGAAGTCATGTGATTGACCCTTCGTCCCATCATAATCGAGACTGGCGATCGGATATAAATCTACAGACTACAATCTCAAGCTACGCTACTCTCCAACCTCTAGTCTCCTTCCTCACAATGCCGCCTTCTTCAGACGACGATGAAGGCGAAGGCATCTTCCAATCGCACTATCGGGATATTCGAGAATCCTCCTCGAGCTCCTCCCCATCTCCATCTTCGTCCCCTCCGCCGCTTCAACAGCAACAACAACAACAACATCACAACTTCTTCGCACCTCCGTTCTACAACCGCCCTCCAACACCTCTCCCTCCGTCGCCCTCATTAACGTCCCTTCTCCGCCCTTCAAGACCAACGACACCAGATACTTCTGCCGACGAACTCGAACCCGTCCCCCGCGCATCCCCCAAAGTCCCAACCTACGAATACTATGGCTTCGTACTGTACCTCTTCTCCTCGCTCACCTTCCTCATGTATCTCCTGTGGTCCTATCTTCCATCGCCATTCCTCCATGCTCTCGGCATATATTACTACCCCAATCGATGGTGGTCGCTTGCCCTGCCATCCTTTATCGTCATGCTGCTTGTGTATATCTACGTTGCGCTCGCATCTTATAATACGGGATACCTAACGTTACCGCTTTCTTCAATCGAGACAATCATTGATAGTGCTGCAAATATTGCTACACTGGATGGGAGGGTGAAGAAGGGTTCACATAGTAATAAGCGGAGAGAACGCGTGGATCATGCCCTCAAAGATTGGCGGACTGTGTGGAGTCATGGAACTGATGCCGTCATGGATGTACCGCTTGGTGGAGTTTGCGAGGTGTTATACGGCGATTGCAGAGAATATGTCGATTCGGACGAAGAGTCATGATATACTTCTGGGAAGGAATGACACTAAGGGCCAATCCCACACACCTGGGTAGAATGATGGCTCGGCATCGCAAACTAGAGCTTCTATGGACACATAGGGTTTCCGACTCGAGATATGTGAACCCGAACCGAGAAGCATCTAGGTCAACAAACGTTACCCCCGCCTCCTGCGTTGCCTACCAGGGACGCCACTACGAACTAGCTATGATCCGAGATACTTTCATGAGCTCCAAATATACCCGGCGAGCACTCAATGGCCTGGGCTCCTTCTATGGAGGGTTTCTGCGTTTTGGATTTCCAGGCAGAAGGTGATATTGGAGTGACACACTTTGAGTGAGGAAGCAAACTCTGAGCTTGGGATGCCCTTCGCTCTATCGTGTTGTCTTTCTACACCAAGCTTAGTAAGGTTTGCTCTCGTACTCCCATCTTTAGAAACGAGAGTCGAACGCACCACATACTACAAAGAAATATTTTGGAGATACCCCGAAGGGGTCTTCACGAGTCCACAAATCTTCGGTTTGAGGAAGCAGTACGAGTGCATTAAAAATCTCCAAAGGGTATCCATAGGGAAGCCCAGGAGGAAACGGGGTGTATTATATCCGACGCTGGGGAAATGGCAATACTGATCGTTTGCAATATCACATACATATTATACACTAATACATGTATTACAAGAAACTTGTCGCTACTATAATAGATTAATTAATAATATCAAAATGTCAACTGTAACGTTTATTTTGAAATCGAGACTTAGAGGTCAGTGAATTGGCGGATTGTGATTGCAGCTCCCGAAATGTCCCATCCTACTGTAAACTACGTACCATAACAAAGAGAACGAAGCAACCACGACCTTGCTAGAAATGCTCATGGTAAAACAGAGAAGTGCTGGTGCATTATATATATATTCTCTGAACTAGTTGACATTCCTTTTGTACAACATCGAAACCGCCCCTTACTGCAAATATCCCAAAGCTAGGAACAGAGAAGAAGAGAAATTGATTCTAAACTACAAAAAGGTAGGCCTCATCTTCATCTCATCTTGTATCATCTTAATAAAAAATGTTCCCAATTCCCATACAATGCCGTGCAATGCTACGACAAATCCGCAATTATGCAATGCAAGATACAGTAGTACAGCCGCTTCGAAAATATATTTGAGAAAGGGGTATTTCTGTCCATCCTCATTCACATTTTCTGTCATTATTAGCTTCATCGGGCGAAGACCTTCACCACCCCATCCCCTCCAGCACTGACAACCCATCTTCCATCTTGACTCCACACTACTGAGCATACACCTTCTCCTCTCATTAGACGATGGCTAGTGATTTCTTGAGTACAGCTTCGTTTCTCGAGAGACCAAAACCGCAAACTGGCATCATGGCCCGCTGATACTAGCTCTCGGCCATCAGGCGAGAGCGATAGGGCTGAAATCGCGGCGGGATGGGCTAACATGTTGTACGTGCATTGCCCTGATATTTCGTTAGATTGGATCATGTAATTGTGGGTTTTGGGAGAGCTTACCGCTATTAGCATCATAAAAACGAATGTATCGGTCTTCATGTCCGCTAATAATAATTCCCTCCACACCACCGCTTGAGCCAGTAGCGCCGCTAACGACACCCTCATCTTCAGAGAGCCCTCTCCCAGCCTCCACACTCAAGGAGCTATCGAGCCCACTCGTAGTTGCAACGACGCCATTCACACCAGTTGACATCGTGCTATCATATGTCTCCAAGCTAGCCATAGCAGTTATTTCTTCTCCAGTTCGAGTAGCATAAACCAAGACCGCAGCGTCAGCGTATGAAACGGCAAATGCATCCCCAGACGCGGAGAACGGTGTTATAGAGGTTGGCGAAGCGGTGCTGTTGGCCCTCGAAATCGAGTGGATAAGCGTGTAATGAAAAGGGGAATTAGAAGCCACGCTAGGTTGTGGTGAAGAAGGGAAGGCAGAGCCAGATGACATGGAGTTTCCTCGAACGCGACCGCCCCTCCGTCCACTCCCTGCTTGAGGCGATATTAATTGGGGCGGAGCACTAACAGACCAGACCTTCACAGTGCCATCGGCGGCACCAGATGCAAGAATTATGCGGTCCGGTCCGCCATATGAATTATTTTGGCCAAAGACTGATCCCGTTGTCCCGGGCAAAACGCAGACCGACCAAACCGCATCGGTATGGCCATCAAGCGTAGCCTTGGGGTCGACTCTTCCACGCTCCCATACTCGTACAGTTGCATCCTGGCCCCCCGAGAATATCCAACCATCGCCTTGTGCTCGGCCACCACTCGAGAAATTTTGGGACGGTGACCAAGAGGCTAGGCACATGACCGATCCGGTATGGCCACGATGCGTAAAATAGCTTTGAATATCCAAATCGCCTGGAGGATTATGAATCCCAGGTTGGGTTTCGTACCGGGCTGGAATAATCCATCGCTTGATCGTTCCGTCATCCCCAGCGGTGCATATTTCAGGCTCACCAGGGCTCCCTCCGCCGCTAAAGATAACTGATCTCACAGCGTCAAGATGTCCCCTTAATCCAAACCTCACTTTGAAACTGCCGCTATCCACCTTTTGGTTTGGATTTAACGAAATTTCATGATCGCTACTCTTGCGCCGCGACATTGAACTTTTCCTCCGATGAGAACCTGGCCCCCTGTTCGGCGATTTTGGTGGATCCTGTGCAATCGGAAACAAATCTTTGTCCGGCCTCTGGGGCGCGGGTTGTGGTTCTGGATCTGGGAATTGTGCTGATTCGTTGAAATCCCAACCGTCCGCTTCTGTTGGAGGTTGCTTCTCTGCTAGTTCTTCGGCATTTACCGGTCTACCGTATGAATCAAACGTAGCCTTGTTTCCTTGTTCTTCCCGAGACTGATCAGCCATTTGGAAGGTTGACGCCCATTCTTGCTGCGATGTTTGCGGCAGAGGTTGTTGGTCTGCAAGAGACCGCGATCCCTGCATATCTGCGTTGCGGAGCGGAAGGTTTGAATTAACTACTGGAACGGGTGGTGGGTGATGATTTGGCGTCGGTGATGGTCTAGCCATATTTGCTTCGCGCATGTTCTTTTGTCTCCCTTGTTGTTGGTATATCTCCTCCAGACTTGGCTGGCCCTGTGGCGGGCCAAAAGATGAAGGGTGCATCATGAGCTCGGCGGCAGGATGTACATCCCTTGGGGGAACCGGGTTCGACGGGGATACCATAAGATACGTGAGTTCTCCCTGCGTTTTATCCATGAAGTTCTTTAGACCTCCGCGATCTGGATCATCCTCTAGCCTCTCTGCCTCCGTCTCGTCTTCGACATCCAAGAATGAGCTATGAGGCTTCTCTTGCGCTATCAAGAGCTGCGAGTTAGCGGGTACACCTATATCATCAGACGACCACTTACGTCGCCCTTGACCCATTTTGAACCCCGTGCTCCCCTTCTCCTTCATATCCCGTATTGACTCGATGTCGACGTCCTTGCCGGTTTTAAGCGCCTTGACTTGAGTATCTCTCTCCTTTAACGCCTTCTCCAGCATGTTGACATATTTCTTCAGAGCCTTGTTGGAGCTATCTGTTTTGCGCGTACTGCCCTCTAAACGTGCTATCCTCCCCTTCATCTCCTGTCTTTCAATCTCCCAGCCATTGCGATCTCGCTCATGACGATGCCATTCGGTCTGCAGGAATCGCATCACACCTAAAAATATTGGTATCCGTTAGAAATACTCCCACTGCCTCCAGCGGCCCTCCACCAGAAGGTACTGCCTACCTTGTAGTGTATACTCCGTGCCCTGGGGCTGGTTGACTTGCTGCTGGGGACCTCCATCCCCAGATAACGATCCATTACCGGCGACATTGCCTCCGGGAGCACCACCGGATATGCCAGACAGCCAGGCCATCTCACCGCACCGAAACCCAACACGCTCTTACAAGTCTGCCTCCGCGGGGCGTGTTACACACTGGCTTCGCACCTGTTGTTGCGGAGTCGATGGGCATTTGTTTGGGGGGCGGGCGCAATTGCAACTCGAGGCAGAGACAGCTGCTGCAGGCTATTTGCAAGCGCGCTGTGAGCTTAATTGTAATGGCTCATGGTCGGGGGGAGCTGTTCGTTGGGCGGAGAGGGGGGGGTAAGATGTGGGAGCAGGTCTATATAGCTGTGGCAATAATCGCTTGTGCAGAATGTCTTTGAATATCTTCTGGTTGTGTAATATAATGTTTTGTCCTCGTCGCTCGTTCTGGTCCCTGAGCTCAAGAACCGAACGAAACGAAACAACGGACGCGCACGTTTCAGGCCACAAGGCTCCAAGGCTCCAAAGCTCCAAGGCCACGATTGCAGTATGTTGGTACTTACGTAATATGTCTCACCAATGGCATCGCTGGAGGGCTGGAATAGGGGGAACAGGTGTCGAGAAAGCCAGTCCAAGGCAATAAATAAATATAAGTAGCCCGCATACGAGCGCTAAACCGAGAGATTCATACATAATACTCTTGGTCCCGGATGGGTATTTCACTGTGTAAGGAGTAATGTAGTAATATACTTAGTAGCTGACTGCTCTATTTTACAGGTTAGGATCATTTCCCCGACCTCCCTAGCTGGATAACCCATAGTTGAATATTTGCCTTCCTTAAGTACATGTATATACCCATACAGCTAGGTACTTAGGTAAGTAGAACCGGTCCTTGCTTGGACTCGACCAGTCCACGAAGCTTCTCCCTCAAGGAGTCCCAGCTCAAAACTCCAACTCTTCAACCTCCATCCCACACTCTATACACGTCTTCACCGTAATGCCATCAGCATTCTCCACCGTCTGACCCCAATCGTGCTCATGTTTCCCACTTCCAATCGCGTCTCCAAAATTCCCCGGCTTCCCGCCACCTTTCAAATTCCTTCTATAAGCATCCGTCCTAGTCTTCTTCTTCAACTCCTGCAGCTTGCTCTTAAACTTGGCTTCCTTTCTCTTCTTCTTATCTGCCTCTCTCTTCTCAAACTCCGCATCCAGCGCCTCCGCCGAACCCCATTTTGTGGTGAACGCGTATTCCTCAACTTGATACCGCAAGAATAACATCATATCATGCCAGTGAGACTTATGCGGATTGGGTTTATTCAAATGCGGCAATAATTCATCATCTTTAAGCTCCGCTGTTTCACAGGAAAGTAATTCAGCACCGGCTCTCGCGCAAGTAACAGGACTAGGAAGTGAAGAGAAGGAGAACCTACGATTAGTCAAAAGATAATCATCCTTCGCCTCCGTCTTTGTCAAAAGGCTATACTTCTCTGGAAACTTCTCCTTGCACCTATGGCACACCGCACACTTAAACACATCCTGCCACTGCCAATCAATCTCCACAGTCCCACACTCTCTACACTTCGACCCCTCCTTGCCTAGTACACTCAAGCCTGGCTCGAAAGGACCCTCCTTCCTATTCCTCAGCCCCTTAAGTAATTGATGTCTTTCCCACTCTTTTAGTGTCATATGTGCCGGTTTCTGATTGTCTACGTCCCCGTCCTTCGGCGCATGTAGAGCCTTATTCCACGGATCATCCTCCGCCGTCAAGAACCCGCCCTTCGTATCTGTCATCTTGCTAAAATCATGATCGACATATTTCTTGAAGTTCCTCGCCGGCTGGATACCGACGGCATCGGTGTCCCGCGCATCGCGACTCGTAGAAGGGATGTTGGATGTGGAGATGGCTGCATAGGCACGCTTGCTGCCTGACCGAGAGGCGGCTTCTGTCGCGACGGGTACAGCCCCGGACCGTGTACGTCTGGTACTATTGAGGGATAACGATGATGCTGCTTCGGCGGCGAGGGAACGTTCACGCAAGGCCTTGGCCTTCAGTCTGTTTTCTTCCTTTGGGTGCAGTTGTTAGCGGGGGAGACCGACATGTACATGTTAGAGGGGTGAGCAATAATGCGCGGTACGTACTATTCTTCGAGTTACTTCCGGGGTTAGTGGAGAGGCCGCAGCAGGGCCAGACCGTGATCTGTGATTTAGAGGAGGAGTAGCAGGTCTTTCCATGATTCTGGCTGTCTGCGTTGTTGTCCGAGAAAAAGTGTCGAGTATTAGATGCCATAGATAGCGATACGACAAGGCTGACGCAGTGACCGAGACAGTGGCGAAAGATTGACAGCCTCGGTGCCCGGCATCGCCAAAACCCGCGAAAGAAATTTGTTAAATAGTCACATTACACAGTGCTACAGTTTTCCTCTCGAAGTTAATGATAACGGGCTTGGAGTATGGACATATGAGCACAAGTTGTTCGGAGCGGCTAAAAGCAAATGCAGAGTTCGACATCCATCTATCGTCTATCATACAGGCTCCTTCACCAAACAAGGTCCAAACCTGTCCCTCCGTTTATCGTCGCATATCCCGACCCGTTCCCATTCCCCCATCCATACCCATAGACGTACAGCCCCCAGTAAAGTATATAGAACCCATAGCTGGGATTCGATTTTCAGTGTAGTCAAGTCATCTATTCGTCCTTAACACCACCACGTCCAGCCTTCTCCGCAGTCGCGATGCTCTTCTTGTCCTGGCTAGGGGCCGCAGTTCCCTGGAGAGCACTCATGATTCCAGCGGCGGCCTTGAAAGGTCGCTTTAATTCCCCGACGGCGGCCTTCCCGAAGAGATGAATCTTGACCTCATTGCCTTCGAATGCGCCCTTGAGCGGGATGATGGATTGGATCAAGAGAGGGTTGGTGTATTTGAAATACACGTGCATAACGGCCATCATTCCAACGCCCATGAGTTGCGCCTTGTAAAGAGCCTTCATCTGGTCGACATCGTATTGGTGGACCGTGGTGGTGATGAGCTTAGGCTCCTCGGTGGATCCCATTTGAGGCTGATCAACATATTTGAGGGTTGTCAAATCTGCAAAAGGCAGGTTCGGATTAGCAAGCCATTCCAGGTCAGCGGCGCTGGTAGAACACATACCCTTCTTCTTGTTAATCTTATAGTGAGTGAGGGCATAGACCGAGATGATGATGACGTTGGACAGAACATATCCTGCCCGGATGAGCATCAGAGTATCGGGATCATCCATAGGGATGCGCTTAGAGACCTGCATCATCAGGAGGATGATAACCAGGTTGGTTCTGTTTAAGCATAGGTAGTCAGTATCTGGTCGTTGCGACTAGGTTGAGATTGGAAGAATGGGGGTTCGGAAGCTGGGAAGGGAATCATACATTTGGGGGCTGAGACCGGCCATTTTGTCGTGATGTGCGGTGCAAAGACAAAGTATTAAATTATTATAGGGAGTGAGAGAAGTGAAGTTGTGAAGATGTGTGGAGCGTCGAGGAATTGAATGCGCGAGAGGAAATTGTGTTCGCATGCAGACACGAAGCCAAGAGCTGCCTGGCGGAGCATGGGGTTGAGTGCCTGGCCTGGCAGCCTGGGTAGTTGAGGCCACGCGAGCAATACCCTGCCGAGTATGCCGTTGAAAGGGGGTTAGGGGTGAAATAAGCCCCTGAAATGGTTTATTTATTTCCCATTTATCATTTACTATTTACTATTTACTATTTACTATTTACTATTTACTATTTACTATTTACTATTTACTATTTACTATTTACTATTTACTATTTACTATTTACTATTNTATTTACTATTTACTATTTACTATTTACTATTTACTATTTACTATTTACTATTTACTATTTACTATTTACTATTTACTATTTACTATTTACTATTACTATGCATGTACTCCACCACGTATCAGAATCGCAGCTAGCAATAGTAATATAATATAATATAATATAATAACCCAAAAATAACAGCCCTTTCAAAAATAAGGCGGGATATTGCTTCCCTCTGCATGTTCCTGCTTCTCGACCTTCCCTCCTCGCCTCTCAGGATCCTTCTTGAAAACCCTCAGAATCGGCCCAAATCGCTCCGCTATGGTCCTCCCAGAGCCCTTCCGTACACGTATAACGTAATACAACAAGACCGTCATGAAAACATTGAAAATAATATACGCGAAGCCGATACCGTAATCTCGCCAGCGGGTGTTGTAGCTAATACTTACACTTGCCAAATATTGATCAGCGTTGGAGACGGCGCAATAGTGGCAGTTGGATGTTGCGCCAGGATTGTAGATGCTACCACCAGTCGCGGATCCGAACGGTTGGAGGTACTGCCCGCAGGTCATACCAGCTGGGGGTTGCATGATGGCGAGTTCGTTGTTGGAGCAGGTCAAGGGCCGACCCGAAAGTCCCGTTGATGCGACTGCAGCAACAAAGTCTAGAGCAGGAGGGTCAGTATTTGAAGATGAGATCTGCAGGGAAATCTGGCAGGCTTACAGGTCAATGGCGAGACACGATACATGAAAATCCAGAAGCCGGGGAGCGCGTTAGGGGGTTGGAAGACACCATTAAAGGTCAGCGTCATGGAGAACATCAGTGTCGCGATGTGGCCAGCTGTTTCCGAGTCTGGCAATGCCGCGATGAGCATGTGAGTAAAGGTACTGTTGAAGACGAAGAACTGCACGAGCAGAAGAAGAATGAGCCCTTGGCGTTGACCCGAGGGAATTCCATCATTGGTGTACACTGGGTAAAAGTAGCTCCCAAAGACCATCACCCCAAGAAGAATTTGATATGGAATTTCGACGATGATATTCGCGATCAGGAATGCTTTCCAACTATACACTTTTGATGGACGTTCTCGAACTTCGTAAAGGTCCCGTTGAAGTATGAATCTTGGCATTATCTGATGGACCAATGACGTGAAGATCGTGGTAATCATGAAGATTGAGAAGATTACGTCCTGGATGCCTTGTTGAGTCGAGTCTGCGTGGTAGAAGGAGAATCCATTGAAGAGAGCAGAGGCCACACCTAACAGGAGCTTATTATAAATGTAACCTGGAGTTCGCCAGTACTGCTGGAAAACACGATGGGTAACCTCGTAAAGTTGGTTTCTAAATGGCATAGCGAATTCTTTGTGAGCTCCAGACGTTTCTTCTGCTGATTTGCCACCACTTCCTTGGTTGACGCTTTCTTGGTTAATTTGAGCCAGTTCATTCAGAACTTTCTCCTTCATGCCACTATCCCTCCACACCGCAGGCCAATCTTTAGATGACTTACCACTTGGCCCAGCTCCAACAACAGTTAACACTAGATGGTCAGCTTATAGCCGTATTAATGGGAGACGAGTTAGATCTTACTATACTCAGCGGGGTTCTCATCATCTCCACATTTATCGGCCCCGTTTGACTCGAAAAAATCTAAAAGATTCTTGGAGTGTTTCCCGATGTCTCCGAAGTACACAGTTCGTCCACCGGTTGCTAGCAAGAGAAGACGATCAAATTCCTGGAAAAGGATGGCACTAGGTTGATGGATAGTAGCTAGCACAGCTTGCCCACTGTCTGCGAGTTTTCTCAGGAAGGCGACGATCGCCCAAGACGATTGGGAATCAAGGCCGGACGTAGGCTCATCTAAGAAAAGGAGAAGTGCCGGTTTTGCGGCCAGTTCAACGCCGATTGTCAAGAGTTTCCGTTGCTCGACGTTTAGCCCCTCGCCCGGAATTCCAACCACTGCTTCAGCAAAATCTTGCATAGCAAGCATCTTGATAACCCCCTCTACAAATTCGTACTTTTCCTTCTTTGATACTGACTTAGGTTGACGGAGTGCGGCTGAAAACCGCAAGGCCTCGCGTACAGTGGTTGTCTCTAAATGAAGGTCTTGTTGTTGAACATATCCAGTTTTACGCTGGAATGATTCATCCAGAGGCTTTCCTGAGACCAACATTTCGCCGCTGACTACACCAATAGAACCCCGTTGAGCAAGTACATCTAGAAGAGTGGTTTTTCCGGCCCCAGAAACTCCCATAAGGGCCGTAAGAGTTCCGGGTTTTACCCATCCAGTAACGTTGTCCAGGAGTCTGCGTGGTTGACCCTTGATCTTTATATCGTAACTGACGTCTTTCCAGGTAAAAATATCCCTTTGAGGTGGCAATGCCTGAACCTCCTCGGCCTGTTCTTCCCCAAGTCCCGTACTTAGCGTGCCGGCTTCAGTTGAGGGTGTCTCTTCGTCATGCTTTGCAGAATGCTCGGCCGCTAAAATGCGCTTGGGAACATGGCCACGTCGAAAAACTAGCACTTCTGCTGTACTTGGGGGGGCGGCGTTCAATTCCGTAGCGAGCAGGTAAAGGAACAAGAAGAATAACATGAAAGCAAACATGAAGCCGAGGTTCCTCCAGATATGGGAGTATGAGTATTGGAATTGGCTCTGGAGGTAGTCGTCCCCTGAGACGGTGGTCTGCCCAGCCACTGCGCCGGGAATGTTGCAGATGAAATTGCTGTCTGCATGAACATATCCACCGCCTGATGGTACCAGCATTGAACAGGCGAATCGTCGCCCATGCAGTTCATTTGTAAACAGGGCCTCGAAAGCATATGCCACGGGGTTAATCCAGGATATCCACTTGAACCACGGATGCATCAGTGGACGTGGAATGACGAATCCTGTATAGATCACAATTGCAAGTGTGATGACTCCAGCGATGGCGAGAGCCTGTGAGACGGTCTTAGTTGCGGCAGCTATGCTACGATAAATTTGGCCCATCGTCAATATCGCTATAAAGTTGAAGAGAAAGTAGATGAAGAACTGCGAGGGCTCGCGTCTTAGACCGGCCAGAAAGTAGAGAATAATATTAAAACAGGTCGCAATAGCGAATTTGACTGGGATATCGGCGATTATGGTCGCCAGTGCTTCAGTAAAAGGATGGTAGAATGCATAGGATGCTTGTTTTTCCACGATCGGCCTCTGGGAATATAGGTTATTTATTTCGGCAATGGCGATAAGGGCGTTCAGCAAGACAGCAAAGAACAGCACTCCTCCTTTTTGGAAGAAGCTCGCAGTATCGTTTCTCGTACCATAGAATATAGAACCAATAATCAAGGCCATAAATATTTGGCCAAATACGATGGTCATTGTAGAAGTTCTGTCGTTCCACAGCCGTTGATACGCTCGTATTGTGCAGTATTTCACCTGCATAGGAATGGATACCGTGTATGGAGATTCGGGACGAACATGTTTAGCCTGCATGGCTTTCCGGCTCTGGTAGAATTCTTCCAAGGTCTTACCGCCTATGGGGAAGGCTTTTTCGTGCTCCTCCGTCTCCACCTTGAGGGCCCTGTATTCCGCCGACTCTTTCCAGTATCTTTCGAATTCCTCAGCAGTTCGGGGCACTCTTTCCGCAAACCCATCGCGAGCTGTCCGTTCTGATGGGTTGGTGACGGATGTCAAGAAGTCTCCAGTAGTCTGTCGTGGCGGACACTCCCAGCCCATGTCGACGAAGTACTGTTTGGCTCTACCACAAGGTCCGAAAAATATCTGCCTCCCCTCGTAAAGCACCACAGCTCTGTCAAATTCGTCATATATAGCCTGGGAGGCTTGGTATATTGCAACCAAATGAACTTGCCCCAGGAGATTGGACGTCATACGGAGTGACCTTGTAAATTCCAGAGCCGTGGCAGCATCAAGCCCTCTAGTTGAGTTGTCCCATGCAGCGATCGGTGATCTAGCCAGAGCCATTTCTGCTATGCTAACTCGCTTCCTTTCTCCACCAGACACGCCACGAATGAATTCGTTACCAACTCTCGTATTTGCTGTGTGCGATAACCCAAATACGGCCATCATGACTTTTGCCATATGCTCAGCCCATGTTTCACGGCTAAGACCTTCGACAAGTCGTTCTCGTGGGGTACGAACTCGAGAGGCGAACTCGAGTGTTTGCCGTACTGTAAGATGTGGAAAATGCTTGTCAACCTCTTGATTATACACCATCTCGCCTTTAAAATGTTTGCGCATTTGTTTTTGGGTAATTCCTAGTCAAGTTAAGCATTAGTCCTTAAAAAGGAAGCTCCTCGGGCTCCGCATATGAAGATCACTAACCGTTGTAGTTAATCTCGGACTGTGGCTTCATATCTAGACCGTGGAGTTCCCCCATCAGGGATTTGAGCAGGGTTGAACAACCACTTCCGGGTCGACCGAGCACAACGAGCATCTCACCAGACTTAAGCACTCCATCAAATTCGTTTAAAATTGACTTCTCGGGGCTCCTGCCAAAAACCCGACCTATTCTCAAAGGAGCCAGTAGTACAGAGCCGACGGTATTTTGATAATTGATCTTAGACCCTGATCCGCACACTTTCAAATTCTTCCACACTATACCAGCACGCCTTAGGACGGTATGTTTCTCGTCTATCAATCTTACTATCCTAAAATCAGGTCAGTTGTGTTTGGAAAAAAAAGCTCATGACACACCGAGACAAACATTTTGGTCCATTTGTAGACATCAAATCTCGGAGACGTGGGATCGAGGACCGGATCTCCAGTTTCCATACCCACAAGCATGTTACGTTGCTCTATTGTAGCTGACGGGATACTCTGCGACCTTGCGAACGCCACGCTACCCCCAATCGACGAAGCAATTCTGTGAAGCTCCGCTCGATCTTCAGGAGCGACGTGTTCAAACTGGCGTTCTCGGGAGGACGCCCCGGTCGATATACTGGCTCGGGACCCATCCTCACCACCTTCCAGAAGAACGTCAGAGGAGCTCCAAGTTGATTGCCCAGTCCCGCCAGGGTTGTCGACATCCTCTGCGGGAGTTTCCTCGCGTCCATTGGGGTATTCGTCGTCGTGAGGTGGCGGCATAGTTGACGGTGCCATGGTAACGATGGATAGATATTAGTTCTCAGGGCATATTGCTCCGACGAGGAGAACTAGAATTTTGGGACGGGTAGGTCCGTCATCCCACTAGGAAGTGTCCAGATTCAGCCGCGTCGAAACCAGCTCCAATGATAATTAATATATCCGTAGATGGGTGTAGACAAATAAACAGAAAATTGAGTCTTATTGATGCCCATGCACTTGTGTCACTCATGTAGCTGTTGACAACCATCGACTTTGTGGCTTATATGTAGTCAATCAAACCTACCACAACATAAACTTCTAGGATAGGATGCTAGAGCCCTAGGAATGACGTAGCCGAGTAAGTGAAAACGTAAAGAAAAGGTATAGATATGCTCCGTACGGGCGGCCGGGCGCGGCCATGACATGACGATATGCTGAGTTACCCACCGCTTTAGCATTAGTTAAGGTTTGGATCAGCTGGAATGGAGGTACCGGGTCCCCCCAGGCATGGTTGACCACCCAGCATTGCTAGTCAAGCTTGCGACAACCCGGAAGACAAGAATATGTCCAATGCTAAACAGTTCGATTGGATTATAAAACTAAACGCTAACAAACAGTGGTTATTCATCATTGCGAGTTCGTGGCTATGTGAAAGAAGAGATCGCAAACATAGCATGGGCTACTTTATCCCCGTGTCGTGTCTACCTAGGTACTGTACCTAGGTAGGTAAGTTAAGTCTTCCGGGGGTTACTGTACCAGGACGATAAGGGACTGCCTAGGCAGGCAAAGATACCGAAGAAGTGATCGTGCGCCCGAGGAATCATTCTCAATATTAATACTATGGGTAATACCTAGGTAGGTAAGGTATTTCAAAAATGTTCTCGCGAGCGCTTTGCTCCAGAGGAACAGTCCATTCCCGGCCTAGGGCTCACTTTTGCCAAGCTGCTAAAATACCACGCTATACCTAGGCAGGCTGCACTGTCACTGTTTTTGGTACTGTACTGTATTTTCTTGCTGAAGCAATGTTTGCAAAAAGTGCGATATGCAACAAAACTTACAGCGGAGGGGGTTGGGAAGTTGAGACATTGAGGGGAACTGCGACATGCAACAAAACCAAAAATTTATTACGAAGTGGCCTAACCCGCTTTAAGAAGAGATTTGACATGTTGGGTAAAAGTGCAACATTTGCAAAAAGTGCGATGTGCAACAAAACTTTATTAGGAGGCGCTTAACTTGCTTTTAAGGGGAGATTTGGAATGTGGGATACGAGTAAAGGGCAACTTTCGCGAAAGTGCGACATGCAACAAAAACGCCACATGGCGAGGGTTGCGAAGTTGAGACATTTAGCAAACGTGCAATGTGCAACAAAACCCCGGTGGTAACAGGATTTTCCTTTAAAGCTACTCTCAATTTCCGATGATGACGACGCCTTCGGTTTCTACTCCATGACATATAAACCTGGGCCAACTGTTCCATATTCCCTGGCCATCAGTTCCGAGAACCTCGGTAGCTTCCTTCATTTACATCAACTCAAGATCAGTTTGATGGTTTCCTTCCTCTCCCTAGTCAGTGTCCCAACTCTGCCTGCTAGTTGAGAAGCAGGCAGAAACTCGAGCTTGGAATGTATGCTAGCCGACAGCACATTATGAAGGTTGCTATATCATGTAGAAGACGTTGAGTTTCCTCGCTCACGATCATTTTGCTTCCGCTGCAAAAGCCCTCTGTTACCAACTTACCATTGCTATCCGCAAACTAGTTCTTCACAACCCTCAAGCGTTCTTAAGATACGTATCCGGTCGCCCTCAACAATAACTCTGCAAGTGGAAATCCACCTCCTTGATCGTAGATATGGGGTGTGGGAATGGTGCCAATGGTACAATTCCAAAAGGTAGAGTCCCGGCTGTTAAGATATGGATATTTCTCATAACACGAAGTTCAAGGCTCTTGAATAACGGCGGATGTGCCTATATCTTGTGGTTCTCTGCTTACTTCGAGATCCCCTGAGGGAAGTGCGTTGTGGTGGCATAGGCAAGGTTTATTATGGAAGGAGATCCCGTAGTGATGTGCTTCGGCTAACATACTTGCGTATAGCCCAAACACCACGACAATCAAGGGTTCCCCGCAGCCAGCAGCCCCCCTATAAAATGAAGGGCCGATCACTATCCCTTGATTCAATCAACCACTCTTACATAGGACAACTCGATCTTACAGAGTTAGTCTATATCCGAGAGGCCGCATGGCCACCAGGCCTAACTCAGCAATACGAGAACTTAGCCGTATTCCGAATCCACATCCTGGATCCCGATTGTGATATCCTTTTTCGACAGACTTATCAAGCGTCATGACCTTCCGAATGGGGGAAATTGCCGGGATCCGAGACTTGCAGTAAATCTTACCAGGCTAGAATCAATATTTATATGGATTCTGACACATTCCTCTGCTTATTTTCCTGGGTCTGATATCTCTGCGCTGTTAATTTCGCGGCCAAATGATTTCGACACTATGCTGTTTAAATCCAGATTCCAACATGTGTCTATCACTCTTCTGGGATATTTCACTCTCGGCCAATCCGTCTTCATCCCACCGTCACTCACCGGTCCCCTCGATGTAGGTGTTGTGTCCTACGAGCTAAACAACACCTCCATTCAGCCCACGCGGGACTTAATGGTCTCAATATTCTATCCCACCTCGTCCTCATCCTGCAAAGACTACAACCTGTCCCCGAATTTCGGACCACAAACCGATGTCTACACCGACAACTGGATAGGGTTCACCGCCGGTTCTTCCGCTACTGTTCAAATGCTTGCCTACGCTTCAGCCCCCATCTCTCCTAAGCATGAAAAGGTCCCAGTGTTGTTCTTTGGCCCGGGGTATGGAAACTCGAGGGGTTATTACAGTGGCGCGGCCCAGGATTTGGCGAGTAATGGTTATATAGTGGTGACTATGGATCATCCCGTCGACTCGGATTTCATCGAGTATCCCGATGGTAGGAATGAAACGTACGTGGAGGATGATACGATGCCCATAGAAGCATACGTGCCGTTTGCTGACCGCCGCGTCTCTGATATCCGCTTTATCCTCGATGACCTTGGAAAGGTACATGAGACGCCCAGAATCCCGGGCTTGAAAGGGCAATTGCGGCTCGAGAAAGTTGGGGCGCTAGGTCACTCCCTGGGAGGATGCACGGCTGGTACTTTGATGTTTAACGATACCCGCTTTATCGCGGGTGTAAATATGGATGGTAGCATGACTGGCCCCGTTGCCACAAAAGGTCTCGATGGGCCGTTCCTTTTGCTAAGTAATGAAGGTCATACAAGGGAATTCGATAGCACGTGGGAAACCTTCTACAATGCTTTGCGAGGTTGGAAGAGGGATATCAGGGTAAAAAAAACCCAACATCATCACTATAGCGACACTCTCTACCTCGCGAATGTTTTAAAACCGGATGGCGATCCGGCGAATGCGGATTATGTGAGGGGCGACAGGATGTATGTGATACAGACTGCTTATGTGGTGGCATTCTTCGACAAGTGGTTTAAAGGAGGTGGCGGGAGGCTACTTGATAAGCCCGTGGAGGAGTTTCCCGAGATTATTTTTGATTATTAGGATGAGCGTGCAGATGATTCAAGAGCTCTGTTTGTCCGATCAGTAAATTGCTTACGGCAGGATAGGATAGGGGCATTGAGTGAGTGATAATCTTACTAAAATAAGACCCGAGTACTTGCATCGGTTGCCCTACAGCGCTATTAATGGACTGAGGATGAGGCAGGGGGCTGTCGTTCTATATCTATAGTACCTGCTATTAGAATCTCGAAAGCGATGTTATCTCGTACATGGTGGCCTACACAGAGTGTAACGGTTCTGAAAACGCGGTAACGGCGGTTGGAGTATATCGCTGTAGTAATAGGAGTAGAGGCGGAGTTGCACGTGTTTCCTACCGCCCGAAATCTGCCACCAGACACGCCTTGTACTTAAATATCAAAATAAGCAAATATCCGCTACCGAAGTACAACAGGCGTGACACTTGGTCAAGTGGCTCGGGTCAAATTGAACTTACGGGGTCGCCAGGGACGATAAGGGAAAAAAGGGGAAACAACAAAGCGAAACAACAACAATAAAACGCGACAAGAGATGTAGGCATTCGACACCGGGCCGAACTCTTTTGCTTCCCAGGAGTATGATTTTGCCTCTTTTTTAAAATCGCTCTTTTGATTTTATGTTGATTTTCTAGCGTCACACTTTTTCCCTGGCTATCGTGGGTCGTTCGAGCCAAACGCGACCGGCACAACCCCAAACAATTACCGTGCCACAAGGAACATTATTCCTTGATATATTATTCTCTTGTACTACGTACCAAGCATTCTATGCCGAGGAACTCCCCTCGTAAAGGGCCAAAGCTCGCTTACAATCAAGAAAGTTAAAAGTGATTGTGGAACTTAGGTAGAGGGGGTGACAGGAGCTGGTCAATTCGAGAAGTAGAGGAGAAATCGAAATAGGGTGCTCAATCATGGCCCTCTATTATTAATTTGAATATAGCAGCAAGATCATGAATATTCATCTGAAGTACAGAGTACAGTACAAACGGACAGGTGCCAAGGAGCCATTACATAAATACCCGAACGCTCGGTTTCCATCACAGCGACCTCCACTCCTTAAGTCCTCCCACTAACCTATACACAACAACGCGATTACAATGCCAACATGATGCCCACCATTCCAAGAGCACCGGCAAGGCTCCCTACCACCGCCGCCGACGGGGCAGCACCCGCTGCTTTGGTTGCAGACTCAGCCGCTCCGGTTGCAGTCCCAGTTGCAGCACCCTTTCCAGCTCCAGTTGTAGCTCCAGCTGCTCCGGTAGGAGCAGCAGCACCTGTGCAGGCAGCGGGCCCAGGAGCGCTTGGAAGGGCTGCCAGTTGCGAGGAGTGTAACTTGGACCAGCTCGATACGGCACTCTCGTAACTTTTCAGCGCGCTCTTGACGTCCGCGGGAAGAGTCTTGTACCAGGCGGGAGTTCCTGTGGCGAGCTCGCACATGTCGCCCTGGATAACTGATGGGGCAGCGGTGGCTATCACAGATGCAACGGACGCTGGGAGAGTTGGGAGGTCCGAGAGAAGGTTTAGGAGGCTGGTGGCCGAGGCAAGTGCCGCGTCGACGGAGGATCCATCGAAGTCTTGAGGAATGGGATCGGCGAAGGCGAGGGCAGCGAGCCCGCTGATGAGGACGAAGTTCTTGGCGAGCATTTTTGCGGTTTGAAGGAACGTGGAGGGTTTCTTTTGAGAGACTGTGCTGGCTTGAACGAGAGTGATGTAGTTTGGAAGGTAGCTTGAGCAGATGTCGAAAGGAAGGTGAGGAGTATGGGGATGTCGAAAAAAGCTGCAGCCAAAGCGAGTTAACTAGATTAATAAATAATTATGGCTCGGGGGAATTGCCACAGGGCTGACAGTCTGGTTCATTTTACTTGTCTCAGCCACCCCCTAGGCCCTGGGGCTGAGAGTAAGTATGGAATTGCAATTGTCCTGGCGTACAGTACAGTAGGCCGAATCTGGACGGTGGGGTTCTCGCTACGCCAGTGACACCGTTCACGCGGGTAATGGATGGGCCACTATCACCCGCTCGATGGCAAACTTTATTCGCACTGCCTGAAATGCAAACCACAGATCTCACGAGTAACCGAATCTACAGTATGGATTTTATTTTTATTTTTATTAAAAAAGATGTGCAAACGGCAGCACTGTGTGTATCTCGCAGCGTTTCACATCCGTTTGCCGGAAGCCCTGATGAGCACATCAAATGCTAGGACGAACGCTCGTCTGGGGCATTGGAATAATCTCCAAGCCGCCGGGACTCAATGCGATCAAAGCGACGAGAAGCCTCCTCAGCCGTTTACGGGTAGTCACTCAGTCACTGGTCATGCTCCGTGATGATACGCCCAAAATATGTGTAGTGATTGGACCGTCACAACGCCCACTTCAGCCGTTTGATGACCGCCCTAAAATGGCTCCGCGGCGTGCTTCGTAGTTGGGCGAGCAGAACGCCTAGATCAGCCGCTTTTTAACTCCGGACGGGCAATCCCAGACTGTTGTTCGGGAGAAGCGTATTATTGTTAGCTCGACGACCAACGCGCATGTTGGGATATAGAAACGCGACGAAGAGAAGCTTCATACAGAAGGAAAGGTACTTGTTTGAAAATTGCCTCCGGATTCGTGTAAAATCAGCTTTGTCTCTTCTTGATTCTCGAGACAATTTAACACGCGCAGATCCTATAAACCACCTTGTGGGAGATGCGGCATTTCCGGATGCCTAGATCCGGTAATCGTTAAGTTATGGTCTTCACCAAACGTCCCCTTGCGGATCATGCTAATTGATTAAAAATGGTGCGATGAAGCAAGACTTGACTGTGGAAACTCAAACCTGTAATCAGGGCGCCAGAATGATACTCCGAAGAGGAATTGTTCCTACATCTGACTTCCTGAAAGCCATCAGACCGTTATGCATACGATAGTTGATAACGGCAGTATAAGTATACTATACGAAAGCCTTCCTGGCGACTGTCCTCCGACGCAAACCCGGCGACACCTTGTTTTGTGTCCCTTGTGTGGAGTGATGCTGTTTCGCGCGCCTCGTCAATCCAGCAGCATCAGCTATATATATATAACTCGCAGCATTCTGCAGATTGTACCCATCTTCTAGGAGATCAGGCTGAGATTTCGGATGTGATAAGTTCGGCGTTTGACCAGACAATTGGCATTTGGTACTCTGGCCGCACCGGCTTGCATTGAGGCATGTGGCAGATATATCTGTCTGGTAATGATCAAGCAATACTGACTTGGATAGTATCAACGAGTGGAACCACAAAGGTTGAAAATGTGTCTGGTTGCATCAAGTCGATTGTCGTGGACATTTTATCAGAAAACCTCATATTAGGCGTCATTCGAAACCGATTCCCAACTCCGTTTTAGATATCTTGGCACGTCGCATTCTGAATCCACACCCCCACTCATGTTGACTTTGAAAAGCCTCTTCTCGATCACTGATGAGCAGTAAGCACCTTATTTAACCAGGTACCTTATGGCACGGCAGTATCCTAGATTGATATGCCTAATCCATGTTGGCTATGAGGTTGTTAACCACCTAATCGAGCTGGTAAAACAGACAATCATCGGAACAGGGCATGGGAACCATCCTTTGACATGCCGGATTGTATGATGCACCACACAAAAATTTATGTGAGCTGTTCGAGACGAAAGGAAGGGCACCACCTGGCGGGCACAACGATCAGTCAGGGTGCGGCCAAGTATACTTGCAACTAGCCACGAACTGACCGAGATATTACAAAGCTCCTCCGGCGTGTTATTATCCTCAAATTCCGTTGAAGAATTGGCCCGTACGAAGTACATAGGAAGCAATGCTCCGCTCAAAGTCTCCGGGCTAGGTCCACCGTTCGGGATATATCACGAACCGGTCCGCTGCTACCGCTAGTGGACGTTCAACTTAAATGATTCCTAGTATGGAAGAAACGTGTTTATTTGCGTGGTTGATGAATTTGAATGAGGCATAGCTTCGTATGGATTTGGGATGTTGCCTCCTTCCTAAATACGGCACAGTTCTACTAGAGCAATGCCTCCAATAGCGGGTGCCTTAGCTGACACCGTGGGAGATTGGTCGTTTGGGGGCCCCTGGGCTGACGGCGCAGTTACGCAACGTCACTCCACTCCACTTTGAATCAACATATCAGCAACCCAGTATCTACCTCCAGATGCATTATAAAGTTAAGTTCGTTAAGGGCACAGCGTTTCTAGAAAAATCTCATGTAGGGGTTTACTTCATCATTTCCTAACTAGAAGTAGTTTCTTCCGAGCATGCTCCCGCACTCCGTCAAGGAATGGTGCGGCGGGTGCCATATGCTTATAATCCATTGCTATTCCTATAAGTAAGTATATTTTTTGTCTCGAATTTATTTCCGAATGAAGTGCTAGTTCTACAGTTTATCATGTTCTCCGCAATATCATGGTCGCTCTCCCTGGGGTTGGCACTGCAAGCTGCCGCAGCTCCACCATTTCGAAACGACCTCAATGAACACCAGCCCCGCAACATATCAGCAGCAGATTTAAAATATACCCTGCCATTATCACCTGGAAATACCGCGGAGCGGGCAAATTCCATTCACGTCAAACGGGATACTTTTGTGTACGGACCCGGAATTTGTGGGGATGTCCCATTTTGGCCAACTGGAACACTAGGAAACTCAACCACCCAAACGGATTTTGAAAAGTTTACGGCTGAGGGGGTGCCGGTAAAAACTGCTGTCTTCTCAGACCAAGATATAGCCTTAACAGCTATCACAGCTGTATGTGGCGAACTCCCACCTCCTGTAAAAAATGGCGAGAAATTCTCTAACAATCTATAGGCTGGAGGTATTAAGCAGCTTTCTGACTATGAACTCCTATATCAGGATCAATGGAAAAAAAGCATCCCAGATGGTGTGGATCTAGGGGTTCTATCTAACTACACTGATGACTTGCTTTTCTCCATGGAAAGGTTGTCAATCAACCCATATTCAACCAAACGTCTAAATCCGTCAGACACACTTCCCTTCCCTGTTGAGGATAATATTGCGACTGCTATCACAGGTGCAACTGTCGAATTGCTTCTGAAATCCGGACGCCTTTTCTATGCCGACCACAGCAATCAGAAAACACTGGAGAGTACGGGAAGATATGCAGCGGCCTGCGACGCATATTTTTATATTCATCCCACCAGTGGAGACTTTCTTCCCCTAGCTGTGAGAACAAATGTTGGCAGCAACTTAGTATACACGCCTACAGACTCTGCCAACGATTGGTTGTTGGCGAAAATGATGTTCAATTTGAATGACTTCTGGCATTCGCAATGGTATCATTTATCTGCTACGCACAATGTCGCGGAGATCGTTTTTGAAGCAGCATATCGAACATTGAGTGACGAGCATCCTGTGATGGCGATCCTACAAAGACGTACGTACACCTCTTGCTTTAGCTATTCTTATCCCCTAAAGGCCTGCGTTAATCCTTTCATAGTGACTCCTGAGCTTTTCTCTTACCGCCAGTCAGCAATTAGCGTACTAGTCAACAAGGGGGGTTTTATTGATAGGCTGTTTGCCTTCAGTGGAGCTGCAGCAATAAAGACTACCTCGGACATGTATACGTCAGGATTCGCAGGTAATTTCCAGGCCAACTATTTTTATCCCAATCTCAGAAGCAGGGGTCTTTTGGACAGTACCTTCGGCCCAGAGATCAAGGCTTTTCCCTTCCTCGAGGACGCATCTGTGATCCACACCGCAATCAAAGATTTTATGACGGCGTTCGTGGATTCAACCTACCCAGACCCATCTGTTTTCACCCAGGACAAAGAACTGCAAGCATGGATTGTGGAGGCCGTCGCGGCCAAGGTCATGGATTTTCCAACATCAATTGACCGCACCACCCTCATCGATATTCTTACACACTTCGCCTTCTTGGTAAGTGCAGAGCACCAAACGCTCAATACGAATGACCTTGCGGAAGCATCGGGCTCATTACCCTTCCACCCCTTCGCGCTATACCAGCCAATACCGACGGCCAAGGGAGTTACTGATCTGGTACCTTTTTTGCCGAACGCAAGCCAAGCAGTTTCTCAGATCGTTCTGACTGCTCTATTTGCTCGTCCGGAGTGGGTCAAATCAGATCGGTCTCTGACCCAGATGTTCAACGACCCCGCCATGTTGAGGGGGATGAACAAGAAAACTGCAGAAGCAGCTGCGAAGTTTCAGACAACACTGATGCGATTCAGTGATGTGGTTAGCTCAAGGGGCTTTGATGCCGAGGGGCTCTGTCAGGGCATGCCGTTTATCTGGAGAACTCTTGATCCCCAGCGAGCTCCATACTTCCTTACTATTTGATGCGGAGGGAGAAGCGCTGGTGAAGTTTCACCAAGGTACCTATATACCGAGTAGGGTACATGGGGAAAATCAGGACACCATATATAGATAGACCTTTGGTTTTTTGCGTATATTAGAAAGCGAACCCTCTCGCGAATATTTTCATTAAATACCTGTATAGACGTAGAAAATATACGTATTCTTCTCACTTTCCGAATTAAGCCTTAATCCTTTCAAGGCCGTCTACGTGCAGGTTTACAGGCCATGATCGCGAGAGTTACGAGGAATTCCACCTCTACAAACCCACGATCCATTGGAAGGGTAACTAAGGTAGTTCATATCTCCCGCTTTGGCAGCATATATATCACGTGGCTTTGCCTCTCCAGGCCAAAGCGTTGTAGCCTGAGGATCTAACACGCTTTCATGTGCAGACATCCGACGACGATCTTCAATCTTCCAAACTTCAGAGCCCAACAACATCGCCACCACCAAACAACTCCTATCTATTATGCCATGCACCTCCCAGTAGGAGGATTAGCATGTCACCGAGGTGATTCTCTTGCTGCTAGCATGGAGTTGGCGCGAGCGCCGCTAATATGGGGGCGCATTCTCGGCCTGCCCCAGACTGGCAAGCATTTCGTTTCGTATATTGACCTATATCCCCCCCATATTCCGTCTCTGTTTCTTCTTCCCTAGCTCCTTAGAACGAGCTCGACGAGTTCAACTCAGTTAGCAATTCTCCTTGTGTTCTCATTATATCTTTTGTGGTATTAAGCTCGTTGATATCGTCTTGTGCTCCCCTCTCTTCACCTCTCACGGCCTCGCTTCGGTTTCCCGTTGCGATCAGCGCTAGGAAAACATCCATATCTTCTGCTCCGCAGCGCAACACGCGCCTTCTACCTAAACATCAACATCAACATCCCCAACCCGCACGACGTCACGATCCCGACTACACCAAACCATCACTTTTCGGAGTCAAATCTAAACACCCTCATATCCCCGCCGAAAATATAATATTCGCAATGGCCGGCGGCAAAGGAAAATCATCTGGCGGCAAGTCCTCGGGAGGCAAGGTCGGTGTCGATGGTAGCAAGAAACAGCAATCCCACTCCAGCAAGGCCGGGCTTCAGGTGAGCATCGCGCATTTCTATATTAGATTTTATGTAGCTATTCTCCGGCAGCTTGGGGAGGTGGAAAGTCTAAGGCGCAACTACTCGACTTATCAACACCCCGCCTTGTCGCGTAACAAAAACACAATCCGCGAGATAATACATGGCGCAAGGAATACGATGCGCACCACCGAGATCCATCGAACCCCATCTCCAAGCCTGCTCTCTATACTCTTCTCGCGACGCTTCAACCTTCGCGACGCGATTCGAGCATCGATACACCCAGACCCCGCCTACACGCGTGAATCCGGCGGATGTTGCGAATACCTTGTGGATATCTGATTCTCTGCGCGACGCGTAGTGCCCTGATATGTATAGTGTTTACTAACCTATATATTTTGCAGTTCCCTTGTGGCCGTGTAAAGCGTTTCCTAAAGAACAACACGCAAAACAAGATGCGCGTGGGAGCCAAGGCCGCCGTTTATGTTACAGCTGTCCTCGAATATCTCACAGCGGAAGTTCTCGAGCTGGCAGGAGTGAGTCATTTCCGGGTTTTGCCTGATCCGCTTACGTCGCGTCTGCTAACAAATTTACAACAGAATGCTGCCAAGGATCTTAAAGTCAAGCGCATCACTCCCCGCCACCTCCAACTCGCCATCCGCGGAGATGAAGAACTCGATACCCTCATCCGCGCAACAATCGCCTTTGGAGGTGTTCTACCACATATCAACCGTGCGCTTCTGTTGAAGGTAGAGCAGAAGAAGAAGAACAAGGCAATTGAGGCATGAGACGTGGGTCATTCTGATGGGCACCGAGGCAATAGTCGGTTTATTTTTTTTGTGGGCTGGTGGGACAATTTTGGAGGTGTAACGGGAATTTGCTCTTTTTCTATCGGGTACGTCTAGGGTTATAGGACGAGGTGATCGGGGATGGGATGCTACACCACTCATCTCGAGGGACCTTTTCCTCGTTGCAATAAAATCGATGCGAGTTCTGGCGATTGTACTACTACAAGTCAAATGAAAGCTTTCCTGCTCCCAGGTGGTGGGTGGACCATATATGCCTTCAAGACGTTTGTAAGTGCTACTTCAACGTGCAAGCAGAGTAAGCACTCCAGAAGTCTCAAAGCAACCCCATCCTTTGCCCAATTATCACCAGAAAACTACACTCGGATGATCTATTCCTTTGTCTCCTTAGTAGCCGCTCTTAATTTCTATGTTTTCTATTTATAAGGTGCGGCAGTGTCTCGTTGATCAAAGAAAGATCTACATGGACAAAGAGCCTTGCTATTTGTACGAGTCTTAAAACGATGCCTTGGAACAAGACTACACTACTTTCCAACCCAAATATTACATCGTAGCTGATGCTCATTTCTTCAATCCTTCGATTTTAAACTTTTTGGTTTTTAAATTCACTTCTCATCCCCAACTCAAACGATATAGATATTTTTACACTACTGCTGGAGTGCTTGCTTCATTCGCGATAACACGTCAGTTATAGACACGGGTGTGCTAGAAACAAAGGAGTTCTCGATTCTTGAAACGACTTATCCATATATCTAACATACACCCTCATATCCACTAGCCACTGCCAACCCTAGTACCGTCGTACATCCATACACATCCCGTGTAAACTTCAACACAACTCACCCGAGCATAACACAAACGCCATGCCTCGCCGCCCCAGCAGACTCGATTTCTTTCCACCAAGGGACGCTCTAACCAACGCTCCAGGACGGTCCTCCAACCTCACTATCCCAGTATCCCCATTCTCTCCCCGCTTCCCGTTGACACCCCCACCCCGCCTTCACCTCCGGACTCTCATCCCGCCATCTCCGCTCGACCCACGGTTTTATGACACAGTTCCCTCTATCCCGCTGGGCTGGATTTGGCGTTGTCACCTGTGCAGGACCGTCTACCCTTTTAGTGTCACGAGACGCTGTCTCCGAGACGGGCATTACTACTGTAGTACCGGATGCCAATCGCGGTTTGACTATGGGGGCTGGAATCAGTATAATATCTGGAGACGAGAGATGAAACTTCGCCGGCGAGCGAATATTGGCTTATCTATGGAGTCGGATCAGTGCTTATTAGGAAGGTGGAACTATGAAAATAGCCCTTCTGATCCGTTGTTGAAAGACAGCGGAAATGCAATAGATGTCGACGGTCTAAATCCGCTGTGGGAGGAGCGAGATTGCTGGGTCGATTGCAATTTCCCGAGCGAATGCCACCATTACCGCAGCAAGGTGCTGGAGGAGAAAATTATCAGACGCGAACGTGCCAAGGCGGATGCTGCTATGCAGAAGCATATTGAAGAGGAAGAGCAGGATAATGAGAAGAAGCAGCTGGAGCAGACTCTATGGGGTGATATTTACCTTGCCGAGAATGACTCTTCGTCTTCATCCTCCTCTTCGCCCGAAGAAATGGGTGAGAAAGATGCCGGTGAACTAATTGACCAGGCGTCTTTGTCGAGTGCTAATACTAGCCCTTGTACAGATTGTGGAAATGTGGCTTCTGAGAACGATATCGAGATGATAGACTGCGATGGCATTGGCGAGCCAGGCTATTTGCTACAACATACATGCAACAAGCGTAAAGGAAGTGTTGATGCACTATTCCTTGGGGTTTCTAATACCAATGGAGAGCGGGAGCCAACCAGTCCGCTAAGGGAGGAAATAGTTCGGGATTCAGTAAGCGACGAGGAGGAGGAGACCAATTTCTAGCTAGATTAAAGGAGTCATATATTACTAAGACAGGAGAGCCTTGTCAAACTAACAGAATTGAGAAAGCACATACGAAGAGAGAAATAGAATTGTTAGGGCTAGATATATAGTAAGGCGAAGTTGGTTCCCAAAAGTTTGCTTTTAAGAAGGGGTTATAGAATAATTTCAAGTAGTAATGGCTGCTGTCATTATATCTTTGTACTTTTTTTAAAAGTCTTTTAAGTCCTGAAATAGTCAACGGATATAAAACATTTAAAATAAATTAAAAAGAACTAAATTAGGAATCTATCTAGCTAAGTACAACGCTCTTATCAAAGCTTATATATTAAACAAATGCAAAAGTAGACTTGCCAGTAAGGTAATAAATTCGTGTGGACTATCTACCTGTAATAGCACAATACCCCAAGATATTTATCGCAACTCATACCCTGTTACCCCGTACAGTCCCTGGCACTAACATGTCCTCGACTGAGTCCTATTTTTGACTTTCGGCTGCTATTACTTAGCTATACTGCTAAGACAATTATACAAAACTCCGATTCGTTCATAAGGTGGATACTAATAAATGATACTTTAAGCCGTTCTTATTTTATTTTTCCTAACGTTTGTGCCTGGCGGGTAATCTATAATCCCTTTACCGGCCGAGAGTTCCTACTACACTACCAACCATGACAGCTACCTCACGCTCCCAACTCTTCTCGATTGGCTTCTTCTCTCCTATCCCCTGGGGAGCCTGACCACCGCGAATCACGCACTCTCTAATTGCATCACGGACGCTGTTTTTATTACTTCGCAACGTCCGCGCACTAACACCTCCTCGGTTCATGATCTCCATTACCTTGGTACCCAAACTTCCTGCCAATGTGCGCCAGAAATAAGACACAAGAGACCCTGTCTCTAACCTTGCTAAAAGGGGTTGCAGAAGGTTTGCTGGTGGAACAACTGATGAGGTCAGGACTGGGGGCGAGATTAAGGAGAGGAGCGATTCGAGTGCCAGGATATTCTGGCAGCGCGAAGAAACCTCAAGTAGGGTGCAGTCGAGGGATGGTAGAGTAGCTAATGATCGAGCAAGGGATGCAAGTGACGAAGTCAGGGAGGCGCGGAGGTAGTCTTGTAGGGTTTGAATGAGAAGATCTGGTTCCCATTTTTCCTGTTTCTTCTTCGTCCCACTCGGCAGGGAGGAGAGGAGATATAGGGATAGTAACGCGGATGTGGTGCGCGACTTCGTATCGGATGTTTGAGCATAAGTGGTGGTGTTCGTCCCTGTGGAAAGGCTACTCATGGAGAAATCGCGGACAATTTGTTGGGATTTCATGAGTACCGTTCGCTCGGCAGGATTGACTATTGAGGACTGCAATGTCCGAACAGCATCTACCCTCTCTAGGCCATGGCCCTCTTCACCCGGACTGCTCTTGGAGAAGAGCTCATGCAGGCTTAATAACGTGTTTGAGCAGCGGATTAGTGCTCGATGGTCTTCCTTCTGCCCTTGTGTTTTGACTGGATTCCCAGCCGCTCCAACTTCAGAAAGCTGTATCTCGAGCTGCCGTCCCAATTGCAGACTCCGACCGACGGAGCGCCCCAGTCGCACCGTCTCCCAAAGCCTCGATGCTACTGTCTTGACATCCTCGGCCGTCTCATATCGTACCAGAACCTCTTTCTCTAGTCTTTTGTATCCATCATTCAGGTTTGCGACCTGGGAGTCTATCTCCTGTAATATTCGGGCACTCGAAGTGGTCTGCTCTTGCGTATGGGCGAGGAGCGGAAGGGCGCTCTTTGTAGTTAGGGCATCGATATGGGTATTTATTTCCTGCGCATCGAATAGCACACGGGACAGGGGAGTCGAAAGATCGAGAGGCGTATCGGTGGGGTTATTGGTAGTGAGGACGAGAGAATTGGCGAAGCTGGACGGGGAGAAGGAGGGATTGAGGAAGGCCTCATAGTCGATGTATGACGGATCATCTTCTTCTGCGGTTGCAGTCATCTTGAATGTGTGTGGGATTCGTGGTGGGGTTTTGCATGTGGTGTTGGCACATAATAATTTGATTTGGGTTTAGATATTAAAGTATTGGGGTCTCTGCAGCTATGGCTTCTGCCTGTAAGATAATCATAGCGCTTGCGGTAGAGCTGTCATCTAGATGCGCTCATGGCTGGTAAATGTAAGGAAGTACGTAGAGTACGTGTACAGGTTGTAGCTGACGTTGATGGATGTTCACTTCGGATCGCGGGTGCGCATTGCGCAACGGCCGCTTTCACCGTGTACAGTACCTTTCCCGACGCAAGCAGTCGATAAAGCAGTTTCTTAAACTTCTTCAACTGCTTCAGCTACCACCTGTAATTTACAATAGACAAACAAGACAGTGTAGTAAGTCTAAATCCCTCGCTCTGCACAAGGTTTATGCTTATCGAAGAAATAGACTTCGCAAGTGCTTGCGCTGACCGATGCGGAGCTCTCGGCCGACCTGTCAACCTATCAATATAGCTCACTATATATCAATATCAGCATCAACTGACTCTCCTCAACTCCCGTCTCCACGCCCTCCATATCCACAGTTCCACTACCTGCAGCTCTTCGGGTGGGACGCTATATGTCTCCCTCTGATATATTTATCCAAACATAAAGAGCCGTGACTACTATCGTTATAGTCGCAAGAAAGCGGTGTTCTCCGCGGTTGCGTCATGGGCTTGATCAATGTCCGAGATCTGCTAGCTTTCCCTCATGGCGATAATTCCAGCGACACTGTCATCAGCGGCACCCACTTCAACCTCACGACATTGAACCATTGGAATTATACCTACTATTCCAATGGCACATTCTCCAACGGCTCGTTGTGCTTCCTCCTCTTCGAACCATACACACCCCACCTCCTCCAGAACGGCACGTTCCTCAACAGCACATCATGCTACTCCCCCGTCCGGCGGATACGCGCTCGCGCCGAAGCTGGTCTCGCATTCGCCTGCTTCTTTGCCTTGAGCATCATGTTCACATTCATAAACCTGCGAAAGCACGGGAGGCTATTCCTTCCATCGGAGAAGCGATTTAGGTCGGCCGGGCGAAGGTTCCAGTGGTACTGGATGCTTTTTGTGGCGGCCCTTGCAATTATAAGTGGCATTACGGGCGTGGATGTCGATAGATACTATCTTCCAGAGCTTCCCATGGTACTCACGAACTTCTTCTGGTTTCTAATGTTGCCAAACACGCTGGCTATAGTATGGGAGAGTGTTCGACATTGGGGAAGCTGGCAGGAGAGGCAGATGGTGGATCCAAACCCATTCAGCTTGAGGCAGGATGATAGACGCGCAAGCGTCGAATTATACCTGCCGTTACTTTTCTATTTCTTCGCCTGGCTAGTATGATTCCCTTCCCCAGCACTCTGGGCGTTGCTAATTTGCCCAGAACTTCTTCATGGTAGTACCTCGCTCTTGGACTGGAATAGAACTGCAGCGGGACCCGGACCAAGCACGCCTAAGGGCCAAACCTGTTGCGACGGACGCACGATTTAAGGTCGCGGCGTTTCTCCTTTTCTTGGGATGGTGTACAATTGTGTTCTCACTCCACCACTCGATCAAGCACTACAAGCCCCGGAATCGGGGAGTATTCAACCGTATAGCTGGCCTCATAAGATATACGCCATACAAATTTCTTTTCACGATCCCGCTTTCCCTTGTTATGATTGGGTACGAAGCTGCATGCGCCTTTGATTTCTCCATCTCTCCCCTCAACTATCATCCAAATCTCGCAGTAGTTTATCCGTTGGGCTGGGTACCTATCGCCCTGATATTCATAGTCTATGAAGTATCAGGGTATCTCGAACCCAATGAAGACCGGGAACTCCTGCGGCAGCGCCGTGCTCGTGGTTTGGAGGCGGACCAAGAAATAGGCATTACCAAGAAGCCACACTGGTGGTCCCGTCTTCATGGGAATAACCAGGATGCCAACGTGCATGAACGCATTTCCCGGAATGTCGCAGAGGTTGGCGGAGGGAGGGCAACGACGAGAAATGTGGAGAGCAATATTGAGATGGGCAATATGCCTGTGAGTCGGCCAACACACCAGAAAAAGCCATCTGTAGAGGCCGAGGCGGTGCGTCTGGCTTCGAATTTACTGTTCCCGAGACCAGATTCCGCGAGCGGACCGGGACGGGTTGGGGATACACCTGTGAATGGGCCTGGTAATCCTGGAGACATAGGAAGTGACTCGGGTATTGAACAGACAAGTCCAAACAGAGCGGGGCTCAACGACAGGAATGGCAGCGACAGTAGTGGTGTCACTCTCACGGCCCAGCCTCAAACTGTCAAGTCGATGTTAGATATCTAGGATATCTAGGGTATCTAGGTTATCAAAGCTGGAATTCCCAAGTCAGCTGCGAAAAAGGGGGGACTTTTTGGCGTTTAGGATACTTTGGCGCAGGTTATAGATAAATGATTCTTTGGGATAGGGGTTTGTAACCATTTGATGGGTAGCACGCCGTGGACACAGGCAATTTGGATTCTGGATATGGAGTTAATATGTGTAATATTTACAGGTAGGCGCTACCGTAATATCATCTCTGCACCGTAACTCGTATAAGTCCTTCCGGTGACAGAGAAGAGCACACTCATAAACGAAAGTCCGTCTCTTCTGCCTTCACTGCTAAGAGCATCTCCCAATTTGAACTTGCATACATCGCAATGTCTGAGTCGGAGACACATGACGAGACGCCGCATCACGAAGAACTGACAGCAAGGCTTGGGGCATGGGCCGCATGGGGGACGTGCTACATCCTGTAGGTCACCGCTACGCAACATCCACAGCACAGCCTGGCACCGAACTTAAACTCCAACATCAAGCTTCAATACCAAGTACTCATAATAATCATAGGCCTACTTTGTTTGCGAGCCCATGGTGACTGTTCTCTTAGACGATAGAATTAGCGCGCCCTCGAGGCTTGCCAGCGCCCTTTAGCTGCTGCCACAGCCAACAACCTATTTCACTGGGCGTTTCATAAATGCAGGTACATTACTTCGTACGTATACTGCGTATATGCGCACTTCCAGTTCCTCTTCTTATATACCTATTGAATATAGTATTTTGGCAGCTCTAGTCTCTTCTAACAGGGTTCCAGACCATTTCAAGTTATTCGCTCACCGCCATTCGTTAATTTGATTACTTTGCTCGTGAAGACGATGAAATTTTACAAGCTCTTCTTGGTCAAATCACTCACAATTACATTCCCAAATGAGATGATTTCGATATAATTTGCTATCGGTGACTAGATTTACTATCAACTTGTCGAAATGGCTAGCATTCAGGATGAAGATGAGCGGTTGCTGAACCAGATTGGCTATTCCCAGGTTTGAATCCTTCGCCATCTATTTCGTTTCGTGCGTCTAATGAGTCGTACAATAGGATATGGGACGGCATTTCAATCAATGGTCAATTTTATCCTATGCCATCTCCGTCCTTGGAGTTCTTGGGTCCCAGCCTGCCACCTTTGGCACGCCGCTGAGCCTTGGAGGACCTGCTGCGGCGGTTTGGGCTTGGCTTATAGGCTCCATCATGGCATCGTTCACTTCAGCATCCGGTACATGATCGTCTCCATTGCTCTCTCATATTTCTAGCGCGCTAACTACTTAGTTGCCGAGCTTGTATCGGCATATCCTACAGCTGGCGGCATGTACTTTGTTACGAAGAGCGTGGTACCTCCAGAACATGTTGCTTTATGGGCTTGGGTTATCGGCTGGCTTAATCTTTTGGGCCAATCCGCCGGAGTAGCGAGTGTCTCCTACACTGTTGCTCAAATGATTCTTGCTATAGCAACCATGAATTCTCAATATGACGAAGCTTCTGGCACCTACGCGTATTCGCCGTAAGAAACCATATTATCCATTCCATTTTTGACATGCAGCTGAAAATCGCCTGGCAGAACACCATTGCAGATTGTTCTCCTTTCGATAACATTTCTAGTTGCTTTTGGAATAGTCTGTTCGCTCACCACGGAGACACTCCATAAAATAGAGCTGTGGTTTGGACCTATCAATGTCCTCGGAACAGGAGTTATTTGCATCTCCCTCCTGCTTCTGACTCCGAATAAACAAGATGCCAAGTGGGTCTTTGGTCATTTTACCGATGGCTCTGGTTGGGGCGTTGGTTTCTCATTTCTACTCAGCTTTCTATCGGTTGCATGGGTGATGACAGACTATGACTCTACTACCCACATGTCCGAGGAGACACACGATGCTGCAATCCAAGGGCCAAAAGCAATTCGATGGTCCGTTACTATTAGCGGGATACTTGGATGGATATTGACCGTCACGCTGTGTTTCTGTATTAGTGATTTGGAAGCTGTTATTAAAAGTCCTACAGGTGTACCAGCAGCCCAGATCTTCCTAGATGCAGCAGGTAAGACTGGCGGGACGGCAATGTGGTTCTGGGTCATCCTTGTCCAGGTATTTACTGGTTGCTCTGCCATGTTAGCATTGACCCGAATGGCATATGCATTTTCTCGGGACGGGGCATTACCCCATTCACGGTGAGTTACCCTACACCTTGAAGTACTCGTACTTTATTAGTAAAAGACAAGTCAACCTAACGTATTTGACCGCAGCTTCTTCTCCAAAATCAATCCACAAACCCGCACCCCAGTCAATGCCGTCTGGCTCTGCGTCGTCTTCTGCTGCTCCCTAACACTCATCGCCATCGGTTCCACGCAGACGATTGTCGCGGTCTTCAATATCACCGCTCCAGCCTTGGACTTCTCCTACGCGCTTGTGATTCTCGCTCGTAACTTATACTCCGACCGGATTAAATTCATCCCTGGCCCCTACCAGCTCGGAAAATGGCAGAAACCCACCAACTTGATCACATTCATTTGGGTATCAGTCATAAGTGTGGTCTTACTGTTCCCTACAGTCCGGCCTGTAACTGTCACAAATATGAATTATGCTGTTGCCATGGCGGGTTTCATTGGAGTCTTTAGTCTCGGGTGGTGGTTTGCGGGCGCTAATATGTATGTTGTTGGTTGGGCGGGACAGTGTCGATCAATGATGAAATATGCTTACTTGGTTTTGGTTTAGGTCGTATACTGGCCCAAGGACAAGTGAAATGATTATCCCGATTGGGGATGAAGATAGCAATGCAGATGATGGTATCAATGAAGATACTGATATCAATGAAAGAGTCCGCCTTATGAGAGGTAAGTTTCCCGCATTTGCTATTAGTAATTTTATCCCTGCTAATGCCCGAGCCAGATGAATCCCATTGATTGGATATTTGACAGGGAGATCTATATTGACTATTGGAACCAGTACTAGGTAATATAAGTACAGTCATTTTCCACATATGCATCTCTATAAATAGACTCTTATTTACATTTTCTAAACCTACACACGTCAAAACCTTTAAGATTCCTCAACCCCCTATTACATCTTACCCCCTTTCGCACACACTCCATCACATCAACGTACTCGTAGACAGTCCCCTAAATTCCCAAGAAACCCCACCATTTAATCCAACAATAAACACTACCTATACCAAATGTCCTAGTATAGGGGCGCTTAACCCAGCTCCCCGGTCACCGCGGGGTAAATATATAAACCCCCTAAATATCCCACGCTCTCATCCAAATTGCATCTAACCCCTCTTAAGAACGGAACGTAGCTCTGCGGAAAAAGCAACAGGGGGTTTTAAATAATAAAATAAAACACCTCCAGAACCACAATAAACAAACTCCACATTTCATAGATGGGAATTTGATTCCCTCTTTCCCATATTAAACATTTTGCTTAATTCGATTTTGGGAAGCGGAACGTAGGTATGCGCAGAGCCGCGAAATAAAGAAACAAGGTGAGCGGTTGGGATGGGAAGGAGAGAATGGAAATGAGATAGAATGCGTTTAAGTCTATAACTCGGTGGATTCGCTCTTTTGAGATTTAAGTTTCTTCTTTCCTGAGCCCATGGTTTTATTTACCTAGCTAGTCCTTTTTAAAATTGTATATAAAAGATGGCCGTGTTCAATTTCCTAGCCCGACTAGCAATAGTAGTCGTCACCACCCTCCTCCCTACAATCAACGCCGCCTCCTCAACCCTCCAACTCATTCCCCCAAGCTCCTTCGGCCCCAACCCAACAAATGTCGGCTTCTACCTCTACCTCCCCAAGAACCTCGCGCCCTCACCCCCCATCCTAGTAAACCCGCACTGGTGCCATGGCTCCGCCCAAGCAGCATTCACAGGGACGCAGCTGGCAACACTGGCAGATACCTACGGCTACATCATGATATTCCCTGATTCGCCGAACATGTCAGATAAATGCTGGGACGTCTCGTCCACACAAACACTCACCCATGACGGCGGTGGCGACGCCCAAGGCATCGTGAGTATGGTCAAATACGTGCTAGCAAACCACGGCGCGGATCCCAAGCGCGTCTTCTCCATGGGCACATCCTCCGGCGCCATGATGACGAACGTGCTCCTAGGCTCGTACCCGGATATCTTCGCGGCAGGCAGCGCCTGGGCGGGCGTAGCATTCGGATGTTTTTCCGGTCCCGGGTACGATTACTGGAACTCGGATTGCGCGGAAGGGAAAGTGATTAAAACTGGTGCTGAATGGAAAGCTATCGTGCAAGCTGCTTTCCCATCGTATACTGGCTGGCGGCCGAAGATGTGGGTGTTCCACGGCAGCGTGGATACCACGCTGTATCCGCAGAATCTGCAGGAGGAGATTAAGGAGTGGACTGCGGTGCTGGGGTTGCCTGGGAGCCCGGTGAAGACTTTGAGTGATGATCCGAAGGGGGGGTGGACGACGTGGGTTTATGGAGATGCGTTTAGGGCCACGAGTGCGAGTGGGGTTACACATGATATTCAGACAAATGAAACATTGGTGCTGGATTGGTTTGATTTGAAGTGTAAGGGGAATGGATGTTTTTCGCGGCCGTAGGGTGGTGTAGCGATGTGGAGGTTGTGAAAGATTGGAGGCTGATGGTGACGGGATATGCGTGATTGGTGATGGGGAACGGCGGCAAGTTAAGAGTAAAAGCATGCTGAGGGCACTGTTAAATTATTCTCCGTGTATATAGCGAGTGTAAATATCCCCCTAGTATCAGGGGCTGAGCTGCTAGTTCAGGTTGCAGGATAAAAAGGTCTTGGATATGACCAGATAACAGTTCAGGGGAGAAAAAGGAACATGATATCACATCCAATTCAAGCTGCACGAAAGCTGATGTTGACGAGAAATATCTTCTATATTTCTCAGTCATAAAAAAAAGTATGAAGTTCCGGTACCAATCCCGCCCTTAACGGGCTTTCTATCGCAGGTATCTATAATGTATAAACACATCCAAAGAGGGTATCAAGATGTACAACGTGTGTATTCCATAAATAAACTTAGGTAATACAATTAATCCCACCATGCACGCTCGTGCAAATGACCAGCCAACGTCAAGCTTATTATGAAAACCATGACGATCTTTATTAAAGAAAAGGTAAAACGCCCAAATAACACTGCAACACGGCTTTTAGGCGTGGATCTCGGCACCGTCACTAGCGTGTTTGGGAGTAGGGGAGATGTTATCGATGGAAGCCTCTTCAGCGCTCTTCCCCGAGTGGTGGGCACCATTAGTAGGGTCGTAGTTTGGAGTTCTGAGTTTATTGTTAGTCAATGGCTTTGTGGATCGGGGTTGAGGATAGGCTTACCCTGGTACTTCACCAGCCAACTCTTCCAGAGTCTTCCGCTTGGTCTCAGGGATCAAGAACGTGGTCAAAAAGCCCATCAACATGAACAGAGCGAAAATCTGCATGATATGGTCGATCCAAGGGTTGGCATCCTTGCCCTTTGCTCCAGGCTTAGCACCGCGGGTTCGGAGAGGGCCGAATACGACTTGAGCAATGATGGCGCCCATCTTGCCTGAGGCGGCGGAGAAACCGTGAGACGTTGAGCGGTATCTGGTGGGGAAGCATTCACCAGGTACGATGAAGGTCGTGGAGTTGGGGCCGAAGTTGAAGAAGAACTGGGCGACAATATAGAGACCGAGGAGACCTGAGTCGGAGATTTTGTGGAAGGCAAATCCAATGGCAACGAAGAGGATGGTGAGCATTGCAAAGCCCAAAAATTGGATCGGTTTGCGGCCGAGTGTATCGATGGTGGCCACAGAAACCCAGTAACCAGGAATGGCACCCGCGCATACGAGGATCAAATTTCCAACTGCGGTTCGGTAGAAAACATCGTACATGTTGCCACCGCCTGTGTATCCAATAGCACCGAGAATGATAGAGTTGTTGAGACCAAGACCATAGTAAGCAACATCTATAATGCGATTAGCATATCGGTATATCAGTGTCTGGTATTATTAGTAGACATACCAAGGAAGAACCACGAGCCGGCTGTGCCTAGGAGGATCTTTCCGTATTTCCATTGGCCGTAGTGGTGGAGGAAATCTTTCATAGAGGCTTTGGGGATCTCAAGGGTCGCAGCAGTTTGGACCATGGCGGTGGCACGCTGGATCTCGTCCGGGTGGCCCTCAGACTTGCCCTTGATATATGCCTCGACATCGTTGCCAGCTTGCTCAACGTCACGCGCCACGTCAAAAGTGTAGCGGGGGGTCTCGGGAATCGTGAGTCGGTAATAGAGAGCGATGCAGCCAGGGACAGCACCAAATCCGCTATAAGACAAGTTATTAGAGATGCGCTAAGGAGGCCAGCTCAGGACAACTTACACAATCACTCGCCACATCTTGTCTACGGCCAATTGGCAGGTTCCTGTACACGCCTTCGCATCTTTGGCCGTCATTAGGGACTCTTTGAAGCCCACCGTCACAATTAAAGCTACAAGTGCGGCGGTGAACTGTCCAATACCCTGCATAGCGAAGACTGCGTTCATCATGGCACCTCTCCATTTGGTAGTGGCGAACTCGGAGGTAATAATAGATGACAGAGGATAGTCGCCTCCAATACCAATTCCCTAGAGCACGTTAGCATAGCTGTCTACGGCGCCTGGTCTCTAGCCGTTCGCTTACCATGAGCACACGCCAGAAGCAGACGATACCGACAATAGACATGGCGGGCGATGGGGCCGAGAGCGATAGGGCGAGGGTAGAAAAGATAATGAGGATCAGCTCCAGTCCGTACATGCGCTTCCGGCCGACAACATCGGCGAGATATCCAAAACCGAGCTGGCCAAGGACGGTTCCACCGGATGTGGCAACTTTGATAGCGGTATCCGAGTTGGGAGGGATGGTCCCGTGGGATTTGCTGTCATTGAAGAACACCACACCCATCATGGCGGTGACCAAGTTAATGGCGAAGATCTGCGGCTTCCGTTAGATCAAGATACGGAAAATCTAGAGAGCTTTGCCCTCTTGGCAAACGAATGGATACTTACATCATAGGAATCGGTGAAGAAGCCAATACCGGCGACCACACAGGCACGGACATGGTACCACCCAAATGGGGCCTTGTCAATCTCGGCGAGGGCCAGTCTTCGGCGCTCATTGGGATCTTGAATATGAGCAAAGTCGTTGTGGAAGTTGTGGAAGGCGGCGTTTCCACCAGCCGTCTTGGTGACGGGGGCGGCGGCCATTGCTAGAGAAGAGGCACCGGGCGACGCAAGAAACAATGGGAATGATTGATTTCTGGGACAGTTGTCTTCCTGGCCGTTTTGGTGCTGTCTGCGGAGGGCAGCGAGACACTAGGCGTCGAGGGCGAGAGAAAGCGTTGAAGATGAGTTGCTCGACTGGAGAGAGAAGCAGAAGGCTGCTCTGGAGGGGACAACAGCCGCCCTTATACGATGGCAGTGAGCAGGCGGTGGTGGTGCCGGGATCCCACGAGCAGGGCCTTACTTGCAGCTCGGCTCATGGTTGCGTTGCTTTTTTTCTGGTGATGGGGGATGGGGTTCTGGGTTCTGGTCGATGTTCGATGTCCGATAGCATAATAATTGCGGCACCAAGTGGATTGAACCAGACATGACATGGGCCGCATGCATCGGTGGGATGCAGAGCTAAGTAGAGTTCTAGGATCTAGAGACTCCAGGGTCTGCCGCCACGCCGAGAGCAGAGCTTGTGGGAGTCTGGGCGCTGGGGCTTTTGGGATCTCTTGGAGTTTGGAGTTTGGAGTTTGGAGAGTGGAGAGTGGGTGTATATCCGCTCAGTACCAACTTTCACGGCTATAGAGGACTTAATTGGTATTGTTAGTAAACTTAAAACTCTAAGGCCCTCACGCGAATTATGATGATATCCAGCTGGGTTGCACTCACTGCCCACTGGTCTGGTCTCCCTCTTCAGCGTTGCGTTGCGCCCATCGCCCGTGGTGAGATACAGTATTTCGTGGTTCCAGCATCTACAGAAGATGGTGGTCGCCCCAGCCAATAAGAACGGCGGATGGCAACACGGTGTCGCAGGGCATCGCAGTTTTCACGGATCGGGCTTTGGCTGCTGCTAATTGCTGGTTGCTGCTAGCTGGGAGTTTAGTGAGTGATTAGTGTGGGGGAGCATTCTTCGGGGCTGATGGCCTGAGAGCGAGAACTCTACGGGGTGGCCAATTAACTCGGCGTAGTCCTCGTCTCCAAAGGCTTGGCACCAGAAACGAGCTCCTCGGGACTTGGGTTGGGTTGGTACAAGGAGTAAATAAATAATAGTGATATTAATAACTGAACTTACACTTGTACACTTGCACGAGGCAATGAGTCGTGCCGTACCATAGCGCGAAGTATGCTTATTAGCATGCTCCGTAACGTACACAGCTGGAGCCCCCAACGCCCCTAACTGCCCCCCGATGAGGAGCCAACCTACGTACTCTGCAAGCTTGCACTGCCCACGCCGAACTCGCCGGCACCGCCGATGGATTCTCCTCATAAAGGTTCAAAGCCCAACGAGCCTTCTAAGCCAAACAATCCCAAAACGTGTTGTGTTGAAACATGCTTCTGCTTTGCCCGGCTCGTTCAGAGATACGGGGCCAGACGGATCTTCGATAATCGATAATGGATTCTTCCTTCTCATCCATATCTCCCGCCTCTTCCGTCTCCTCTTTGTTCCGCCTTGGCTGTCTTCTGCCAAGTCATTCCAATGCTTGCTTCATCGTACTGTCGCGTGCTCGTTATTTCATTTCTGCGTTCGAGGATGTCATCGCAGCGTGGGAGCACAAAACTCCTCGCCGAGAAAAGCACGGCCAATGATACGCGGTGGATGACGCTGAGCCAAGATGGGATACATCCGCTGGAGGAGACGCTAAAGAGGAAGCAGCGACGAGGGACGAGGCAATAATCAACACACAAAACGCCCTCCTTCCTCATATTTACCCAGATGTCGTTGGGGACGGCCAATCAGCGCGGTGTAAATTGGAACGTGGTGGTTTTACGGTGGCGTATTCGCTTACATAGCACACTCTGCTAGACCCCATGCTGGTCCAGACGACACGCCCCCTTTCCGCCTCGACAACGTCCCGCTGCGAGCAATCGAGGATCGAGGATCGATACCACCGAGGCGTATTATTCCCTTCCACTTTCGGTATTGTATAATTTGCATTACTCCACTGGCAATTACAGATTGATAACATTCTGTTTCTAGACAACCATCCACCGAACCGTGACTCGAGCGCGAGTGCTATTGCCGTACGTCTAGCTAGAATTAGCAGCAAGCAAGACCGCTCTCCATATAGCACCCCGGTGTCTTTATGTGAAAAGGCTATAACGATAGCATAGCTGTACCTGTATAAGCACAGTGCCATAATGCCCGGCCCTAGACTGAAATTGAGGTGCCATTGGAGTCGATGTTTTACGCCCCGCCAATCTCCTTTATCCCCTGGGTCTCGAGAACCCACCCCAAATCCAACGGAACATGCCGCAACCCTTCCTACGACTAGGACATTGGCCATATCATAATTCCATAGCAGGTTTCTCCGGTCGTTGAGAGCCAACGACCTGATAACATCGTGGCTGTACTACTCCCTCCTTCGTCCAATTTAGTCAAATCCATAACCACGCCTCTCCCGAAAAGCTTAGCACCAGCCAACGACGGCGTCCCCATGGAGCACGAGGCTATTATCCTTCAAGCCTGGTCAAGGCAACATAAGCTTCGCCCAGCGTAGCTGAAGCTCCAACTCCAAGAGATGCCAATATGTAATCCCAGACGTCGATAGTCTCGGCAGCATATGCATCGAAGCCTTCGAAAGCTTGCCCAATATAAGCAACATTGGCTAAGGTAGGAGCCCGTAAGGGCTAGGACACATCGTCTCTTCGCCCCGTGTGGCTTTCCGCTAATCAGCTCCCATGTACATACATGTCTGCATGATGGGCCCAGGGCACGCACGATGGATGCTTCCACCACACTAACAGATTCAGAAACCCCGATCGGTCGAGATACACCCTCGCAGACCCAAGCTGGCCCACTCACCAGGTTGCTGCTGCTGCTGGCTGGGATGTTGGAAGAATCGGGTTGGCAATGCGTGATTTTCAGTCTGCGTTTCAGCCATGAGGTATGGAATTTTGAGGTGGCTTGATGCCCTGGAGATCGGCGAGGCCGTGATGATCTTCCACCGGAGGCATCGAATCATCGAATGTCTGAGCTGTCTGAAACTTACACCTAAGTTTTGTCTTACTTTCCGACGAGACTTCCCCTTAAACTTCCTTTCCTGTCTGCTCATTTCCTAACATGGCGCTCATCTGGGCCATTTTTCGCACTCTAATACTTCTATTCTTTTTTACTATCACAACCGGCGAGTTCGATTATCAGTCCATATCAATGTTCTCGCCTCGATATGTCGAGGATTAGTTGATAGAATTCGTAGATTAGGAGCACAGCAGGGGATCTAGAATTCGAGGTATGCTTAAGTACCAACCGAAGATCTCCCTACTGTCGAGTCGGAAGTGTCGACTTAATTTGGGCATTCTTCCATGATTGTCTCAATCTGACTGCGAACCTATGTAGACTTGAATAATCACCATCTTTAATACTATGCGTCCTCGCGAAGATATTGCCCCTAGGCGCATGTATGGTACCAAAAGACCATCCGATGTGCCCGCATTTAGAGATCACGTGGAGTTCTGATTTGATTTGCCCTACCGATAGACCTCGAATACGCCCCTTTTCCACAACAGACCCACAGCTACAACACCTGTCCTCCTTATCGTCGAGTCAAATTAGTTAGGTCTCAAGCGCTAAAGCTATGCCTAGGGAATCAGTTGCTCCTAGGGATAGTATTTCGCAACTGTTAGCCGTTACTGGACTGTGAACCTTTAATTCTTTAAATGACCAAAGATAGACGACCAGGATACAGTGCGAGAGATATAACAACTGTGTCCTTATGGCGCATAATTATGGTCTGTAATGGCCTGGTTATGTGAAGTGGATGTATTTGATAAATAGGCAGGTTGCGATCGGAGCAATAGGAAGACGATAATGGGGGGTGCATATCTTCTGATAGCGTTCTAGAGGTAATTTTGGGTTCTTGCCCTCTAAATAATACAGTGCACTAGTTCCGAAAGTTCTAGACTATTCAACTACAAGTAATAGTACGCGGCGCATCATCATGGAGAGGGTTTGTGGCAGAGATATCTAGTATGAGCGTTCGGAAAGGGAGCGTGTGAAAGTAGCAACACCACTGAGATCCTATCACAGCATCTATATGGTCGACCTTTGATGCATGTCCTGTTGATGGCTAGCAGGTATACCGGTGAGTAATAAAATGAAAGACTGCAGTCCATTCACGAACCGACGAGAACTTATGGCTGGAACTCCCCTCGTGATTCACGAGCATGTTGTTTATGATCCACGCACATACGAACCAAATCACGTATGTTTGAATAATCGGGCCAGGTATTTAAGTCTAGCCAGACATCACTCACTCCAATTTAACAACTCGACTAACAACATCATTAACGACATCATTCGCTCCCGCAAATAAACCAGCGCATTCACATCTAGGCTGGTATACCACCAGATCAGGTCCCATATCCGATCACATTTGTGCAATCCACCCACCATACCGTACAAACCAACACACAGCATCGCACCTCCCCAACGCAGCATATCATTACCCATATTACGCGAGGACAGCAAGTATCGAACCAAAGCCATTTACGGATACTCTTAACAGTAACTGGTCGCATAGTACCATTCAACACGCAACTAAGCCATCGAGGAATCAACCCCAATCACATAACAGCACAGCACTTATACATTCATATCTGCCCCCAAATGATTGCCCAAACCCATATTTAACCAACATTGCAACTCCTCAACTCACTCTCCTTACTCTCCCTTCTCATACCAGCTATTCTTAACATTCCAAATGTCTATGCCCAACCAGTATAGCTTCGCAAGTCAACGGATCGAACACCCCGTGCCCCATACAATCGGAAAAGTAGTTGTTGAATACAGAACCCGCACAGATCCTTTCCACGCCGTACAACAGGTTACCCTCTGCTCTGTGGCCGTGTACAACACTTCAGAAAGCCTCATTGGTTACTATCGATATCTTCAGGCAGTGTCCGACCCTTCCAGCGGCTGGAGCACTACCCACGGACGAGATCTAGGACCGCCACCACCCAGCATTCCTCCACCGCAGCCTTCAAGAAGAGCGTAACTAAGTCGGCAGCATGGCGGGACGAGGATACAACACTTTCCATGGCTTCGACGCCGGTGCACCACCCCCAGGTTTCTCCCCCGCACAACCACACGCCGCCCAGTTTCCAGGCGTCTATGGCTTCCCTGTGCCCTACCCCATGCCAATCCCAATTGGAGCTCCTCCACAGCCCATAATAGCCCCCCCTTATTTCAACGGCCAGCAATACCCAGCACCCCCTCCATATGATCAAACCATCCCCGGAATCCACCTCCGAAACCACACTGGAGACGTCGGCGTCCCATGGGGCTACGACTACCTGTTCCCAAAAGAAAACTGCCCAATACACGTGTTTAAGACCACCGCCAAACCATGGCAGATAGACACGGCTTTGCATTCGTGGGATGATAGGCAGTTTGTTAAATTGCTTGTCCCAGTTACTACGACCATCAAGGAACTGATGCAGAATCTTGGAGCGAATAATGCGGATCCGAAGAAGAATCGGTTATATGAGATTGCGGAGGCTGGGAATGGGAAGTGGCTTAAGGGGATGGAAATTGGGGTGAGCTTGTATTTTCTTTTGTTTCTCATCCATTTGCATCGTGGTTCATTTCTAGTACCCCTTGGGTTCATTTCTGAACGCCGCTGCCCCGACACGTAACTTGTGCATCGCATTGGCATAGTTTCTAGCACAATAACTAACTTATAACAGGGCGACGACAAAGACAAATGCAAAAAAGTAATCAAGGATTACGGCTGGGACCAGACTAGGACAGGCAAACTCGGCGAGAAACCGCTCGTCTGGCTCTATATCACCAAGGACTAAGCATCTAGCGAAGAATGAATGTCTAAGTTATAGACCAGGAAATCTATCTGCGTTGGACTTTGGAAAAATACTTATAGGAAAAACAAGCCCCACTTGGCGCCGGAGATGTTTAGATATAAAAATGGCGAGAGGATATATCTTTATGGATTTGAAGCGCTGAAATATTAATATACCGTTGGGTTTAAAGGAAATATAACTTATGGATTTTATAGCAGGCTTGAATTCTGGTGCGAGTTGGCTTTTGGGTCGCATGTAAACTGACTGATTTCACCTATCAAGACGGGCCCTAGGGCTATGGTAACTGGTTCTATAAATTCTATCCGTGCTCGACGCCAGCAAACCCATCTAGTATGAATGATTGACTGGATAGAGCAACTTTGCAAACAATGATTGCCCGCTGCTCGAAATGTAAAGAAACGAACGACGAGAGCTACGAGAGCTAAAATGTGGATCGATAACACTCGATAGCGCAGCGCGTCAGCCAATCTCGTTGATAAAACCTCCAGCCTGTGCAAAACGCATCTGGTAATCCCTTAGATCTGCCCAACTTCGCAGCTCCTCTTCCTCATCAACCTCCGCCGCTGATTCATTCTTAAGTGCCGGGCTGATCCGTTCCAGCCTCATTAACACATCTAGAAACTTGGCCAAATAATCTTCGGCCTTTAGTGCAAAAGGACCCTTGCGGTTTTGCGGGGTACTGATCAAAGTAGACGCTATTTGTCGGATTTTATTTATCTAAAACCAGTCAGCTGCAAAGGACTGATAACAGATTGGTGGTTACTCACAAAACTACCTCCATTGGGTTCCATGTTAACCTGGCTGATGCTCCCAAGCACCTGTAGCAGATCTTTGACAATACTCTCCCTCTCTGCTGCTACATTAGCCTCAATCGCATCGATAGTATCTGCGTCGGATTCCTTCGGGAGAATCCCTTCCAAGCCAGGTGGCATCAAACCAGGCGACTTAGGTGCCGCAGACTCGCCAGTAGTCCACTTCATCCGCTGATACGATTCATGGAGATTCCAGTACTTCTCCACAATATATGACCGGGTACTAAGTTGACTGGCGTAAATATTGGCCTTCTGGATTTCATACTGCAGATTCCTCCGCGCATCAGTAGCGGTCTGTGGCCAGCTAGGCGTATCAGCTCCGTTGGATCTGACTCCTGCAATATCAGGAACAGGAGGGAAGTAGCGGCGAGCAGAAGCTTCGAATTCGCCAGGATTAGACCCAGGCCGGAGAAGTAATTCTTGTGGAATTACATCTAAAACTTGCTTTACGGATTTTAGGCACTCCTCAAGTGCTCTCTTTTGCCTTGTCCAGTCAAAAATCTCGTCAATTCCATAAGCCATCTCTATAGTCGCGAGTGGATTGACAGTCAGGTAGATTCGAATACCAAGGTTGAAGCCGGTGAGATTCGATATAATTCCAGGGGGCTGCGGCTCAACATGGTCAAGGAAGATGTATTCGTCATCAACTTCCATTGGGAAAGGTGGATACGGCTCGTTGGGAGTTGAAGGAGGTATGAGCAGCTCGCCAAAGCTAGCACCGAGTTGCTGCATAGATCTATCAACGGTTAGCATAGTTCCGGTCCGGATTCCTGCATAGCCCATCATACCTGACGCCCACAAACATGATCCAGAAGATTCTCCTGCCAATCTCTTGTCTGATGTAATCCACTGGTTGTGGCTGGCCATCAAAACCCCCACCATCCGCCCCGAACGCGGTAGGTAAGCTTCCAATCGCAAGAAGACCGGGGTCTTTAACTTTATGGGCACCGAGAACCCTTGCAATGGTCAAAGTCTCTCCAAAATACAAACGACATTGCCGCCACTGGAATGTGTAGGCTGCCGACAGGCCCAGAAAGTAGCTCGTTGCTGCATCATACACTGTGAGCTCTCTATCCAGGTAGCCTGGCCCCCGAGCCTCCACAGCGACCTTATGGCATCTTTCTACCAGGTTGATCGAATTCGGGAACAGGTGTTCACGGCTCTGGGCTTTCAAATGTAATCTGGGCTTGCGTGGGAAGGATGCTACCAAAGTACCAACCATCGACGCAAGCAACGCAAGAAATGAGGGGTTGTTAAGATCCTCACGCTGCTTAAATGCAATGCGGAACGATGGTTCATGCGGGAATGGGCATAGAGGGTGTATGTATGTGAAGAAGTCGTCGACAAGAAGCTCGAGGGTGGAGAACGGGCATATGGATTCCGCGTTTAAGACGGCATGAGAGGAGAAGGATGCCAGCGTCGCAGCGACATTATTGGGCGATGAGGGAGAGGAGAAACTGCCTGCGCCTGGCTGGGTGCCGCCGGCGCCAGAAGGCGATTCGAGTCTACGCTTTTTGATAGCTTCTGCATGTCGATTTGGTGGACCTCGTCGCCGACTGGGTCTGTCGCGTGTACATGGAATTTCCAGGGCTGCACAAGCCCGGCAGGGAGGTCCAGACTCATCGCACTGCAAACACATTATCAGCATTGCTCCAAATCTAGTTCACCCCCTCACTCTACTGGGCTTCGGATACTAACCTTGACCTTGCGTGTACTACAAGAATCACAAGCTTTCCTCAAACGGTTTCCCTTGTGGCCCTCACCGCCGCCAGCAGCTGTAGATGATCCCGTTTGCCCTTGCGGGATGTCGCTGGGTGACCCCACCGGCGGTCCATTGCCGTAAGGACTATGATGCTGTGGTTGCTGAAGCTGCTGCTGTTGTTGTTGCGGCTGTAGCTGCAGCTGCGTCAGTAGTGCCTGTGTCTGTGCTTGTGACTGAGACTGTGATTGCGATTGCGCCTGCGATTGTGATTGTGATTGCGTCTGGTTCTCAAAGGGCGACGCGTATGGCTGGGCGATTGGCAGATTGTGATGTTGATGTACAGGGAGTGACTCTGTAGAAGTTGGACCGGCCGTGCTATGAGGATTTGGGAGAGGTTGAGATTGGGACTGAGGCGGAGGAGGATGAGGATGATGAGGATAGCTATGGCCCGGGGGCGTAAAGGCCGGCGGCATTGACATCGTGAGGATTCAAAGACGGATGCAGATTGGTTGAAGGGAAAAGGTCGGCGAGAAGTCGGGAGAATCGAGGGAATTAAGAATTATACGAGTACGCTGTACGGAGTACGAAGCACCAGTATTATTGGCACGAAGTCTTAGTACATACCGCGTAAGGTCACATTATTGTTCGTAGTTGTATCATAATAGAGGTAATAATAATAAATCGAGGTGGCGGTGAAGCAACCTAAGGCATTAAGTTCTGGTTGTCACGGTTCTGGTCACGGGTTTAGGAATGCTGGATTTATTCAATAACAATAACCTGGAAACAAACATGTAATCAAGTGTTCCGTGTTCCGTAAGATATTCACATATTGATGATACCATATTGGCACTAGATAGCCTATTTCTATCTCCTCCTTACTCCTTCCGTCTTTATAAAGCCATACCCATCCCGTCTCTTGTCCTCAATCCATCAGTACGAAGGTACTCGAGTATATCTTGGACCAGGTAAAGAAATGTCTCAGCCTTTACTCCCGCCACCAGAGACACGTTAACTCCCTAAATTACTACGACATAGCATCCCTCAAAACCGTCTCCTCCTGCCAGTAGCGGCACCCGCAGCATGGTTAAACGCCATCATGGTCCAAATCCACTTGAGATGCTCCCAGGCCTGTTGCTTATACCTCTGCGGCGTTGCGAACCACCCAATCGCCCATAGCCCACCGACAAGTCCAGCGGCCGAAAATCGTCTTAAAACCTCATTCTTCACCATGTTAACCATAACACACAAGACAACCTCCAAAAATGCAAGGCCCCAGTACATCCCATGGTGGTACACAAACGCCACGTCCATCACATGGATCATGATATTCCCAACCACGCCCGCGATCCGCCATTGAAAGAAGAGCGCGCCGAGGAAAAGGGGTGGTGAGATGAATTGATCGAGGAGTTCGGGGCCTTGGCTGGGGATCATCCACGAGAACGGCGTAAAGGGTGTGATGACGGTGAGGAGGGCGCCCATGAGTAGGACGGAGGAGAGACGACGAATGGCCATTTCTCTGCTGGAGGGCAGCGCGGCCCAGGCGCGGGTCTCCCTTTCAGTGGCGCGTTGAACCATTTTGAGTGTATGTTCGCCGTCGCGTCGATTCGATGCCGTGCGTATAGGAGGTATGTGATGCGCGAGAGAGCTCGGTGGATAAACGCCAAGGGAGTTGCAAGCTTTTAAAGCATCTAAGGCTCTGTCGAGGGATTTAAAGGGGTGACTCAACGCGCACCAGATAGGGAGCGGTTATATTCGAAATTTCCACGGACCCCAACCTGGCAGCGGAAGACGCGTCGAAATGGGAAGCAGGCCTGGAACTAAGGATTCTAGGCTTTCTGTGGTAAGGTTAGACTTACGCACAGGCATTTCCAATACGAACATCGCTTACAGCCCTGTGGAGGACATATCTAGCCTTACGATGTAACACAACCGCCCACAGTGCTTGCCTGCCTATAGGTATCGTTGAAGTAGCTACTATTGGTACCTAGGATCAAAATTCCAGCAAATAACGGGGACAAGCACCGTGTTGGCTTTGGAGCACATGTTTACCCGTATATCAATGATACCGCCCCTCGACCTAGACCCCCTGCGCTCACTCTGCGTTATGTTATCATTGACTGGGGCTGTGTACCAACATACCAACAAGATCCTCCTGTGGCAGCCCTCGGAGGAGCGTTTCACCTTGACAATGATCCAATGGTGTGTTAATACTTTTTAAGCTGTCCAACAGTCCAACTGCAGCATTACAGCCTCGTTGACTACATGTTAGCGTTTCAAAGTCCAGCCCTCGATGTACACTGCCTCGATTTGAAAAAAAGATGCAATCCGATTCTATTCTACGCTCCTAATTAATGCAAAATATCTATCCACGAATCTATATTACAGTTACATCTTCGCCTTCAGATGCTTACTCCTCGCTAATCGGGATGCAACAAGAAGGCAAAATCCCACAGCTAACGACACTCCCCCAAAGAGCTGTGCATACAGATATCCACCATTACGTAGCTGGATCAGCTGTCCAGAAATAGGTGGCCCGATAAGCACAGCAAAACTGACTATTGTGAACACTTGTCCCATTCTAGTCCCTGCTTTCCTCAAATCCGTCGTCAAGCTGCTCAATGTGGCTGGGAACAGGCCTTGAATAGCCGCCCCGCCGATTCCATAGGCCACGGTCCACGCATACAATCCTGCTCGATTCGAAACAGCAATCCAACAAAGACAACACATAGATGTGATGAAGACGGCCGTAATGAGGGTGTTCAGAGGGCCGAAAAATCGGTCAGCTAAATGGTTAGGCAGGACTCGTCCAAGGACTCCGACGCCGTTCAAGATGATGATGATGTTAATGCTTTCAGAGTAAGGTACGCCAATGATGTCTCGTGCGAAGGATCCCAGGTAATAGAATGCAAAATACACTCCCATGAAAGTCTACACTCCAAATCAGCGGCCATGATCCAGGCACGGTACATACATATCTCATTTGACTTACGAAGAACATCCCAATGGCAAACAGCACATACGGCAACTCCTTGAACGACGCCCAATCCACCAACGCACCCGTTTTCCTTGGCGGCACCCGAGTCTTGATGCCTATATCACAGACTAGCAAACATGCAAGCTGTATGAATGCCAGGGCTCTCATGGTCCAGGGAAATCCAACCTTTGGCAGGAGTTGTTGCACCATTATAGGGAATACGATGCCTCCCGTTGCACTGCCCGCCGCACCTATTCCAATAGCTAAACTTCGCTTCTTGCTAAAATACGTGCTCAAAGTACTCAATGCGGGGCAGAACAAGAAGCCATTCCCAAGACCACAGCAGACGCCTTGCGCAAGAAATAGCTGCCAGTATGTTGTAGAGAGAGATGCCATGAATAGGCCAAAGACGCCTAGGATCGAGCCGGTGACGAAAACGGGACGGAAATATCCTGCATCCGTAAGGCGTCCGGTAAAAGTGCCGACGAAAAAGAGGAGAAATACCTGCATGGAACCTACCCACGATATGTCTGATGGTGGGCGGTCAAGCGCAGTCACGTAGTAGGTTTGAAAGACACCGAAAGAGTTGATGAAGCCCCTAGAACGGGTATTAGCGTCAAGAAGTAAATCCGCTGAAGTTAGAGATAGCATACCATGTATTCATAATGACCAAATGGCTCAAGAAAACTATCGATTGTATTAGCGCATGGTTCATAGATATATCCAAATATAAATCGTTTTAGGATCTCAAATATATGGCTTGACTTGGAATGAGATATTGTTTTGAGAACTCACCCTGCCACCATGCAAGCAATCCTCCATCAGGTGGCGGCCCCGGGTCTTTCCAGCTACTTTTAGTACTCGACCTCGTCATGGGCCCCTCCTTCATAGCTATCGTCCCATTGCCTCCCGCCGGGTACGCCTCGATATCATCTACTCCTGTTTCGTCCGTGTCATCCGGAACCGAATGTGTTGATGAGGTTTCGATATCCTTGTCAATTGTATCTGCAGAGGAATTGCTCATCTGATTCGGAGCCTTTTCTGGCATAATGCCGTCTGTCGCATCCCGGCCGAGATTCATCCCATCTATTAAGTCCCCTTCTTGTGTATTGTTCTACGGAGCTGGTCGGACGGTGGAATTGAACCTAAGGAAAAAAAGTGCAGAGTGGGGTCACTCGGGAATTGCAGATTCACAGATGCGCTATATCCGGGGCCGTCTGAAATAGTAATGTCACGCTGGACGACGTTCCGTTCTGCCTTGGTTATATTTCCAAAGTCGAGGAGATGAAGAGACAGACGGTAGGAACTAGAACTGTGGGGAGGAAGAGTCTGGCCTTATAAGAATAGAGAGAATCTGGATGACTCTCTTCTCGCCCCAATTCTTTAAAGCCAAAAGGGGTAATATTGCCGGTTGCAAAACGGCGCTATGGTACATCTCTAAAAACTACAAGGTATCGTGACTGCCGATCAAGACGGAGACTGGCCGGGGCCCATAGTTGCTTGGAGCTGTTCTGAGTCTATGACACATTATGCTGGTATGGAGTCTTGAGTGGTGGAGCAGGAGTGTTGCCAAACGGGGTTTGTGAAGGGCGTAAATGATTAGCCGATTAGTAATTGGTGATTAGTATGTAGCGAAAGTCCTTTGGCCCTTTTTAATGCACATGCTTTGTACGGATTCCTACTGCGGAGTACATATGGACGGTACATGTACCAGCACTCGGTACAAATAAGAGGTTGATCAGTGGAAACTCGGGAAGTCGGCAACGGCGACTAGGAAGTGGTGTCTTGGTACAATTGGCAGTTGGTGGCGTTGTGGTTAGCTCCTCGTAGACGGAAGCCGGGAAATCTCTGTCTGGTTCGTATCGTACCTAGGCACAGTAAACAAGCCGAGCGACAACGGAGCAGCCACAGGGGTCCTGTTTGCTTGTATTTGTATGAGAGGGTTAGTACCTAGTTACCAACTACCTAGAAGGTACAATACGAGATGCAATAGATTTGGTGGTTTAACAAGTCGCCGCATAATGCGGGAGGGTGCTTTATTTTATAGATGTATCTTTATAAGTGACGGCATCTCTTTCATTACAATTTACGACTCTCCTTGACACAGCAAACCTCGCCACTCTTTCCAATAACCGCTTCGCCGACCTCCTGCTGGTGACTTACACTGGCCAATACGCTCTTATTGAAAGTCTGCACACTAGGTGGAACATCCAAGGCCGGGTTCTTCTCAAAGAAATTGACAGGTTTAAGTGACACCTTGATGATCTCGCAAGGCATTACGGGGAAATCCTCGATTCGCGGAACGTGGTTGATGCCAAATTGAACCCAAACGACAATATCTTCATCCTTCACGTTATCCTTTCGATCAGCCCAGCTACGGACTCCCGTGCCGCCACGAGATTGGTTGGTGTATTTTCCCCCTGCATATAGCTCACCGTCTTGATACGATGTCACATATATATTATGGTCGGCGAATTCGGCGCGCTTGAAGTGGAAGCTGTCTTTGTCTGCCAGCATCTTTTGAAATGGTGGCGCCATGATCTTATAAGCAACAGGTTTGCCATTAACCGGGTTGGTGACCGCCGAATTCTGGATCTTGAACGTTCGATTCACATCGTAATCAAGGTCGTATCCGCCGGAAGTAGTGACGGGAGTCTCGGAGACAGTATATCCAACTCCGTGGGGGTTGAAATCGTCTCGTGGCATTGGGTGTGCTTCTTCGTAAACCACGCGGTTCAATGACCCATCAAGCATGGGATCCACGCGAAGGGAGAATATGTGTTGATGGTGGACAGCGAGAACCCCAGGATGGACGACAGTTCCCCAGGGAACTGAAATGCCCTCATCAATAGGTTGAGTAGATAGGATGCCAGTGGCGCGAACTTCATACATGACTTCGCCAGCCTGGCTGAATATGAATGCGAGGATATATTCATAGTTCGCGACAGTGATGATGGATTGCAAGACCAATTCTCTGTTTCTCACAATCGCAGCACGGCCAGTTCGGTAATTTGTGTGCTTCCACCCAATGCCGTTGTCTTGCTCATGGATGCAGACGACATTAGGCATGTTGAGAGGCTCGCCTTTATCGTCATTCAGGATCGCTGAGAGGTAATGGATAGATCCAAGACAATCGCATCCGAGCTCCAAGTTATTGGCCATGATGCCCGCACCGGCATCGCCAAGGTCGAATGCTGCCTTCTTATGGAATGGGTGACGAGGATCGGCATAGGGGATATTCATATCTGATAAGGAGAGCCTGTAAAAGAGAGGACGGCCGGCATAATGCACATCATAGAGCACCATCCCTTCCCGTTGATTAAATCCAACTTTGAATGTCCATTTCTGCCACGCGATCTCGTGGCCTTGCTCACTAAAATTGGAAACTTGAAAAGATGTGCCCTCTGGCTGGGTCACGTTTAAGGGTTTCAAGTCCTTCCGGAGATCCTGGGCCTCTGGAATATATTCATTGGGTTGCTGAACTTTATAAGGCGATGGTTCCTTGATCGATGCATCAACCCCGGTTGGTAGGAAATCGATCCTAGTAACCTTCATAGTTGCTGGGTCGACAACAGGCGATATACTGAGTGGCATAGCATAATGGTTGCTATCCGCCTCGGATGGGTTGTTCGGGTCTCGAACATAAAGAAAGCATTGGAACAAACGCTTGGCATCTGTAAATAGGTCGTCATTGATCCCATCAGATCCTATAAATCATTAGCAAAAGTCGTTCTTAGGTGGGAGAGGCGTAGATTACCATAAATCCACGGGTCGCTGATGACCACGGCCCCCTCTGGGAGTTGAAGCTTAGCAATCTCGGCTTTTACACCTTCGTCTGCCAATGCTATCTTCTCTATCGTGAGTATCTCCTCTCCGTCTATATTGCTGTGAACATTTGGACCAAGCCGAACATTGGTCTCCACTTTTCCGTTGCTCAGGTTCACAATTGCTTCGTGAAGTTTATCCTAAATCCAGGGCGTTAGACAGATGTGCATACAACATAAAGGGAAAATATTGTGTTCCGAGGTCCAGCACAGTAGCCGCTTACAGTGTTTCGAAGGTAGTACACTACAAAACTTCGCCGCTCAATTATCGGAGTTGGCTGTCCATTGTGTTCGGCGGCCAAAAATGGAACGAGATCGGCTTTGTTTGGTTCTTGAAGTGTGATAACCTTGAACTGAATATTAGTATTTGCGGGCCATAACGCTCTGATTAGGCGTGCGCTCTCGGTGATTTCACTGGCAGTCAACGGGCCAAGTGGGTGCTGTTGAATTCCCTTCTTGGCACCAACGAGGGGCAACGAGGTCGAGATTTGCTCGAGGGACGCCATTGCAATGCCTTAGTTTGCAAGCAATTTCAGTACCACGAAAGTGAGTGTGGAGGAAACAGAATGAACGGCACTAAGGACTAATAAATATACTATAAAAGGATTTCAGGATCCATTGGGATGTGTACTTGTACTTGTATAGCGGGTGTTCCCCGCGCATAGCATAGGCTTTTCCAAAAGGAGGAAGGCGGGAAAATAAAAGTGCGGAAATAGAAGCGCAGTAAAAAAATAGGAACTCCTGTCTCGGGCTGTTATCGGTCCTCGTAAAAATAGCAGCTGATAACCTTACTCGTAACATGACAATCAACGACCAGGACAGCCAAGACATGGTGGGAAAACTACTTGCATGCGTTGGCATGAAGATAAAATATCTCGCTAAGATTGAGAATCTCGTGGATGGCCCGGTGCAAAACCACGGGTTTGCTTGAAGCAGAGAAGGAGGTTGATGTCGATGTTGAGTTGATGTTGAGAATGAAGGTTCGGAAATGAGATCTGGCTTGCCCAATCAGTGCTAGCTTCGGCAGTAATCTTTAACCTCTAATGTTTTGTTGCTATATCTCTCCCAGGCAATATAAAGGGGCCTCCCATAATGGTTATTACGGCGTTGTACTTGCATTATACAAGTAATTCTCTTATCTCTCCCCCGGTTGTAAAGCCGACATATCAGTGCAAGGGTTTCATCTAGGGCCTCGACCTTCAACCCAAGAACAATCACCCCCCCCCTTTACTTCGATCAGCCTAGTCGTTCTCGAACCATCGTAACATCTATCGATCTAGCTAAGTTGGTGTGGCCACGGAAACATTCACGGCAGCTGAGCTACCTGTCCTTGACTTGCGACGCAACCCCAGCTCTCCGGCTCGAACACATCGCCACGTTTCTGATGCTACAAAAACATAAGACGCCGAATACGAATTCGAGGAGACCAGTGACCCAGCGATTTAGGCAAAAGCTAAGTAAATGCCAATTTGATATAAGTATCGAAACGATGAAGACGGATCCAGATCAAGGCCAACGGCTAGCTTTAAATCTTAAATTAGTGGTTCGTGGGTCAGCTACCAATTGCTTTTGACTGCAAATCCCTAAATTTCGCCATCTAATAGGAAAGGTTTGCTGTGTTTTAGATACGGAAGCTTACAATTTTCTCGTAAATATTACAACCCGGGTATAGAATGAGTACGGTATAAGAGCGATCTAGAAAATACATCTTGACCTTTCAGCCCGGGAGAGAGAAATGGCTTTGCTACTATCCCCGTGCTATTCTCTAGTTGTTTGGTGCACTATATTCAAGTTATTTCTCCTCTAGAGTCTTCAACTTCGTTCGATTCTTAGTCTATATTCTTTCTATTAGTAAAATGCCGCCGAGTGCGGGATTTTCTTCGTGCCCTTCCTGGATTTCTTGAGAATATTCTTCCTTTTTCAGCTCCGTTCGTTGGCTACATCACGGCCGTTCAGTCACGTCACCCAAACATTTCCACGCCTAGCTCGTAGTTTTAGAGCATCCCAGGTAATCTAACTACACCTTATTACCTTTGCTATCAAGGGCGCTGTGTTTACCAATTATGTATATCAATTTCCTTAGAGGGGCCGTCAAATTTGGCGCTCTATAAGCAAAGTCGAACGGGCTTAAGGAGGCTTCCCAAAACTCGAGTGTTGGCTTCAGCTATAGTTCCTTAATAAATGCCAATATGATGAGTTTATTTCGTATCGGCGGTGTACTCAAGGATTCCTATCAAATCTAAAGTGTTTCCTACACATCCACGGGGAGTAAATCGTGCGTATGGAGAATAGAAAGAGGTAGGAGCTTCGAAGTTGTCTTGCTTTTACCCTTCCCCCGCTATTTCTTCGTCTCTGGATCGAACTGAAATCCATAACACTCTTACTCCCGCGTCCTGTCAACTCAAGATACATGAGGTAAGCGTTACCAGAACCCAGTTACGTAGAAGGGGCTTTTCCCTAGGCCGAAGTAGCAATGCCAACCTATGCCAAAAACTGTCCTTCCTAAGCAATGGCTGGAAATAAATGCAAAACTACTTAATTGTAATGGCTCATAAATCAACACTTCAAGCAGATGCAGGTACTACATTATGTATAGCATTGTTATTGATCTCCCCTGATACAAAACAAAACAACTGCGAGTCCTAGGTCCAACGTCGCTAAGCCCCGAAATTAATATTGTATCGTATGTCGGTCAAACTCTGTGCAATTCCATTGTTTCTGGATCTCACCAACTTCATCTTTGAATTGCAATTGTTTTAAATGCCCCAAAGTCTAGAACTGGCCTCATCCTTCCACTATCTCATGCAGTGGCCAATGGAGTCGAGATACTCCCATCCTTTAGTCTGGTCATATTCTCATATTCTAGCTAGGACAGCTCATTTCTAGCGATCCGCGCCTCTCATAACACTGATTCGTCTTTCGAAAGCTTCCATTATATGTCTTTGCTTCTTGTTATAATATAACCCAGGCATATATGTCCTCTCTATTATCGACTTTTATTATCCCTTGAGTCATTCTTCGGAGCTCTTCATTGGGCATACATATTAGCCTACAACTTTACCAATATAAGGATACACTATTCTTCTAACCAGGTTTTCCAATATCGTGATTTCCCCCCTCTTTTCAGAAAATGAGGGTAGTGGATGCTAGATTATAGCGCTATCGAGGCCTTATCCAGGCATCTCGAGGATCCTCGAACCGTAAGATGGGCTTACACTCGAGGGAGTTGGCGCAGTGAAACACTTTATAGCCAACGAAGAGGACGGGTTAGTCACTATCTTCATTATTTGTCAATTGTAGAGCTAACGACAAGAGAAAGCGACTAGCTATATACTGGTTGAACGTGAAGGCAAGTGGAAGGGTTTTGATTTTCGAGGTTGCCATTTATCTTGTGTATTCGAGGTTTACGAGTTGGCGATTCACACATCTACGAGAAGTACATTGGAAATTGGGGGTAGAATCAAAACCTCGAGCGAAAAGTGGTCTTGATCACCATAATCTGCTAGTTAGAGATTACCTCCTGTCTGTTTCGGGGTGTCATTGTGGCTAGTCCGGCGTCAATAAAGCATCCTAGGTCCATATTATACTAATGTAGATATTATAGGTTCAATCTGTATAGTAAATAGGGGATAATAGACCATCTATTTATAGATTAAAAGAAGCTACAAAACACTTACATATTCCACAATCATAAATCAAGCAAGTGCGATGAAGCAAAAATGATTGCTTATGCTCTAGTACTCATATTGCCATCGGCGATGTAAACACACATTGAAAACCAAGAGATAAATAGCCAAGGCCAGGAACATAAGTTAACCACATGAAACTATCGTATGGGGTGCGAAGCACTGTACGTCGTATAACGGGCATATTCAGCTGTGCCACCTGAAGGATCCATCCATTCGATCGACGCATCCAGGCCAGGATTTTATCTACCCCGGGCCTGCCCAGACACCCCATCCACATGGGCATATTTTTGCTACTTCAGGATTGTTTTTACACCTCGTAGTTCCTTCCCTGATAGGCCACGTCGTATGCACATAGCGCGGGATGATGGGACATAATAAGCCCTCGTCTCACGTCAGGCATGCAAAATACCAGTACAATGTTCCTACGGACATGGTTAGGAGCCTATGCACAGCGCACTTTCGTAATATTGTGAATTTGGCACGTCACCCTCTTCAGACTGGCGATATTTTGCTCGTGACGGAGCCTTGGAAAGAAAAGTCAAAGAGCTTTTGCGCATTTTCGGAGCTGAAGGAGAAAGCTGAACCCGGCTTGGCTATTATGCCATGGGCGACACCTCTCAGCTTGAGTAAATCTCGGAGGGCGCAACGTGGCGCTCTCGTGCGTTTGCGCCTTGTATCATTTAAGGTTAATTCAATAAGCTTCCGCTTTGGCACTCGTTTAGTGGAGGAATGCTGAGATGATTGGTCATACGAATGCGAATGGTAGGCTCCATGGAACTAAAATAGCTAGACAATAAAATGATTGCGCCGCTTTAATAAAATTACCTCTATGTAAAAAAGTAATCATGGAGAAACAGATAAAGTGCTATTTGAGGTATTCTGTATGGCATAGAAAGTAGCGGATCGGTGGCCTCGAATGCCCCCCTTAGTGTAGGCAGATAACCAGGTACCCATTTCTTGTACTCGATACACTTAACTCTAGCTATAGGCAACGAAATAGTGTTTCACTAGGCAGACAAGTGGGAATAGGTTCCTCCCTTATACAATCACAGCCTAGATCACTGTTGATGCCTTGCTACGAGCAAGACTAATAGCATTGCCATTCTCATCCCCACCGTCCCCATTCTTGGGAGAATCCATGTCAACCTCGTGGGTTCTTGCTCCCAACTCAACTTGGTAGTTCTTTCGTACATTTGGTACAGAAATAAACCCATCGTCAGGCGAATCAAACAGTAAACTTCATAAACTTGACAGGGTATTTCTACCCTAATGATCTAAGCAAGGCGGCGAAGAACGAAAGGATGGGAGCCTTGCCATCCCTGCCACTGTGGTTATGTCCAACCTTAAAACTTCGAGATTTGAACGACAGAAGAAGAGTAGACTTCAAATAAACGTTACATACGCTAAAACCCAAGCTACCAGAGACAAACGTCGTCGGCAATCTGCTCAGAGAGGCCTAGGTCATGGATGATGGCGGTCCCCGGAAAACAAAATGAAGACAAAGACGTGGAACGAGATGACGAGCGATTGCGCCAAGTTAAGCTTGTTAGTCAATTGTTGGGTAAATGATGTCTTGGAGATATTTTCCCTTGCGCACGTAGGGGAGGGGAGGGGGCCCCGGAGTGGCGGGGTTGTGTGCCACTTCCTGCTGTGCCCATTTGCGCCTCTCGACTAACGCACGAATGATTCAGACTAATAATCATATTTTGAGGACTAATAATCAGATTTTGGGGTAGACTTGGCCAATAATGAGCTTGAATAAACCCGATCTAGCGGTCTGCGGCGCTGCGGAATGTTCGGAACCATCTCGTTGGTAA